TTCGAAAATGCTCTTTTTTATTGATTATTGTATAGGAAAAAATTACCTACAACAACCATTTAAATCCGATAAATGTATGTATAGTTTATAATGAAATTAGATTTATCCTGTTTTTGTTTTTGGTGCAACAACCAGATAACTCCGGAGTTATCTGGTTTTAAATAAATTTTAGTGTTAGAATTTTTGATTTCCGTCAATCCGTTGACGAGATATTCCACTTTCAACATCAAAATTTATTTTAAATAATACTCCATCTATTCATGGACTTTTAAAATCAAAATTAGGTAGTGGTTGTAACCCAGAAAATAAGGATGACGAAAAGTCACATAAATATAAAATTATGAAGCAGCTTGTTTCTTAAATGTTCTATAAAACAAATTCCGGAAAAAATTAATACTTTTCGAGAAAATACTCACATAAATGGATAGCCTAGTATATTAAATGAAACCAAATCGATAAATTGCTATTTTTGTGAGTGGAGCAATATTTCTGGTTGAAAATATAGTTTGCAAACATCAAAAACAATAAGATCGGTAACGCCGTGGAGGGCCGTAAATATTTACCGTTTTACTTATAATTTTCTTTCCAGTTTTCCCGATTATTTTGAAAACCCCTTTGAAAATCAAAAAAATACCTATTTAAATTACTTTTCAGAAAAGATGCTACATTATATATATCGAAGCAAGATTACTTTTCGAAAAGTTGTTTACAGAAAAAAAAAAAAATACACGCTCCGAATTTAATATAAATATATTTATATCTATGTAAATATGCTGTAGATGTAAATTTACTTAATTTGAAATGTTTAATCTAATAACTGATAAAATATAATTCATTTTTTCCAAAAAAAAAAAAACATAATTAGTCACAACACTGTTTTGGGGACAAAGTGTATAATTTATATTTTCTATTTTGTAGGGGACGAAATAAATATTAATTCGCCAAGAGCCGTTTTAATGTGTAGCTACACTACTAAAGCTGCGGTATTCGTTTATACGTTATGCGTTATAAACGAAATTCTATTACTTTCAAGAATAGACCACCTGGCAATTCTATCAAATGTTTGTGTTATCATTCGTTTATATAGACATGGTATAAAATCTAAAATATTTGGCTCTTTTTGTGTTTATAGTTCAATATTTGAAACTGTCGAGTTTCATGCGCGTTTCGAATTGTAAATTCTGAGCGTAGTGAGGAATGTATTGGTTTGGATTGGAATGTGATGTCATTTTTTTTTTTTTGTGTACTCTGTAAAATACTTTACTACCAGAAATCTTAATTTAATCAAAAACTTTCTTGTAACATTTTTTATATAGTTGGTACAAACTGCTAATTATTTGTATAGTTTTTGTTCACTTCTGGCCCAGAAGTCCCAGTAGTTCTGTGATACCATGATAATTAGGGAAAAAATACGACTAATCAATGGCCTATCAATTGGGGGGGGGAGGAGAAGGCATGACCTATGTTATGAAAAAAAATTACTACAATTTAAAACCATTGTCTCTAAAGACGTAGATATGAGTGAACCTCCCTTCCCAAATAAAAATATCTTGGATACACACCCGCAATTAATAAAATTTTGCTCAGAATCGTTTTTAGGTAGCAACAGTTTATCGTTGCAGACAGATATAAATTAAATAACTTTATATATTCTACCTTTTCAAATTTTCAACAACAGTGGCATACTCGTTCCTAATTAAACCCTTTTTATAAACACAATACATATATTATAATACAAATTTGCAAAAATTGTATGTTTGCCCACTCATCAGCATTATCAATCTTTTAAATTTTGAGTGGAGCTTAGAAGTTTATGGTTTTACAAAGATGTTTTTTTTTTTTTTTCCTGTGAACAACTTTTCATAGCAATGATAACAATGATAGCACTTTTTCTGAAAGTAAATTTGACTGGGGAGGTACTTTTAAGAGACCACGTTTTGATTTTTCCAATAAATGGGAAAAAACATGGGAAAACCGGGAAAAAAGCATCGATTTGATATTGTACATATTGTATATTGTTATTGTCTTTATAAATTAAATAAATAAATCTTAAACTGACATAGTTACATATTCATTCTATAGTAGTAAAAACCAAACCAAATAATCAAAAAAAAAAAAAATTATTTTTTTCATGATAACTATTAAACTCTTAGATAATTACGATATATTTGAAAAAATGTATTATTTAAAAATTAAATACAGTTATTATTTATTAGACTAAAATAAGCTAATTTAAAATTAAATAAAAAACTACGTGTATTTCATCAAAAATCAATTATCTCCAATGGTTATATTTTTATCGTATATTTGATCAAAATGTGTACTTTACTCACTAAATGGTAGGTAATGTACAAAAAACCCGACTAATTTTCGTAATAAACGTTTTACAAATAATATATATACATTTTCCGGTATTTTGTACCTTAACCATAACAAATATTAAAAAAAAAAAAGTTTCTCGCAGACGGGACGTTATCACGTGCTATTATAATAGAGTCGGACTGGCCAAAAAAGGGGGTAGCTGTAAATTACGTCCCATTTTTAATTTTTTGTGTAAATTACGGCCATGGCATATTTTACACACATGTAAATAATTGCTGCCCGTGTATATTTTGTATATATGCCTAAATATTTTTTATTCATACGTAAATTACGTCTTAGACGTTTGAAAAATCAATATTTTCCTTCCTATTTTTTAGACAATATAATTGTATTAAAATGGATAAAAAAAATATTGATTTTACTTTTTTTTAAAAATTAGTAAAAATGTATTATTAAAAACTTGCAACTAGAAAAATTTTAAAAATGTGTAAGATAATATATTATTTTTTTTAATTTAATAAAAACGAACGTTATGAAAAGTGATAAAAATATTTTTCCCGAAATGAATTCATATTACATGTATGGCGCACGCAGTTAATAATTAATATTTAAATTAATAAATTGATTAACAATGGTAATATATTAAGTACCTATTTAAAATTTAAATACGTATGTAACTTATTTCGTTTATTTCGGGAAAAAAAAACTTTCCTAAAGGCACCATCGAGAATAAAAAATACAAAAAAGAAATTCTGATTATACCTTTACCACCCGAACTTATTATTACAAGATGAGGAACATGGTTAAACGCTGCACTTTTCTATGCAAATAATTATGAAGAGTTTAAAAACGTGATTGAAAGTTTAACAAATGATGCTACAAGTGTTAAAAAGCTGAAACAGCTTGTACAAAATAATGCAGTCAAATGTGATTTAGCATTCATAAAATTAAACTTATCCGAGTTATCCATGAATCTTAAAAATTTGGAAGAATCTTAAAGGAAAATGTACGTATGTAATTGAAAAAAATGAAGGCTATAAAACTTTAAAGTCTTACTATGAAGTCATGTCAGGTAAAACAAATGTTAATTTAGATATAACGCCTACTTTATTAAATTGTTTTAAATACGCACCAATAACTAGTGTAGACGTAGAACGTAATTTTTCTTTGTACAAACATATTTTAAGTAATAGAAGATTTAATTTTAATGAAATAATTTAGAAATGTATCTAATTATCAATTTTAATTAAAAAAAAAGTAATATTTATCTAATTATTTTATATAACTTTAGCATTTTTATAGTGCAATTTATTATGCAATTTTTACGTATTTTTTGGTGCAATTATATAATATTAATATGCGATTTCTGTGCGTTTTAAATGCAATTAAACCCGGTTTTTAGTCATAAGAGATTATCGCATTGACCTTAATTCGAATAAAACACATTGAAATTGTAAATGGTTAAACCTTATATGTTATACGCATGTTAAAATGTTATTCGAAACGAGCAAGCGGCACATTTTCCAGCGACTGATGGTGAGGAGTGAAGGTCCGAGGTGAAAATAAGTGGAACGGGAGCAGGGGCCGGCAATAAAATAATTTCACCACGGGGCGCATACGGCATAAATGATGCGCCCAAATGCGCCACTGCAGACAATCGGCATATCTCATAGTCAATAATTATATACAGTGTCCAGTCAGAGTATTATAATAATATAGGACAGTGCTCCCGGTTCCCCGGTCGCAATATTCGTTTAGGCTTTTCTCTCTCTCTCTATTCTCTTTCTCGCGCTCTGTCTCTCTTAACGCGACCGGCGTGGATTTTTTCTTCGTGTATTATTATTTTCACGAAACGCATGTAAACCGTACGGTCGCCTCTGAGAATAAACACGTCGTCGTCGTAAAAAACACGACATATATTATGTTACCTACCGACGAAAATAACCCGTCCGTGTACGTATGTGTAGACGTATTATAAATATAGCCGCATACGGGTCGGTCACTCGTGTACATGCACGTCTATACGTACACGCACAGACGCGAGTTTTCGAATGAATAAATAAAATAAATACATAAATACATTACGCCCGTTAACGGCGCAATATTATTATTATTACATTATTATTATTTAAACGCCGCCGCCGCGCAAGCACCACACGAGAGAGAAAAGTTGAACACACACACACACACACACACACACACACCCGCACACACACAAACACACACATACGCACCGAAACCCGCGGTCGGTGCCGGTGCGCGGCGGCGGAAAAAACCGGTTGTGTCCGTCCGCCTGTCGCTCGTCGCGTACCCGTGTGAGTTTTAGTGTTATAATATATTATCATTATTATTATTATTATTATTATTATTATTATTATTATTATTATTATTATTATAGCTCCGTACCTATAAGCTCCCTCCCCACCGTCCGCCTCTGCCTGCGCGCCGACAACCACATAGGTGTATACCCGAAATTTTACCGCACACACACACGCGCGCGCGCGCGCGCGCGTACACACACATGTGCCGCTACAAAATGTGTTCGCATCGCGTACGACAGTGTTGCGGCGGCCGAGGATTGCCGTGTAAAAGTTGTACGGGGCCCCCGCGGCAAAATAGTGAAATTTTACGGGCCGCAGCCGCAGCCGCCGCCGCCGCCGCCGCCGCCGAATGTTTAGTGACTGCGTCGAAGAGTATTATATTATTATCGTTGTCGGCCCCGCCGCCGCCGTCCGGTCCTTACAGTCGACCGGGTACCACCGTGCACTTAGTACCTGCTCACCGAGTCAGTACCGTCCGCTGCGCGACGGCCGACCGCGGTATTCTCGTATCGTTCCCGTGCGCTGTTTGACGGCGGTTGCACCGCTCTGCAGTAACGGTCATTGTCGCATTACCGAAATAACATTTTTCACTTGTCGTATTTTATTTTATGATCGTCATTGAACAATACACATACGCGTAGGTAGGTGATTACGTATTTTCAAGAAGTATAATGCTTCGTTATGTTTGCGTATTTAGAAAAAAAACAAATTACACAAGTGTATACTATACACGTACCATACATACAGGTATATTGTTGGTACGGTTATTGCGCGTGCGAACGACGTAATACAATACAATAACTATTATACAGTCCGTCGAATATTATTCATTTAATTTCTTGTGCCTGCGAAATTAATAATATCATTGTTGTTGTTTTTTTATTTTTCCATGTATGATCGAAACGGCAGATTTCCGCCGGGGTACCCACGAGACGACGCGAGTGCCGCTGCGCCCGAGAAAATCGCAACAACAACAACATTTTTGACGAATGTCCGAGCGACAGGAAAACGAATAAACGTCTGTAACGTTCCGAGTGAGTATGTCAATGTTAATTTTATTTCTCGACATTAACTTAATTGTAATGTCGGTACGCGCGCACGTCTATTACGTCGCCCACTACGCGCAATTTAATTTCCCGAGCACGTAATGACAGTGCGGGTATTATGTGCGTTTCGCGCGTACGTCGTGTAAAGTGCATAAAGAAATCATTCGTGTTGGTCGTGAATTTTTTTGCTTTTTAATTTAGAAAAAAAATTAAAAGGCTAATTTATTGTAATATCAATGACGCTGCTACAGTGGTCGAATCCGAAGGCGAGAATCGGGGGGCAAGACGGGGCATCTGCCCTCCCCCTGGTCTTCGAAATTTTATTTAAAAGCACTTTTCGGCGTTTGATTTTATTATGCCCCTCCCCGATGAATTTCCCGCGGGCGCCCGTTATTATTATTTATATTTCATATTTTTCTTACTCGTATTATTGAAAAAACGTATAAAACGTTACGCCTAGACACGTATTCGTTACCTACCAATTAATTGTTTTATATATGTATGTATACATTTTCGTTTATTGAGGGGGGGGGGTGAGTGGTCGAATCACCCCTTCCCCCTCGTCGTCGCCCATGTCTCAAGTGAGAACGTACTTAGCTCCCAATCAATTAAAAATCCTCGCCTAGCCCACCACTAGTTAAAAAATTAAAACGCGTACAAAATTGTTATTTGTCTGTTAGGCGCGCATAATATTTTATTGGATGGCCTACAGGATGTATTTTAATCTCCCGGCCTTAATTATTCGGTTCCCACTCCGCTCCCGGATCGGTTGCTTTAAATATTATATATATGCATAGGTATAGTGGATTAAAAGTGACTATAAGTACCCTAACCTGTTTTCGTATAGCATTTTCACGGTTTTTTTTTGTTGCGATTAAAACTTCGAAATCACTTGTGAAAAATCATCACTGCTATGCCCGACCGCTGTTTTCCGCCATCGAATAAAAGTGATCACACTCGTATAATGCAATAATATTGTTGTACACCTCTCAGCGCGTGTTATGCGATGCCCTCTGAGTGTGATGAGATGACGATGATGTATTACGGGCCCGTTGGCATATAGGTCGACATTTTCTCTTTTCCACACGCGGGATATTATAAGAGTCCGATTTCCTCTATGTATATGTATAATATATATTATTAATTAATAAAACTGATAATACTAATGAGCGCTGCAGTTGACTGTGCGGATCAAGACGATTATGCACGGTTCGCCTATTTATTATACAATAAAATATAGTCTGTCGATTGCGAGATACCACGGGCCTAACTGCAGAATACTATATTACGCTCGTATGCTCATTATAATCCGGTCTCGGGACTCATATAACGCTTAAAAAAAACCCCGCATAGTATACAGGGTGATTTTTCTTTTTATCATGAACCAGCAATTATTTCAGTGGATTTTAAGCGAATTTGATTTCTGTTTGTTTCTGATCATTATGGAATCGTTTAAGCTTTATTTTAAAAAACCATTTTTAATTTTTTTCCCCTATTCTATATATCTTAAATAAGTGCATACTTTTAATTTTCAAATAGGCAACCTCTCCACCCTCTTTTGATACACAAATTTGAATAGAGAATATTTTTCTAGACATTTTGATATACATAACACTGATATCGGATTTACCGTTTATGAGTTATAACAGTTTAAAGTTTAGACCGGAGGAGTAGGGAAGGATAAGATGGATAGGCAATTTATTAATAATTGTTGATAATTTAGATAATTCCTGGTGCATGATAAAAAACTCACCCTGTATAGCCGTCGTAAAATAAGCACTTAGAACGTAGGTACTTATTACCTATTAATAAACAATAGTAAAAAACCTTTTTTTTTTTGGTTTCTAAATGACTGGAATAAACGGGAGAGGGGGAACCACAATAGCAAATTTAATATTCGAATTCGTAAATCTTTTGTAGATTCTGAGTGGAGCGAAAAAGTTTATAGTTTTACAAAGACGTTTATTTATTTATTTTTTTTTTTGGACAACTTTTCTACAAAATATCTTGCTCCGATTTACAATGAAATAGCACTTTTTCTAAAAGGAAATCTGATTGGGGAGTTACTTTTAGAGAGGCCATAAACGGAAACAAACGGGGAAAATAGAATGCCAAATTTTACGTTCGAACTCGTGAATCTTTTTTTTGGGATCGCACTCACGGATTTGTACGATCCGGTGTCTAGCAACGACCGACGACACAACAATGATAATATTATTTTCTGCTAATTATTGGCAGATGAGATAAGACAAACGAGGAAATAAAAATTGGATAATATTAAATACTAAGGTGAAATGATTAAAAAGTAATAGTTGGACGAAATCTGCAAGTTTGCGATGATGGTATCTTGCAAGATATACAAAAATAAATATCGGGAAAAACTAGCATGTATCTAAAGTATTTATTTTTATTTTTAAAACTATCGATACAAGAAAAAAAAACACTTTTCAATTGCATACTCAAACTTGACATAAATTTCAATAATACTCTAGACGTTTAATGACACGCTAAAAAAAAAAAATAAAAAATTATCATATGCGACGCCGATTATAATACGATGTCATTTCGGTTGTTCGGAGGCGCAAACGTTCTTTTCTTGATTATTGTAAAAAAAAAAATTCGTTTACTTCAGTGGATACAAATTTCGAGGGGATGCTGGTGCACGCCCTGACCCCCCAACCCGTCACACACCTGTACCGATGATATTATATATGCAGTGGTGCATCTAGGATTTTTAAGGCCAGATATAACCAACAAAAATTCCGTCCCTTCCCATTTACAACGAATATATACTTAAATATTTTCATTATATTTTCGTCATCGTATATAACTCGCAAGCTTCCCGTGTCCTCTAAAAATTGCCGCCTACAATCGTTTTACCGTCCCGGGTAATTGGCCGTTTATTCGTTCCCCCTAAAAAATGAATACTCAGCCACTGATTATATAAACCTATCTACCTTTAAGTATAATAATTAAATGTACATTTGTGTATGCACAACGAGAGAAAATGAAAAAACCATTGTGGTACCGTGCAGTTTACCGGACCTGCAATTTCATTTATTGTGATTCAGAACAATAATATAGGTAATTATTATAAACACCGGGGGCACGCACAACAGGTTTTGTGTGTGTGTGTGTGTGTATGTGTATTTGTCGGGGTTGCGTTTTGTTTTTTGTCGTTGTTGCATACCCCTGCCTGTTGCAGCTGTCGTCGTCGTCGTGTGTTCCGCGCAAAAGAACCGGATGCGACATGTGGAACGCACGCACACCCGGTATATTATTATTATTATTTATACGAAGATACCGAAAACGCAATACTATGGCCGGGAGACGAGCGTGTAGGACCAAGGACCGTCCGAGATGCTTGGCCGAAATTGAAAAAAAAATAATTATATACAACTATTAAAGTAAAACGGAATTATTAAATACCCACGAGCAATAATATAACGATATAAATGTTGCTAGGCCGGAAACGGCATTGTCCACAATACTAGGTATGAATGAAATATAATTATTTTCATTAGAAATTATTGAGTTATAAATGTTATAAATGAATACGTATACATGTGGGTGTCTAACAAAGGTACACTCATTGAAATATCTCCCAAGACATTAAAGTTAATCAAATTTTCGAGTTTTTTTTTGTTTACATTACTCTCAGAGATAAAAGGACTACAAATAATATATATTTTAATTTGCAATTTTAAATTTTGGTAAAATAATAAAAAACAGATTTTTATTTTATTATATCGAAAAATTTGAATATAGCCATGTTTTAAAATTATTCTTCTGAACATTTTGTCGTTTCAGTTTTTTATTTTGATTGAATTCGTAATTTTTAATCATTTTTGAAAGTTCAAAGAAAAGTACCTATAATAGTATACAAACATTTGTTATCCTTATCCCTGTGAGTAATATTTAAAAAAAAAAAAAAAAAAAAAAAACGGAATTTGATTATCTTTAATCTTTATTATCTCCAGAGATATTACAATGGGACACTCCAGCTGTATTATACCTAGGTACTTATAAAGTTATTGAAAATGGTCTTTTGAAATTAAATAAAATTTGAAAACTATTGATTTATAAGACTTTTTAATTGATCTATAGATACTGTCCGATAACTATTTTAGAAGACGGTCGTTTTTATGACCAATAAGCTGGAGTAAAATTTACCTACTTTACCGTTCGCCCGATTTTAATTTCAAAAATATATTTGAATTATTCATCAATTTTTTGTGTGTGTGTTTCGCAGGAAACGTTTTTTAGTTTTTTCATTTAGTTAATTTTATTTAAGTATACGATGAGTTTACCGATTTTTCATAAAATAACCTCGTACTCTTAAAAGTGTCACGTAATAAAAAAAAATTTTTCCTACAAAATACAGAAAGAAGTGTATATGAAGTCAGATTATTTTTCAAAACATAAATTGGACTACTGGAGGTACCTATGTTAATTATACTTCATTTTATTGGTTTAAGGATACATAAAAAAAAAAAAACAAATCGCTTTCAACCCCTTTAAAGACAAAATCGTAATATTTTCCCGAACGGGTAACGATTTCGTATTTCTTAAGAACGTGAAATTACAATTTTAAGACAATAAATTTCAATAATATAAATCACAATAAAAAATTGTCTTCTTCGATCGGTCAATTTAATGACAGTATGTTTATAAAAACGAACCGTTGAATAAACAACGAATGAATGAAAACTAATTAATTACAATCAAGAGAACGTCTGCATTTATAGTGCTTGTGTTTAATTAATATTGACAACATTTTAAAATTACATTGCTTAGGACGCAAATCGAGTAGTTTAAGATGAAATAAGAATTTGAAGACAAATAACAAATTGTAAAGAAGAGAATATTTTTGTATTATAAAAATTGTCATTTAGAAAAAAAGTTACAGCTATTTAAAAAAAAATTAACATGAGTATAATTTTATAGTTTGAGAATTTGTTTTAGAAAATAGTTACATGCAGTCCTCAGTATAATATTCTTTTTTTAAAATTATGTTGTTCGTGTTCAAACTCTAATAATTTGAAACTAAAAGCCGCTATTTACATTCGAATAAGTAACGTAATTTTGTCATGTTGCCAGTTACAGTTAGACTGAGACAAGTAGACACAGATACAGTATCCTCTTAATATTGTAGTTAACATTGGAAATTGTTGAGGAGTTGGTAACGGTATTTTGTATACATTTTAGATTCGGAGCAGAGTGAAGAATGTATTGGTTTTATAAAGATGTTTATTTTTTAAATTCTTTTTAACATAAAGACTATTCCTTTAATTTACTACCTGATACTCATCAAAGAGAAAGGGGCTGTTTTTACAATTTCCAGTAAAATAATTCAATTTTTATTTTCGATATTTATTTATTTTAATTTTATTTTATTTGAATTGTATACAATGGATACTGGGCCCCACTGAGAGAACTCGTGTGGGGGGCCAGGAGTATTTACAGTGTTGGAATATACTCATAACTAGATCATACAAAAAAATACAATAGCTTAAATATTAATTAGTAAACAATAGAAATAAAATAAACCACGATAACAAGAATGAATATAAATTATATATGAATGCACATGCAAATATAGTAAACATAAAATAAAATGTATAATATTCTTATACTAAATCATCTAAATCTAATAAACAGTTTGAGATTCTTTTTTAAAATAATTCATGTTTGAGGTTTAAAATATTAATAGGTATTTTATTTTATTATTATATAATTAATTTTGTGTGAAATATTTGAAAATATGCATATTAAATAGGTATCCTGAGGTGGTTTTTTTCGACCAATTCACTAAAAAGTTATTCTTAGCATATCTAATATTGATGCCATATGCGGTATAGGATTTAATAAATTATGTTATTAAATTATAGTTTTATAATATAATTTTTGAATGTGTAGTACCTATATTTAGTTCATTATACAGTGCTTCTGTTGAGAATCTTTTATCTTTGTTAAATGCCACTTTTAAAATTTGGTTTTGGCAAATTTGTAATTCTATTAAAACATTATTGAATGTTAAGTCTAATCTAACTATACCATAAGAGATAATTTATTCTACAAAGCTAGATATCTTACATAGAACATACCCTATAGTTAATGATGCAAAGAACCATAATTCGTTCACAAAATTGGAATCCGTCTAACATAATCCATACAATTTACCCGGGCCTTTACATTTAAATAGACTAAAATATACATCGTCACCAATCCTCTTAAGCTAAAACGTTTTTTTTCTTTTCAAATGTCTTCTAACCGTATAACTGTGCATAATATACATTATATATTCTGACATTATAATATAATATAGTGGAATATCCGCGGCCTTAATTCTAAAATTAACTTAAGTAACCATGATCTAAATCTCTGGGACTTTTATTTTTTATTATTTTGGTCCCAGTCAGCCTCTATGCAGGTTGTAACGATATCTATATTATAATATTATAATGGTTAATACCACAGAATAATATTATCTATACACACCCGTTAAGCACTGCGGCCGTGATAATAATGTTATGTTAATAATACTAACGAGTGTTAACGCCCAACCGGTCGTATAGAAAACAGGCCGGCGGCGGCACTTTCACGTATAGAACGCTCGGGGAGCCCGACGTTGACGTTTGTGGCGACGGCCCGCGTAATATTATTTTCCAATTTCCCATGCACATCCGGTCGCCGCCGCCGTGGCCGTGGGTACGACCGAAGAAATTATAATATAATATTAATCATTGACACGGGTTGCGAAGATATTTCTGATATAATCTTATAAATAAAATTGAAATCCCGTTTGTATAATATGTGTCCATTATAAAAATCTACAGTTTTATTCTGATCTTGACGAAACTTTGCACTGTACATGGCATTCTAAACGAGAGGGAGATCGTTTTTTTTCAATCTCGAAATTCAATCTCTAATAACATGGTTAAAACAGCCACAGTATTTTAGATTATGAGTGGAGCAAAGAATGTGTTAGTTTTATAATGATGTTTATTTTTATTTATTTTTAATCAGGTATTATTGTTATTTTTTTTATCAGTGAACAAATTTTCTACCAGCAATATTGCTCAGATTTACAATGATAGCACTTTTTCCGAAAGGAAATCTGACTGGAGCTATTAATTATAATTCAGCTAGTATAATATAAGTCGATTAACTGGATCCCTCTTTGTTTTGTTAAACGGCTGAAAGTTGACCTAAATCTGGTAGTCAAATACCCTACGAGGCTATTTTACATTAATGTTATTTTGTGTCGTCCTTATTTTTGGAGATGAAACTACTATACTTACTATTGGTTTTCAAATGGAAATCCATGTTAAAAATTCCATAAATAGATGGAGTATTGGTCTAAATGCATTTTGGTGTTGACATTTTTGATTTCCGTCAACCCGTTGATAAGGCATTCCACTTTTAAGTTTGGATAGGGGGAGAGTAGTGGAGCATCATTTGGTTAACTGCATGACGCGTAGCATTTGAATAGTATAAATTGTAGAACTGCTATTGTTTCTTAAATGTTCTACAAAATAAATTCCGAACAAAAGTTAATAATTTCGAGATACCTAATGCTTTTCTTATGTTATGTTGATCACCCTGTATATTGCATTCACTTCCGCACGCTCACGAAAAAAAACACGGAGTGGTAAATTCGAATCGACCTGGTCCCGAAACGGATCACAGAATACTCATATGTATCCGGTTGGAGGTCACAGCGTTTGTAACCGCTCGCGGGAGAGAGTGCACACGTGACGACTGCATCGCGAGTGCATCCCCACGCGTACCTACGTCTTGGATATACCTACCAAATATAGATGGTAGTTAGTAAATTCGTTCGGGTCCGTCGACCGATCTTGGGAAAAGCCAATAAGATGAGCGTATAATAAAGTAAATTCATTGCTTGAAATGAAAAAAAAAAACAAATTAGAAGTTGGACATGCGGTTATAACTGATATTCATGACGGGGAGGGCAATATTTTTTAAATTTCTGAAAATACTATACTCAATAATATAGATTTTTAATCCATATCACATACAACTCAATACAAATAAATAATATCGCCGTCCGCGGTATAATAGGTGCATTCGTTACAATACTCAATAAAAAATGTACGTGAATTATGCACGTTTTTATCGATGTACTAGTATTATTCAGTCGAGTCGCGATAGTTCAAAAAACTCAACAGTTCGGTATTTTTTTACTTGGCTTGAAATTCTCGGACACTCAACGTGTTTTATTAGAGTCGTTAAATCGAATAATAAAATTGTGATAAATAACTTAGCCTGGTTCTTGTAATGTCCCGTAAAACGTTAACCGTGAGTTAATCTGTAGAGTATAGCATTTTACTGCTTTGTGGCAAATTTAACGCCGGTTAATGCTAACCGGACATTGTAAAAACGGTTACAAAGTGGGTAATATCTGGGTTTTTTTGTAAACATATTGCAGTCATCGTGACTCGACTATATATTAAAATTGATATTTTAAAAAAAATTTAAGACAATACAGATGACTATAAAATATCGAAACCTGCCGAATATTCAGGTGTAAAGATATGTTTTTTCAAATGGTTTATTCAATATAGAAGAATAGGCAGAATATTTCGCAACTCAATTTGATTGTTCTAATTTTAAAGCAAGCCTAAGCTTGCTGGGAAATTGAAAAGATAGTCATAATATCATTTTTTTTTTTTTTTTTTTGTAAAATATTTAACGAACATGCTTCTCTATATTTAAGTGTTCTCTATTAATGTAATAATAAATGGTCAGAAAAATTGTTAAATATAATTAAACAATATTTTCTCGACTGTGTTTAATGTGGGCGAAACAGCATTTGTTTTTTAAATGCCTACCCAATCGGCAATCGCATTTTTATCTATAAATTTAATAAAACTTTTATATTTTTATTTCATTATGACATTCAAAAGTTTTACTTAATTTTGATAAATTCGAATTAGCTAATACATTTCTCGAAGTTATTTTTTACCCTCCTTCAACTTCCAGTTATGTCCACTCGACTGATCATATTTATTCCTCATTTTAGTTAGATAAAAATAAAAATACAATTGTAAAAAGCCATGGCCCAAGGGATAGGGGATCTAATATCTACCCTCCCCCATTAAACAACAGCTGAGGGGGACGAAAAAGCATAAGAAAATTGAAACCCCACCCAAATTGAGAAATTTAAATTCATCGTCAAATTAATTATACTTATCAAAAAACAAAAAAATGCAGAGTGCATTAATTTCTGAAGCCAATACATTTGCAGATATTGCTGGAGTTTTTAAATTTTTAACCACACCACTCCATCGTTTTAACAGTTTGCAGTCAATTATGAAAAATTAGAAGTACTCTAAAATATTCGTTTGTTTAAAAAAGAAGAGGTACTGCGTTCTCCCACCAATTCACCGTATAATTTATGTAGGTAATATAAAAAAAATATCTAAGCATATACATTTTATTGTTTAAAACGAAACCTATCTGAACCACTTTAATGTTATACGAAGCAGATTAGATTAGTATACTGTAGGTTTTACACTTATATAGCAAATAAAGTAATACTAATTATAAGAACTTATAACTATAGTCAGGGGTAATGTGAGAAAAACATGTAAAATTTATCCAAGCTACCAAAAAAAAAAACCGTACCTAATATACACATTTTTCTCGCGTTTTAATTTGAACTAGTGGTGAACGAGGTGGTGCAGCTAGGATTTTGAATTAAGAGAAGCTATAACTACGTTTATACTTATGGATAAAGATAAGAGAGTGGAAGTTTTGAATCCAACAAATTTAGAAAAGTGTTTTTATTAATATTAATTTTAATGCAATACTTTAAACGATAATGTACATATCAAAAACTTCTAGGTACTGAAACAAGAATAAAATATGTCTTGGCATAATTTTTTACTGTATTCTTAAAAAATACAAATAAGTAAAATATTATTTACAAATATCAGGCCACCAGGCTATAATACGATCCAGGCCATTTGGAAAATTTCCATTTCTAGACCGGTCACTCTGCCCCTGCGGCTATGGTAATATTTAGTTAATTGATTTCAATGCTGATTCTATGGCAGACTGAATTATTATAAATATATACATTTTAAAGATTGATCTTTTATTTGGCCTAAACAGGTGGGTACACGTTACGTTGTATATGACACATTTTTCAAACTCAACATTTGTCCACCCCCTCCCCTTGGCAAAATCCTAAATACGGCACTGATAATAGTCTGTATTATCATAGCTATACTGCGGGTACATAGATGCGTGTGGACACGTATTTTTCGAATTTTTGTAGGTACATACCTGTACCTATAATAATAATAATAATAATAATAACAATAACAATAATAATAATAAAAATAGTAATGTTATTATTGTTTATCTTTGCGCATCTCGAAGCACGCGCGAGACCGACACGCGTCTTTTGTATCGTACAGGATATATATATCAAGATTTGTAAAAGTAGGTAAAGATGGTAGCCGTACCGGCTGTCTGCAGCAGCCGAGACAACAGGTTCTCTCTCGGCGCACCCACGACACGTCCGATAAACGGCATTCTTCGAGAGAAACACGATACGACGATAAAAAAAAAAAAAATAAATAAAAAATAAAAATAGCATCGGTATATTATATCCATGATAATATTGTATATCCGCTGCAGTTTATTTCGATAAATGCGCTTTCGTCGAGCGGACCAAAAAGCGATTGTTAATTGCTCAATTTATGCCGACCGACCGATTTTCGTGAGATCGATTTTCGTTAATGTACACATAGAATTTATTCGTATATATTATTGCAATGTTCTGTATACTCTACACCATACTTAAATCCACATCGTCATTTTCATACTCTTCTCTACCGCTATTATTCGACCGCTTTTTTCTCCAGACTCCTAGTATGGCGTATAAGCGGGGTTTACAATGGTAGAGTAATTGGGGTGGTGTACTCTACCTTGCTATTTATCCCTTTCACTCTACTCAGGGTTGGACAAGATACCAAAAAAAATCTTGATACATTATACAAGATAAATTAATTATATGCATCTTGATACAATATATAATATATATTACAAAACTAGAAAGAAATACAATAGATATAAGTACACGATAAAAGCATTAATGGACAAAGACACAAAATTTTTTCAATTTTTTAATTTTCATAATTGACGGGAATAACGTGCTATGTAATAATAATTATTTGTAAAAGTACGTTTTAATTGTCAACAAATCGCCGGTTTCTAAGTTATTATGTATGATGATACTATACGATAAGCACGTTATTGCTACCGACCCTTCAATTTATTTTTAAACATCAATTTGGTGAATGTTTTGCTATAGCAATATGTGATTTTAAAGATTTAAAAAAAAAAACAAAATAAAATATATTGTCAGTTTATTAATATAATAAATAAATGTAAACGGATTGAATTGAACGCCATTAACTAATACAAATACTCTCTATTTAGATATTTATTAAAATATATAATCTAAATTTTATTTGTACTGATAAATACTTGCTTGTCCTTTAAAAAAAAAACTAATCTTTCAAATATGCCGTACACTGATGATCCTACTATGGCACTGTTTACATCAGATTAGTAAGCGGAATAGTATTATACTACCTATTCTTATATAGCGGTGCGATACTCTCCCAAATACTCTACCGATGTAAACCCTGCCTAATTATTGAGATTTTTGTGTATACGAATTGTAGATGGCTAACTGTGATATTTTTACGTAGCAGTAACAGTTGCTACTTTGAAAATGTCTGTCAAAAATCACCACTACTGCTATTTTATACCACCACTAATACGAATAATATTTATTCCGTTTTCTCATCGGTTGGTTTTATTTTTCTTACAGAGTCCACTAGAACGTGTACATAATAATACAATGTGGTGGCCCCGGCCACGATGGAAGATTAACGATATTTTGTCCGTTTATTTCGCATTGTTATTCATCGTCGTGACAAACGCATCAGTAGCAATGGCAGACGACGGAGGACAGCGTTGTGACGAAAGTAATACGTCCGCAGTGATATGGACGACGGCCCTTTGTACGACCCTGTTGATATTGGTCATCATCGCAGTATATTTCGCTTATTGTAAAAGAAAAGAACACGATTGGTCATCCTTATGGTGGAAAAATAATCCAGGTATTTAATAATATATTATTATTATTTAATATTATAGTCAGAGGTTAAGGTAAGGAGGAGGAGAAGGGCGAACCTTCTTCCCCTTATACCCCACGGAACACAAATTAGCTTGTAAAATACAAATTTCTAGTATTTATTTTTTAAAACATAAATAACCGACATTTATCCAAAAAAAAATAAATGTATTTTTTTCTACTATAATTGAATTATACTAATTTTAGTATTAAATAATAGAAATTTATTTGTAAAGTTTTTAGTAGTATTAAAGCAAACACTTGCTTAATTATTTCTTTTGTCTCAAAAAAGCTAAAAAGTAATCTCGCTATTAGATTTAATTTACTATTATAATAATTAAACCATCTGTAATTTTAAAATTACATTTTTCATTAATACAATCAAATTTTTATACGAGTTTCATTAAAATAATTAAATTTATATATCCAATATATTCTATTAAAAAACCTTATAAAGAATCATTATCCGATTTTAAAATTGAAATCCGTCAAACATAATATTACATGCACTTTTTCTGAATTTTCGGTTAAGTCTACTTAAATATACACAGTCACCAATCCCTTTAATATTAATAATATATGTATACTACTGGGGTGATAAAGTCAGTTGTACAATTGTAAAAAAATTCAAAGTTAGTTTTGTACGTTTATATTACATAATTAGAAGAAAAAAAAATCAGAATAGATGCTCAAAGTGTACATTTTTTAAAAAATTTTGTATAACAAAAATAGGAGCCAGGTTTTGGAATTATTATGGGAGTTGAGCTATATAATCCACCCATTATTTTTTAAAAACAGTTTGAATTTATCAACGTAAGTCAATTTATCACATTCGTTTAATAATTGATAAAAACACAAATTATTATAAAACGTTTACTTAAAAACTTATTATTAGATATAGATATATTATTATAGGTTAGACATACAAATACATAGTCAAACATTTATTTTACATAAATTAGATTAGATTAGATAGGACTAATATAAAAGTGTTTTGCCTTACTTTCGTACTGTTAATGAAACTTTTAGCAACTAATGATAGATCAACTTTTTTATCTCTGTGAACATGGAGAATTTAAGTATCATTGAAACGTTCTTGAGGTGTTGTGGATCCGAGATATGTCTTAAGTTACAAAAGTCCGATGTACAGAAAATGTTCTCTGTGCCTATACAAATTTTTAACACAATTCATAATAGATTATTTGACTCTGGTAATAAGTCACTAAGCATTTTATCATTTCTTAAAATCAATGACGCATTGAGTGTAGTAAATTAAAATACCTCTCATTTTTGCTATGTCTAAAAATATTTATTTGTTTAATTTTAATTTTAATTTGTCAAAATAAGATTCATAAAAATAAATTATGTCCGTTTTCGAATTTTGTCCAATAGTATAACTTTCTAAACATGTGTTCAATGACATTTTTATTTATTTTGGAACCTTTCTCTTAATGAAAATAAAGTTACATATAAAATTGCATAAAATAGTATACATTTCACTACCTTGGGCACAACATTTTGAGATTGTTTATTCTCTATTTGTTTGGTCAAATTCAATATATTTTAAATCAGCTTCATATAAAATATCATCAAAGTTCGATTTTCGTTATTCTTCAATAGAATCTATAATATTTTAGACCTTAAATTGTGCTTCTTAAAAACCCAATGACACAGTTATTTGTTGTGCGTTAAGTTATTTCTATTCTGTTAAAAAATTCAACCAAAAATCAAACTTTATTATTTTTAAATCATTCATTAATAATAATGATTCAAAGGCCAGCCTAATACATTTTATCGAGGGTAGAGCCTCGGCTTTAATATATCGTAAGGTGCTTTAGCCCCGAAGCCCCGTGTACTTGGCGCTTATGTGTTATCATAAACTATGTATAGTTATACCGATGCCTAAAATATATATTGTATGTTTTAACGTTTTAAATACTATTTTCATTGAATAGAAAATCGTATATAATAAAAATACAATACATATTGCGTCCTGCAATTATACGAAATTATTGATTATTTTAAATTGAAGTAACAAACGCCGTATAATTCATAAACTTATATTACAGATAATAATTTCAACAAGCCATATGTATCGCATATTACATTTATTACCTATATGGAGTATAAGTATACATAAATTCTATTTACATATATTATTTTATAAGTAAAATTCAGTCGAATTAACCAATTATAAACAATTTTTATCTCGAAATTGTTTGATTTCATGAAGCAATAAAGTATAAATGTATACAAACTTGTTATTGATACGAATACGTTTATGTAAATAATATTATAATATGACGTGTACATGGACACATACACATTCACGGGCTAATTAAAATAGCGGCTAATATTTATAAACGATGATTATTATTTTTTCGAGAGTATGATTTTCTCGTTGATTAGATAGATACTCATTGGCACGATTAAATTACGTATAGAAACATAGATAAGTATAGCTAGGTATACAAGAAAATACAAAACGAATAACTTTATGAACAATTTAAAAAAATAACAAGCACCGAATATATAATGTCAATTCAACCCCTTCCACCATTGACTTTGTACGCTATTCGCTATACTTGTCTCTGATAGAGATAGAGATCTCAACAGTTATAATTAATTTTTATTTATTCTATTCTATTGTACCTTTATATAACTTTTGATGTAAATCCTTCTAATTTTTTGTAGATAATTGTAATTAATTATGTATTATCATTTGTTAAACTGTTAAAAATGTTATTTAATATTATCAATAAGTTAGATGACCTTTGTCAGGAACACTTTATACAAAAAAAAAAAAAGGGTAATTGTATCCTTAATGAGATATAAACCAAATCAGTGTTTAAATTGGGAAAAACTGCGAGTTTAAAGTTAACCGTTACCGGAAATTGAGAGGTGTTTCTGAGAAATAACTAAACCTAACTAAACTTTCAGGAAACCCATAATGGAAACACAACTTCCAAAATATTTTTATCTCACACGTTTCTTCATAAAAATATTATACTAATATGATTTAAAATTAAAACTACATGGGGATGCGGTTTAATTTGATTTAAGGGGACTTCATTTATTATTCTACGCATACGCCTGCTTAGTAAAAAAAAGTAAAACAGAATTTGATTATGAATAATTTACCTGTTAAAGAATTTATTTTTAATGAAAATAATTATATTTCTTTAAAAATGTCTCGGTCACAATAATTAAAGCATTCTCTCCGACTTCGAAGATTTAAACTTGAGGGAACTAACATGGTTTTACCTTAAATAAGGATTCCGCCCCCTCATCCCCCCACTTTAAACACTGAACAGAATTAACAAGAGGGGCATTAGCCTAACGTACATTATAATGTTAACACTTAACCGTTATATTATTTTTATAATTACCGTATTATAATATTTATCGACGTAACGTTTAATTTTGGAAATAAATTTATTTTATTTAAAAAAAAAAATATAACATTTTATTTATTGGGTTTTATGTCTAACACTGATGGCAAATCGATTTATAATACAATGTGTACATCATTATTATTATTGTTGACGCGACCAGAATTAATTTCCGAAGGGAGAGAGGGGGCGGTTATGAAAATTTCGGGTTTTCGGGATAGTAAATAAATTATATTAAAAATATAGGTGAAGTGTATGACGTACGCGTATTCGAAATCGTACAAGAAAATGTTCGTGATAGCGATATAAATTATACACAATAATATAAGTATAGGAATTAAAAAAAATTATCTGAAAATTCGGGGGAAGGGGATTATTACTCTTTCTGGTTGCGTTACCGAGCACAACGTGTCTAAAATTAATATTATAATACTAATCACAATAATATATATCGTGTCGATGAAACATGTGAATAATATTTTTAATTTTAATATAGATAAAAATATCGTATTGCAAACTTCGCCTCCGACAAAAGTCCGACGTCAGAAAATCGACGGTGCCGACAACCCATCGTTTTCGGCAGATTCCAACTTAGACGACTGCGGTGTAGTCGAAGCTGGAACTGCGATTACACGAGAATCGACTCATACTGTGCAAGTGCCGTCATCTGCAACCGTAGCCGTTAACGAGTTAATGGAAATTGATTTATCGATTAATGAAGAAAGCGGTAGACAAATATACATGTGCAAACACAACAATGGATCAAAAGGTAAAACTGAAAAAAAAATCATACAACTTTTTATTTGATTAAGAGGATGTTAAAGGTGCATTATTTTCCGTCTTACGAACATAGGTAGATAATTTGCGTTCGGTGAGGGCAACTTTGTGTCATTAGTTTTAGTATTAGAGTCAATCGACCTGTTATCAAACCCATAGTTCATAACTGGAGATGTTACAAACTGTTCGATTTGCTTCGGTTCAAATATCGGTACGAAAAACCTTAGATATAAAAATAGATTGTTTGGTTGTTTTATTTAACTGTTACTTTGACTTTTGAAGCTATTTACTTTTTGGTCAATGATTGGTTCGAGTTCGGTTCGATCATAAAAATCAGCGTTCATAACACCTCTATGTAGTAAGGACTATTATCCGTGAAACCGTGTACATAGGTATGTAGGTGTTTTTCGATATTAGCGTTTTTGAATAATCGTGACAATTCACATTTTCAACTCATATTTCGCTTAAAAATTAATTTATCGAGAAAAATAACCGTCATATTTGCACGGATAATGTCCTAATCTTTGAGTTTGATAATATAGTTCGCTCTAGAATATTAAAAGCACAAAGTAAAGTAGCATGTACACGTACAGTAGCACGACGAGTTCACAATTAGGTTATTAGATTAATATAATATATTATGTACATTTTAATTTCAATACATTTATGAAATACATTATACGCAAAATAATTTAACTTGTATACAAATTTAATAAGCCCGAGTTAAATTTATTGAAAAACATAATGTATACTGTTGTTAGTGTACGGCAACGTAGGTATATTAAAGGTAAGTATATTATGCTAAAATATTATTTTAAGGTACGCGGGGGTTGGTGGTGACTGGTGGGTGGGGGCGAGGGATATCATAAATTATCGGCGACATGAATAATTTAAATATACGTATAATATTATATCGACTGTATTTATATTTAAATTTATTAATCGAATAAGTTTAGGTAAACCGTCGAATAACGGTATATTATATTATTTTTTATAAAAAAAAAAAAAAAAAAAACAGAAAATGCTCTCGGGGCAAGTATATAATGCGAGTATATTTGACGTTTTTACTATCTCCGCGCTTTCTCAACGGCGACGACGACGGTGCATCGCCGTAACGCGTATATTATTATAATATCATACGATTCTGTTTAGTGGTAAAAATCTAAAAACCGCAACATGATCGATTGGATCATAGGTCATTTTCGTCGCTAAAATTTTACTTTCAAACCGGTGAAATTCGCGTACGCGCGAATTATGTGTAATATATTATTCAAAACACAATTCGCATACCCGGTGACGAAACGGAATAAACTGCGTTCGTCCTCGTGTAATCGCTTCAGATTCGAACATTCATAGATTTTAAACCGTAGCGAAAACTGCTCGGTACACCTCTTAAAATAAACTATATAAGTATACTATTAAATAGGTGTTATTATACACGATGCCGACGCCGGTTTGAATGCCGTGGTATTAGTGAGAAATTCGATCGCACTTATACATTTTTCCCCTGTAAAAATAATACCCCGGTACCAAATAAAGATAAATAATCGCGATAATATGGTCGTAGGTAGGTAATAATAGTATATTATACGGACAGGCTGTGTTGGGCGCGAAACGTTTTGCGGAGCAATACATTTTTCGGATCCGGATATAAAATTGTCCATACTCTAGTCTTTTTCTGGAGAGATAATAAACAGAGTTGCTAGACTCAGTGACTAGACAACTCAGCGAACTGTAATACAATGAGAAACTCATTGCTATAGAATAAAACCGGTGTGTCCGTTCATCCGACGACCGTTCTTACAATAGTCACAAAAGAAAACGAATATCCTAATATTGTTGTTGACAAATGAACGTATTAATAACAGTTATTGTAAAAATTCTTATTGGTAGTTGTAAAAGAAAATTATTTTTCTAATATTATATGAAAAATCGTGTAGGTACACATTTATCTGACGACCGTCGAATAAATTGTCTATTATTATTGAAAAATTAACATGATTTATTATAAAAATTTTATACTAATGTATTTTATCAACAAACTGTTGTACGAGTATGTGACATAATTATTATATTGTGTTATTTAAATGAAATCAATTTAGTTATTAAAGATAATTCAAGATACAATAACTACCAATTTATTCATAGTAGGTGCTATAGTTATCATAACACAATATTCTGCTTTATAATAGCAAAATCCAAACACTGCGATTTACAATATTTAACATTTGATAAAAACGTGGACACTATGTTATCAAAAACGATGTGTCAGATGTAAAGGAGTTATAATATGTAGGCAATTTTATAATTTTCGGATCTGTACAATTTATTCCAACCAAGAACGTCTATGTATGTATATGTTCACCTTATCAGTTATTCAAGATTGATTCATAAGGTAATGCGTTTTTTTTTTATAACTTTATCATCTAGTATCTACTTATATATGGTGGATAACTGATAAATGACCTCAGTTTTCCTCCTGATTTATTGTCCTTCCGGGAACATTGCTTAACATACAATGTAGATGTGGCCCATCCATTTTTTTTATTATTTATGATTTTCCACATTTCTTTACTAAATTTGTTACGATTTGCGATAAGTATTTGTTGAAGGGACAGTTTTTAGAGATTTATTTAAGATACATAATATACGCGTTGGTATTTATTTTTATTCGCAAATGCAGAAAGGATTCACGGTTCTAACTGGGATGCCCGGATAGGGAGTTATTCAAAAATAATAAACACAAATGATAGCTGTCCGAAAGCATATAATATACCTATTTTTAAATGGTTTAAATGGATTGAATATTTAACACTACTATATTATATTTCAATTGTACAATTGCTTCATCTAGGGGACCTCGACCACTTCCATTCGTTTGCTCATGTCCGACTTTTAATAAATAAATAAAAATATAAATAAATCCCGATTCGTTACGCGAAACCATATATTGAGTAGCCTTTTATTTCTTGTGCAGGATGTGCGACCGAGCCGCGTAACTGAAAATGTTTTTTTATTATCTTTTCGAACAACTGTACCACGTCGGTTTTAACTAATCAGTTGAATTATCGAGAAATAATTACGATAGCAAGTAAGTATGGACTATAGAAAGTACCGAGTAACGAGTCCAACAATTTCTTTGTATACCAGTATAAACCGATTAGGTTATAATATTATAATATAATAAAAGATAGATACCGAAATTGTTACCGTAGTACACCGCCGGTTTAATCAAATTAATTTCCAGAATTCCAGTAAAATACGTGCCAGTTTGCATTTTTTTTTTTCATTTCGTTTATGTATGTTTGGATTAAATGATAGAAGTCAACAACATTCATTTCGTAATAGATAATTTATAAAAAAAAAAAAAAAAAACAAAATAAGACTGAATATATCACAATTATTATTAACAATTCTAAAACTGAATTGCACAAAAATTATACAGAAAATCGATCAACTATTACGAAGAACTACGATATTTACGGTTTTAGTTAATTATTTGATGTCAAATAATAACTTCATAAGTTCGATGTTTTTGATAACTAATGCGATTATTACTATTATATAATATGTTACATTCCATAGGTGAATTTGTCGAATTCATGAAATAGTTAATATTTTGTTAATTTCATGGAATGGATTAGTCAGATGTCCAATCCATAGAATTGGCAAAAAGTTTCCCATTTCATGAATCGGGTTTCAAAATGCTGTCATTTGCATGAACTGGCAACTTATGTTTTTAAATTATAAACTAAAAACTTTAAAACTATAAATTCGCCAGCTGATCATATGACATTGAAAACTAATATGTTTTATAGCTATAGATAAATTAATTTTTGTTAATTAATGCATTTTTTAATATATTTTTTTCTATAAATGTATTGCTTGCTCGTATTATTGTTAAATTAATTTTTTTTTATTCAATTTAATTTAAAAAAAGCTGTCCTAGGATAACACGGATGGGAGTAGTCACTATTATAGGTAAGAAGTTAGAAAGGTAGTATAGGAGAAATTTAACGAAAAAACGATTCTGAGCGTTTTTCGATTGATTGTATTGTTTTGTTAACAATAAATATATCATATTACTATAGTGAAATAATTACATATGTATTATGTATTTTTTTTGATAAAATTTGTTTAATATTGTACCTATTTTCCCATTTTTTCTACGTTTTCCCGTTTTTCCCATGTTTTTTTTGAGTTTTTACCATATATTGGGAAAATTCATTGGAAAATTAAAAAATGACCTCAAAATACCTCCCCAGTCAAATTTCCTTTCAGAAAAAGTGCTATTATTGTAAATCGGAGCAAAAGTACTGGTAGTAAAGTTATCCACAGGAAAAAAATTAATTCCTCGTTCCACTAAGAATCTAAAAATAATAATAATTATAGCAACAAATTTATATTGATTTACAATTTATTAAAAATATTGTTTTAACTGTTATTGAAATCATTTATATATTACTAGGTTTTCTCAATTCATGAAAGATGCAATTTTATTAAGCTATCTTTTGCCCTTTCTATGAATTGTACAAATTCACTCCTGAGGTGTAACATATATATCGTGACATAGAGTTTGAGTTAATCTCAAAATAAATTAATTTTTTTTGTTTTTTTGTCGATCGTGACAACCAATAGAAAAATCAGAGGTCGATATCATTAACACAAGTCTTTTAAAGTTGGCCATTCCTGCTATATACCTACTTTAGGTACTTACATCATCGAAAACCAAGTTGTCGGCCTATCATGTTCTGGAGTTTTTTTTATTCAGTTATAACTTATAAATATACAATTTCACATGGTCCGGATACTAAAGCCCGTAATAAAACTTCATAAATTAATCAATTTAGCCAAAACCATTCTCTATATATAATACACTGCAACATTTAACTAGGTCAAATCCAAAACGGCTCCATTTTCCACTAGTGTTGTATGTTTATTTTTCGAAAAATTGTTGAACGCTGTTGCAACTACAAATCTCGCCAACCTCAGATTCCATTGTATACGCAAACCTGACCATATTCATTTACGTTCATAATATAAATCAATTATATGTGTATATATGTATGTTACCCCAAAAATGTAAAAGCGTCTATTTTCATGAAATGTGCTATTTTTGACGCAATTTATGAAATGCGTAAGCAATTTACACAATTTACAGGTTAAACAAATGTTAAAACTTTTTGCCCATTTCATGAATTGGGTAAATAAATAGAAACAAAATTTTACGATGGAAAATTATTAAAACTACGAAAAAATAATATGATAAAAATTCTTATTTGGTAAATTAGTAAATGTGCACAAATAAATATAGAAAAACACAATTAATTTTCTCATGTATCCGTCTATAATCTATATAATATGAAAAACAAATGAATTTTAATAATTAAACTTACTCTTCGATATTATTTTACAAAAGTTTATATAATTGCTCATTTTATAAATTGAGTTAGTTTTATTAGTACCCAATCCTTGAAATCTACAAATTTGTACAAATGAACAGGCAGTTTTTATAATTGAGCAAAATATTTTATAAATTTGTCGCTTTTACGTTCGGAACGTAATACATATGCATATCTTTGCGGCTCGGTGTAAAGAGGACCAATGTAAAAACAAAATTATTATCTATTAGTGACTATGAACTATAACTGTGGACTTAACAATATATTTTTTCAATTTTCGCAATTTAATTAATTTTTTTCAGCTTTCAAATTTTAATTCATTTTTCAAACAATTTTTTTTTTACTTTGGCCCTTCTTACACCAAGTCACCTATATATATGGATACAAGCACAGGTCTGATTATATTGAAAATATAGAACATCTTTGGAATTAAATAAACCGTAAAAAATCTATACAAACGAAAATTTCAAACTTTTAACGATATCGATTAACAAAAATTTAGCAATTTGCAACTTGCAATTTAAAATTGGACTAGAATCGAAACTACATGTTCCGAAAGATAGGAAAATGAGATTTAGTGATACTGTTTTATAGAGATTTTCGAAGATGAATCCGGTTCTGTAATTAGTTCGAACAGGTCTAAATTTAATGGGATAGTAGCGGTTTGTGTCAAAACTAACAATAGTTCCATTGGATCATGTGAGTTTTATAACTGAACCTTATTTAACGACGTTAAAAATCACATATTTCAACTACGAATGGTTAAAAAAATTTGAATTCTTAGCGCCTGAATTGCATAAGCCAAATGCATTTTGGATTTATGCGTTGTACAAGAAAGCCTTAATTTTTGGAACACGCGAGTTTAGATTATAGCCTACTCATTGTTTACCTACTTGATTGCGGTTAGGGAAAAATGTATTGAACGCAATAATAATAACGAACATAATTTAAGAAACTGACGCATGTACATGTAAAATTAACCAATGGATTTTTTTTTTTTGTTTGTTTATAGATCGGGTGGTGGCATTGAGGTTAGTGTTCGACAATAAGGGTACTGCACAACCGAATTTTGGCCGGGCTTCGGATCTGAGTCGATCGCTGACCGAGCTGGTTCGCGAATACGGCTTGCACGTTGAACTGGAAACCGAAGCGGCGGCCGCTTATACACCACCGTGTGCTACGGCGGCGGTCGAATACAACGGCGGTAACGACACGGAAAAGCCCAGCGTGAAATCCAACATTCTGTCGGCCGTCCGAGGGACGGCGCAACGTTTGTGGAATCAGAAAGAACTAGTTTTTAAAAGTAGCGGTGGTGATTGCAACGACCGCGCACGCCGGGAGGACGCGAACAAAATGCAGAACTGCAGCGGTGCCGCAGACGTGGAAAACGGACACGCTTCGTCGTCGGCCATAGCCGATGTAGACGCGACTGCGGTCAGCCCTACCCGCGAGAAATCGCCGTGTTCGGCGGTTACGGTGGTTAACGAGACCGTCCAGAAGTCATCCGCGAACCGATTGCAATACCGTACGCTGGAATACGGCGCCTCGCCCGCAGATATGGACGCGCAGTCGTCCCCGGAATGCAGCATCCAGTGCGGTACGGTTATCGATTCGTTGGAACCCGGCCGAACCGTGACGTCGTTGACATCTGCGGCCCCGGCAGCGGTGGCTACCGAAAACGACGCGGTGGCAACCTCGGATTGTTATGTGACGGCACAAGTACCCGTAGTTGATTGCAGTGAAGGCACCGTGGTCGTTACGGTCGACGACGACGATGCGAAAAGTCACGTTGAACCTAATGTCAACAATGTCAACGAATCGTCGAATAAACACGCGGCCGCCAACCCTCCGCCGCCCCCGCCCCGTAAGTACTATGTGTCTACCGTTCCGCCGGTGGTCCCATCCGCCGTGACCACTTCTCATGATGTACCTACAGTGACGGAGACGACTAACACGCTTCAGCATATCGCTCCAAATCGTTCCACCGTGACGCCGGAAAAAGCTTCACCGTCATCGTCGCCGTCTGACAACAGTGAAATCCCTGTCGTAGTACCGGACGATTATTATTGGTGTACCACGACTGTGATGGCTCCACCCGTTTTGTCAACGTTCGGAAAACGGTTGTCCGCAGCAGAGACGGTTGGCGACGAGAAAGAAGTAGAAGAAGAAGAACGAGGAAATATAATAAGGCGTGTTGACAATAACGGAGAAGTCGAGGACACCGGTATGTGTAACGGTGGCGAAGTCGTCGCTGCCGTGGAGCAATTGCACGTTCACGGCGGAAGTGTCGCTGTGACCGGTGGCGTGACGACGACGACCAGCATAGAGGATGCTTCGTTGCCGTCATTTTCTTCCGACGAAGACGACGAAGACAATGGCGTTTTCGTCGAAAAGACGAAATCCCAGTGTTCAGCCGTCGCCGATAACGCGTTAGACGAGTGCAATTCTACCGTCAACGGTGTGACCGGTAAAAGAAACAACGGAGATGGCAAAGAAACCGTCGTAAAAGTCACCTCCGGCCAGCCGGGCCGGTACAATAATACCGCTGAAGACTGTGTCATGTCACCACCGGTTGGTGCTGCTGGTAGGGAACCGAAATCACCCATAACAAAGTTGCCGACTTTAAGACAGCAGTCTTCTCCTCCGACCACCACTGCAAATAACACGTCAACATACTTCGGTTCTTCTTCGGCCTCGACTTCGTCGTCGTCGTCGTCGTCGTCGTCGCCGTCGTCTCCTACGAACCATAGTGGCAATAATAACAACAATTCTCCCATTGTATCCAAAATACCGGTGCGAAGACAGTCCGCTGGCAGTGGCGGTGGTGGTGGAACAACAGTCGTTTCGTCGCCACTGACCAACGGAACCGGGAAAAAATCTATACCGTTACCGCTGTCCAGGAGTGGTTCCCGGTTAGCCATGTGGTCGTCGGTCAATTAATCCTTTTCGTCACGAAAAAACAATATAACTATATATAATATTACCAATAATATTTTTAAATATATAATAATATATTATAATTTTGGTGACCACCAAAAATACCCGAGGAGAAAATATCTACATGATGTAGGTATATGTAAACTTCGTAGAAGTGTTTCCATATATTATGATCTAAATTCTAAATGTAGTCTGTATTATAGTCAACCACTGTTGAATTTCGAGAGCACAGTGCTAGTAGTATTACGGGTACTAAAGTTGTCTATAAAGTTTGAAAATCGTAAAATAATGCGATTATCGCTGTTTAAGTATAATAAAAGTAAAAGCATTTATGATAATATACACTTTTACTCAAACTCACTAATATTATGAAAGTAGACGTTTAAAATCTTTATAAACACACACACACACACACTATCGTAATATTATATGCGTAAACAATGTATAGATTATATAGAAAATAAACAACTAAAATGCATCTATAGAAATCCTTTTTTTGTTTTTGTTGTTATTATTATCTTGAATCGCTGAACCCGGGAATCAAGCCGCGTCCTTCTAAAGATCGATATAGAAAACTAATTATCGAAAACGATTTTAATATCACAATTATTTTGTTAGTTACCTATATAATTGGTATTAGGTACTTTAAGTCGTTCATAGTTAGCCGTTTCGCGGTTAACAAGGTACTGAACATACGAGTAATACTTACGCAGATACCACAAAGCATAAACCATAAAGGGTAGTAAATATGTTTTTATAGATTCATGGTAGGCACATATATATAAATATACATTTTTTTTTCTTGGAGATTTCTTATTTTTTAATAGTTTTGTAATTAAATATTTTTCGATACGAGGATTTCCTACCTTTTTTTTTTTTTTTTACCTAATATGGAAATTTTTTACTTGGGATATTTTCCCCAAGATTTAATAATATTATAATATATTATTGAACCAAATTATTGTGTATTTGTACGATGTGAAAATTGAATTTGATAGTTATATTATTAGTTATATATATATATATTTTATAATTATTCATTTTAAATATTATTATATTTTTGTGTAAAATTCGGCGTGTGTTACACTGCACACACTACGATTTTATGTATTCTTTTGTCAGCTGAAATTTCAAATTGAATAAACGTAATGATATTATAATACTAAATTATTACAGAAACGTCAATAAACGGCAAACTATATTGTGTTTTTTTCATCCTAATACTATCTTGTTCCCCGAAGAAGAATATTTGAGCACTATAGCGATTCAAATCAGCACGTTTGGGTTATTTTATGTAACACATTTTAGCCCCAAATATATAGTGTTATGGCATTTATGGATATCAAAAGTTATTAGAACCCGAGCACTGGATTTGTTTTTTTTTTTTTATAAAAGAAATCTATTAGATATTTATATTATTATAAATTAGATACATATCTAATACATAAGTATACCGTCATTAAGGGTAAATCCAGCATCTATTTGACCGTGACACATGACACTTATTATAAAGGCATTTACCATGAGTAGAACACGAGAACACTATGACATACATTATTGACTTTGGTTGTGCCTATGGAATTTAAATACATGTAACTTTTACCTAGTACTAGTAGGTAGTTAACATAAAAAAATAAAATGTCTCCCTTTTAGGAAACAAACGAGACCATTAATACGTTTTAAGGCTGGCTATACAACATATTACTGATTTTAGATTTACTTATTTGTATCAATTTGGTTTATGTCTATGAAAAATAAAAATACAATTTTCTATTTGTAAATTTTTAACATCAAAATGTTCAAATGCGTATTATTTTGGGATCATATTTTCATTCCACTAGTTTTTACCTCACGAAATTATAAATTGCTATTGTTTAGCTTCTTACACACATCCATCCACAACGGAAATTTGTTATATTGCTCTTCTTGATTATTTTATGAAAATGATAGACGCTGCAAGGAAAAGTAATGTCAATTGCGAAAACGTAAAAGGGAATATTTAGGTGTATCTATGTCAAAATCGGTTGTGGAAGAAAAATCTGTCAAAGTCAAAAATTTCTCAAGACTTAGCAATCTAGAGAAACAAAAAATTACAATCACTGAAATGGAGTAAGGAGGATGAATTTCAACTCCTAAATTCATACTTTTCATGAGACAATTATTATAAGTAAACTATGGTTCAAATTTCAAGTATCTAGCACAGAAAACCGTTGTATTTTTTCGTTACACAAATTATTTTTTGACTCTCAGACACACTGGCCTAAACAGAGATACAGTGGATTTTTATCTCGAGTTACCGGTTTAATTTTTCATTCACCCTAAACTAAAATTGATTTTTTTTATAAATAAAAGTAATAATTTTATTTTTATCATATTACATTTCAACTTTGTCTTAATATCAAACAAAGATAAAATTATATGATACATATAAAACATAGTAAATAAAGTATTTTTTTAACATTTATTATTGGTAATGGGGTGGTAGTTACTAGGCACGTACAAGAATTTAATTTCAGGGGAGTACGTTTTAAAAAATTTCAAAATAATTAAATAGTTAGAAACTGTCCAATTTTAAGAGTCATCCAATTTGAGAACTGATAAAAAAATATAAGAAAATTAGTTAGATAAAACTGTATTTTACTAATAGATAGCTGGAAAAGTTTACTTTAGAACAATGTGGTCTGGTAGGAAAATTTTGCATATTATTTTGATATTCTAATACAATGGAATAGACATAGGTGTTAACTTATATTAGTAAGTTATTAATTTATTTTTTTTTAAATTGGTTGTTTTAACTTTAATTATCATGCAATTTTTAAATGGCTGTAGTCAGTGGCATAATCATCAGGGAGACTTTTAAGTTTGAAATTCCCTCTTTGACTTTTTTTTAAATTGAAGTATTATGTACATTAAATATTTTTTATTTTAAAGAGAATCAAAACTTACTTGTGGAAAACGATATCAGAGGTATAATTATAATTTAAAATTAGACATTTTAAAATTCTCTGGGCAATTATATTATATATAATTATAGTAATAGTAATAATTAGGGCATGGATATATAAGTCCTTAAAATTCATAAAAAAGCGTTCAAAAACGTCAAAAAAGCTCTAAATAATAACATAAAAAACATTTAAAAGGACAATAATGGTATAAAAGTTTAAACGTTTTCCCCGCTATTGTTTATAATTTATAAAATATAATTTTTAACATTAAAAAATGTTTATTTAAAAGTAATTTTTTTCAAATAATTTGTACGCGTTATAAAAAATAAAATACTTTGTGTTAATCATTTGTCAGTGTTAGAAAAATGTATTTAATGGGGTGAGAACCGTCAGAGTAGGGACTTTAAAACTCGTCAACCATTTTTGTTTTTTTATATATTATTAAGGGCTTTTTTGACGATTTAAGCGCTTTTTTACGGATTTTAATTACATATAAATCTGTGCACTAGTAATATTANAGTTAATATATTATATTGTAATTTTTTGAGTTTTCAAGAGTTTTCTAAATAAATGTGAAAAACCAAACTGAGGAAAAACGGGAAAATATAAGAAATTTAGGTATTAGTTAAAATTCATTACGGCCTTCTTTTTTCCTGTGAACAACTTATCTACAAGCAATTTGGCTCCGATTTATAATGATAGCAATTTTTCTGAATGAAAATTTGACTGGAAAGGTACTTTAGGAAGGTCATTTTTCAATTTTCCCATGAGTTTTCCCAGCAAATGTGAAAAACCTGGGTAAAACATGGGAAAACCGGAAAATACGTAGGAAAACTGAGTAAATCAGTACAACATTAAACATGTATTATTAAAAAAAATGTATAAAGCTTATTTAATTAGTTTACTATAATATGACATATATTTATATATATATATATATGTTGACAAAGTGTCACTAACAATTGAATTCCGCTCAGAATCATTTTTTCGTACAAGTAGTGGTTTATCTTCCTTTACAGGTATACATTAAATTATCTTTAACAGTGGCTGCACCCGTCCTCATTATCCTAGGATGTCTTTTTATGTTAAAATTGCATTTTTTTATAGGAAATACTTGATTTTAGTTGATTTATTACTTGAATACCCCTTCAAAATAAAATTTTATAAAACTCTTGCCAACATAATGTAATAAGTACTTATAAAAAAAAAAAAAAAATTGATACTATGTAACAGGGACAAGGTAACTTTAGTGGCGGAGTTTTTAATATTATTAATGCGCGCATTATAAAATGCATTCCCACATGATATTATGATTTATTATATTTATAAGTGAATAAAATGTAATATAAATAAAGAGCGTAGGAGTCTATTTTTAATAAAAACGCTTCTTCCTTGATTTTATTATAGTAAATATATAAACAAGTTCTTCCTACTTCATGAGTAGTATAAATATGCCGGTTCTGGCGCAGCTTGATATTTTTCACTTTAAAAACTAATGTTCTGATCTATAATTACATTGTTTTTATTTCCTGTCTTTTTTATATGCATAAAATAAAAATAATAATATTAAAAAAAACATTATCTATAATAAATGGAAAGCTTAAAAATTAAATTAAATAGTGACACCTTTAATTATAAATTCATTAAATTAAGTGATTTAGGAATTGATCAGAAATATTTATGTAAATATTTTAGTATTGATAAAACAAGATATGGAAACAAATTAAGTGTTATTTTAGATGATAAATTTAAATTATTTTTACCTGACAGATTTTTAAATAATTTTTCTCATAAAAAAATTGAAACATTCNACAACTTAATAACAATAAAATATTTTATTTGATTGAATTTGAATAGTTAAACCATATTTTATCTGTATTCTATTTTAGTACGCATTTTTTAATTTAAAATAAATTTAAAAAAAATAATATTAAAAAAAAATAAATTAAAAAATCCCTATCTTTTAGAATTTTACCAAATTTCTATATGTTAACAAAAATTATATTTTAAAAGTATATATAAAATTTGAAGTTAATTAATCCAGTAGAATCCAAAATCTCTTACTAATCACCCTAGTTAAAATTTGATAACATATTCTAAAAGATCGTTTAAGGTTTAGTAGGGGTAGATGAAAACAGAATTGTGCTACGATGATTTCTCGCTGAGATATTCAAACTCAAAAATTCTCAAAATTGAACTACCCGAAAACCGATTTTTAGTATGTAGTGTAAACAAGTTCGAAAATAATATCGGTCTTTGTTTTACATTTTTCTGATTATTATTGAATAAGTTAGAGCATTTGAAAAATTTCCCCTTCCTAAATATATATTATTTATAAAATCTATCATTATATTGAAATAATATTAAATTTGTATAACTTAAATATACTAACTTCATTATACTTTAATGTCCTAGTGTTCTGGTCTAGCGGTAAATACTTCCATTATAATTCCATATATAGCAGGTTCGAACCTAATATAAGTTATGAAAAAATTGCAAAAAAAATTTCGGCCTATGGCGTGACGTAATATCCGTAAGCTGAAAACGTTGTATAATATCATAACTGTTATATGACTGTAACGCTTGTACATGTTGTTTGTTAATCGATTTGATATATTAGTGGTAATATATCCGTGGTAATAAACGCACGCACAACCGGAAGCCTAAATTAGTGCGATCATGTGATAGAGAAATAAATCAGAATATTAGGATAATAGTTAACTCAGTCCAATCATGTATGTAAAAATAATATATGAAAAAAGTGTGATAGAAAAATCGGTGACCGCCGTGTATATGATTGAATTGAGAAAACTATTGCAAATTTTTTCCTTATTTTTTTATTTTCATTATATTTTTCACTTTAAAAACAATTTATATAAACATTGCACTAAGAACAGTTCTCTTTAACAAAAATAAACAATGTAATATATTACGCATCGCGCGTGAAATAGATTATTTCTCAAAAATAATTTTATAATTTTAATAGTAAGAAAAAATGAATTTGTTTTTATTAAATTATCAAGGTATTCTCTGGAATTTTCTCTTTCTATATTTGTTAAATAATGCCCCCAAGCTAAAGTATTTATACCATTATCTAGAATATATCTATTATCATCGTATGCACTAAGAGCTTTTTTGTTTTGTTCAACAGTATATATTTCATGTTTATCTGTTCTAAAAGTGTTCTGTTTTACATATTTTGGATTTTTACTTTTTAAACAGTAATAAAAATTATTAAAACATAATTAATTTTTAACTATAGGTTTTTTCATACCTTTTGCTTTTTTAATTTCTTTTTAATTTTCAAATAATTTAAATGAATATAATTTAGATCTTAACCCAACAAATTCAGTTATTATTTGCCCATTAAGCTCATCTTTAAACTTATCTGGAACTTTTTTATTTATTTGTGGTATTCCATATTTATTATTCTTAGGATAATCTGAAAAACCAAATTCATTTAAAAGTTGTTCATTGTTTTTTACATCTGTATAAAAATCATCAGTTGAAATTTCTACTATTAAAGAATCTGCGTCTGTGTATAATAATCTGATATTTTTTTCATATATTTTTTTCAATACGTTATAATAAAACTCATACTTTCGAATTTTAGATAAATTTAAAATTCACATTCCTAAATAAATTGGTTGTTTCAATTCAACCATAGTTTTTTTCATATGTACAGCTACTAAGTTTTCTGAAAAATAGTTGCTCGATCAAAATTTGGTTTATCAACCCATTTTTCTATTTTTTTTCGTCGTTAATTAATTTCATATCTTTATGGTTCCTTGTGTTCATCATAGTCCTACCAAATACACTATTGTTCATTAACTTATAATAATCTTTTTCAAATTCATTATCCTGTCTTTGCACGAAGATTTGTGTTAAATTCTATATATGGTTTTAACCAATCTTTTTGATCAAATTCTATTATCCTATGTATTTTCTCTAATTTTAAACCTAAACTTAAATAAAGAACAAGATTATTATAATGTAGAATGTATTTTTTCTTATCACATATAGTTGTTGTTAATTTTGTAATTCTTTATTATCAAATACATTTTCGGGAGCCAGTGGATAATCAGAATGAAGATCGTGAAGCTCTTCAGGATTTTTCAAATCTACTTCGAAAATATAGCAGTTTTCCTGTTCATCTGTCATTCTTAAAATGTTTTCTGTATTAAACAAATCAGGATTACACCATTTAAACCCTTTATATGGTAAATATTTACACATCGCCCATCCATAAAGATTATTTGTATCCAAATCTAAGAGATATTTCGTTGATGTTTTTTCTTTTCTNGCGTTCCACGCAAAACCTGGAGTTGTATAATAATGAACAGGATCCAACTTAAAATGTTTTATTGAAACATTTCTATAATTTTCCATTACATCTGTAAGTAATAATACATCTATTTTATTATAAAGTATGGTAAAATCTCTCATATTTTTTTATTTCGAATCTTTCCCATATTTTTTTAGCATTTTCATATGCATTTTGTGTTACATGTTTGCCTGTAAGAGAGCTGTAAAATTGATCTATATTAGGTAGAGATTCTTCATCATATTTTTCTAGAGAATCCATATATTCATAGGGATATGATAATTTTCCTTTTACTAAATCCAATTGTTCAGGATAATGATTAGATAGTTCTTTAAACTGGTATGGTTCTAAAGTATTAGCTAATTTTTTTAAAGAGCTAAATAAGAATTTGAAAGAATCAAGAAATCTTATTTCAACTGTCTTAAAAATAGGTTTTCCTTTCTGATCTAAAACAGGGTTTTTAGTAATTGGATCTATATGTATATATTGTATATTTTTTGAAAATGATACATAATTTTCATCACTAATTGCATTTGTTTTTATATTTTCTTTATCAATACCNCTAGATAAGAACTTGAAAGAATCAAGAAATCTTATTTCAACTGTTTTAAAAATAGGTTTTCCTTTCTGATCTAAAACAGGGTTTTTAGTAATTGGATCTATATGTATATATTGTATATTTATTGAAAATGATACAGAATTTTCTTCACTAATTGCAATTGTCTTTATATTATCTTTATCAATACCTAATTCTTTTATGAATAAATGTGAGTCATAACCAGATAGATTTTGGAAAAATACTGGAATAAATCTAGGAACCTTATAATTTAAGTTACATATAGAATGAGCAGCTCCTCGATATTTTCCTGTTAAGTGATCGTAATCTTTAACCTTTTTTATATTATCTTCCAGTTCTTCAAAAAACATCTGTTTTTCCTTCATTAATTCATCAAGCCGCTTTTTAAAATATTCGGTTTCTTCTTCTATATTTTCTATATTTTCTAAATCTAAATTTTCAAATTGACAATAATTAATAGTTTCATCAAGTATTCTATTTTTTTTTACTAGTATTGGTGGTAAATCACTTAAAGATTTTTCGTTTATATGACAGTCATTTTCTTTTTCAAATTCTGTTTCTTGTTCTTTAGTTATTATCATAGGTTTTTTTACATCTAAATAATTTTTTGCAATATAAAGAGCTTCATCTTTTATTTTCTCATAAAAAACTTTTGCTGCATATTCACCTGAATATGCTACTAGGTTATTTTTACTAGTATTACTACAAGTATATTTAACATTATAACAAAAACTAACAGATAAATGGTTTTGGTATGTTTTTGTAAAGGAAGCTGTATCAGAAGGTTGACATGTATCAATTTTGGATAGCATACTTTCGAAATCAGCATAAATAACAAAAGGAGCTTTATAAGATTGTTGGTATTTTTCAAATTTAAGAATACAGTTAGATATGTTCGGTAATATTGCTTTAGCACATTTATTATTTCTACAATATTTCTTATGGTTTGTTAGACCTTCCGCAGTATGAAAATGGGATAAACACATGTTGCATAAATGTGTTTTATGGGTATGTTTTGTTTTTTGCAAATCAACTAATCTCATTAAGTTTCTAATCAAACAATAATGTTCATTATTTTTTTCTTTAATATAAAATAAATTAATATGAGTTTCTTTTTGAATATCAAATATTTGTAGTGGTACTATATTTTTATTATCTTCATAAGTAAACACATTAATGAACATATTTGTTTTTTTTTTCAAATTTAGGAATATCTTTTAATTTAACTGGAAATTTAATTTTTAAACTTTTAAATACTTCATTAAAATTATTTTCCCATTCTTTATATTTACTTACTCTATTTGCATCTTTTATCACTGGGTGTAAAGCAGCAAGAATTGACCACAGAAAACATTTGTTATCTTCTTTTTTAATGTTGATAATAGCTTTTTTATCAGATATACATTTTGGTAATTCAAAATATGAACCCCCCCCCCTAAGCGGATTATATTTATACATGTTTATGTTCATATTTGTAACCTGGTTAAATATCCAACCAGAACCCTTACCTATAAAAGCATCTTCTCGAGATTGAATTGTTTTTTTCACATTGTTATAATGTTAGAATGAAGGAAACATTCACTTTCTGATCTAAAGTCTGTATATATTTCCTCGTTTGATGGATTTTTCTTGATATATTTACAATTTACTATACTAGATATTTTAAAGTTACCTATCTCTTTTAAATATTCTAACATTTTTTTCTCAACTAACTTTTTTGAATAATTCAAAAGTTGATTATGCAGTATAGTCTCTCCTTAGACGGTTGTACTGCTTACTTTTATATTACAAACACTACGGTTAATATTCACTGAACGCTCTATGACTTTCGGTAAACAAATTAATATAATATTATATAAAACTACACAAGTCACAAATAAGTATGCAATTTTTTGAATGTTCAATTGTTAACTATTTTATCATTCAATGTTTTCAAACGAAAAACGATTGAGTATTGACAATAAAGATAGCACAGTATAAACTAACAAAACGATATTGAACGATTGTTAGTCGTCGGCCAACGGGAACTTTGTTATTTTTAATTTTAGATTATGACTTATAATAATATTATGGCCAGGTACGTCGCGTGGATCAGGGAAATTACAACTTATAAGCTATGGTTGGTGGCGTGTGTATAATATTTATATACAGATAGATTACTACATTTATAAGCAAGGTATATTAACATTATTACAAGTAAAATAATATAATGTAGATGTATTCGTGCCCTACCATTGTGTTATTATTTAATATTGTTAATTTAGCAATTATCGAAGTAATAATAAAATATCAAATTATAATATTGTATAATTTTATTAAAAGTAAACCGTGGTTAATAACGAATAGGCCTCTTACGGCAGCGGCTCCAGTGGATTTCTCCTACTCTACACCCGGGTCAGATCGCCTCTGACCATTGGTCTGGTAATATTAAAAAACGCCACGTGCCATGAAACCATACAAATTACTAAACCATACTTCTCTCCTCCTATCAACACTTAAAAGTGGAATATCTCGTTAACAGGTTGACGGAAATCAAACTTTTTTACACTAAAATTTATTTAAAGTAATATTCTATCTATTTACGTTACTTTCAAAATAAGTTTTCGTTTAATAAACTAAAGTTGGTATCGCTCTGGTATTCACTGGCCTGGTTATAATTATCTCGGACCATTTACAAAATCTAAGAAATCAATATTATTAACCAACAAATTAGATGAAGCTGCGATGGAACATGATTTTTACTATTAAAAACATAAAGATATCAAATCTAGAAATAAAGCCGATCTAATTTTAGAAAATATTGCAAAAGCTTTATACAAAAATCCTGAAACATCTTTATGTGAAAAAACAGCAGCTTTTGCAACTAATAATATAATGAAAGTAAAAAGAAAATTAGGAATGGGTCTTATTTAAATAAAAAAAATTAATATTTTGTATAATAAATGAGTCTTAATTTAAACGATCCACAATTAAAAAAAATTGATGTAACAATTCAACTTTAAAAAAACCAAATTGGAACAGGAAATCAAAAGTTTAATTTAACCGAAACACAAATAAAAAAATTAAACAAATCTAAGAAAAAAAAAAGGATCGAGGTTAGAATTAAAATATGAACAAATTAAACAAGGTGGATTTCTTCCACTACTTTTTGCTGGAATAGGAACTGCTAGTGCATTAGCTGGGGGAATAAGTTCGATTGCAAATACTATTATAGGAACAAACAATATGATAGCAGTGGAAAAAGAACAAGAAAGGCATAATAAAGAAATATAAAAAATTGTTAATAATGTTAAAACTCTACAAGTTGGATCTGGTTTATATCTTTTTGGAAAAAAAAGAAAATTGGCCCATTAACTAATTTCGACGTCATGAAAGCTGGTAAAAAAATTAAAAATTTTCGAGGATGTTTTATGAGAGATGAATTACCTATAGAAACTTTAACGAATGAATGTGAAATATTAAATTCAAATCAAATTCTGATCAAAATGGATCACATTGGGTTGCATGGATAAAACATGAAAATTTAACAATTTATTGTGACTCTTATGGTAATGCTAATCCACCAAAAGAACTAGTAAAATATTTAGGAGAAAATAATCTTAAAATAACATCTAGAAGATTTCAAGACTATAATGATCCGCCTATTTGTGGATATTTGTGTATGGATTTTATTAAAAATTATAAAGAATATACCTAAATTATATATCTAACTCTTTTTTTACTTTTTTTTTATCTTTTCTATAATAAATGGAAAGTATTTTTAATAAATATGACGATTATATTATTCGTTCACAATATAAAACATACGAATCAACATCAGAAACAAATTTTAACAGAGATGGTGTTATAACCTTTGAAATAGAAGGTACTTATAGTATTCTCAATATTAAACATGCAAAATATAATATTAGTGGAAAATATTTAAATAATAACAATATTGAATATGAAGCTAATAGTAATGTTCAATTAGATGATAATTTTGTTGCATTGTTATTTTCGCAAATTGAAGTAACAAATAATGGAACATTAATAGATCAAATTGAAAACGTCGGTAGATCAAGCATAATCAAAGGACGTGTTAGTTATTATTTAGATGAAAATGGTCCAACAATTAATTCTGGATTTCAAACAAGATTTGAAAATAGCCTTAGATTTAAAGCTATTGGAAATTTATCTAATCTATGTTTAGGTTTCTTTAAAGATATTAAACATCCGATTTTTAAAGGAGGAATTAAAATAAATTTTAAGAGAGCTAAAGACGATGATGCATTGTACAGATGGGATTCTACAACCGCAGCAATACCAACTTTTGGAAAAGTTATTATTGAGGATTTTATGATTACGATTCCATCAGTGGAATATCAATAAATGTGTATAAAATACAATTAATAAATTAATAAACAAAATTATCTCAAGGAAATAATTACAGACTAAATTTTAGATCCTGGCAATGTATGGATGAAACTGACATAAATGGAAAAACATTCAAGAGAAATATCGCTCGTACATATAAAAATATTCATAATTAATTATTCGTAATTGTAGCTTTCCAAACAAATGGATTGAAAATACAAGAAAAAACACTTCGGTATTTCAACATTGTAATGTAAAATATATTTAGTTAGAAATTTATGGACAGAGATATCCGTAGAAATCATTAAATTTGGATTGGAAAAATGAAAAATATTATAAATATTTCTGTTAAAAATGTATTGTCTGTATTATATGCAGTTATATTGTAAACAAAAGCCGTACGGCTTTATTATTTAAATATAAAAAATAAAAATATAATATTGATGATAATCTGTATGTCACTGTGTGGCGTTGGGGTGCGTAATAGAACCTCTAAATATTTGTTTACATTTAAATGATCTTTCAGAAAAAGAAAGCAGAAGCTGATTTAGACAATGTTAATGTACAAAATGATATTTTAGTTAATACTGATGTTCAAAATAAAGGGCAACACGAAACAAATGAAATATGCATTTTTTTGAAGAGGGCCTTTTATTTTGTCGACCATTTTTATCAAACACGACAGGGATCCAATTTTTCGCTTATTGATCTAAACGAAAAAAATTACGCACGTTTGCAGGTCCTTTAATGCGTCGTGGGTCGATAAATCTACGAGCCGCGGCGGCCGGCGGTGCCGTTGTCGTTATCATGATAAAAGTATATATACTTATATATATATTTTGGTCGTAATAAATCGCCTGCAGACCATCCGATATCATCCCCCACCACACGTGTGTGAACGTAGCGCGTCGTCACCATCAGCGCGGAGTTGCTGTGCTCTACTACTTTACCTTAATCTGACATCGTATAATATATTGTACGCAGTAGTGTATATTCAATACATTTTTAATTATTCTATAATATTCTACATTGAAAATATTTATACCAATATTACTAAAAGGGACCAGAACTGATGAAGTCAAGTCATGCCTTATAAGATCTACTTTGTGGCCTCAGATTAACATACTCAAACTATCAAAAAATATGAGGGTACACTTGGGAAGGGAAAAGTCTGCTAGTTGGTTTGCAGATCTTTTACTAGAAATTGGCAATGGCAATTAACCATAATTTGATGAAATGATAACCATCCCAGAAAATTTGTGCCCAATTATAACTACGGTTCAAGATTTAATGTCAAAAATGTATCCACATATTGCTCATATTCATGATAAGCCTATGGAATGGTTCTGTGAACATACTATACTTACCTCAAAAAATGACCAAACGGTGGCTATCAATGATAAACTGCTGATGTCTTTTGTAGGGGAAGAAAAAGTATATACTTCGATAGACACGGTGGTCAACAAAGACGATGCAACCAATTATCCTGTTGAATTTTTAAAATCTTTGAAACCATGGGTATACCATACCATAGGCTTATTCTGCAGGTGGACACACCTATTATGTTGTTGCAAAATTTAAAATCACCTAAACTGGACAATGGGACCAAGCTTAAAGTCAAAGCCTTACATCGCAATATAGTGGAGGCCACAATTTTAATATGATGTACGAAAGAGGAAACTGTATTTGTACCTCAAATTCCTTTAATTCCGAACGAGCTTCCGTTCGAATTTAAATGATTATAGTTTCCCCTCAGAGTCTACTTTGCATTGACTATAAACAAGTCTCGAGGCCAGATTATCAAATTTGTGGGAATATACTTGTGAGAAAACTGTTATTCACATGGGCAAAGTCAATTTGAAGTTATTTCTAGAAAGAAAAAATTGGCAAGTTATGAAACTACTGATGATACTATTATGAATGTTGAAAAAAATGTTACTGTTGATGTATATAATAGAGTATTTGATACAACTATACGAAATAGAGAAAACCGATTTACAAATAATAAAGAAATACTTCTTGATTTGACATTATTATCACCTATAATTTTGATTAATTTGTGAATGGACTACCTAAAAATACTTTTGCTTAATTAGCTGTAAAATTAAAACCATATTTTGATGAAGATAATGAAAATGAAATAAAATATAAACTGTCTGAAGAAAATTTAATTTTTTTCAAAATCTTGGAAAAATATAAAGAAATCTGTAGATAATGAATATATTAAAGAATTGTAATTAAATAGCTACACAGAAAATGAAGATGAGGTAAAATCTGTAGCATTTGTCGTTATAATACATGATTAAGTATAATCTTTACTCTAATGCTTATCCTACATTAGCCATTGCTTATCGGTATTTACTAACTTTGCCAGTAACCCAAGTGGCCTGTGAAAGGTTATTTTCTACTTTAAAATATATAAAAAACCGTTTGAGAAATTCAATGACAACTGAACACTTAAAGTCATTCATGTTGATGGCAATTGAAAAACAGATTCTCTATAGTTTAGATAATGATATGATTATTAATAAAGTTGGTGAAAAATCCAAATTATTTTATAAATTACTCTTATAAGTTATAGAATACACTTTATGACATTTGTATGTATATGTTTATATATATTAAATTAAAATATTAAAACAAAAAATGTATTTGTTAATTTTCAAGTTATTTGATAGGTCAGAGAATAATTTTTTCAACCTTATGTCTATAGGTTAGCCCCGGAAACTGTCAGCTGATAAACTAATAGGTCGGCAAAATATGTTTTCCAGGGCTAAATTTAGGATCCACTCAGCTTCTGATTATATAGTAAGAGCACATGATGCATTACAAGATATGTGAATGAATGAAGAATACAATTTTTTGCGTTCGCAACATGAAATCTTAACAGTTATCAATGTGATGACCATTGTTCGTTAGTATTTAATAACAGTAACTTAAAAATGCCAAAAGTAAAAATACCACTTAGAAGTCATTTAAAAACATAAGTAAACGATCATAAAGATATTTTAAAAACCGATAGTTCAATTTTGTATTAAAATATTTGAGAAATTTCGGTTAACGCAACTATAAAGATTTTTGGTAGAACAACATTTATCACGTGATAAACATAAGGACAATTTCAAACACAATGAACCTTTTCATGAACCAAATTACCTAAGTTAAATTACAAGACCTATTTCTTCACGCTTTCCTGAAAAAATATACTGAACGACTTATATCAAATGAGTCGACCATATGCAAAATGTATGTGAACAATTGCTATTCTGATAATATAAACAACATAAGAAGGATTTAAACCACTATTTGTGAAGGATGCTATGTAGCGAATGTAATTGTAAGTACATTAGAAATAGTACAACCCAGTCAAATATTTTTTCTTCATTTCGAGACTTTGGAAAAAGTAAATCATATTACAATTGCTCAACTTTTCTATCAGGTACTAACTATGACCTACTGGCATTCATTACTATAATGTATTGTTATTTTTAAATGATGCCGCACCCTATATGATTAATTCAATACATACAAATGTACTCACCGATAATCGAAGGAAGTTGACGTTCGAACGTGTTAAGCCACTTTTGATTATCCAGTGCAATAAAATATAATAAAGTAATAATTCAATTTTTGTTTTCATATTTTGTTAATATGGGATAATAATATTTTATAAATAAAGAACTTATAGTGAAGACAACAAAATACCTTTTTTTTTTTTAATTTTGAATTAATTAATAGATTAAATAAATTAATATATATATATATGTGGGTACTTAATTTTAAAATAATTTAAAATAAAATATTTTAGATTGGATTTATAATGCATAATTAAAAATAAATGCATATTTTGTGTATGTTTTGCATACAATCCAAAGAGTTGGTATAATATTTTATCTAATTGTTATTATTGTGTAATAATGGGTAACTGGTCATTGTAGTTTATATGATGGTGTTATAAAACTAATAATACAAAAAAAGAAAGTACGGATATACTTCGCATGTGGATGCAGCAACTGTAGTAGGTGGGTAGTTGGACAGGTAGGCTACAGACGGGAGTTTAATGTATACCTGTAAGCAACGACAAACCATTGCTAACGAAAAAACGATTCTGATCCGAGTTCAGTTGATAATGTTGCTTTGTCAACAATACAATAAATGATAATATGTCATAATATGGTAAAATAATTAAAATAATAAAAACTTAATAATAACAAAAAATAAATAAAAACGGTTACAACCTTATTTTTAATCTTTCAATCTTTTTTAACCGAAAGTCTGAAATTTTCCTCATTATTTTGAATATTAATGAGAATTTCAAAAAATGACCTCTCTAGAGTACTACCCAGAGAAAATTTCCATTCAAAAAAGGTACTATACTTATAATCGGAGTATGCTTTCTGGTAGAAAAAGTGTTCACATAAAAATAAAAATAAACATAATTGTAAAACCAATACATTACTCGTTCCACTCAGAATCTAAAATACAATTATACATAATATTTAATCAAAAATTATATTGTGTATATTAAAATTTCACTCAGTAAAATAGCATTGTTTTTGCTGTTATTGATTTACATTTTAGATCATGATAAAGCTCCCAATTATTTGTAGTACTTCGTTTACAGTAAGACCAATAACATTTTTTAGTGTATTCATTCCATGTTTAAGTGAATATACATCCTTAAATTCATACTTTATGTTATTTATTATTATTACTGGGGGAACATTTCCTAAACATACTTTGACTTGTGTGACTTCTGTACTGTAATGTTTGTTGCTTACATCATCTGAAATTTAATTAAATATTATTCAAAGCCAATTAAACAAGACAAACAACAACTTTAATGGTTAGAATATATACCATTTACCATTCCAATTAAAGAGTTCAATAAATAAATGCATTGATGAAACATTTGATTCAATTTTTTTTAATCCTCTACATTGATCCCCTTTTTTATTAATATCGTTGCAAATAGCATTTTCAACTGATCATTTTTTTTTAATATCTTCATCAAGTGAATTTAAATTGTCATTTGTAATGTGTAGAGTAATATATGATTCAGATATTAGACACCTAGTTGTTTTGTCACAATTGGATATATAACATTGTATGTTATTAAATAATATCGGTAACTCTAACAACAATTATTTGAAAACATTTCCAAAGGTGGTATCACATACTGCAAAAGTTGTATTATACTTCAAGGATTTTATTTTGGGTTGCATGTGTTTTATTTAACAAAAATAATACATAATTATAATTTCATAAATTTGTACATATCCTAATAATAAGATATTGTGAAATGAACTTCCTTTACTCGTGTACTTTTCTTCATAATATGATGGCGAATTGTCTTTATTAGAATAACTTTGAGCTATTGAAGTTTCTCTACTGTTATAACTAGTATTAATATTACTACTACGATTGTTCTTTCCTAGACAAGATAAATTTTCTTTTTTTTAAAAAAATCTTGAATTTATAACCCAATTTTGTTTAACTCGTTATTTTCATAATTATTTAATGGTTTGTCTTTTGGTAATTTATTATGACTTGATCTTAATAATAACATTCCACGGAGTAAAGATAAATGATGTTTTAAAAATAATTCAATATCCATAGGCAGAACTTCATTTTTAAAAGTTATATTTTTTAATTTACGAAAGCTTGATTCGACTGCTAGAGAACTCGCAGTTTCATTTCCATAGCCAAAAATTGAAACTAAAGCGCGGCAATACAACGATTTTGCTACCACCGTGAATAATGAAAAATGCCGTGTTTTAATACAATCGTATGGAGCTAAAGATTTTTATGGAATAGTAAATCTCCACTTTACCACAATAAATCAGTGAGGGAAGATGCGTGGAATGAAATAAGTTCAGTAATGAACATACCTGTTTCCGAACTGAAGAAAAAAATGACAACGCTTCATAGAAGAGAAAAATCAAGAATAGCTAAAAGTATTATTACTGGTTCTGGTAAGTATTAAACAGTATGGTAAAGAATACTTGAATAATTTATTTAAGATACTACAGAAATGCATAAAAAAGTATTTAAAATACATGCCCATACTTAGAGCTTTCTTACGGAGGGATTTTATTGAAGGGCGAAATAGTTGTTTATTTGTATGTTAATGGAAAGGTTAGATACCTATACCAATGTTTTTCCTCCTAATTTTTTACCCAATTATGCCACTGCGGTCAAATATACTTGAGTAATACTCAAATATTTCTTCATCTATCATCGCACTTTTCGTTAAGGTTTTTTTTTAATAATGTGATGTATTATGATGAAAGCGGCAGCTGCTCATGCATGTGAAACGTCCATGGATGTACGCGAAGACTAAACATTGGGATCACTCTCTGCAAGTGGTCGAGCTGGATAACTTGCCACTCGAGACTGCCGCGCTCTAAAATAAAGTTGATACATCACATGGCTCGCATGGCAAATAAACGGTTTGCCGCAGACGAACATGGCGCGCATGACTGCTACGCGTAATGGATACGCCCCTTAACAATAATAAAATGGAATACCATACGGACACAACGGTCCGCGTTAAATGAACAGTTCCTATATCACCAAAAGAAATAAAAAACAATAAAATAAAAACAAATACGTGAAGAATAAATTAACAATTATATAATAACTAATAAGTTCCTGGTATAAATAATTAAGCAATTTATTAAGATATGATATTAGAATAATAATAAAATCCTGAAATATAAATAAAATATTCCGAATTAATTAAAAATAATTAAAGAATAATAATAAAAAAACAAAAAAAACAAATATAATGAACATGTTTCAGATAAAAATGGAAACAGTAAGACAGAGACAACCAGTGACGAAATTAGGAAAATTTCTAGTCAAATTAAATGTCGTGATTAAAGAATCAATACGCCACGTGGAAATTAAAGGGGACATTTTAAAAGTATGGTGTTACAGGGAGTATATATTAAAGGCAAATAATCGCCTAGACCAACCTTACACAAAAGCACAATTAATAGGGTTGCAGGGAGTATTAACGAACACATCAGTAGAAAAATAAACAGCACACCGGAAAATAATCCAAACTTTTATCTCGAAATAGCTAGCTGCATGAAACAAGTTGTAGAAATATATGAACTATAAATAGGTTAGAAATAGATGATAAAATACAGGTTTCTTAACAATAATATTTTAGGTATAGACGAATAAGTGAAAATTAAAATTATCTGTGGACTGATCAAAGGCATTGATGAAAAATTTTAAATATACCCCGAGAGAAAGAACAGATAGGAAATAATAGATTAATAGTGGAATGTCTGGGACACCATATAAAGGAAGCTAACAGAAGGATACCAAATCCTTAAACATTAGATAAATTAAGAGAAATAGACTGTCCAATATTATATTTTATAAGCTATCTAATAACAGTAAGTGAAGAAATGTATTTTGAAGGGTCAGTATGTGAAAACCCAGCGAGAGACCTTCAGGAGTTATTAAATGAGGAGATATTTTCACCATCTGACTAAACTTACTCACTGATCATTAAAATCATTATTTTCCACGGGTTAAGTAAATATGTTGTGTATATTTAAATATTAAATAATCATTTTATTATATTATACCATGTTATATAATATTTCTATGCGTGTAATCAAATATTTTATCAATTTTTTTATTATATTAATCAATTTATTCTTCTGCTTCTTTCTGGTTAAAGGCCTTTCAAGACCATCCCATCTCACACCCGTTCCTCCATTCTTCTTTATCCATTGCTCTTTCTTTCCAATTCGTTCCTCCTCCTAGTGATTGTACATCCTTTTTAACTACGTCTTCCCATCTTGTTTTGGGTCTTCCCAGCGGTCTTTTTCCTCGCGGGTTTTGTTCTAATACTGCTCTAATTAGCTCATTTTGGCTCCTCCAAGCGTGGCCTGCCCATTAGAGGCTTCGTTTTTTTTATCACTTCTGTTATGGTTGTATTTTGGAATCATATTTCTAGCTCTGTATTTTTTCTCCTTCTCCGTTCACCGCTGTTGTTATCCTTAACTGGTCCATAGATTTTCCTCGATATCTTTCTTTCCATTATTAAAAATTTATTTTCGTCAGATTTTCTTAGCGGCCACGTTTCCGCTCCATATAGGATAACTGGGCGGATCAGTGTAATGTACAATTGCTTTTTTAGTTCCATAGATAATACTCGCGATCCTAATGTCTTTGCTAGCCCATTGTAGCATTTGTTGCCTGTCTGTATTCTAGTATTCTGAATTCTGTATTCTGTTAATCAATTTATTAATCGAGTAAATTACTATCTTATTAAATTCAATTATAAATAAACAATTTCTTTAACTAACTAAAAATGTTGTTATTAAATAAAAAGTATAAAAAAAATTATGTAAAATTTTTAAAATGAATGTAACAAAAAAAAATAACATAAAATATAGCGTATATTGTATTGTATAATTGTAATAACATAATATGTAGTTTGAAACAGAAAATTAATATGTAACGGCTAAGAGAGCGTAGTTAATAAGTCAATATGTTGTTAATAATTTGACATAATGCTGCTCTCTCAGTGATAATATATAACAATATTGATGTTCCATGTAATACTATAAACAATATTTTTGTAATTAAATAATGTGTAATTAGTAATTTTAAACAGGTCCAAATGCAAGTTTTAAGCATATTAGAGAGATTTCTGTCTTGAGAAGCCATAAATTTCTTTTTAAGGGGGAAGGTGATACGTGCCCAAACGTGCCACCTACAAAGGGCATGTGAGAGCCGTATACGGTAATAGTCACTACACACGAAACCATGACTTCCTCATTCGTTCAATCTTGTGTTGGCAAATGCCTGCTCATTTCCCTCAATAATAAACTGTATTAGCACCATTCAAACTGTCAGAACATTTGTTCGCTCTTCTGCTCAACGTAATGAAGTATTGATAACAACTATCATCTAAACTCTTCTACAGACAAGACATAGCAAATTAGTGGCATTATGTGAAACATACTGGGTTTACAAGCATGAAAGTGTCTTGCAGTTTATAAGGCTTACGATTTGTACGAAATATAGAGGTACACGTGTAATTATAAAAAACCCGTGTATTTAAAAATACAAGTGTATTTAATAATATCCGCCATTTTGACATTAACCGTATCGCGATCACGTCTAGTAACGTAGATTTTTAATTTTCTGATTTAAAGTGTTTGCAAATGTGAATATTATTGTGGTTATAATCTATTACAATATTTAATCAGTTACTACTCGTTTTGATGTCGTTTCCGTTAGCCATCCGCAATTCGATAGCGGGATTAGATCGTACACAACAGGGCTTAAAATACTATGTCCCCTGAAAATCATGTGTCCCCCTGAATTTTAAACATGTGTCCCAAGTTTTATAATGTTCTCTTTAGTTTTAATTGTAGAAAAAACAAATAATTTGTAATTTCAACACAAAAAAATCTAGTTTATTTAAATATAAATGAATAACTATTTCCTCGTTATCAATATTATACAAATATGCCATAAACTGTAACCATGGTCGATTATAAATATTATACGTAGTAGGACCAAGAGTTTCCGGAATGTTTGAATTGTGCGCCAATGGAATTTCCAAAAACTTTTTTTTTTGGGGGGGGGGGGGATTAGGGGAATCAGTTGGAGAAGATTTTTCTTTCATTTTTATAATTTTTAATATGATACAGGTGATGATTATTATTATGATAAACTGTCAAAATGTTTTTATTGTCATTTACCATACCAGAAAGTTCCTGATTAACCTGAACTAACCTTCCTCCACATTCTCGAGTAAATGTAAATTATGTATTCAAAGTCTGTTAATTTTTAGTTCAATCCCAAAACAGTTTATTTAAAATTTTAGAAGCATTAAAACTGTGTTTCATGAAATATTAAAAATAATCATACTCATTTACCGACATATATGAAAAAAATTTTCAAAAAAGAAAACTTGCATTTATCATTTCCAGTGGTCTTCATAAATATGAAATATTTGTAATGTATATAAAAATGAGTATGACACAACATAGTTATGCTTGAAATAGTGAAAAAAAATGTCAAAGGTAGCAACTACATAAGGGTTACCTATTTATCTACATTTACTTTATTATAGTATAAAAATGTACAACATAAATATTTATATCCTGTTTTAACAATTATTACATTTTAACCCTACAATGAATGATATTTTTTTTTATTTTCAAACTATTCATAGTAAGTACAGGAAAAATACTAAAAAAAAAAATTTTATTTTCTTTTTAAAAATATGACTACTTAAGTAATGTTAACTACAGCAACTTTATGCATTTAAATATAATTATAAACATTATATTCTATAAAAATGTAATGTGTTTATTAATCAAATACATGGATATAATTGAGGGGCTGGGTGCAAGAAGGGCATTTTCTATAAAAACGTGTTTTGAGATAAACTAAATTAAATTTTCAAATATGTGACACACTTTTGGATATTCTCATGTGATTATAAAACGTGTGACATATGAAAGATCGAATCTTAAGAAAATAATTATGTCTTTGTTTTGTTTTTATTTGTGTTCACTAAGCTTTAAATAGAAGGGATATTTGGTCATGAAAATGCCCTTTTTGCATCAAACAGTAATAATCTATTATATTTCAATTTAAATGTTTAAATAACTTGAATTTTATTAATTTATTCATAACTTTTGATGAATAATATGAATAATAAATAAATAATAAATAAACAAATTAATTAAATAAATAAATTATAAATATTATCTTAATTCCTTAATGCTTAGTTTAATTTAGAAACAGTTTTTACCAAGCCTATTAATCTACAATGAAAAATAACAAGATTATCTACCATAATATTATTTTTAAATCATTGAAAAATAAAACGATATTATTTATAAACATAATGTGCATAGTATTTGGTTCTATGCAAGAAAGGCATATACACACATTGACATAAACGCTTCTACAGAACTATTATTAAAATTTCGAATTAAAGTTGTATACACATATAGTATAGAGGTCACTGAGTTTAAACAAACATTTTAAGCAAAATAGGCATTTCTATAAAAATGCCTTTCTTGCACCCAGCCCCTCAATTATAATTATTATTTTAAAAATAAATTCTGAATTAAATGAAAAATGTTCTTTTCTTCTCGTTTTCACTATAACATAGAAATAATAAAAATTATTAAATTAGTTATATACTATATATCATAAATAATATACAATTCTTAAACGAATAGTATTACCTCTACATGGTAATTTTTAAAGCAATTTCGATTTTTTCCACAACAAAGGTTAACTTGACACTTGGAGCACTTAAACCATGTGTAAGTAACGCATCCACGTACTTTACACCTTCCTTTTCTTTCCTTTGTCTCAGGCCAATGATGGATGCCATCATATTGCATGTTTCTTTTTGAAGCTTGTTTACCCGTTATTTTTTTTTTTTTTTGTGTAGTAGGTTTTCCAGTTTTGCACAAAGATGATGGAAGATCCGTTCTGAAAGGGACCAACGATGAATTATTATTTGTACTATCTTTGTGTTCATTAATTCGTCAAAGGAGAAGCCACGAGTTGACAATAGTCACATTGAGTAAATGGTTAAATAATCTTAAATACCATTTCCTACTTCGCATTTTTATTTTGTGTCTTCCAAAAAGTATGTCTAACATATAAACTCCACCCATGTTTATTTTTATAATGATCTTATATAGCTATATAAGTATCAAATCCAAATCGGTAACATCTATTAGCACTAGTATAGTTATTGGCACTACGAAAATGTTTTATTTGTAATTAGTGTCCATTTTGATTCTTAAATAATTGTTTTTTATTTTTTTATAAATCTAGACAAACTAATCATGTTGTGTTATCAAGTGTTCCTGATGATAATAATTTTTCATTAATTTAGTTATTATTAAAGTTTTCAGTCTTCTCAAAAAATATCCGAATATTTGGCAAGAATAGACTGTTTTTATTAGTAGACTATACCTTTGGAAATAAGCTCTTTATTTATTTATAACTTCTCTATTTAATTGCATATTGTATATTTTAGTTGCCAAGGACATATTTTTATTAATTTATCCTGTAGATATGTATATATTTGAAATTGTTGTTATTGGCATGGGGTGCCAACTATTGAAATGGAAATAAAAGTATTAATTCATTTTTTGGCACTTAATTTAAAAAATATATCTAACCCAAGTAAAATTTAATTAAAATGGTCATCAAATAATATTTAATCAAACCAATGATTTAATATTTTCATTTATAGAAATGCTAAAAAAAAGAGAATATTTTTCTCATTTCAATTTGAATGCTGCTGTTGAGGCAGTACTCAATAAAGGCATATCAAAAAAGTTTTCTGTATCGAGATCAACTTTACAACATGGATTTAAAAATCCTCACCAAAAAATGTGGACCAGCTCCAGTATTATCTGAGGAAGAAGAAAATATATTAGACAAATAAATACTGAAAAGTAGTTGGAAAGGATTTCCTCAAAGAAAAGATGATCTTTTAGTTAGTGTGAAACTTGTTTGATATATTGTGTGATCCTACAAGATTTTCTTAATAGTGATGAAACTAGGTTTTCCTTGTGTCCCAAAACAAAAGCAGATTTAGCTCCTAAGGGTCAGTCTGAAGTCTGAAGAAGTCTTAAAGAATGAAGTCTCAGTCGAAAATGCGAAAGTAAATTTGTATATAGTACAGCTGAAGTAATATGTCACCTGATGGTTGTGTACAATTACAAAAGAATTCCTCAAAATATTTTGAGCTTAGTACTGACTAACTGGATAATTGGTCTGTCTGACAATGATTGGATGAAACCCGAAACATTTCAAGAGTTTATTGCAAATATTTGTCATCTTTTTTTATTGAAAAATAACATAAAACTACCTGTACTTCATCTAACATATCAACTTAGTACACTTTGTTCTGACTTACAAATAGTTTTAATTGTTCTATACCCTAATTCAACTAAAAAATATTCTAATAACAACCAGCAAACATAACTGTTTTTCAGTAACTCAAAGAAGGTTGGAAAAGAGTAGTATTTGAGGGGAGGTTAGAACAAAATTGTTCAATGGCTACTATAACCAAAGTAGATTTTCCTCAAATTTTACAAAAATTAATAGAAGAAATCATAACACCAGACATTCTAAAAAATGGGATAAGAGCTTGTGGATTATATCTATGGAATCCAAATAATATTAATTTTGATAAATTTCTTGGCACAAATCTAGTAGCTGCAGTTGATGAGCATAGTTTGATTGAAAATAATTTGAACTTTGATTAATTTTGTGATATTGTTGGTCTAGAAATTGTAACGAAATGTATTACTATTAACCATTCTGTAGAAATTAAACTTATATCTAAAGCATTGCAAACATTATTAAATGTTTACAATTAAAATAAAAGTCGAATAATGAAGGTGAAATTTGTGTTCTACATCATGATGATATTATAATTGATAATATAATTCTAGAAGACAACTTTCAGGATAGTAATATTTGTTGTGTAGATCAAAATTATATTTATGTTGAACAGAGTACTACTGCAGTTATTACACCTGAAAATAATAATATTGATACTTCAATTACAACTGATAAAAATTTATTACAAGGATTGTAAGTAAAAATAATCACATGTGTTAAAAAATAAACTATTTCAGGTGTCTCCACTTGATATTTATTTAATATGGCCAATAACTCCTGAACGTAAGGATAAGTGAAATACTGAGAGAGTTCCATTTGTTATTTCTTCTGAAAAGTGGTAAAGCNACAAAACGATATGTAGTCAGAAATAATTTTAAACCATTGGCTTCAAAAAAAAAAAAAACTAACTGACACTAGTGGACTTTTGAAACAATTTCCTGATGTTTTGACTCCAAACGCAAATGAATGTAGTAATGAGTATAGTTCTTCTATTATTTATAAAAAATACAAGACTGTGTTTTGGATGTAGATATAGTTTAAATGATATTCAAAATGGTTTGACTTGTGAGTTTTGTTCATACATTTACCATATAAAATGTTTAGATAAAAATGAATGCAGTGATGAAGGATCAGGGGAATCAATTTTATTTATTTGTAACTCTTACCAAAAAAATGTAACCAGTACATCAATGTAATTAGTATTTTATTATTTAATACTTTAACATTTTTTTATATATACCTACTACTTATTTAATAATATTTATTGTTATAACAAGATACTCTATTGTATTTAGTTTAGTAAGTTCTATATTGCTAATGATTTTTAATTTTTTTATGAAACTTAAATTGTGTTATGTTAATAATTGTGTTTTATTTAATAGGTATTAATTTCGATAAATTTAAACAAGATTTATCTAAGTAATAACTAGTTAAAAAGAAAATTTTAAGACTAAAAAGAGTGATAAAACATAGGATTCTTTAATTATAACCAACTAAATATTTTAACCTTTGAAATGTATTGTATTATTTCTTCTTATTATAGTCAAATACTTTAACTAAATAATTAGTACCTGCCTACAGTTGTTTAGCATTATTATTATAGCTGCCAGATGTACTAATTTTACCTTTCTATAATAGTTATGCATTTGACTCCTAACTACATTACAGTACTATCTATTGTGATTAAATAAGATGTAATGATTTTTAAAATGAGTTATCTATATGATGCATATAATTAAAAAATAAATAATAACTTATCTCTTTAGAATGTAATTAATTAATTCATTAGTTATTTTATTAAGGATATCAAACCAAATATGTTTATTTTTTTATATTTAAGTAAGTTTAAACTTTTTTTGGTGCCTAAATATGTGATTTTTAATTATTATAAACTATGTTATTATATCTATATATCTATTACCTATTATTACCTATTTAATAGTTTAATAAGTAAAAAATGCATTGATAAAATTATTAATTTAAGTATAAAATTTAAGAGGATGTGATAACAGAAATTATAAAACCAATAACACAATTTTAGATGCCAATAACTATAGTTTTCGGTTATTTTATAATTGATGGTAAATTTTAAAAAAAAGTATTTAATATTTTTAAATAATAGTCATAAGGTAAGACTGATAACAAATTGGTTTATCATTGAAAAGTTACAACAATGTTTAAGTCTAAAGTATCTTAGAAACAAATATAAACTTTTCTAAAGGGTATTAAAACTGTACACTTTACGCTATCAATTGTATTTAAATAGCATTATCAAAACAACCAGATATTTTAGTTTAATTAAAGTTGATCAAAGAATAAATTGGTTAATTTTGTTTACACAATTGTATAAATGGACAGAGCTGCATTTTTGAATAAATTTAATTTTATTGTTTATTTTAAGTAAATTAGATAGTTTTATTTAAATTATATAATACATATGTATAAATAATGAACTAATTATAGTAAATAACATTTTAAGACTTTAATTCAATTTTTTATAAATAAAGTTTAATACTTTTTACTTTTTACCTATGACTTACCCAGGAATGACATTTTGAATGGTCTCTGGTAATTTTGGAATGTTCTGCTCTATCTTTTGAATACTCATTTTCTCAGGCACTACTGTTTTGAGAAAAAAAAATGTTTAAGTACTTTCTTATGAATGAATGAGTAATGATTTTTGTTAGTATTATACAATAATAAAATTATATTCTAACATTAAAACACAATTTTTTGGTAAACAGGGAAATAAACTAAAGATACACTTTTTAATACTAAATACTAAATGAAATACTCAGGTTATTTGTTTGTAATATTGTACACCTATTTACATAAACAATATTAGAATACTATAAAATAATTAATTAATAAATACCTATTATAATTAAAATATATTACCATCAGAAGACAATTTCGGTTGTTTTTCAAGAATTAAACTTTTTTTCTTGTTTACATGGTATAATGATTTTGAATGATTTGTTAAAACACGCCGATGGGCTAGTAATACAATTTTGCACAAAGTACAATAAGCTTCTTTCAAATCGTTTTTGGGAGAGTCTTCTTCTGTTGCTTTTTTTAACCACCCTAGATTTGAAAAAAAATATTAATTAATTACCATAACAATTTACATTTTACAACATAATTTTAGTATTAATGCAATTTGCCTTTGAATTCTGGTTTAGTTTCCCATTCTACACAATACTTTCTATACTTGACAACCTTATCCATGACGAAATGATTTTCAAATGATTATGAAGACTAGTGACTATCTACCTATAATATATGTCACACGACACACACATCCATAGAAGAAAGCTATGAAAACAAAAATAAAAAATGTATAGGGTTTAGTTTAATTTGATAAGAACCATTTGATTGTGTTTTATCAAGAAACTACGACTGTGACTGTAACTATGTGGCGGCACTGCTGCGACACGGGCCGGCGTCCTCCACCCAATCAAGACCGTACGCCGACACGTACGACTGCTCCGTCTTTCGACGTTATTCATCTTCACTGGATCAAGTCGCGTCATTTTACGTCACTCGACATCGACTATTCGAATTCTCCTTTTTTATCATTGTTGTCATTTAATATAATAATAAACTACCTTATACTTGTTACGAATGCGTTTTTTATTTACTTCTTTAGGTACCTTTACCTCATTGGTAAAATTTAGCAAAACCATAATATTAATTATCATCTATATTGGTGATAAAAACAAAATATTTATTTTTCAATCCAAACATTTTAATTTCTTTATATTATAAATAAAGCAGATTATAACATTCTAAAAGAGCGCCAAAAACTGCCTATTTATAATTAAACAGTAGCCCAATTGCCGTGTACTCGATAATATATACTATGTTATATAAATTATACTTGCAAGTTATAATATACACCTACCTATGTATTAATCAGAGCTCTTCAGAGGACGCTATACCCGCACAAATTCATACTGAAAATTAGCTTTGCGGGGACGCATTTTAACTAAGCTGTGATCATTCTAAAGTTATTTCATCTCAAACTTCGACAATTATATGTTTTTCAAATGCTTGTTAACTAAAATAATGTTTTGATTATACCAATAGATTAAGTGTTAAAAAACAAACATTTTGAAAAAAAAAAAATTTGAAAATGTTAAATTCTAACTAAGAAATACGCAATACGGAAAACCCGAACTTCATAAAGTTTTCCCTCATAACTTCAAAACGAAGTTCGTCCGCTTTGATTTTTTTTTTATATTCCTAATGTACACGTAAAACCACACATTTTAAAAAAAAAAAAACTTAAAAAAATCGCATGGGCGTTAAACTAGATTTGTTCCCATTAAATTACTTATAACAATGGCTGCACTCTACCCCGTTATCCTAGGACGTCATTTTTAATTTTAATTAACTGTAATATACCTAATTTATTATACTGTAATTATAAAATTAGCAGCCACTGTTATAAGTAATTTAATGTACACCTATAAGCAACGATAAATCAGTACTAACAAAAAAACGATTCTTAGGTAGGTCAATTCATAGTGCTGCTTTGTCAACAATAAATATGTCATATTATGGTAAAATTCCAATTATGCCAATTCTAAAATTAAAATTGATCCCGTTTTTCCGGGTTTTTTCCTAGTTTTTCATTTTTGCTGAGAAAACTTCTAAGAAAACCTAAAAGTTGCCTCCCTAAGACTCCTGGCTAAGTTCATGTTCTTCTCGGTGATGATTGTCTCCGTATGGTTGTCGCCTCAATTGGGACCTATGTGGTAGTGGACGCTGCCGCCGTTGTCTACTGGTGGCATGTCGTCTGTACCTGGACACGTTTTCCCTTTGGCCCATGAACACGTACATCCGTTGTTGCACGGGAACGTCGTCGGTTTACCACACCCGTATTAGTGGCCTTAATGTATGTATACTTAATGCGACAACCGATTTCATATCTTGTCATGTGGAATTTTTAATTTATAATTAACATACTTTACACGTGATAGACATAGTCCGTAACATTGATTACCCGCCGATTATTATTTTATAAATATTATGATATTCGATATTATGATTTCATTTCTGGGCACGCGCCCGCTCGCCTTATTTCGCCGACACTCTATCCTTACCCACTGCTTAATATTACCTATAAAAAATTTAAGGTTGTTGTAATGTTAAATATTTCAAAATAACTAATAGTGTAAAATTTTTGGTTCATATTTTAGTAGCAAAAATTATGAAGTACAGATTTTGACTAAGGTTCCCAATTTTTACCGCAATATTTAAAAAATTGTCTGAAAATTTAGCTAATGATACCCCAATCGACGGTATTAAAATAAATGAAACTTATGATATATTATAATTTTGTTTTATTTATTATGGGAACAATATTATTAAGCAATAATAATTATTTTAAAAACTACTACAATAATAATTTTTCAAAATCTTTGAAGTTTATACAATAAAATCTAGAAGAATATTTGAATTTAATTTCTAGAAAGGAAAAGATAGAAGGACAATTCAAAAGTAAAATCAAATTAATAAAAGCTCAAATTATAATATTGCATGATTAATTGACATTTGTAATTAAGTTGTTAATTCAAGTTCTTAATTGTTAATTAATTAATAATTTTTTTAAATTATTGCATTCCTGACAAATTACATCATATGGTTATTACATTTTAACATTAATACAAATTAAAAATTTGGATCACTCATTTTGGCCCTTTTTTGATAAAAACAGCACAATTGATTTTAAAATTACGTTCAACAACAGCACTACTGGGTAATGGTGTGTTGAATTAAATAAATGTTTTTTTCTTATGGTTGGTGCCTCATTTAAGGAATTTAAGTGTTTTGTCACACTTTTAGATAGATAATGAAAAATGTCTTGTTTCAACGGAAGAGTTAAGTGAGAAGATTTGTTGACCAATCAATGAACAATTTTTTTTGTTGCACAACTATATTGTAACAACTATTATTTTGTCTAAAACTATAGTTCGGATTGTTAAGTAAAAAAATATTTTCATTAGATATATGGCCAACTACAAGTAAAATATATTCACAACCATTAGTATATTAAGAATCTGAATAAACAATTTTTTTAGCATACAAAAGTATACTTTGTTTTTAAAAGAATATATTAAGATGATAATGCACCTATTGTTTGTCTTACTTTGCACACACCAATATTCAGTATAACACATTTTGTGCAATTAATTTTAATATTAATTGACCGAAAACCCTACTTTAGGTAGCTATTATTTGTGCCCGTAACGTCATATTTTTTATGTTTTACATCAGCCAAGAAACCCGTGGTACGCAATTTTGTTTTAAATATTTTAATTTTTAAGTGAAATATACTGTTATATTTCACATGATCATGACTCATTTGAAAATTAAAATATCAATAAAACACAGTAAATGGCACTGATAATCTTTACCATTAAGTCTGGTAATAAGCTCATTCACTGTAATAGTATAATGGTACAAAATGTGTCCTAGTGAACACAAAATTGTTTTGGCCTGTATTTGTGAGATAGGTCTGTGACAGTATAGATATGAGTGTAGTGTATTTTACTTATATTTTTAGCAAATAAATCAAGCATATTTTTAAATTTTTAAAAGAATATGAGCATCATTATTTGACAATTTTAAGATAATATAAATCCGGACTCCAATAATAGTTTTGAAAATGTTACAAAAAATATATACATAAAATACATAATTATTATACAGTACAATTATTTGTAGCTGAAGTAATGAAAATGTGACTTGTGAAATGATTATTATTTTATTACATATAACACAGTCAATAAACAGGTGAGGCTGGAGCCAATTAGACCTCCTCTAAGTAAACCACTGAAACTACTTACTAGTAATTAGTATTCGTGAATATATATTTTTAGAAACTAATAATATTATTTCAAACTAAAATACCTAACATTATTCCAATTAATAAATGCATTACTATTGAAATTATTAGTTTATAATACAAGCCTATGGATAAAATGTTAAAGGAATTGGTAAGTATAAATGTACTATTATAATATTTTAATTTTTGAAAAACTTGAAAAACATTTAAAAACAAAAAAAAATACAAATGAATCGTTATTAACAAAATGATAATGATAGAAATTTTAATTTACCCTCATCAGCAGAAAAAACTAATAACTACATGGATTTAGCTCTGTGTCATCCACATCTCCGAGGCTAATTAATGAGGCGTAAAATACGCCAATAGTAGATAATTATTTATTTAAAATATAGATTCGCTTTTCCTCCTTGAAAACTGTCTAGGTGAGATATAACATGATATAAAATAATGATATTACTTGGTCTTTTGAAAAAAAACTTTTGTTCTCAAATTTTTAATATTAGACCAAAGATTGTAAAGAAAAGAAAATTATCCAATAAATTATTGATGAAATTTAACACGCTAATGAAAACTAACTATGAAATGGTCACGTATTTTTTAGTACTTACACCAATATACGTGTTACCAGAGATGGAACTAAGACTTTTTACGCCTGAAGAAAATGTTAAAATTAGGCTCCTATCAACAGTACAATACCTACCCTTCCTCAACAATTAACATAGGTACAAATCATACAATCATACTTAAAGAGTTCAACCACATACAAATATCAAGCTTACATAGTCTATTCATTTATAATAGTTTTTCTGGTTTATACACTGATTTCTATTAAATTATTATTAATTATTAATTATAAAATTATTTAATTTAGGTTTTTCCCTCTATTTCACAGATTATCGATCAGTACTTCAAACTTAGAAAAAAATAAATATGTTTTTATTATTTGTTCTCTTCATAAAAAATTATTAATATATCGAAAAATCACTATGATTAGTAAAATGTAATCGGCATAAATTTGGTGAAATAACAGGCGGTTTGTACCCCAATGCATTAATACCTCGGTGAATATAAATCGCCTATAGGAAATATCGCCGACAGTAACAAGCGATTAGTACCCAACGTGTATTATACATAATACCTCATGAACTCACATGTACCTCCTTGGGTAAGAATCGCTAAAAGTAGGTAATAATGAAAAATGTGATCAGACAGGAAAAGTCAAATGAAATATACGGCATGATTATAACAGAACAAACAGAATATTATAACTTATGAGAACAACATTAGGGACACAAAAATCATATTTTATTTTAAAGTACCTATGTAATTATTAATTAAATATGTAACTGATACCTAAACAAATTGGAAATCTGAAATCTGAAAACGTCTTATTCTTAGCACGAAAAAAACCATCAAGGAAATATTTTTGTAAAAAAAAGTATAAACATTCTAGTATAACTATAGTGTTTGAACCCTGTACCCAGAGATTCTCACCCAAAAAAATGACCATTGCGTCACAATTATTGATTTAAATGGTGTAAAAATTTGTATATCAGCATTCTATTTAAGGTGACACCTAGATACACAGAGTGGTCAGTAATTTCATGTTCTGCCATATATTCCAAACCATTCTATATTAAAATGTTTCTTAGCGTCACTGTTCTGTATAGGTTAAAGCAAAATACCTGTGTTTTGATTGGGTTGGATATTAATAAAATACTGTCTAAATTCATAATTTTTAGTGCATTTGTTAGTTTGCTTGTACAATTGTCGAAAGTGACCAAAGTTGTGTCTTGAGCTGTAATTGCTAGCAAATTCTATAAACAACATTACGAGACACTGTACAAATAGAATGGCGAAAAAATGACAGATTAATTTTCTTATATTTTGCCCCTCAGATTGATGAAAAATACTGATTTTATTATAAATTATATTGGACATGGTTAATTGAGTTTTTTTTAGTAGCGGTAACATATTTGTAAGTTGTAATATTTTATTACTACAATAGTTAATAGTGATAAAATAATTGTATACGCTTTGTGTAATACAATTGTATACACCTTCACATCATTAATTAAGAAAAACTACAAATGAGAATACATTCAGTTCAATAAAAATCTACAGGTGAAATATTGCTCGAGAATATGAGAAATTGCCAGTTAATCCCTTACTTCTTACTACTTAAATGTGCTATGCAATACAAATTATTTGATACAAAAATTTTGAAACAGCTATAAAAATGTATTGAATGAGATTCATGCAATGCAAAATTAAATTTTATTTTTTTATGACCACATAGTAAGACTATGAATGAACTTCCTGTTAAATTTTTAAGCATTATTGTTAAGTTTAACAATTTTACCAGAGTAAACTACCTAATAAAAATTATGTACAATTCTCAAAAAAAAAAACAATATCTAAAAATAGCATAAAATTTTATAAAGTCTAGAAAAGGCCAATTAAAATGTTCTGTCCAAATTGTAAACCCATAGGTTCAATATGAATATTTTTAAGTAAATTTCAACAAAAGTATTAAAATTTTTATAAAATACTTAAAAATAACAAAAATGTTTCGAAAATCTTACAATGTCTAGAAAAATCAAATATAAGTTTTCTATCAAACTTTCAAGTCTACGAATATTTTAAACTAAATTACAACAAATAACAAAATTGAAAAATAATAAACACATTATTCTCATAAATTTCCATCGTTTTTTCTTAAGTTTTATCCAGTTTTTTTTTACCGATATCCTGAAATAAGTTCTAGGGACATCAATTACACAAGATATTGTTGATCCCTTATATAAATAGAATCTATTTAAAAATAGTTTATAATTTTCACAGATTAATAAATTTATTTTGCTAAAAACATGTACCATACATAAACTTTTTTTTTTTTGACAGTTTATGTGAATTTGATAAAACAAGTATGTTATTGACCTTTAATATAAGTAAAAGATAAGGTAGTTTTGAAATTGTTTATACATATATTTACTTTACATTTATTAATTTCCACATAAAATGTAAATTATACATAACCTTCGGTTATTTCCTGGTTATATATTATTCTAATGAAAGCACTTAGCTAATGATTTTTTAACTATAAAACTGTTTGGGTATAAATTAATTTAATGATACATATATGTAAACAAATAATGCTTCTACAATATTATATTAGTTATAATTATATACATCTGTAAAAATCAAACAAATAAATATTAACAAAATTATTATCATTAAAAAAGGCAAACTCATTATGTAAATAGTTGATTATAAAAACAAATTACAAATTTTTATAATACAATAAGTATTTAATACAACAAAATTAAGTAAAAAAAAAAAAAAAAAAGATTTAGAATTAACAATATTAATACTACTACTCCTATTAATACATATGCTAATTGTGATACTCCCTGGCAAAACCAAGTATGTGCACTTATCAAAAAATTTATATACATCTGCATCTAATAAGTAAAATATAGAATATATTAATTTGAGTTAAATAATATTTTATTAAACAGTATTGCTTTTCATAAAGCTTCAAATCGAGCTTGAAATTAAAATATATACATTAAAACTTATTTATACAATTTATTTTTTTTGTTTTTTAATATCTCGCTTTGCATCATTTTGATTCTTATACATTTTCCTACCAACTAACCTTCTTACAACATGTACTTCTTCTCTATTTGCCAGGGATCTAAAATATAAACAAGAATAAAAATTAATATAATAATATAGAGATGATATTTCAAATAATTTCATGTAATTGATATTGTTAATATTTTACTAAGGAGGATGCTACATGCAAAGTAGCCATACCCACTATCTCACTGTCTTGACTACAGCCCACCATTTTTTTTTTTTTAATATTAAAAACGGTTTTGGGCAGGAAAAATTTGAAAAACACAGAACTAAAGTGTTTTAAAACAATAATTTGTTTGTAATATTGAAAAAAATAATTGTTAAACAGTATTTCAGTCAAAGTGGTTCATTCCCTTGCAAAATATCATTTTAAAACAAATTTATGGAGGTATAACATCCTCTTAAACAGGATTGTTCTCTGTAGCTTACCAATGACACAGACAATTTGCATTCAGCACGCAACTCTGTGATTTAATTTACCTTTTATATAAGAGAATTTTTCAATCTACATAAATTATTTTCCAACTTTCAAGTTTAATAATATGTTAATATTTACTCTTATATATATATATATATATATAAAAAAAAAACAGCACAGAGACACGTTGCAGAATTTTTTATGCTATGTGATGGTAAGACAAGGATAGCACACATGGATATAAATTTTTATTTTCTCACTCTATTTGGCGTTTATGTTTTAGTGAAAGTTTACACTCAGGGTGAGTTGGATTAAGGATTAATCTATTGAATCTTTCGTTGAATTCCTCTTCATCTGAAACTTCCATGTCTTTTTTATCAACAATTCCGTAGCGATTAATTATATCTTCTATCATTTTTTCGTGGTCTATGACAGATTGAGAAGCACCGCACCATTCTAAGAACGTGTTGAATATGGCGGATTTTAAATCGTTTAATTCTAGTCTTCTTTCCTTTGAAGTTTTTTTTTTAGGTGTTTCACACACAGGGTTTTCAATATTTTCCGGCTGCAAAAAAATAAGTATTTGATTAACAACATGATCATGCTTTATTTACCTATGGACATTATTAAACTTACAGCAGCAGATGGGTTTGGACTGTCATCAAACAAAGCCATATATTCAATTTGATATAATTCGGCAAAATGTACCTTTCTTTCTTCTCTGAAAATGTTAAATACTCATCAATAGTTTAATATACAAGTTTGAATATTAACAAACTAATCTAAAATATTACATAGTAAGTGCTATCAAATCATAAGCTTCTTGCACTGCTCCATCCCACAAATGTTTATTACGTTTATTTGTCTTCAATTGGACCTGTTAACATTTTGTTGATTTATTATGCTCATAAAATTTGTCAAATAATTTGGGATATGGATATATTGGGGAACCATATCGTGGAATAGAATATATTGTAATTTTTTTTATTTCACATTGCAATAATGGTTTTTGGAGATTGAGTATATATATATAGTTTGATAAACTTTTAAAAAATATCCATTAGAGTTAATATTAGACATGACTTTAATAGTTAAATTGATAAAATATATAATTTATCAGCTTTCGTCAGTCTTTTCCCATTAATTGGGAAAATTCCTGAGAAAATCAAAAAAATACCTGCCTAAAGTACCACCCCAGTCGGATATACTTCTTAAAAATTCACAATATCTGTGAATTTTTATCCCTTATTCTGAAAGAATGTGAGAGTACAACATCCTTTTAACAAACAGCTTTTTCTATTTAACAGAATTTGCATTTGAATGATATTATTTTCTGAATTCCTATTTATGGACCTATGAATATAGGTTGCTATTTGAAAATCAAAAGTGGGTAATGGTTTTACCCCCCCAAAAAAATAAAATTAAAAAAAACAAATATAAAATTGCAAAGAGTAGTTTTGTTACTCAAATGTTCTAGATAAAAAATTCCGAAAAGTCTAATACTTTCAGAGATAATGAGTGCACCTACTTAAATAGTCCCCTGGTTGACATGAATGTTGAAAGGTCAAGTCATAATAAAGTACAAAATATTATCTTTCAAACATTTGTATAAATTTGTTTGGACTGTTGTACACAGGTAAGAAATTTAAATTAATAATTAAATTATAATATGATTACATTTGGTCAAACAATATAATTCATTTGAAATGATTATTTAATAAAACATACAATTATTAATCAGATAAAATTATATTTTAATATGCTTCCATGGTTTAGTGAGCAAAGACCAGTGTGGATTTAGGTTATGAATAAAATCAAATTGGTAATTAAAATTAAACTTACCAGACATTTAGGGTATTTACAAATCAATTCATCAACACTAATAAATGGTTCTATATTTTTTGACCAATTCCTTAGGCAATTATCGTTCAAAAATCTGACATGGATTTTGTATTTGTTATCTTGTTCTTAAAATAATAAAAAAAATGAAACAGGAATTATTATTATTTTAAAATTTGAGCAATACAATTACAGCCTAAGCCTCCATCAACATCAGGAATGATATCAAAATAACATTTTTAAATTGATTTAATTTGTATGTAATAATAACGATAAGAAAATATTAAAAATCTTAGGAGCAAACATTAATAATTTATGCATTAAAAAAACAAAACCAAAAAAAGCAAACCAACAAAACTAAATAAGTAAAAAGATTACCAATCGGTTAGCAAACATTAAAAAAACAAACAAAAGTATGCAGATATATATTTTAAAGAGGTAATAATAATAATATTGTCTAAAAAATATAATTTCATACTATTAAATTAGTATTAAAGCTTACCTTTAATATAAGTATTGTCAACTGGATCAATACAAACCAAAGCAGGCCAAAATGGAAAATTAAATATTTTACACCAAACAATATCACCTAGCTTTATGTTCGTAACATCTTGTCCAAAGTCTGTCAGTTTTCTTTGTGCAGAATTTGAACTATCATATCTTAATGTAGATGATTGAGAGTCCATACTAGTGTCAATAGGAATATCTAAATTAGTAAAAAAAATGTTAAAGCATTTAACTCACTCTATTTTTAATCGATGTTAATGATTTACATGTTGAAGTAGATGGCGGGCAGTCCATACTATTGTCAATAATTGAATCTGGAATAGCAAAACAAATTTTGAAATATTTAATTAATTCACATTTTATTATTCACTAGCTTTACCCATACAAACTTTGCCTATATAATTTAAAAAATGAAAACTGATTAGCATATTACTGTGGTAACATAAGGATTCTATAGAAAAATAGCACAAGATAACAAGACACCACCATTTATTTATATAATAGTAAGATTATATTTATTTATTGATATTATAATAATAAAAATTGGTATGAAAATTTACATTGGATTGTTAGGAATCATTGTGCATAGATCTTGGAAACTGGTTTAATAGTTTTCCTGAATACTGTGATCAAACTGAAAACCAATTATTACTTTATAGATAAATGTAAAAGTAGTATGCAGATTTAAGATTTTATTTTTTAAGTACCCTGTTTTATATTATTATATTGTGTACAACGGTATTAATAATTATCCTTAGGACCTTACAACTAATAATAATAATTGCATACATAATACAAATACCATTTTTTTTTTTTAAATATTCAAAAATATTTTATTATTTATTAATAATAAGTGAAAATATTATTTGTTTTGTCTTTATACATAGTTTTGTTTATATTACTAATGTTATGTTTTGCTCACAACATAATATGCACAAAGTAAGAAATTAGAATATACAGTGTATCAAGAAAATATAATATTTCTAAAGACAATAAAAATAATCAAATACTGTTTTTGTTATATTACTTACAAGGATAATTACTATAAATATTTATATTTCAATTCATTTCTTATTCTTTGGTAAAACCTTAAGATAATTATTTATTATTTTTGAAAAATTCAAGATAGCATTTCTTGTTCTGTCAATTAGCCATAGTAATAATAATCAATTGAAAAATGTAATAACAGCCTGTTGTACAATAAAATTAGTCAATTTACTCTTAACTTAAAACAAATATTAAAAAAATCACAAATTTGATGAAAATTAAAATTTTCAGAAGAATAACACTGTAATAAAATTTAAAAAAAAAAATGATTCAAATTATTCAAAAAATAATAAAATAAAGTTATTAATTTGGTTTTTTTACTAAAATATAAAAATTTAATTCAAATGTAAATACATGAAGTCCTTATCCCTGCAGGTAATACAGAAAAGAATCACAATTTGGCTATCTTTATAATGTCAGGATGTATTGTAATGGGTATATCTTCGTGAGACACCTGTATTAATTGGGTTGTCAATTACACTGGAACATGCGATTCTATTATCAATCATATTATTATCATTAACAATAACATGATAGGTATTAATTAATTAATTATTAACCGAAAATCATCATTAATCCAAAAAATTGTGTCAGATATTGGTCAGTGGGTTCGAAAACAAAGTCGGAAAAATGTGTAGTTCAGCGAAGCATGAAAATCAATGTAAAATATTTAGTAGTAAGTTTTCATAGTAGGAAAAATGGGACAAACACGTAAATTAAATATTGACAAATTTTGAGCATACAATTTCAATATTTTAATTTCTGCTAATCATTATATTTTCTACCAAAAATCTTGTTGCAACCGATACAAATGATAAAAAAATCTTTTTTGTTGCATTTTAGATCTAGTTAGCTAATAAAAGTCATATTTCATTTTTAACCAGATATTATAATTGTTTGGAAAATCGTAGGGAGGTGGCTTAATAAATACAGTAAACTTTACTGTATAATACTAAAATGATTGTGCTAATTTCAAATCTTTTAAAGTATTTTAAACGATTTAAAATATTAAAAGCATTGCTTTTGTAATTTTCCCAGTCTTGCTTCTTTTTTCCGGATATTCCTAATAATAGACTAACTACTTGTAAAATCATAATACCATATTCACCAATGAGAGTTTAACAATAACGATCATTTGTCGTTTATGCATTGGAGCAATATTTTTGGTAAAATCCATATTTCGTAAAAATTAACAATGAAATCGATAACGCAGCGGGCTGTAAATATTTATTAATTTTCCTACAATATTTTCTCCCGTTTTACTTAATTAATATGAAAACCTATTGGAAAATCAAAAATCACTTCCCCAATACACCAAATAAATAAAATTTTCTTTCAGAAAAGATTCTACACACGAAAAATATTCAATATAACTTTTTTTGAAAATTGTCGAAAATGGTTGAGGAATTCTAGAAATGCTGTTCAAATATAAATTACAGATTTATTGATATTTAAATTTTTAGGCGAAACATAAACGGTTATTAAATTGTGATATTTTATTAAATTATGTGGCTTAAAGATTAAAATATATCAAAAATAAACAAGCCCAATGCGGTTGAAAAGATAAACTTCCATTAATTATGATAATACGATTACTAATCACTAATATTAACTAACACGAAAGTAAGATAATTTTTACTAAACGAAAAAAAAATATTTTTTCCATTAGCATACATCTCTGTCAAATAAAATATATAAGTAGATTTCTTAAACGAAAAATAATCTTAATTAAATAAAATGGGAAAAACCAAGGAGTTTTTTTAATATTATAATAATAACATCGTGTCTACTTAAAAAAAAAAAATAAATAAACGCTGATAAAGAAAATAATATTAATTTATATTATTTTTATTTTTTGGCATTTTGTGAAGATAAAATGTTTTTTCTACATAAGATAATATTTCGCTTCGTGGTTTTTATACACAATAAATTAATACGGGTAAAAAAAATAAATACATGAGTTTTTATTTGGAATATGGAATAGAAAAACAATTTTTTTAAAAAAACCTAGTTCGCTTTGGTTTTATAATTGCAGCAAGTTTTCGATTAACTAGTTTTCCTCTGTTCACCTAATTTAAACTAAATTAAATTAAAATCTGTTTGTGGTTTCAACATTTGGGGAACAGTTTGTCAAAATTATTAAACAAGAAGACAAACGTTCTAAACTTGTATTGAGGGGTTTTGGTGTGCAATTTTGGAACAATAATTACGAAATCGACGGAATATCCATTATTACGGCACACGAGGGTATTTAATAAAAATTCAGAGATAGCCAACCCACAACCCGTAAAATTAATTACTTTCATAACACGATATGTTTATTTTTGTGCAGAAATTTCTCCGTGTCAAGAACATTTTACGTTTATAATATTATTGACCAGGAGAGCATGGAATATATTTTCAGGAATATCACCACAAAAAGGCGGCCGTATTGACAACAACGTCGTGCGTCGTGCGTAAAATTTAATATTTTAATCTAATAAGTGGATAACGCTGAAAAATGTAGGTACCGAAAAAAACCAGAATAATTTTTCATTATAATATGAATTTACAATGTATAGAAAAAAATTTACAAAAAATATAATGGTTTTGATATAAAAGTTTTAATTAATAATTAATATCTTATTTGTTGTGTGTTAATTTTTTTTTCGAAAGTTTTTTGAAATGAGGATTATACGTTAATATCATAATAAAATAAAACTATTAGGTGTAAATGTTCGCAAAATACAACATTAAAATGTTCGGGAAAAATCACAATTGTTGCAACAATTATATTGTGAATTTATATTTCATATTTTAATTAAATTTTGGACACATAGTTTGAACCACTGAAAATTAAACGTATTATAGTACTAATCCTTTAACATTCTTTGATTTTAGAAACACAAAATAGACGATATTAATCCGTCGCCAGTGAGTAGCGATCGAAACTGTTTGATATTCTCCCGCGATTTACGATGTTTTTAAGTGGCCTTTACACGAAGAGTTTTGACCGCGCGATTAAACGGCGCGAGGGCTTTCATGCGAGAAATATTTTCCGACTCTAGATAACGGGTCTAGCAGAATTGAACGTGTTCAAAACTTAAAAGGTTTATGCGCGCTCTTGTGCGTGGTTAATCGTTTTATTATTTTTAGGACGACGCGCCGTTCAATCACTGCGGATTACGATCATCGTGTATTATTATTTGATTAATTATAACATAACTTTAACAATTATTTGTATTATAAATAGGAACATTATATTCGAAAACCAAAGCTCCTACAGTAGTAACAAATACATATATCATTTTTAATAAACGTTAATAATAATTATTTATTTAAAAAAAATTTAAATTAAATATAACACATTATACGCCACCACGCTATGTATATCAAATAGCGGCGGCGTCCGAACCACGTGCAGAAGTGTGCTCGCCGATTATTATTCGTCTATCGTACATACGGCGGCCAGACGTGGCCAAACGGTCGATCTCCATTTCATTAGAATTTATTTTTACGCTATTGGTAAATAAATAACAATATTGCCAATCATTAAATCTTTATTACGTCGTAAATTTATCGAGTAATTATACGATTCAACAAAATTCATTGTAATAACCGTGAAACTTCTTCAAAACGAATGAATTTTAAACAACTACTACCCGGCAACCAACGTGTTGGGCGGCAGTTCGTCCAATTATTAATTATTAATCAAGTTAATCAAAAATATAATTGTCTTATAGTCTGTCCCTGGAGAGAACGGTCCGCTCTCCGACCAAATCGAAGCGCTCCTGCGCATCCCCACGCCGCAACACTATCCATTTATCCCCTCCCGGATCTATCGACAGCGCAGCAACGGCGACCGCAAAAGTGGTGCAGGTTTTGTACACTGCGTTTAAAATAATGCACTGCTGACTGTCGATAGTCCACTGTCTTGTCGCCAATTGTCGTGGTGTACGCACACGTCATTTATACAGCGTTTACTTTTTTGTACCGTTTGGTAATTTTTACTTTTTTCTCAATTTTTTTAATTATTTTAAAATGAATGACGGCGAGTATATATATCTCTGTATTATACCTACAGTGTTCAATAAGATATTAAATAAATAAATATGTATACAAAAAAAAAACAAAGTCTGGATTATTATAGAAGGTGCTTGTATATACGATAGTTTACGATTTGAAAAATTATCAAGAGGTTATGAAACAGCAAAGGTAAACAAACGTGCGATGCGCGATGTCTAATAATAACAATTGAATTTCTACAAAATATCCTAGCGGTGTATAGTCGAAAACCGACGACGGAAGAAATGACAATCGGCTGCCTTCGCTGAAATCAAGTTATGTGGAGGGGGAAACATGTGCATCAGCGGACCGTCCTCTCCAGGGACAGACTATAGTGGATCTAGACCAAAATGTTTGGCCACCCCTGATAAATACTTTGCTGGGCATCGCCTAACATAATATTTTGTTTATAAATAATATTAATTAAAAATAAAAATGATTTAAATGTGCATGGTTCGTGTGAGAAATGATGTGCGACTAAATATTAGCAACAAATAATAACTTCTATGTTGGGGTAAACCCAAGATAAATTTCTTATCAGCACGAGTCGCTCGTATTGTATTTGAAACTGATGGGAAATCGCGAGTGACTCCGGGAGAGTAAAAATAATTGTACTTGACGATAAAATAAATCCTACGCTCGAGAAGCATCACGATTGACGATAATTCGCGGAGTACACGAAGTCGTGACTCAACCAAAATGTGACGAACAGTGGTGTACATGTAGAGGGAGGAGCAAAGGAGGCATTCGCCTCACCGTGATCGTATAATTAAATGTGTGCATTGATATATTTTTCAAGAAATTTTCTATTTTAAGAATGGGTGAAAACATAATTCGTCTCCCCCCCTTGTTATAAAGGCCGATAGGTACGCCGCTGTTGAATGTCAAAATATCGGCAGACGCCCAATAACGCCGTGTGAATGTGCAAACATACGGAATACGGAATCCAAAAACACTTCACCGCCGTTCAGACAAATTTCACCGCGGATACTTAAATATTATACAGAGTGGTCTATTTTATCCAGCGATGTACTCGTCGTTAAATTTTAAGAAGCGTATTCGATTTCTGTTTCTCTTTTTTTTTTTTTATACATATAAACATTATGCATAATTGCTATGGTATCGTTTGAAAACCTCGACTATTGCAATACTATTTTTAATGAGTGTAATACCTACACTTCAAATAGAAATTCCCCCCATTTTACACACAGATTTAAATAGAGAATATTATAACCTGCGTACTGACAACTGTTTGAGCCATAGGTTTATATCGTTTTTAAATTTTAACAGGAGGGGTAGTAAAGGGTAATGCAAAAACATATTTTGACTGTCTGCGCAGTCTATGACAGTGAAAAATCTACAAGATTCATTCAACATGGAGTTCTCAGGAAAACGCTTTTTTTAATATATGTTTGAGAATATTTAGCATTTTTTGAATATCTTTACAAATCATGGTTAATTTTGTAAATTAGGGTATGACATAGAAATACAAAAAAATAGACACAACATTTTTTTTTTTCTATATTTTAGTCGCTGTTCCAACAATACTCGGTAACTTCACTAAATAGGTAATAACTATAATATAAATAAACCTAATAATAAATAATCTATAATTTATGCAGTATAATTATTAATACTATTACTAAATTTCAATAGGATTTTTTTTTGATATAAAGATATTACTAAAATTAGTTTTATTTACTTTTTTTAAAGAATGTACCTATTTATTCATAGATACATAAATTAAACGTTTTTTGTAATTTAGATTTACTTTTACTTCCCTCCATTATTTGCTCTTATCTTATTGTACTCCCTTAAAAATCCATACATCATGCATTTATATCATTGTCATTCAATTACTTTGATCTAACAAAATATTCTTGCTTAAAAACCTAAGGACCTACGTTTATGTACTAATAATGTACCAACAGTCAAATTTGAATACCAAGAAAAATAGGTGAAGGTTTATAATATGTGTTATTTCTGTTTGTTAAGTGTTTTGGAAAAAATATTTATATTTGTAAATGAATATTAGGCCGAGAAAAATGTGGTCACTAAGAAAAACTGAGAAGCCCCTGCTTCAATATAATATTAATATCACACATTAATATGACCGCAGACCAGTTCATATTTATGCTTTTAAACATTTGAATATTCAATAAATAATTTGGTGGAAAACAGCAAAGGGACACGTTTGTGTAAAAGGAGAAGGTTCATTTCGGTGGTTATGAGTCCCATCACTCATAAGATACACATTTATAAAAAAAAAAAAGGTTTAAATCAATTGCTCAGAGGCATTTCTGAAAATTTATAATGTTGGTAAATAACTTTAGTATTATTTATGACCAAGTAATTAATAAATATTATCAAATTACTTCCAAAAAAAAAAAAAATACAGATCATAACAATTATACTATAAACCTTCAAAAACAACATATGGATTTATAAACTGAAAGGATAATATTTGTCAATGTATGCTCTAATCAGCAATCATTGATAATGAAAAAAGATTTGGAGTGAAGTTTGGTTATACATGTTTTGAAAAGCCGTAATACTAAGTTGTTTTGTCAAATTTAATTTTAACTCTCGTAAAAAAAATATATTGCACTAATTTTTGTTTTAAACATACAATAAGACATATAATGAAGCTCCTATCAAATTTTCAAGCATTTCAGAGTCTAACAATTTATCTACACAGTACCTACTATATAAACATTTACATAAAAAAAAAAAAACTCCGGAACATTATGAACTACAAAGATTATATTCATATTGTTAAAAAGGAAAAATGTTTAATATTTGTGATAAACTGCGATAATAAGTCATATGTATTTATATTCCGTAGTTCTATTTATATTTTAGATATAATATAATATATTATAAAATTAATTTTTTTATTTTAAATATTTGCGATTATAATTTTGTGTACAAATACTAAATATACCTAAATATAATAAATATAATTCATAAAATGTAAGATTGCTTAATGTGTAAAATGTTTTATTATTTATGGAAAGTTGCCTTAGGTAAGTGTAACAAATACAGATAGTACATTTTAGTGAAAAACACGTACCTAGATTTAAAACATTCTGAAATAAAAAGGGGGGGCCCCCTTTCATGGTTCTGCTGTGGGCTCAAAAATATTTCTGAACAGGCCTGGCTATAGTATAAACTTCAAAGCAAGTTTTCTGGTAGAAAAATTATTCAGACAGGAAAAAAAACACATCATAATATACCTCGCAACGCACCGAATACTATCATAAAAATGGTGGAAAGTCCATAACGACTTAAGTATACTTCAAGACACGCGCTTCTCAAAATAATATGTTTTACGATACAATAAAACATGAGCTTGTTTACTATACATTTCTAACTGACAATTAAAACCAACTTTAAATGCAAAATTGATTGAGTATTTATATATATATATATATATTGGAATACATGTACACATTTATCAAAAAAAAAAAAAAAAAGATGAGAGAAACTCAAAAAACTCAACATAGATACATATTATTGTACATATAATATAGTGGTATTATGTAATTAACAAGTAGGTATAACCGTATATAGATATAATATATAAGTAGGTATACTATACTACCTAACTGCGGAAATCAAATTCTACAAGCATTTGGTACAAAATAATATCATTAAGTTTAATGTACTTACTATTATGAAGGTAAACAGCGATGAAATGACGTTGAGGTCTATAACTGGGCAATTAGGTAATGTGCGTACCTACCCACTGTACGAAATCAGCTACGAAAAAAAAAAAAAAAAAATTAAATTATGAGGCTTCACAATCGGTAATCTCAGCGAGATATAAAATACTTACTGCAGAGGTAAAAAACAGTTGCTAGCTGGCAAAAAGAAATTAAAATTGATTTGCTTCTTTAAACGATGAAATAACGCAGAGATTGATGACTAGGCAATTAGGTAAAATGCGTACCTACCCACTGTACGAAATCAACTACGAAAAAAAAAAAAATTAAACCACGAGGTTTCAGTCGGTAATCTCAATGAGGTATAAAATACTAATTGTAGGGATAAAAAGCGGTTGCTAACTGGCAAAAAGAAATTAAAATTGATTCGATTCCTTAAACGATGAAATAACGCCGAAATCTATGGTCGGGAAATTAGGTGAAATGCGTACCTACCTACCGTACGAAATCAGCTAGGGAAAAAAAAAATAATAAAATGGCTAACTGCGGGATTCAAATTCTACAAGCTTTTGGTATAAAATAATATTATAAGGTTAAATATACTTACTACAGAGGTAAACAGCAGTTTAACCAAAAAAAGCAAAAAACCGGACAAGTCTTCTTCAGTAAAAAGAGAGATTCAAATCTGTAACGTGTGAAACTCAGAGAGAAGCACAAAAGAGAAAATGACTGGTGAGAGTCGAAAAACGGAGTGTCCTAAGTTTATTAGTGGTCGCCGGCCGTTCCCCGCAAGCCACCGGCCACAGCCCACTACCCGCCGCCCGCCATACCATCATACACCGCCGTGGCACGCCGCCCGCCATACCAACATACACCGCCGTGGCCCGCCGCCCAACGACCGGGACTCGTAAGAAAGATCTAAACCAGTGTTGCCAACCCACGACCAAGTTTGTTTTTAAACGAACATTTGTTCAATTGTTGTACAAATATAAAAACAACGAACGTTCGTACGACTAAATATGAATATTTTGAAAAAAAATTTACATATGATTGAAAAATGTGAATAGCGTACATCACAAATTATAAATTATCGTCCTCCGTTAAAAATTAGAAACCCACATAAAATCGGTGGCGACGCCATTATTTTGCTTTTGAGTATATTTTATAATCAATGCTTTGGAGAACCACAGTGAAACTATGCAACAACGATAAACCGGGCGGCCAACGCGTTTTCGTCCGTTTCGGCCAGTCCCCGTCCCGCAATGCCTATACAGCAATGGCATCTGATTGGCTGACCGGTTTTTAACGGTTACAAAAATACTCGCTTGTACAACTGCACACCAAACAACAAGATTATATTATGATTTATGAGTACCGACTAATCTATGCCTACACTACATATTATTATACATTATGTATTACACTAGCTGTCCCGACACGGCGTTGCCTACATATTAATTTCATTTTTCGTCATTTTCGTAGGCCGTGCGTTAGTGTTCAATTTAATTGTATTGATAGTGCTAATATTACGTGGAATTCACAATTTAATAATAACTATCAATTATTTAACTGGTATTAGTATTCGGATTATCAATACAATTAAATTAAACACTAACCCACGGTCTACGAAAATGCCAAAAAAGAAACTAATAGCGTTGCGACAGCTAGTAGTTATATAATTGACAGTTGCATAATTGATACCTTGATACCGGTAAACAGTCGGAAAAAAAAATACATATATAGCTATGCAAAAACTGCTTTTAAAAATCTCCCATTTACCCCCTTAAAGGTCGAATTTTCAAAAATCCTTCTTAGTGCTCCCCTACATCGCTTAAGGAACCTCAGTACAAAATTTAAAGTCTTTATACCCAGCGGTTTGGTCTGGGCGTTGATGAGTGAATAGGGGTGGTCTCTTATATGTATATAGATATAAAATTTTGCGGTCACAGTGTTTGTCATTGAAATCTTCCGGAGCGGCTTGACCGATTTCCATGAAATTTTTCGTGTATATCTGGTAGTTTAGGTTTGGACATAGGTGTCTATGTAAAGTAATGCTACTCGACAACTCATATGATGTTACAACATAATTGATTGTAATAGAAATAATTAAATCATTTGTATTAACAATACACGAATATTAATGCTGTATATTATGAATTATAAATAACTGATTTGTATACGTAAAGAAAATGACAATACGGGTATTGCATCGTCACCCCACCACATAGTGCTAAAAAACCAGTAAAAAAGTGTATATTACGTATTTATTTTTAGAAATGTGTTTCTCTCGAACTAACCAGCCAGCAGCAACCTTACCCGGCCAATCCATTGGTTTCACGATAATTATTATGACGTAACCAATAATCGGTGAGTGAAATGAGCTATTTCAACATTCTCACTTCATATTTTAGCGATTTGTTTTTTGTCTCGTCATTTATATTGTACTATCTACAGAGCAGCTTGTTTTTTAAATTAATGTTTCTAGAAAACAAATTTATTTAATTTTTTTTTTCTGTCTGTAAACAACTTTTCTACTTGCAAACTCACATTGAAGTATAACCTAGGGCGCATTTTCTGAAAAATAAATTTCTCTAATTAGTGCATAGGGGAGATCATAAATGGGGAAAATTATAGGTAAAAACGGCAAATATTTACGGAGCGCGGTGGTGTTACTGTTTTCATTGTGTTTATACTAAAATTTTCCACCAGAATATTACTTAGGTCTAACAATTTATCTACAGAGTATATACAAAATAAAATTTACCAAACAAAATAAACAAAGTTAAAATATCTATAAATAGCTCAAAAATTGCTCAAATTTTCTGATTTTTTATCAAATCTAAAAAAAGCAAATACAAATTTTCTGTCAACATTTTAAGTCTCTACGAATATTTTAAACAGAATTACATTCAAAATATTTGTAAATTTGTTCTTTATATTATTTCTTTTTTTCTTTTTTGAATACACTCAATTATTTATAAAATTATAGATAATATCAAAAAAACGACAAATTTACTAATGAACAAAATTAAAGAGCTGATACTGGAGACGTATTTTCATCAAATTTGAAAAACCGAAAAAAAACGGGAATATATAAGAAATGTAGGTATTAGTTAAAATATATTACGGCCTTCATTTTTTCTGTGCACAACTTTTCTACAAACAATTTTGCTCCAACTTATATTGATAGCAATGTTTCTAAAAGGAAATTTCACTAGGGAAGTACTTTAGACAGGTAATTTTCCGATTTTCTCAGGAGTTTTCCCACCAAATGTGAAAAACCGGGATAAAACATGGGAAAATCGGTACAAGCATTATTAAAGAAAATATGTGATGCCTATATAATTATTTTGCTATAATTCATAACAAAAGACTTTAACTCAATGTGGCAGACGAAGAGACCACTATTTCCGATAGTCTTGTTATTCTCGTGCGTTTAATCTTTGTTCGCTTATCGTATTTTATTATATTGTTGTGTCAAACCAGCCGACGGGGAATCCCAATTAGGAATAATAATAATCGCCGCCCGAATGGTTTCTGTACTCATATACAGTGGCGGCTCGTGGGTAAAATAATTGGTGGTGTACATTTAAAAAAATGTTTACATTAAGTACAATCGATTCAGATAACAGGAACTAAAACAACGCCCGCCGGACGTATTGAATATTATTCAAAAGAAATAATCAGTTCCCAATGTATTTTCCGTCAGGCAGACGGCCTGTATCGGCCCCAATCGGGGGCGATGCAATATTCGTTTGTGCACCTTCGCACCACAAATCTAATGATAATTGTGCCAGTCAGTTGTGATGAAACGGTCAAATATGCATGCGCAACTTGTGCCAAAATTGTATTTGCCGTCCTTCCTCCGTGGCCGCGGGCACTGTGTATTGGGCACAATGGAATGCCTATAATGGGCGATAACATTTGTTTTTCTAAGTAATGAGTACCTCGACAGTCGACAGTCACAAAACATTTTAAATCAATCTCACGATTGGGCCAATAAAAGTTTATATTAAACTCATGAAAGTAATAATAGTATAATAGTAATATGTTGTTATCAGTCCGTCGTCACAGTATCACAGAGTAATATTAGAGTATTACATTACTCTATGGTCGCAGCATGTATCTATAATGTATTTAGTGCTTTTTTATTTGACCTATTGTCTGAAAATAGCTCTCAAGCAAATAGTTTCTCCGTTATGATATTTGATATAATAAATCATTATATTCATAGATCATATAATATATTATATGAAATTCGAACAAAATAGTTCTAAATAAAATTTAAAAACGTAAAATTAATGATATTTCACTGTAATTATTATTATATTTAGACTTAAAAAACAAGAGGTGCTAAATTTGAACCCGGGGATGCAAAAGACCCTCTTGCGCCACTGCATGCCGTATACATATGTTTATAAACGTATGCATGTATACATAGGCTTTATTACTTATTATACATATTTTGCAATTGAAAAATTATTATTGTTTTCCTCAAAACATATTATTATGTATTCTAAAACGATTAGGTATACAGTGTATATTCAGATCGATAATAATGTTTTAATAGTAGGTATGGCTTTATGAGACGTGATAAACATCGCAGTAGTGAACGTGTTAGGTACCTAAATACCTAATTAATCAAAGATGTCAAGGCTACACGACAAGTTCAGAAAATATTTATCTGGTAATGAAAAATTAAAAAAAAAAATTACAGACTGAAGAAAACATAAATACCAAGGGTGGTTCTTTAGTTAAATTGTTGAATAAACCTAAAATTCCATTAGCTGATTTTATAACGAAATCAGCTGTAAGTACTTAGTACTTATAATTTATAAATAATAGTATCTCCCTGGTCCCTACCTATTATATTTATATTTTATTTACCTATTCAATTATTGTAATATTTACTTTTACTACCTATAAATTATAATAGCTGACGTCTGATTGAAGACTGATTACTATATCGAACATTAAATGAGTCAATAATTAAAATGTCAATAGCTACTCAATATATAGGCAGAGTCGTATTTAGGGGGGGGGGCATCTGCCTGAGGGCTACATGTGTTAGGTGAATAAAATATTTAAGCGAAATTCATTTTATAAATACAATGAAAAAAAAAACAACGAATTTTACTTAATGTAATTCATAATAAACTTGATAAAAACACTCGTATTAATGACGTTTTAGATTCTGAGTGAACCAAGGGATAGTTTCCATAAATGAAAGATTCAAGCAATTAAATAAATATAATATTTATTTTGGTTTCCTTTATAATATTGGAAGTATTTCTGTAATGGATAACGATGATTTAATGAAACATTGTATGAATATTCAAATCTTGCTAGAAGTTGGCGATACAAAAGATATAAATGGTATAGAATTGTTTGATGAATTGATTATTCTTTGTGATATTATTGAAGAAGACACCCTACCTTTAAATGTCTTAGAAAAAATACTTAATTACAGTGCAGACGACTTATACTGTAACGTGTTCATAGTACTAAGAATATTGTTAACTATGCCTGTAACTACTGCTTCAGCTGAATGTTTTTTTTCTAAGTTGAAATTAATAAAAAATTATCTCCGAAGCACTCTGTGCAAAGAAAAAGTCACCAACTTGTCTATAATATCTATTAAAAAGGAAATTTCTAACCAACTAAAATATGATAATATAAATATATTTGCTGACATGAAAAGTAGGAAGGTTAATTTATAATACAAATTGTTTATTGTTTTAGTATTTATTGACTAATTGTGTTAATATAATAATATTAACACAATTAGTGTTATAATTATATTATAATTAATTATATTATACTAAGTATAAGTGTTCTATTAATTAATTAATTCAATTATTCATAATATTGTAAGTAGAAACTATACTATTAAAGCAAATTAAGCTTTGTAATACATTATGTGTTTATCAAAAGGGTAGTGTAGTAACTTAAAAAATAAAATTGTATTTCTCCTTTACTATGGTAAAAATGCAATTATTTATGATGAACTACTGTATTTTCTTGAATAAGTCAAGCGAGAAAATATGGTAAGGTATCAATGATAATAATAGGTTACAGTAAGTCTGTAAATGCAATATTATACTTGGTATCTCAAAATACTATTCAATTATTGTATTATAATTTATTCAAATAGTTTTAAGCTTAGTTTAGACTATTAGTCCAATATACACTAATGTATTATCTCAAAAAAAGTAAATTTGGTTAAAATATGTGTAAAATCTTTAAAATCGAGTGTAAAAGTATTCATTTTTTCTATTCTAATAATCATGTAATATACAAATAACATATGATGTTTATTTTCTTTTTCTACGAAAAAATTGTCTACCAGCATTATTGCTCCGTTTTACAATGATAGCACTTTTTCTGAAAGAAAATCTGACTGGGGTGGTACTTTAAGAAGGTATTTTTTGATTTTCCCAATAAATGAGGAAAAATGAGAAAATATTAAACAATATTAAACAAACATTACGAAAGAAAATATATAATGTATACATAATTATTTTATTATAATATGACATATATATTGTTGACAAATCTACACTATCCACCAAACTCCGCTTAGAATCGTTTTCTCATTAGCAATGGTTTATCGTTGCTTACAGATATACATTAAATTTCAACTCTACTACCTTCCCAACTACACAACTATAACAGTGGCTGTATCTGTCCCCATTATCCTAGGATAGCTTTTTAAGTTTAAATTTTATTAATAGCATAGTTTATTCTAATTTGTAATCTGCTTGCAAAGCATTAAGATTACTTAAAGATGATGGGCATTATGATAATATATTACAAGAAGTATCATTATCAAACATGACATGTAAAATAAGATTATCTGTTTGCATTGTCAGCTAATTGACCCATTAAACTTGTGGTTGGATTATAGACATATCTTAGCTAATGTTTTATTCAAAGAAAAATTGGTAAATCCAGATGCTAAATTTAATGATTTAATTTACGAGTACAACAAAACTTCAATTCTAATAGAAGACAAATTGATAGCTTTGATTGGAAATTACCTCAAACATAATCAAATACAAAGTCCTCCCAAAAGTCCAATTGACACAGCAAATTTAAAAAGTTTTATATATTATTATGAAAAAGAACAAAATGATAGTATTTCAATTATTAAAAATCAACTTACATTTATTCAAAAATATATTTATAATACAATTTTGGAGAATATAAATTCCCAAAATAGTAGTTTATATTCTTTGGTGCCCCAGGTGGCACAGAAAAAATATAATTTTAGTGCTAAATTTAATTAAAAATGAATAATTAGAATTCTAAATAAAAAGTAAGGGCTAGAATATAAAAAAAATATTATATAGTTGATAAAAAAATTAACTTCAAATAGTTAATATTATTTACAATTTATTACTAAATACTAATTTTTTTTCTTTTGTGTATTGTATATTAACAAACTCATTGATAAATACACTATACTTATAAATACTTAATACCTACCATATGTGTTACATTATTACAAGAAATGTGTTATATTTAAGATTTTCTATTAGCTGCATGTGTTGCATGCTTAGGTTATGATTATAAACATTTTTCCGAAAAATGACATGCAAAAAAAATTTAGAAAATTAAGATACAATCATGTTTATTTCCAATGTTTAAAAGTATTCATATAAATATATGAACTGAAAAAAAAACAAAATAAATAATTATTGAAGTAAAATTGTAAATGTATATTAAAATTTAGCATATTTACCATATGGTGTTTATGATCAATGAGGTTCATATTTAGAATTTTATTTTGCATCAAACTTTTATTCAAATTAGTGTTAATAAAATATATATCTACTTAATATGAATATTATATCTAATTATGAAACGTGTTATTTGTTATTTAGACAATTATTTATAGTAGCTTATTTTCAGGTATCAAAAATAGGTGGTATAACATTCCATTATATGAATTATAATAATTACCTATATAAATGGACAATAAATAATTAAAAACATTGTTGATCACTAATCAATGAAAGAACAGACAAAATCCAGTATTTGTAATTCGTAAATAATGTATTGATGTAAAATAATTTAACCTGCACATTTTTAAGTTAAATTTGTCAGTGGCAAACTGGACAATTTCTTTAGATACCCATGATTGTAAAATATACACTTTCAAGTAATTACTTACATAATATATTCCAATAGGTATATAATTAAATTGTATATTTAATATATTGAAATATTATAGGATTTAATAACATATGTTTGAAACAAAAAAGTAAACTATTCTCATAAGTCATGACAATGTTTACATGAACGGGCAGCTGGTATGACATATATTGTTGACAAAGCATCATTATCAACTGAACTCCGCTTATACGCTTATATTAGTTTACCTATAGCAGTGGCTGCACCCGCCCCATTATTCTAGGGCGTCTTTTTTAATAATAGTAATAATCATACACCAAATAGAAATAATAAATAATAAAACGTATAATAATAATCGTCCACCGAATCGGAATAATAATTTTAACTAGGGTAACAATAAATTATAACCGTCAAACAAATTACAATAATAATCGTGAAAATAATTTTACTCGACCACTAACCAATTATAATAATAATAATCGATCTATAAACTGCACTTATTGTCGATAGACAACGAATCAACGACAGCAACAACTTAGGGCCACGCCACAATAGTGCGTTATTGACGCGTTTTCACCGTTTCAAAACAGCGCGATAACTACGCTTGATATAAACAATCGAAAACACACACCATACAATGGAACGCGCCACACTAGCGTGGTTTTGCGTTTCGAACGCGATAACTCATTAACGCTTGGAATTATATAACACGTAGTTTTATGTGGTACCTACGCGACATACCTCGTCCGTAAGCGACGCGTTTTAGAACGAATATCAAAACTATAATATTAAAAAAACTACAAATATGTCTGAACTAGACGAGGTATTTTTGTCTAAAGACATAGTTAATGCGTGCAGATCGCGCTTTGAAACCGAGAGGTGGCAAGACGCGCGTTAAAAATTCTCTAGGCCGCGAGCACATTGGATGCGTTTTCGTACGAATTTGATTCGTGCGAACTTGTACGTACACGCACGAACGATCCCGGCCTACCAATTACTATGTGAGAGCGCAGACTGGGTGCGATTTGTTCGTACGTATACGTACGTGTAACTTTGACGTACGAAAACAATCAGAACCTGTCCGGATTTCATTAACGTTCGTACGATAATGACGACGACGCAGCCGTCTCCGGATTAGAAAAGAACTATCTTGAAGGTACAGATTATTCATTGCGTTCTAATAATGTTAGGTTAATAATAAGGTTATAACAATAAGGTTCTAATAATAAGGACGTCACGAATGCGATATCACCGGAAGCCTGACTATTTTACGGAAAAAAACGTATTCAGTGTGCGCAATCAATTCGTACGTTTTCGTACGAAACAAATTCGTATACAATTTGCGCGCGACCCTAGTGTGGTGCGGCTCTTAAACGGATACAATAATAATGATAACAAGACGCCGCGCCGCGCCGGCTCAACGAGGAAAAATAATAATTCTGGAAGGGATGATAAAAATTCACCGATCGTCAACGTTTAACCGAGCATCCGAGATGGTCACATTTTGTGATCGATTTGTAATCAGTGTGATCGCTAAAACCAAACGAATTTCATAATTTTATAACAGATTCTCAATTTGAGGGGAAATGGTCACCGGTTACTCACAACGAATATGTGGTTAAGTATCACTTATCTATGATATTTTCTTGAATAAAAGTTAAATTAAAACAATTTTAATTTTTAATTTTGACACCGACTACTATATACGTATCATATCACTAATACATTTCAATTCTTTATAAAATTAGCTCAATAATAATTTTTATTTATTTTACACTTTTTTGTTTTCTTTTTTTAATAAAAATTATTTTTACCTATCAATTAACACTGCAACATTTTATCTTATTAATTATACTAACTGTAGTTCTAATATAATATTATAAATTGTTAAAATAAAAATGGAAAATATAAAGCAAGAATATGAAAGCTCTAGTTTAAGAGATTGCTCACAAGATTTGTTTTTAGCTGCTGAACCAAACCAATCCAATAGCCAAAATCATACTTCAGACTCAATTGGAAATAAAAAAAAAAATAAAAATAAAAAACATATTGAAGCAGAAGAAAGGGAGAAAATGAGGTTTTTTTTACATAATATTACCCAGGTATTTGATGTTATATTTTAATATTAAATTATCATTGTAGAGTTCTTGTTTCAAAGTTCACTGAAAAACAATTAAATCGATATGAGATGTTTAGAAGATCAGTGTTTCCAAAGTCAGTATTCAAAAAAGTTAGTATTATATTTGTGTATTATTTGTTGTGTAATTAGTTTATATTAAAATTATAATAACAATTTTGTTTTCTTTAGATCATACAAACAATCACAGGAAATTCTGTTTCTCAAAATGTTATCATTGCCATGTCTGGTATTGCAAAAGTTTTGGTTGGTGAAATAGTGGAAGAAGGTAATTTGAAATAATTCATAAAATATTATCTATATAGGTATATATAATGACAATCTCTTAACCTAAACTACTATTATTATTTCACATTAGCTCTTGACATTATGGAAGCCCAAGGTGATTCAGGACCATTACGTCCTAAGCATTTAAGAGAAGCTATTCGGCAACTTCGAAAAAGTGGTACACTACCATACTCAAAAAGTAGAAAATCACCTTTTTGCATGTAGATATAAGTATATAAATGTCAAAATATTAAACTTTTTTTTTTGCAACAATTATAACTTTTGTATAATCCACATTTTCTATTTCAAATTTATTATTTAATGTAAAAATTAATTGGTAAATATTAAATTTCTCATTTTTTAATTATAATTTTAGTTTTTTAAATTGAGTAAATATTTTAAATTTAAATTATAATAAAAAATAGGTTCTATGAATATAACAATCGGGAAGTAATTTAAAACTTATAATTAAATGTATTTTAGAAACTATAAATAATTTTAAATAATTAATTGTAGGTATAAGTTATTTCCCTGAACCATGCATTCTTGTTATGGTGATCATAATAATATGTACTACTTATTAATGGGTTTTGTGTTTTTTTTTATGTTTTAAATATTATATCCTAAATGTTAGTATATGTATGTAAAGTATGTAAAGTCACAGGATGTGTTAGATACATTTAATGTTCTAAGCCACTATTTAGAAGAGAAATGATATATTTCTTCCTCCTGTGACCTTTTTCTATTCAATTATTATAATATTATAGCATTACCCCCATGAAAAAATAATTGGCTTATTTATGAATTTAAAATATGTTTTATATTTATAAACGTATGATCTCCCTAGTAGTATGAATACACAATAGCAACAAGCTGCAACAGTTAAAATTGTGTTGTCTATTAATCATAAACAGAGAAAAAAATGTATATTCCAACACAAATAAAAAAAATAAATAAATAAGTTATTAATGTGTAGATAGGTACCAATTAATAATAAATATATTCAATAATATATATTATTTTTGATGTACATACATTGATTATTAAATCTCAACATTAATGGTAAAATAATCTGCTGCTCAGATGATGTAGTCTGTAAGCCTTACTTCCTATTAAAGTTTGTTCTGGTTTATTATAATACCAGAAGATGAAAATATTCTCTCAATGTTATCTGATGAAGCCCATTATGTGAATAGTTGCTTATCCATTTCATTAATTTCCTTAGTTAAGTTTCTTTCTAAAGCTATCCACTAAAATATGAGTAGTTTAAGTTTTTAACAACATTCTCATTGAATGGGTAAAATTTTAGTAGACATCCCTGTGTTTGGATGGTATCATTTCAGCCATTATTTCATGATGATTTTTATTTACATCATTAAAAGTATTGACCAATTGCTCCTAAATTAATTTTATTCCAAAATACCAAAGATCTAATATGTAGGCCAAATAATGGTACTCACTTATTGTCATTGCGAAGCAATTTGTAAAAACTTTAACATTTCAAAAATACATACTTTAGCTTCAAAAAAAAATAATTTATATTGAGTAGTTTCAGAGACTCAAGGTTATCATTGTAATTAAAATTGGAATTTGCTAAATGTATCAATATTTGTACTGGGAAAATCAATGGAATATGTTGTAAATACAAATCAAGTGTAATATAATTATAACACATTTAATAAATAACTATACAACTTAATCATTTATTACTTGAAAACTATTTTTCTTTTATTATACTTAACTAACACATAGCCTACTAGTCACATGGTTTATTTATTACATTAAAAAGTAACTAGGTATAAAACAAATTTGAATCCTAGCCTAATATGTTGGTATGCACAATTTGTTTTGCACATTTGGAAAATTGTTTACAATTGCATGCCATAGCATTTTCATAAGTATAATTCATATTATATTAGTAAAAAATAGCATCAATTTAATAGTACTTATATTATAATTGTAAATTTGTAAGTGTATTGATTTTACATTGATGTTTCTTTTTATTTATTTTTATACTGTGACAAATATTTCTACCAAAGATCTTACTTTGATATGTAAGTGTAGCAGTTTTTCTGAAAGGGAATATTGTCTATATGGTACTTATGTTAGTCAATTTTCGATTTTTAAGGGGTTTTCATAAACTAATGAACATAGGAATAAAATATTGGAAAAAAAGGACCAAATTTACGAAACTAATGCTCTTTAATTCAGTTAAAAATATTTGTTGATACTTGAAATTTGAACAGAATATTAATGTTTAGCTTTTTTTGATGTGGTAAAACTGTTAAAACATTTGATCTTTTTACAGACAATTTTATTTAGTAAATACAAGGTGGATAAAATTATTAGACTAAATAAAAATTCTTGAAAATTGAACAGGAGGTTTATTATAAGTTGTACTTTATGGTTAAAACGAAAAAAATTGAATTTAATATAATATATTTTTTCTATAATTATTACAAAATTTTAACAAAAATCATTTTAGTAACAAATTATATGGTACAAATCTAGTTACTGGGCTACACAAATTGTTTCAATATATATTTATTTTACTATAATATGCCATATATATATTGTTGAAAAAGCAATACTTAATAGTATGCTTGTCTCAGAATCGCTTTTGATTAGCAATGATTAAACATTGCTTAAAGATATAAATTGAATCCCCTTTTCTACCCTACCTTCCCAATTTATCACCTACAACAATGTTATGCCTTTTGTATGAATTAGGTCTGTAAAAGTCCATAATGTTAATAGGAATATTTTTATTTGAATTTCAACAAAAAATTAAAATTTTTTTAAATAGCTCAAAAATGGTTGAAATGTTTTAAAAATTTTACCATATCTAGAAAAGACAAGTATAAGTTTTTGTCCAAATTTCATGTCTATGATTATTTAACTTAATTAAAAATAATAAAAATATTATTTTCTTACATTTTTCTGTTTTATTCTGGGTTTTCCCAAGAATTATGAAAATTGCTTATCAAAAATTGTGACACACTTAATATTGAAGCAAGATTTTTGGTAAATATTTTTGTAAAAAAATTAACATTGTAAAACGGATACATTCTTTGTTACTCTTAGAATATAAATATGTTCCTTTTATGGAACAGTTTGAATCTGCAATGACATAATCTGTTATCTATATTGGCTAGATAATAATATTGGTATTTTATTGGAAATTTTCCAGAAAGTTGTGATAAAAAATGAGCTAGGTAAATCTGGTAAGGTCAAATAGGGTAAGTGAATAATCAGAATAAGTTAAATAATTTAATGACTCAACACAAGATATAGTTTAAGTTATTTTGTGAAACTGTTAAATAGTACTAGAAGGGCTGACAATAAACTGTTAAAGGGCTGCTATACACTATTGAAATGTCTTTAATAGGCAATTAGTAACTGTATTATGTTATTTTAAAAGTCTGTAATACGTTTTTATAGGTTACAGTAAGAAATATGTTATCACTTGGCCATAATGAGTTGTCAGTGAGGATACTTTGAAGTTTTCTTTGTATTGGTAATAAACAGTAAGAAGCTGAAATAAGGGTGTTGTGTAACTTTTTTATTAAATACATAATTCTTAAGCTGTTTTTATAAAGTAATCCTAATCCTGTATAGATGTATCATATACTTCATAATACATATTAATTATACACATTTTTCTTTATGACTTATGTAAATTGTATAATATTAATGTTACCTATGCCATTTCCAATACACACAAGACAACTGGAAATACAAAGAACATTTAATTGAAATTTATTTTGATAATAAATACCTTTACTTGGTATATCATTTTCGTTCAAATGTTTTGTGTTAAAAACACAAGTAGATAAAATTTCATAAAAACCTGGGTCAAAATGAAGTCTACATAATTTAGAATTTTTGTTTGGTTTAAATAATGGATTGTATTTATTAAGAGTTCATTTATGTAAATAATTTAATTTAATTATTTTAAAAATAATTCAGGTTTGTGTCTATACTGATTAATTGTTGCTGTTGAAATAATAATAATTTATTAGATTGTGTGTACTTTGGAAAAGTAAGTGGGTTATATTTATTACATACACAAAATTATAAAATTGTATTTTTTTTTTTACTTTTGAAATAAATTAAGATTCATAATAAAGATATCAAGTGTTCCTGGTTCATGATTATAATAAATAATTCATTGTTAACCGTTAAACAAAAGGCATTGGTTTTTAAAAGTAGGTGCTTACAATGTAGTATTTTAAATAAAAAATTAATTAACAGTAAAAAGAAAAATGATTACACATTGTTGCTTTAATGTGCCAGATGATCCAAGTTTTATTTTCTTGATACACTTCACTTGACAATGGATGGTTCAGTACCTATATTTAGGTTCAAATGCAGTTCTGGCTCTAAAACAATAAGGATAGATACAGGTTTTGACAAAACATGAAATTCAGGATCAATGATACAATAATATATTATTATTTCCTTACAAGTAACTAAAAGAAACACAAAATTGCATTGCAGACATTAAACAAAATAATTAAAAATACTGAATTTAATAAATATGATCTAAGGTTAATCATTTGATTTATCAATTGTATATTACTATTTCATAGATAGCATCTATATTTTAAAATTAAAATAAACACAAATGAACGATCATAGATTTGGTTTACATCTTTTTATGTATCCACATTTATAATTTTATTAATATAAATTGTAGTTTTTACTACCTTAGCTGTATTTAAAAATTATCCATCCAAGGGCAACCAAAAAAATACCACCTTATAAAAATAAAATTTAATTGGAAAGTAAAAAGAATAAATGGCTATTAATAAATTTCAATTTTGTCTCTGGATTGTTCCTGGAAAATTCTTTTATTATATTATTGTGATTGATGCTAAAAGTTAGATTATTTTCAATGTTTAATGCTGCTAAAATATTTAGCTGATCAATATTTGTTACTGATTTAATATAAACAGTGTTGTTGAAAGAATCAGTCTTTTAGAAATTGAATTAATTTTATAGGAACTATCGAAGTAATTGATTCCATTAATTTTTAAAGAAATAGGAATGTGAATTAGTACTATATTTTTTTAAGGGATTAGACCTCTAATATTGTAATTTATTTGTTTTGATCAAAAATATCTTTTAACACATCTGGAAAAAAAAAAATGTTTTACATTCTAACAATATATCTATTTTAATTAATGAACACAAATATAGAGGAAGAAGATTTAAATATTATATCAAATCATGATGTAGATAATGAAAATTAATCCAAATGTTCTGCAGTGTGGAGCAAACAAAATCAGTCAACTTTAGTTGCATGATACAATGTGTCTTCAGAGTTTTTTTTAAAACACCAAACCATACAGGATGGTATTATATATATTGGTGGTTTTCAACCTTTTTGGATCCACAGTTTTTCTGATATTGAAAGCCAAATTAGCAGCTCCCTAATGATAACAATAAAAATGAAAATAAATAGACTGTATTATTCTACTATATTTACTATAGACACAGCTCCCTTAATACTAAACCATGGTACCCCTGGGAGCCACAAGGTCACAACAGTACAGGTTGAAAACCATAAGTATATATGTGCTTCGCCATATCAAGAATTTCAAAAAAGCAACTATAGTATCAAAAAAGTTTAGGACAATTGTAAAATATTATCATTTGTATCTCAGGAAATGACTTTTCTTTGAGAATACTGTGATGTAATAGAACACTTGGTAAATATATTAGATTTTTTGAAAAGTGAGAAAGAAATGTTTTTGGATTATTGACTACTAACACTATATACTACAGATTAAATTGCTACATTACAGAAAAAGAACAACAAATTATTGTACAGAACTAATAAATTACATTAAAAAATCAGTTAAGGATGTGTAATAAAATAATTGTATAAAGTTTTAAAGTAAACTAAATTAAGAAATAAGTTACTTTTTCAAAAAACAAGGAAGAGAATGGATTACTTTCTCGTAGAAACCAGTTTGAACAAATTACTTTTTATACCAAAGGACCTCCCAATTGAACAGATTTGTATAAAAAAGGACCCTTAACAACACTAAAGAAACATTTTTTGTCCTTCTTAAGATTGAAAATATTTCTGAAAAATATGTATTGTTGGTATATACAAAAAAATTATGGCACCATATGGATAGATTATCTGTAAACCTTTGAATCATATCATTACACTTAGTTTTTTAAGAAATTTATTTTTAAGGGATTTAATATGACTCTGTAAGTGTATGCATTCATTACAAAAGCTTTTATTTAAGTCATCTTTGCATATATTATATAGTATTTCAACATATTTAAAAACTTCCAATTTTGATATCATAATTAGGTGTAAAAAATGTGAATATTTTGATGTATTTGATAATAGAAAACAAAATTAAGGTTATAATAAATATATAATTAAGTTATAATGAAAATTATGAAAGCATATTATAGATTAATTAACAGTAGTAAACAAATAAAAATAAATTAAATAATATCATGTGTAAAAATCTGTCCTAGGATAATGGGACTGGGTGCTATCATTGTTGTAGTGTTGGGAAAGTAGTAGACAGAAAATCGAATATATATCTGTATGCGATGAGTAACCATTGGTAATGAAAAAATACTTGTCTAATATTGTACCTATCCTCTCCCCACCAATGGTTTCCCATGTTTTTCTCATTTATTAGGAAAACTTCTAAGAAAATCAAAAGATGACCTCCATAAAGTGCTTACCCAGATTTTCTTTTAAAAAAAGGAATTATTGTAAATCGGAGCAAAATGTATGGTAGGTTTTTATTCAAAGAAAAAAAAATAAACATTGTAAAACTGATACATTCCTCGCTCCACTTGGAATTTAAAATTAACTGAAAGAAGTTTTTAGAGGATTCAAATATTTAAAATATAATATAATTAGCCAACTTTTCATAATTACCTATTACTATTAATTTTGTAATATTTTATATTTCTATTATAAGATCTATGCTACTAGGCACCTAATATTTATAAAGTAAAATTTAAAAAAAAAATACTTTCAAATAGTTCAAGTATGTATTATCACACAACATTTGTATAAAACTATAAATTAATTTATACATATATATAATATAACATATGCAATTTTAATAAATTATTATTAAAGTTACCTGGTGCTACTAAGTTTAATGCAATACATGGCCATATTGTTGGTTTTTTCAATAGATTAAATGTAGTGAATTCAGATAATAGATTACTTTCAAGACCCACTATTTCATCTGCATTTGAACCATATAATTCTGTAGGTTTAATTTCTTCCAAGGAAACAGTTAGGACAGACTCTATAAACATAATATGTTTTTAAATACATAGATTAAAACATATAAAAATCTATAGCATTAATTTGAACCAAAGAAAATTGGTACTTGGATTTAAATTATTTTATTAATTTTCAATAAAATATAAATAATAGATAATATGTAATTTTGGATGAGAAAACATAAAAATTACTATAAAATGTACACCATTTAAATTATCATTAACTAATAATTTTCATCCAAAATTACATAAAAATTGAAATATTTAGGTTTAAATTAATTTTTATAAAAATCATTTGTTTTAGTACCATTTTCTGAACTGGATGAGTTGCAAAACCCATATTCCTTGTCCACTTTTCTTTTTTCTTTTTCTAAATAAATAAATAATATTTGCTCATTACACATTAACATAATAATATTTCAAAATAATTAGACCAGTAAATAACTAAAAAAAGAAGGAATAAATGACTTTTAACACATAACATATTAACATCCAATACTCATTTTTAGATTTTTTTTTTTCAAGTATGTATTTTAATGCACTTAATTCAAAAATGTTGTAAAAATTGAATTCCTTTTAGATTCAAATAATTTATTGGTTTTACAATGGTATATATTTTTATTTTTTATTTGTGAACAACTTTTCTTCTAGAAATCTAGCTCCAATTTTTAAGTGCAATACTTTTTCTGAAAGGAAATTTTATTTGGGTGATATATTAGGGAGGTTATTTTTTTTAATTTTCTAATCGATTTTCATAATAACTATGAAACACTAGAAAAATGTATGAAATGTTTTATTTTGACCCAGTTAAAAATATTTGTAGAGGCTAGAAATTTGGGCAGAAAACTTATATTTACCCTTTTTAGAAGTGGTAAAAATTTAAAACATTTTAGCCATTTTGAGCTATTTATAGATATTTAAATTTTTTGAGTTTTTATTCTGTAGGTACTCTATGGATAAAACTGTTAGACCAACAGAAATACTTGAACATTTAATAAGAAATTCATTATAAGTTGTACTTTGTAGTTAAACAATTTTTTTTAATTTTTCGTCGTAAGAATTTTAGTATCAAATTTTGACGAAGATCGTAAATATTATGGCCATTCAAAACATGTAGAAACATATTCAAAGAACTTTACTCAGAATTGCTTTTGGTTAGCAAAGAATAATTGTTGTGTAAAGATGTACATTAAATTTCCCTCTATAATCCTACCTTCCGAACTTCTCAACTACAACAGTTACCCACCCATTGTGGGAAGTATGTCCACCTTTATTATTTTTAAAGTTATACGTCATATCAAAGAACTTCAAAATATCCCAAACCATTTTTTTTTCTGAAGACCGGAATTTTAATGTTAAAATGATGGTGCAAAAAGAACTATTTTTAGAAGTTATAGCCATTTGAAGATAAATTAATTTTCCGGCGAGGGCACTTTTTCATAATATTTTAAATTAAAAAACCCTTGAACTCTTATGCAAAACTTCAACAGATAGGCAACATGGAAAATACAAATGCATTTTAGGTGCATATAGACTCGATAGTCATTCCTTTGACCATTTTTTTGATATAGGTAACTTTCAAAAAAAAAAAGTGCAATTTTTCCAAAAATGTTTACATTAAGTGCATCAAGATACATTTGTAAAAAAAAAAAAAACACTAGTGTTCTAATATACTATAAATACTTATTTAGCCAAGTACATTAAATATTCATTCTAATAGGTAATAGAATACCTATATACTTACCAATTTTTTCTTGATGTTCTAATGTTTTTTGAAAAAATTCCAAATAATTTAAATCAATATCATCACTACCATCTGAAGAATAGGCATCTTCTTCATATTTTTCTTCGATAACATTTGTATTAGTATTGAAACTCTTCAAAAATATAATAAATAATATGTATTTAAAAATTACCTATGTATACACAATTAACTTAAAATACTTCTGTATTACCTATTAATTATTAGTAATATCATTAATATACATATTGTGTCATAATTTAAACTATACTACCGTTTCTAATGATGAAGTTGATTCACTACTTGTGTTTTTTCTTACTCCTACAATACTGTAACCCCAATTGATTACATTTTCATAGTTTTTCCAAAAATTCAACATATTCTGATCCATTAAATGATTTATAAAAGATAAGATAAATTTTTATAAATAAAACACAATTTACACTCTGATTAATACAGTATAATATAAAATAAACGTCAATAATGTTTAATTGTTACTAATACACCTCAGTTGCATTTTATTATTATATCATTAAAGGTTTAAAGTAAACTTACATCTTGAATATATCTAACCGTGATTATACGCATAGAGACCAATGACCAAGAAGCTAATGAGTAATATGTATAGTAGTATTTGAATACAAATATTTACGTACGTTCCGTTAGCAATATCTGATAAGAAGGCCCAATGCTTCCCAAATTTGTAAACATTGTTGCCTATTCAACACCTGTAATTGTACTGCTATTAGTTTAATAAGTTGCCTACCCAACACCGAAAAATGTATTTGTTTAAATTCTATTGCTAACGTTCAATTTTGTACCTATGTTGCCTACTTAGCTTCTGAAATTGTTAGTGTTGATTTGTATTGCTGGGTATCAGCACCTAATTGATGGTATTAGTTATACTAGTATATTGTTTATGCTTGTTAGCGTTAAAGAATACTAGTAAATGCAGGGAAGGCCACGAGCAGGCTACCATCATCTCCTCCACACATACGAAAAAAATAGACACACAACTCAACATCACAATGAGAATAGTTAGTGGAACAGTAAAAAGCACACTGACACAATGGTTACCAGTCTTAACTAATATTCTGCCACCAACATTACGCAGGAAGGAGGCACTGCTTAGAACAACAACCAAAGCTGATAAGACGAAAAGGTCCCTGTTATACCAAATGCTGAGAAATACACCTAACCTCAGGCTAAAATNATATAAAAATAGTGGTCTAGTGTCAGATCCTAATAAAGGTGTAGAAGGCATGGATTTACCACGATGTATGGTCCGTACTTAATAGAATCCGAACTGGTCACGGCCGGTGCGGCTCCATGATGTCCAAATGGGGTCTTAAGGACAGCCCTACGTGTGATTGCGGTCACGATAACCAAACAATTCACCATATTGTGGAAGATTGCCCGAAAAGGAGGTTCAATCGGGGCATTGAGGGAATTCATGCGGCAAATAATGAAGCAATAGAATGGATTCGAGAACAAGACATTGCCTTATGACTGGATTTTATTTGTAAATATTGACCACGTGCCCCTACTTTTATTATTTATTTATTTAATTTATTTTCATTTTATATTTATATTTTTAATTGTAGTTATTTTTATTTTTATTTTATATTCATGTTATGATTTATATTCGATGTATATTGTGACCTTAACTGTTGATTTGTATTCCAGCCATACGAAATAATAAATAATAATAAGCTTCTGAAATTGTTTAACTTGTCTGTTTATTGCCTATCTAACTTTTAAAATTCCATTTCTGATGTTTAAAAATATATTTCTATTCTTACCTATCAAAAAAATATTTTTATTCAAATATTGCCAATTTGTACAATGTTTGAAAGTAGACTTCACGAATTATCTTTTGGTCAAATACAATTTTTTCAAATCCATAAGCGTCTATTCATAATCGGGGTCCAAATAAAGACTGTTTTGGCTGGTTACTGTGACGTTTGTTACTACTGATAAGATAATGATAAGATATTTTTTTTTACGCCATGCATTATTGTACATTTATTGCCTAACGCCTTCAATTCACGCATTCACGCATTTTCACGCACTTTGAGAACCACTAAGCTCTTTTAATAAATATTGCTAGCCGAACATAGCGGAATATTATTGATTCATTATTAATGTTTGATGTTATAGATTCTGTTAAGATTTCCATATATTAAAAATATTTGTCAAAGGATATTAGCTGAAAAAATATTGCAGGTATACAGGTATGTATTGAAAAACCAATTTTTCTTTTCTGTGATTATTGTAATGTTATGCTCACATAACATTTCTCGTTTAGGTATGCATTTTTACAACCATGTGACTAAAAAATTCAGATACGACCAAATACATGGTATGGTGCGATAAAAATTAATTGATTTAATAATCATAATGGGGTGCTTAATATTATTTGAGCGAGATTCATCCATAGACATTTTTATAATATGTCTATGAATTCAAATTATATTTCTTAGTTATCGAAACTTTGCAGTACGGATGAAAATATAGATCACATGCCAGTTGGCAGGTTTGACAATATCGTTCTCTCCTGTAGACTATACAAATTCATTACTAAACTGAATTTATATCTTTAAAGATTAATTATCAGCCGATTATATTTTATTAGTATTAATGTGATATCGTCAAAGATTATAATAAATTACTTTTTTTTGAGCTTCTCACCTACTCGAGAAAACCTTTTGACAATCACTCCATCGAAAACTCTGTATCTACCACATACAGTCACTACCACTTTTAATTGGGAATCTTGAGAATCTCTCGAATAGCTCCGACTTTTAGCAGCTTAATACTTATGATCAATTAATTTATATGTCTATATTAATTATTCAAACTTTTTCAATCCTAATGTAGGTAAATATTAGTATTTTTTATCTGAGTGCTGTATACAGTGTGAATCATTCAGATTAGATTATTTTAATTGAGTTGTTTTTACCATCCAACAATTCCAGGATCACATGAGGAAACCTACAAATAATTCTAACGTTTCAACACTGTGAGTAATTGATAACACCACTATTAGAGTTAATAGAAGTATCTAAACACTTCATATTCCAGTGGTGTCATTTGAAATGTGGCAGAGATGGCATTTGCCCCCTTGTTATCAACAGGCCTGGATATAGGCTAGTGTGGGTTCGTTTTAAGCCGCAAACCTGATTATGTTTTATGATACATTTATACTCCATACATATTGGTGGAAATAATATGGAAGTTGGGGTAAAATTTCTTTCAAACTAAGTCTTCATATAGTAGTTAATAGGTCATATATTTAGGTATCCCTCTGCATATATATGTGTTTTAGTTATTGTTATCCCTCAAAAAAAATGTGCTATTTATGAATATTTTGGTAAGTATTAAATTATGTAAAAAGGGTATTTGTATAGAAATAAAAATGTAATCGCAACAAATAATTTAGCGAGCAGCTTTCCTTTCAGTTTCATTGTTAGTTGGTCAAAAATTTCCCTCCTCCACATTTAAAAAACTGAAATGATGCCACTTATTATCATCAAAGGGAAAACTTATTTTGCTCTGTTACCTTATTTATTTTTCCTTTTTGAGTTATTACATTAATTTGTTTTTGCCTGCCATTATTCTTAATGCTCATTGTTCATGCCATATTATTACCTATTACACTTGACAGAACATTTTTATTTTAATTCATTTAAATTTCTACCTATTGTAATCTTAAATAATTAATTATTTTTGTTCACAGTATTTAACAATGACAACTAAAGTCGACACATTTAACATGGACGTTACTAAAAGCTTTGAAAATTCTCCACTTAATTCAAAGTAAGTAAATGAGTTAAAATGAAAACAATAACAATAATAATATTAATATGTACCCAATTTAATTTTCTACTCACCCACCTACAAAAAATACTCACTCCCACTCTACCACATCCCTTCTCTAAAACATAAAATAGGAGTCTTCAACCAATTTCAAAATTTATCACTTTCCGCATTTAATAAAAATTGTAATGGCTTTTTGAGTAGGTATTTGTGTAAACTCTAGTATATTCAGAAATTTCATTAAAAGCCATACATTTTATTTGATTATTGTACTATAGGCAGTAATACGCATTGTATTTAATAAGTAAGTATGTAATAATTAATTTTTTTGTATGTTATATTTGTGAGCATCCATCCATCTGCTGCGACTTGCCTACTCCATTTTTTTTGTGAAAAATGTGATTCAAAATTACCATTTCACACTGCTACTACCAATACTTTTTTTGACATGAATTGTCTATTGTTTAATCCATAATGATTGATAAATACTTTGAATCTTTTATTTCATTGATTGAGTTTGCTAATTATTTTTGTAAACTGAGACAATAAACTTACTAATTGGTGTTGTATTGTGTGTGATCTCCATTTATGTGTTGTGTGTTAAAGCTAATAATCTAACTTGAATTACTTGATTTATGTTTATTGGTTGATTAATATTTAAGTTATCATTAGTATGACCTCTTAATAGCGCTCCCAATAGGTGTTTTCAACACTATTATTTCGGTGATTCTAATTCAATGGTAAAACTTAAATATATGCAATGGTGAAAATAATATTTGTTGGTCATATTAGTATAAAATAACATGCAATTTATAGTCAAATATTATTTATTTTATATCTATGTATATACAGTTGAATCAATATTTTATTTGTGATCTATAAGGTAATCCGTAAATTAACAAAATAATTTGATAATTGATGTTAAGTTCTATTGTCACAAATTTCCATAACAGCAAATTGATGATAAATAAAATGATTTATTTCTTATACTTTTAGATCAATTAAAGAAGAAATAATCGATGATGTGGCATCTAATAATTTTTATGATGAAAACAAATCACTGCCAATAGAGTAAGTATTATTTAATTCAATGTTTCTCTGTTTGTGTATTTTTTAAGTTTAATTTTTTTAATCTTATCTTATATAATAAACTGTTAACTTTTTTTCTCTTTACATAAAGACCTTAAGTTTTAAATTTTCATAAGTGTTTTCATAAGGTTTTTTATTCCAACATACAAGTACCTATATCATTGGAAAGTAAGATAAAGAAGTATAGAAACTCCATATAAAGCTTTTAAATGTCTGATATAGTTTTTTTTAATTTTAATTACTATTGAGATATGATTATCAAATTTAATTTAAACATAAAAATAACATAAATTGTGTTATTAATTTTATTATTGCTTATGTTTTTATGTATCCATACGATTATAATTAATAAGGTTAAATTCAGAGCGTGTGGAGGACTGTTTTGATTTTACAATGGTGGTCATTTTTATTTTTACTGTAAACTAAATTTCTATCAGAAATCTTGTTCCAATGTATCAAGTGTAGCATCTTTTCTGTAAGAAAATTTTTATCTAGTGGGTACTATACAGAGGTAATATTTTGGTTTTCATAATAATTGAGAAAAACCATATGATAAACAGATAAATATTTATAATTACAATAATTTCATGATTTTACATTTTTGTAATTTATGTTTTCTAAATATTCTTCTTCAATAAAAAAAATTACAAGAGATCGTTTTTGTTACATTTTGGGTCTAGTTGTTCAAGAATAACTTTTTCTGTTTGTTTATGTCTGCATAGTTATTTTAATAACTGCTCAAAACCAAAAAAAAAATTCGAAGGAGCAGGAAAATTTATGAAAAAAATGTTCTAATTATTTTTAGTTTTGTTATAATTTAATAAAAAAAAAAATTGTAGGGACTTGACATTTGGTCAGAAAACTTATATTTGCCTTCTTAGAGGTGGTCAAATTTTTAGTTTCTCGTTGAAGACTATGTCTGTCTTATTTTGATTTTGTTGTTATTACTCTTCTTATTATTTGGTTATAATTAAAAATCAGAACACATTCTTTCTAGTACAGAGAGCTTTATATTTTTAAGTTATAAATAAATTTAAATGTTTTCTAATAGATGCATTGGTTTATTTTCCACTTTCAGATCAATTAAAGAAGAAATTGTAGATGATGAAACATCTTATAATCCTTATTATACAAATAAAACAAAGCAATTAGGGTAAGTATTATTTAATTTAATGTTTTACTGTCTATTTTTTAAGTATAACTATTTATTTTAATGCATGATGAAAAATCTACTGGTTTCAATAAGTGTTTGTTTTTGCCGTAAACAACTTCTCTAACAGAAATCTTGCTCCAATGGAAAAATCAAAAACAGTTTTTTTTTCTTTTTTTTTTGTGCCAATTTAGTTGATAAAATTTGTAGAGAAGTGAAATTTTCTTTCAAAATTATATTAACTTATATTGGCCATTTATAGTGTTTGTAAAATTTTCAAAATATTTTTGATCTATTCATTGGCATTTCTTAATTGTAAGACTTTTCACATAGTTATTATTTGGTAGGTAATATGTGGATATAATTGTGTGACCAAACAAAAATTTTTGAAAATGTTTACATGAGGTTCATTCTAAGTTGTACTTAGTGATAAAAAAAAAATTAAACCCTAGTGTAATGTTGGTAGTAATTTTTTTCAAATAAATTAAATATTATAGCTTTTAAAATTATGTATAAGTTTTGCTCAGAATAATATTTTGTTAACAATAGTTAATCATTTTTTAAAGATATAAATTAAATTACTTTATGTATCCTACCTTCTCAATTTCCCTCCTATAACACAGTACTGATATTAAATTAAATTTATAGGATAGTATTGACTTAACAAGTACAATTATCACAAAAGAGGATGTACCACATAACTAACATAAACCATCTTTTGAAACATCTTTTGGTTGAATAATCAAAAACAAATGGTCACAAATTTGTTACATTTTTCATGTTTATTATGCACAAATATGTTCTTAAGATTATTAAATTAACAATTTCAAGTAATGTATTCCATTTTTTAAACTTTCAAGGTTTTAGATCAATAGATATAAGAGTATAATTATTACATCTGTCATAGTTAAAGTATGTTTCACTCCCAGATATGATTTTAATAATATGAGGGGAGGTATTCAAGCTCTATTTAGAACACATTTTATTGTATTGTACAATCTTTGTATTTATTTTAAATGACATTACTGTTTATAATGATCTTTTTTTTTTTTAGATTTTTATACAACTCTAAACAAGAAGGTGAAGAAATAAATATTAAAAAAGAAGTCGACATCATTGATGGTGTCATTTATGAAAGTGAGATTGTTATTGAAAATGATCCAATGGAATCTATTTTGTATCAAGAAACACAATTTGAAGAAAAATATTTTGAATGCTCATACTGTAGTAACTTGTTTTGTTCAAAATCGGAATTAAAATGCCATATAAAAAATCACATGCAAGTTCATAAGGATGTAAAACTTCATAAATGTGACATCTGTAAGAAGACATTTTGTTTCAAACAAAATTTAAGCAGACATAAAAAAACCCATACAGGGGAAAAGCCTAATAAATGTGTTGTGTGTAAGAAGTCATTTGCTCTAAAATACACTTTAAAAATTCACGAAAGAATTCATACTAAAGAAAGACCTTTTAAATGTGGCATATGTAATAAGACATTTGCTCAGTCATCATCTTTTACTTACCATTTAAAAACTCATGCTGGAGAAAAGCCTTTTAAATGTGACATTTGTAAGAAAACTTTTACTCTTAAACAAACTTTAAAGAACCATGAAAGAACTCATACAGGAGAAAAGCCTTATGTATGTGCCATATGTAAGAGGAAATTTATGAATGAAAACAATTTAAAGGTCCATGAAAGAATTCATTCTGGAGAAAAACCGTATAAATGTGAAATATGTAAGAAAACTTTTACTGCAAAAAAAACTTTAACTAACCATGAACGAATTCATACGGGAGAAAAACCTTATGAATGTAGCTTTTGTAAAAGGTTATTTTCAAGAAAGGACCTTTTAAATCTACATAACTTAACTCATACAGGAGAAAAGCCTTATAAATGTGACATTTGTAAGAAAACATTTGCTATTAAAAACACTTTAAAAAATCACGAAAGAACTCATACAGGAGAAAAGCCCTATAAATGTATTTTATGTAACAAGACATTTTCTCAGTCATCCTCTTTAAAACACCATTCAAAAACTCATATGAGAAAAAAGCATTATAAATGTGACATTTGTAAGAAAACATTTGCTCTTAAAAACACTTTAAAGAACCATGAAAAAATTCATACAGGAGCAAGGCCTTTTGCATGTAACTTTTGTAAAAAGTCATTTTTAAGAAAAGACCATTTAAATGTACACAAATTAACTCATATTAGAAAAAAGCCTTAAGAATGTAATATGTGTTTGCCAATTTGTATTTCTTACAATAGCACTTTAAAAATGTACAAAAGAATTCATAGTGAGAAAAGATCACATTAATTTAACATATGGAATGTGACATTTCCTCAGAAACCCAATATGTCATAATATAAAGAAGAATCATACCGATGTTTTAAATATGTAAATTTGTCTACTTTTAATGTTATTAAAAAAAAAGTAGTTATTTGAATCTTTGTAAACAAAGTCTGATTACTGGTTAAGGTACGATACACCAAAATACATTGCGAACTATTTGAGTACATTTTTTACCATCAAATTTCAAAATATAGATTAGTAGGTAGAAAACTGTTATGCAAATATTGATTTCTTTTGAAATGATGACAATTAACAATATCCTAATATTTATATATAATATATTCATTAGGATACCAGTTTATTATATAGAAAGAAAATTTTTTGCCAAATTTTGAAGATCACTGGCGGTGATTATAGAGACAATACATCTATTATTAGTGTCTGTACATTTTGAGGTTGATCGAACATAACTAACAAAGTAAAGTTTTGTGAAAAACCATTATGCCACAAACTGTTTGTGGCATAACTACTTAAAATTTTATTTTACAAATAATTGTATAAAATCATTATCGTAGTTCAAATTATTAACTAAAAAAAATGTATTTTTATATTTGTTTGTATAATTAACCCTTAACCATGAAATAAAACAAATACATTAAAGCTCATGTTTTATGTAAAATGTTATTTTGGAAATATACTTTATATTTTATTGATAAGTACATGATTAAATATTAACATACAATTTAGATTTATACTTATTTAACTAGTACTAGTAACTACTATTAAATCCTAGATCATACACTACATGCTACTACATGATAAATGCGTACCACTAGTTGAAGTCATCATTGTGATTTCAGTCGGTTATTTTCTAAGTCAGTGTGTGAGAAGTAATTGGACATTAGTGTGAGTGCAGTTCAAAGCGTGTACCACCACTGTCCACATCACCATAGCACAATGTAATAGGCATATCGCTTTGTTTTCACAGTTATTTTTGGGTTTATCTAATTTGATGACAATATTGTAAATAATATCTTGTTTATTTCTACAATCTACAGTTATTATATTGTCCACAGTGTAATACAAATATTTTTACCTACTATTTTAGAATATACAAATTTAATAATTAATATAATATAATTTTAAATTCTGAATGTAGCAAAGAATTTATTAGTTTTACAAAGATGTTTTTTTTTTTATCTGTATACAACTTTTCTATTTGAAAATTTGCTCAGATTTTTAAGTGTAGAACTTTTTCTGAAAGGAAATCGGTGTGGTGTGGTACTTTAAGGTAGTAATTTTTTGATTTGCTCAGGAGTTTTCTCATCAAATTTGATAAACATGAGAAATGTAGGTATTAATTATAATATATTACGGCTTTCTTTTTTCCTGTGAATACCTTTTTTATAAGCAATTTGACTTCAATTTAAAATGATGGCAATTTTTCTGAAAAAAAATTTGACTTGAAAGATTCATTATGGAGGTCATTTTTCAATTTTTCCAAGAGTTTTCCCAGCAAATGTGCAAATGTGAAAAACCGGTATTAAACATGGGAAAACGGGGAAAAATATAGTAAACTGGGAAAATTGCTTCATTACACAAATATTATTATAGAAAATACATAAAGCCTATTTAATTATTTTACTATATAATGACATATAAATTATTGACATATCATCACTATCAACTGACCTCAAAATCGTTTTTAATTAGTAATGGTTTATTGTTGCTTACGTACACAAATTAATTTTCCTTCTATATCCTACCTTCTCAACTTCTCACCAACAACAGTTGCTACACCCATTGTGCGAAATATCTTTGTCCGTTTTTTTTAATTGAAGTTGAATTGAATTTGAAGTGATAGTAGTGGCGTGCCCAGGGGGGAGGGCAGGTTAAGGGTTATATGCCCCCCATAGGCTAAAAAATTCAACAAAATATGAGTAATCTAAACCATCTAATCTATCGAAACGCATAAATTTCGGCCGATTTCCGAGAAAAAGCCTGATGTATTGATTAGAAAATGGCGTTTTTTTTAGGACCCGGCTTTTAAATTACCAATTACCATGGTCGAGCTGGGTAGAGAAGACGGTTTTACTATTTTTTCACGATTTTTATTTGTTACATTCCCTACCATTGAAAATTCCTGGGCACGCCACTGCAAAGTGATAGTATTGAGAAAAACACTAGGTATTGAAACAGACAATATACCTATATATGTCATATATGTAATAGGTATATACAAAATTAGAAATTACCTACGTTTTGTAAATTTATGTTTGTTTTCTTTTTTTTTTGTTTCGATGGTTTTCATGAGTTTCTTCATCAAATAATGCTTAATGTTGTTGATTACATATTCTGTATATTATAAAATATAGGTATATATGTATAGTGTATACTATATACACCAAAAACACCTCGTTATAACTCTAGATACAAAAAATCTAAGTTTTAAAATAAAAACATGTAGTGACATTACATTTAGTAATGATACCTTAACGATGTGATATAATACAAGGAAACTAAGTAAAATGAAATTTTGTAATATTTTAAATACCTATAACGACAAATAAGATTAATTGTAAAGTTAAACACTTTGTCAAAATATTGCCAACTTGACAAGACGTGTAAGTAAATATAACCACTATTAACATATCTTAGTTTGAACTTTTTATATTTAACGACCGATTTCGAATTCAAAATTCATCTTCGGGTTTTACAAAGTCAAATAAATGGCGATTTTCTTTTAAACAGTGGTTTATAAACTGTTAAATATTGTTTATAAATTATTAATTTATTTACGAAATTTATTATGGTGGTTATTTATTTGTATTTACTAACACGTTTTGTCAAGTAAACAAAATGTTGACTAAGTGTTTAACTTTAAAATTAATCTTATTTATCGTTATAGATAATTGTAGTTGGTACTACAAAATGGTATTTTACTTAGTTTCCATCATTGATTTAATCATTACCTACTAAATGTAGTATCACTATATGATATTTTTTTTTAACTTAGGTGTTTTTGTATATGGAATTATATTGAAGTGTTTTTTTAGCTATTTTTCATTAAAAAAAGTAGCGATGTTATTTGACTTTGTTAAATCTGAAAATGAATTTCGAATTGGAAACCGGTCGTTAAATATAAACCTAATAATGGAGGGTCCGGTGTCGTCGTCGCCGCAGCAACGAGAGTATATAGATGTGTTATATTTTCGTCAAATACGAAAGATCGGACTTGAAAGTACATTGTTGGTTGTAACTTTTAATCCATCTAACCAATCTGCTTATGAGTGTCCTCATCTGTACAATATTTCTGATCGATTGATAGGTACCTATCACCTTATACGCAGTGATGTATTGCTAAAATAAACCGCGGGTATACGCCTTATTCACATATATAGAGAGATATATGGAGATCTAAAAGTAGGGTTAAAAAAATTTTTCTCGCATCGCTCGAACAGTGACTCTTTTAGATTCTGAGTGGACCGAAGAAGCTTATGGTTTTACAAAGATTTTTATTTTTTATTTTGTTTATACGCAACTTTTCTACCAGAAATCTTGCTCCGATTTACAATAATAACATTTTTCTTGAAAGGAAATCAAACTGGGGAGGTACTTTAGGGAGATCATTTTTCGATTTTCTCAGGAGATTTCTCATCAAAAGTGAAAAACCGAAAAAAACGGGAAAATGTACGAAGTATATTAGTAAATATTAAGTATAATATTATCATCATTCATCACCCAACGAGTTATCACAATAAGAATACAAAATTACATTAAATGTTATGATAAATGATAGTGGGATTCGGTCGACCGAAGTCCTCTCTGCAACATATTTGAAGTAATTCAAATATAATATTATATTATATAATATAATATTAATAAATAATTATTAAATAAATAGATTGTTATGGACGGAGACACGAGTTATTTCAGTGAAGCTCTGTAAACTGTAAAACGATTTTTAACTAAAATTAAAAATTAAAACAATAATATTTGTAGGTTCTGCTATATTTATTAATTTTTAACCTATTGAATTTAGTGTTTATTCATGATATTTTTTTTAATTCTTCAATATTCGAATCAGTTTGAGATAGTTAATATCTAATTGACTAATCAATAGACTTATATCCCTTAATGTGGATAAGTAGGTAACTATTACACATTTATTTTGTATTGTAATTGTAAAACCAAATATAATCACATGTATAAAGTCTCAGGTGTTTGATTTCCATGGTGAATCTTGAGCAGAGTTGAATCCAAACAATTTGTCTGGGGAGAGGGGAAAGTGCATCACTAAAATTATAGTAATGACCTGTTTAGATTCTAATTGGAGTGAAGTAGCTTATGATTTTACAAAGATGTTTATTTTTTTTTTATCTGTTAACAACTTTTTTACCAGAAGACTTGCTCGGATTTCTGTTATTATTTGAATATGAAATTGATAGTTGGTATGAGTGGTAGCTAACTCAAGGGCTTTTGTAAAAATAAATTTTTTGTTTTTGAATGTTGCCCCTATGAATGAATATTTTATTATTACTCAATGTTAGCAGTCCAAAATAGTCAAAAGTTAATTTATCTAAGGGCCTATTCGAGAGATATTTACTGTGGTTGACTTATGGGTTTTCCATTTAATTTTTCATTTATTTGACAATTGTGGCATGATTTAATATATTGTTTTTAACTAATGTAAGCCAATAGTATTTTTTCTGTATTTTGTAAGTGATGGGTGATATTTCTTTATGACCTCCAATGGGTGATTTATGAAATTACTCAAGTATTTTGTTTATGAGCAATTATAGAATTACTAATAGATAACTGATATGGTTTGGAGATATAAAGTGTTTGTGAAGTAATATGAAAAATAAGTTATTATTAACCTAATCTTTCTAACTACTCAACAACAATGGTCACACTGGTTCCCAGTTTCTGGTTTTTCATTATCTTTTAATCTTGTAAAAACAGAACGAAAGGACCATGCCAACAACTCATTTCCTAGGATTTCTTAAAATATATTATATTTAAAGTTACACTTGTTAAAAATTATTATTTATTATTTTGATTTTTCATTACAGTAAATACATTGTTTTGTGTTCATATAGACATGTTTAGGTTTTTATTATCATTGTGTATATAAATCTATTTTTAGAGCTATAATTTATGAAACCATCTTATATTTTAGAAAAATAAAAATGTGTGTGCTTTATAATTGTATGAATAATCCTAATTACTAGTTAATTAATTAAAACACACTGACAATATAAGAATGCAAATAAATTATTTTATTAGTGACGAGATAATTTATTATTATTTTTTAATTAAAATCTTCTTCAATCAACAGTATAATTTCTATTTAATTCCTAGGAATGATTATAACATTAAAATATTACATTGGTATAGAAAATACTTTATTTTTCATAAAGGCTAATATATTTTATTCTATTAATGTGCATTGTTCAATTATGTGATGCATAACAAAATATTTCTGGCATTTATTTATACAAAATACAAATAAAAAACAATTGAAACAAAATGTATTTAATCTTCCCCTTATATTTAAACACACATTTTAACATTATGATACATTCAAATACTTCTACAAATATAACTATTACAAAACTTATATCTATTTTTAGTTATAAAAAATAAAAATGTATTTCTTTTAATTTTATTCAATAAACATTGAATATTTTGAACATGGATAAAATATTTTTGACTTCATTTTTATTTATTTTATGAAGCTCCCGAAAAAAAACTATTAAAACTCAATAAAAATAATTAATTTCAGTCATATTATTAAGTACAAAAACAAAGACTTTAACACCATTACAGTACATTATAAATCCCAAAACCTTATAAATGTAATCATTCATAGTCCCCAGAGTTGAAAAAAAAAATACCGTGATGTTAATTTAAATAATGTGTACTATTTTTCTAATATGTGACTATGATCATTTTTAGGTGATTCATTTAAAGAATTGATATCATTTAATTGTTGATTTTCATTTTTTAACAACTGATCATCATTGTTACTATTATTTATTATTTCATCTTTAGTTTCAGAGTTTTCTAATTCATCTTTATCCAAGGAGTCAATTTCAGTATTAGTTTCGAGTAGGTCAGATTCACATTGTTTTGGGTTACCCAGATGTAATTTATTAGTTGGACTTCCTTCTTCATCTGTATAATAACTGTGAGGTTCACCAGGTTTCAATAAACGTCCAACATAATCATACTTCTCTAAACATAACAACACACAACCAAATATTTAAATATTAAGGTATAATAACTTTTAATAGGTATTTCACATCTAATTAGCTAATCAGTTAATTAACTTACAAATATAATTTATGTTGGATTTAAAAAATAGCAATCTTAAAGTTAGTAGAACAATATCAACACAGTACAGTTTCTATTATCTTATAGTTAAAAATTAGACAAACTTTTTTTCTTAAAAAAAATTATAATGCTTTAATGACTTTGGAAGAAGTTAGTAGAACAATGGTAGGTAAAAACAATTGGTGAATAATTATAAAATAGATATTAAATTATTCATATAATGAAATGCTAATTAAATGTATATTTATTTTGAATAGACAGGAAGGTAAATATAAAATACATAGATTAAAAGAAGTACAAATACTAGACTGGTAACATTATTTGACTGCATACAAATAACTGACATTTTAATTAGGTACTAAGTAGAAAATAAAATAAAATATGCCCCTATGCATATTTAAAATTCATTATAATAACTGGCATAACTGGATAATTTGCTAAAACGAGATCTTTAAGAAATTTAATACTTTTTAATTACCTTGATTACCTGTATATGGTAAACTACCAATAGGTATTACAGTTCGATTACTTTAACTAGTGCAGGTGAATATTTTGGTCCCACATTACCTATCCAATGTGGTTTTACTAACAAACGGAGGTTAATTTTTATTAAAATCCTACATGACCTTGTACTTGGGTAACAAATATTTTTAGCTGATGGATTATGCATGTGAGTAAAAAGTAGGTATGGCTCGCTATGAGTGCAGGCTTCAAACTTTTAATAAAAAACAAACAACCGATTTGTTAGCAAAACTATGTGAAGTAGGTAACTGGGGGCCAAAATAAATTTGTAAATTCCTGTAGGACTTTTAATCGAAAAAAATAAATACCTAGATTTGGGTACTTAATCAGAGTGTTGAGATAGAAAATTATAGGTAGTCAAGATAACAGAAAAGTAATGCAAATAGATGCAAATTACCTGATTTATTATTATTTTTTTTTTGTATAAAAAGTAAGACTTATTTACTATACATAATATTATTTTGAGGTTTTAACGACAAGAATTTTTAACTACGTAGGTATAACTAAATTAGTGTTGTCAATAAATATAAAAATAAAATTATTCTGTAAATTTACCCATAAACTGAGTTTCCCATTCCAACATAGATTCTAGCTCTAATGAATTCAAATCACTCAGGTCATCATATTCATCTTTGCCACTAACTGAAAAAGTAGCTAGCCCGCGAGAAGCATCATGTCCACCAAATGTAGAATATACACCTCCTATAAGGTAGTTTTCAGTTATTTAAAAACAAATATTATGTTTGTGTTAGAGATAATTAAGGTTACCTGGTCCGTAGAAATGTTTTCCTTTAGTAACATCAAAAACTTTACCATTAATTGCAACTAAAATACGTCCATCGCCTTTGGTACCATCAAATTCACGTAGCTCTTGAAATGTAAAATCTCTCTTCTTCATTTTTGGCAAAACCGTGTCTTCTTCTTCTTCAATTACGGGTTCATTACGTTTTTTAAATATTTTCAACAAGAGAAACGTGATGATGGCTACGAGACTTCCGTTCAACAACACTTTCATCCAAAACCATATACTGTAAATGTCAAAGTCCGGTGCGTTTTCGGGTAATTCGTTAACAACGTTAGAAGACATTTTCGAGAAACCGATGATAAATAATAATAAAATAAAATGTAGCGTTGTTTGAAAGAAACGAAAATCAAAAATTGATTCTAGAGAAAATAGAACGGATGTGTTCTGGATACAAAGAAATCCACAATTTAATTAAAGTTCACTAAACAGTGAATATGGTGAATGAAAAAATCTAGATACTTAGTAAATTATTGCGAAAATTGGAACGTTGAAATTCTTAAAACGTTTCGGAGGATTCGTACGGAATATGAAATAGGTTTTTAGAATACGATTGAAATCGGTATTGCGACGATTTTGGTCACCACTGATAACGTATCTGTCGGTTAGTGGGGATATCCGATATATTAACAACGGAATAGAATAATCGTGTAGGTACTAAATAGAAACTAGTGTACAGGGAAAATACAAATAAATCGCTAATTTTTTAATAATAATAAATAACTAATTATTTTTAATAATAATTTGATTCGTCACGGAGTGTGATTTTACGTGAGAACTTGACCGTGAGATAAATATTAAATAGGTAATTAACCAAAAAGTTTGGTTTATTTGAAACGTGGTGGGGATATTGTTGACCATTATCGTTATCGTTGTAGAGTAAAACAAAGTAATTTAAATATGTTTAACTCATTATGGATTATGGATATTGTACCTGTAGAAATAATATTCATTCTAATTTTTAAATATCAAAGTTTGTTACAATGAGTAAAGAAATAAAGAATAGTTTTGGTAGTATTCTATTGTGGTACAAGTGATCAATAGTAATTCTCTACTGTGGCAATAGTGGTACCTAACTACTAGTGCAGATGTATCTTTTTTTTTGTATGCGTTTCTAACTGTCGTGGTGTCAGAGGAGTGGGGAGACGTAAACAACGCGTCTCATTCGTTGAATCGTTTGTTTGTCCGTTATAACTTACAATACAAATTATCGAAAGTCGGAGTAAGTAGTAAGTACTAAGTTTAATCTCGTTGTCTCTTGTGTAACTAGTTAATGATTTTATGTTTTGAATTTAATATTTGATCACGAAGAAGTAAGTTTTTTTTAACAACAATAAGTACAATAATTATTAGTAATACCTATATTAATAATGTGTAGATATTCGTAACAACTATTAAGTATTAAAAATTCTACCGTTCCGTGAATTTATCTATCAATAACGCGTACATTTCTTTTGACTTTACAAACATACATGACGTAATATTTATTATTGTAAAATTCAATATTCGTTATATCAGAGATTTATATTATTGAAATTGTCTTTAAGTGGAATGCCTTTTAATTTCAGACGCATATAATTTGAATTGCATTTATTTTTTGTTTTGTTACAATAAAAAAAAAAAAAAAAGACTTCAATTCTGAATGTAATATTAAAGCTGTTAGTTTTACAAAAATTTTTTGTCTAGTAAAACGATTTCGATTTCGGAAAAACGATCCAATTTTTTGCCAACATCAAAAGATACGGAATGCTGGTGTTACTATAATTGAAATTTTTTTCAACATTTTCAGTAATTTGGTACTATATTCCTTTTTTTCTTGTAAATTGCTGGGTTTTCATGGTAACAAAGGAAAAGTCATAGTTCATAGTACAGAATTGTTTTTCGTTTGCAATGACTTTTTGGTGCATGTAATATATTAGCATAATTTTCTTGTATAACCTACTCTCCTAATTACCGAACAGCAACATGCTCATGAGCAGTATCAATTTAACTATCGCTTATTGTTATTGATATTGTGTTGATTTGAGTAGGTATATTTAGAAATTAGGTAATTAGGAAATTGATTTTAATGAATGTTATATTTAAATTAAACAAGATTTATCCCTATGCATCTGGAAATCTGATATCATTTCGGATTTATAGTTTATACCATTTAACATCAGACATATAGTACATACCTATATCTACTTACATTATTTTGTTAAAAAGTAAAGACTGAAAATATGATTATGTATTAGGTATATATAATTTATTTTCAGAGCTTTGTATCATTTAATTAGGTAATAAGCTAGTAGTGCGTTTGATTTTATATTTTAGAGTGTGTTTGATGAAAATATGTTATCTGAAATTATACACAGTTAAGTTTCTATAAGTCATAACATTAAAAACAAAAATGAGAAGGTACCTAAATAATTTAATGTTTTCAATTTTGAGTGTATGACATAATATTACTTTTTACTATTTATTATTTTTCTCCTTTATTCTATACAACTAGGGTCAGCTACTTTTTTTCTCACTCTTCTCATCTCTATATATTATAATTTTTTTAACTACTACTAAATCAGGTAACAAACCCTTGTATGCCTCTTTTTAACAACTTTTTCTTTGGCCTAACTCTATCACCCACCCTTAAATCACCTATTTTGATTTTCTGATTGTTTTTCCTTCAAAATACAACATACATTCTCAATATATTTTTTTTGCTGTTCTACTGGCTAGTGGCTACTCCTAGATTATCTTTTACATATTAATTATTCGTCAAGTTTTTAATTTTATCCAACTTAGTCACACTAATGATCAATATTGGAACTCTCATTTCTACTTGTTCCATTTTTGTTTTATATTTTTTATTTGATAAAATCCAAAAAAGATTATCTGTATAAATTTAAAAAAGACTGACATGCTTCCCACAATGGTGAGCTATTATTGTAGATGAAAAATTTAGAAGGTAGGATTTAGATGGGTATTTAATTTATATCTGTAGGTAACAAAAAAACCATTGCTAACAAAAAGCAATTTGGAGCAGTTTTTTTTTTATTTACGTGCATATAATTTTCCATTTTCCCAATCATAAGTCAGACAAAGAAAGAAAAATGACAGAAAAAAATTACAACTTTTTTTTAAAGTTTTAATAAACTATGTACTATAAGATACTTTGAGTCCCTATGGATTGGATTGGAGATTTTTTTTATAAGCCCGTGAAAATTAAAATATTTGACCTTTTAAATATCTCAAAAAGTATCATGAACAGTCCTTATAATCATCAAAATAAGCGCTGAAAAAAGCACTTAAATACTTCATTATAAGCACTTAAAATATTAATATAAGCAAAAAAAAAAGCACTATTAAAAATGCAAAATCATATTATAATGTTTGTTTTTATATAGAAATAAATTGTAAATCAAGTTATAAATACAGTGTACTCCCGATTATCCGTGGAATGGGATGGCAGGATATCCACAGATGAACGAATTCCGCGGATAATCCGCAAAATTAAATTTTAACCCAATTAAGCCCGATTTAACAGATAATGATGTACAATGTACATTCAAGGGTCTAGTATTAAAGGAACATAACATAATGTGTATTAATAAAGTGTATTTTACGTCGTTATCGAGTTATCGACTATGAGAAATTCACAACCCAATTAAACCTATAATGATTTATAATGGAAAGATACAGTACGTATATATTTTTTTGTATACATATAGGTATGTAGACGATTCCGTGGAAGACAGCGGATTATTCGCAACGCGGATAATCCGCTCGCGGATAATCGGGAGTACACTGTAGTTTTTCCAAATTACAATGTTGGTAATTTTAATCATCTAGGATTCCGATTTGGAGATAAGCGAGTAATTATGAGTCTGAGTTTATTACTAGGAATATAATACAAAGCAGAAAAATTATTTTTAATTCTAGTTTTATCTTGAACAAAAACATAAATAAACTAAAATGCTTAGGTTTTTGTCAGTGGCATCTGTCTTAATTAAGTATAAAAAGCAAAAATAATTAGAAAAAACAAGATTTGTTTAAAAAAAATCGAAATAAGATATAAAAAAAGCACTTTCAAATTTCATATTTGAGATCATGGTAACATGACGTGAGTTAACTTGACACTCGGCTAGATTTTATGTTAATTCAAAAAATTAAGCAAATGCTATTAGTTCCAAACTTTGATTATATATCTTAAAAAAAAGTTTCAAACAAAAGTTATTTATTAGATAATTTACAAAAAAAGACATTGACAGTTAAAAAATAAATAATTTTTCTCCTTTACTGTGTTATTAATTTTTTTATATTGTATTAAATGTATTTTTGTTTTACAAACTGAAGGTGAACAATTTAATTATTATAATAACATAATAAAATATAGTACAAATTAGTATTTTTAAAACTTGGTGTCATACAAATAATTTGTAAAATAAAAAAAAGATTATAATTTAAAGTTAATTATGCTATTTAGAAGATTATACTTTTATGTTTAATACTCTTCTTTTACATTTTCGATATCCTTTTGTTTATCTAATAATTGTACTCATTTATTTTTCCTCTATGTAATAAAGCTGGTGTTGAATCTCATTCATTAAGCACATGATAAAACAATATTTTATTTATCATAGGTTCATTAGTTTTTTATATAAATTCAGTACTATAATTTTTTTTCCAATTTTACCAGAGCTAGGTTTTAGAAAATACATATTATTTTCTCTAGGAGTCAAAGCGATGAGAAGTTCTAATAAGTCAATGTCCTTACCAACCAAGATAATTTTAGGATGATAACTTCAAATATAAGTGTGAACAATTAATGTATCATCATCATCATCAATATAAAAATTATTTGGCTCTAAATCTAGTTTTTTATCAGTATTATATTAATAAAATATGCTGTTTAGATAAGAGTTTTTACATTGTGACTGACCAATCATTCCCCATTCCATCACTTAAATACTATTTTAATTTGTTATAAGTTTTATTATATTATTATAATAATTAATTGGCCACCTATAATTTTTAAAACAAGCATATATTTAATACAGTGTAAAACAAAATTCAACACTAGAAAGAGAGAAAATAATTAAATTGTTTATTAACTGTTAATTTTTAAACAAGTATGTCTTATTATGTTTTAAGACTTACTTTAATAAAACTTGAAAAAAAAAAATCTTGGTTTGGTTTTTTTCAACTATTTGCAAAAATGTAGTCTCACCTATTATTATGAAAACCACTTGAAAAATCTAAAAAATTATTTTATCCACAGAGTACTTAACAAATAAAAATGTACGTAAAACCTGAGGAAAATAAAATGGCTAAAATGTTTGAAAAATTTTACCATGTCTAGCATATAAATTTTTTGTCCAAATTTCAAGTCCATTTAAGTCTCAAATATTTTTATCTAAATCATAAAAAACAAAATTGAAAAAAATACATTTTATACATTTTTCTGGTTTTCCTTTATTTTTATAGGTTTTTACCATTTATTCTAAAAATGACTTTCCTTCAGTCCCCAGATAAAATTTCCTTTTAGAAAAAGTTCTACACTTGAAAATTGGAGCAAGATTTTTTGATAGAAAAGTTGTCCACTGATATAAAAAAAGTAGTGTAAAAAATAAACATTGTAAAACCAAGCTATACTCTATTTTGATAAAAATATCAAAAAAATTGTATTGTTATTTAGTTCCAGAACTTTTTGAACATACCTCATATAGGAAATTCCAACTAACTTTCTTTATGTTAATTATGCATTGTTTTAGTTTACTAAAATTTGGTAAAAATATCTGGAAAATCAATAATTTATATATATATATGATATGAACATCAATTATGTGCCATTATGAACATTTTGAGGATTTGTTCATTTATGGGAATTTATTTCCAAATTTTTAAGTTTTACAATTGCCAATTAAAATGTTCCTCATGTAAATCTATAATTGTTGTATCTTTTACTCATTTTGATAGTTATTCTGTATAGAAATATTATAAAAACTATACACACAAATAACTATGATTTTAATTACCATCGGTTTTAATCATATACATTTCACCTTAATTACAATATACAATTAGAAAGTTTAAATTAACTTATTTTGACACAGAAAGACAAACAAATTTGTGTTAATTTTTTTTTTTTATTTTAAAAAAAAGTTAAAGGTGTTAAAGAAAAAAATTCCATGATCATCCTATGATAGTAGTATTAGTACTATAGTATACCATTAGTAGATAGTAGCCAGTATTATGTAGTTTATAATATTAATATTACTATTGATTTAAAGTGAAATAGTGGCTAAAAGTTTTATCAGTGAATTATTTTAGACTAGGTATAAGGAGCCAGTCTAAACAAAAATGTGCTTAATAAATAAATTGAATTATAAATTAATCTTTATTATTTATAGATAAATATGAATGCCGCAGATACATCTGATGCTTTAGATTTAACTAAAGAAAATATAAAACCTTTAAAACAAGGTAGAAAACCTATTCAATTGGAAACTGCATTACAAGCACAATCAAATTCGGAAATCCAACAAAAATTAAATAAATCTAAGGAGTAAGTTTAACATATAATTAAAATATATATGTCTAATTCACACTGGATAATATGATAAAATATTCTATCAGTAAGATTTTATAGTGTGTAATATTTGTATGATAATACTAGTATACTATAAAAATATTATAGTCATATTGTCATCACAGAACATCCAACCAGCTAATGTTTTGTATCTCATTTTGTACTAATGATTAGACCAATTTATTGAAAAAAAATTTAATTAAAAACAAAATTGGGATTCAAGAATTGTAAAAATGATTTTCTTCAATTTTTTGGTTTTATATTAATAGTTTAAATTTTTTAAATTATATACATCTTTAAAAAAAAAAAATGAAACTTGGAAGTTAGATATCATATTCCCTATAAATCTCTTTATTTGAGAAGTAAATCTATTGTTCCAAACGTAACCAAAAATATAATATCAAATTATACATTTTATTGTACAAAAATCTGATTGTTTAAAAATGTATTGTATAATATTGGCTGAAAATAGTATTCCTATTTAATTGTATGTATTGCTATTGGAGTGTTATCTGTTTTTAATAATATGTGAGTTAGACCACATTTTTCCTATTAGTTTATGTCAGTTAAGTTATTTGAACTAGTCATTATAATATTTTTAAGAATCCTTTAAATTAACTTCTTTGGGTAAGTTATATTTTACCTTTCTACCTACTTACTTTTTACTTAATTATTTATGTACCTATGATTATCATAAATCAATTGGAAATAATTATGTATGTATGTGCAAGTACCAATTTCTGAATATGTACATAATATTGAGTAAATGCAGTTAATTATATATATTTTAATATTTCAGTTTATTTGAGAATGCCATTCGGTTGTATGAAGGAGATGATCCATTAGCTCCAAGATTAGAATATATTAAATGGCTTGAACAAATTTATCTAAAAACTGGACCACAAAGTAATCTTATGCCACTAATAGAAGAAACTGTACACAAATTTAAAAATGATCCAAAATACAAACAAGATCCTAGATTTGTTGAAATATTGGTCAATTTTGTAAATATATTTTTATATTATTATTATGTTATATATTATATTAATTTAAGAATTTGTTATTTTAGATAGAAAACCAATCAAATGCTGTTGAATTATTTCAAACTGTTTACAACCAAGGACTTGGGACAATGTGTTCTTTATTTTACCGTGCCTGGGCTGATTTATTGGACAGATACAATGATTTCAAACGTGTAGATCAAATTTATTTGCTTGGAATAAAATCTAAAGCCCAACCTCTTGATGAATTAGAACAAGCTCATATGTAAGTTATGCTTATTTTAATTAAATTAATTTTAATATTATTTAATTTTATTGTTTATTATAGGCAATTTCAGTTAAGTGTGGCTAGGCGATTGCTTAATAACGATTTAACAAATGAAGATAAGAACCCCGATCTTGAAAAAAGACAAGCTTTCAGTGTTTTAAAAAAAATTGAAACACATAGTGGTGTTCGACAAGGTTTAGGAGGTGCTGTTGGTAAGAAACCACAAATGAATAATAATAATGATAAAGCACCTTCTTCTGTAAAAGTTTTTGAGGTATAAATGTTGTGTAACAATTAAAATTTGGTTGAAATTATTATAGTTATTATAATAAAATATAGGATAATGATGAAAATGGACTGTTTGGAATGGAGGATAATAAGTTTGATCTTGTTGCTTCTAAAAGTTTAAATAAAGAAAACACTATAAAACCTGGCCCATGGACAAAGCCTAAAAAAAGTCACAAAGTTCCAAAGCCTGTATCCACAGTAAACTTCGAAGGTTTAGTTTGTTTCCTAACTAGTTAAAATATTTAAGTATTTTAATACTTAATACTCAAGATATTTAATGTTTTTAGAATATATACATGTAGTATTTATTTTCATTTGTATTTGATTTCAGTACACCAAGACAATAATGTAGAATGTATTTCTAAACAATCTGGTATTACTATGCCTAATGCTCTTCGTAATATAAAAGGTTGTACTACTTTATCATGTCCAGTTGCGATTTTTGAAGAACCAGACCCCTCTAAAAGACCAATGTATTGTAAAGATAAAGTGAGTTCATTAATAGTTACAATTTTTTATCAATGTAATGAACAATTTTGAACATATCTTCAAGATTACATATTCATCATTTAAATTAATGAATATTGGTTTTTTCTTAGGTATACGCAGCTGGCCGAGACATACAAATTGAAGAAATCCGATATGAAATTTTTTTAAAACATGAAGCAGAAAAAAGTATGTTTTTCACATTTATAATAAGAAGATTGATTTAATCAAATATATTATGTTATTAGATTTATCAAAAAGAAAACATCCTATGAAATTCCCAACAAAAGAAAATGTAGTCAAACCTTCGAAAAAAGTTGTCCTACAAGAGGGTTTTAAGGTAAATAAACTGATTTTTATAATACACAAGTATTTATATACATATTAAATTATTTTTAATTTAATGTTTGAGAATTAATATTATTCTAATTCACTTCCACTTAGCATTGTTTAAATAACTTAAATTATGACAGCGTATTAAAATTATGCTTAAAACCTGCTTATTAATAAAATATATTCCTTAAAAAACCAGCAGAGGCAACTTGCTATAAAGATTCTCATTTAACTTAATATTTATAGATTGATATAAAATAAATAATAAATAATACATTTTTTTTATAAGTGTAGTGTGCATATTATATATGTGTATTATTTATTCATAATGTTTCAATATTGTTATTTTAATATAAATTTAAATTAAATTTGTGCTCTATTGGGTTCAGTATTTAAAAATATGTATTCTTGTGGCTGATTGCTATACCAATTAAAATGAATTTTTTTTTAATTACTGGGCCTCACTGAGTTAAAAATTTGTATAAAAGACCCAGAAGTTATCTTGTTTATATCATGTTATTAATTAATACACACATACAAATTCAAAAGTATACGTTTATACAGCAAATTTAAACAGTAAGTAAATGAATGAAAATTAAAATTAAGGTATTTAAACATGATATATAGATTTTATTGCATCCTGGGTTCTGCTATTTTTAGACAAATTTATTTGTTGAGTAACTAGTGTTGACCTCATGTTTTATTGGGAACAATAGATTATGGTTTTTTTGTATATAATGTACAGATTTTTAGATATAGTTTATTTATATTGAGTACACTAAAATGTTCAAATGATTTTTATGTTAGATGTATCCAATTTTTATTACATACAACATTATAATTTGTGTTTCGCTATTCCTGAAGCTGTAGAAGATGAAAGGTAATAGTTTCTTTTACTTTTGATAGTTGAAAAATTAAGTAGGTAATACATAACTCTCCTATAGAAATTGTTTTTGAAAAGTTCATATCAAAAATTAAGTAAATATTTTGGGTTCTATTGTAAGCTTTAATATATATATTTTAACCTTAGAATGGAAAATACCTACATTATATTTAAAATAAATAAATTAGATACTTTTTTAAATACTTAGTAAATTAATAGGTGTATATTAATAATACATAAGCATTTTAAAACCTTTTTGGAAAAATCAATCTCTTTTAAAGTAGCAAAAGACTTTTTTAGGAGAGGAAGGGGCTTGTAGATTTTGGGATGAAACTGCTTCACTTTTGAGTTTTAAAAAATTTCAATGTCTTATTGAGTTTAAAATGTAAATATTAGTTGTGAATATTAATGAAACTAATTGCTAATTGGTTTAAATTTTAAGACAATATATGTTACTATGAACCTGGTGTAAGTGAGTAGTTAAGTAATCAAAGTTAGTAAAATGTTTTAAACATGTGCATATTTTTTTTTTTTATGAAATTGTTTTTTCTATATCTGCTGTTTATCTGTTTTTTAATTTTCATAATATTTTACCAGAATTTTCTTTGGTAAATAATGAAAACTGATATATTTTTTTTGAGTTATGAGTACTATATTCACATATTGTACAGTAAAGATTACTTTTTCTTTCTTTTTAAATTTAGGTAATACCATCTTCAAACATAATCAACATTGAATAATTAAATTTTAACATTAATAGGAAGTGGTATTTATATAATTACAAACAATAATACTTTAATATAAAAATTACTATTATTTTGCTATTTTTGCAAATAAACAAAATGGGTAAAAGAATCATATTATTTTACTGTTATCATAAGTTATCTATCCTACTTTTGCAGCCATTTGTATAATAGTGTTATTTTTCTGTCTCAATAAATACAAACTAGAATTTCAGTTAAACATTTTAATTATAAAAGTTAAATTTGGAGATATTTTATGAACAGTACTCATTTTTATTGAAAACTAAATGTCTATAAAAACTTTAGGTACCATCTCGTGCAGATCTTGATCCTTTGAGTCAATCTGTTACCGTTAACACCAGAGTTGCAATTGATTTAGTACAACAAATGTGGAATAGTCCTTGTTCAGGTAAAATAATTAAAAAAGAAAAAAATGTATTAGTATATTTTAAACTTGATTTTTTTGTTGAAATAGACAAAGATGACAAAGATTTGAAATTAATTCCAAATAATATAAAACCAATTCCATTTAATGAATTTGAAAAAGAAAACAAAGAAATTCAATGTTCATCAGATTTTATGGTTTATGAAGATAATAAAATTCCAGTTAAAAATATTACTAAAGTACCCAAACTTATTGACCATGTTAAATTTTCTGAAGAGTGTGAAAATAAAATTGATAATACACCAATTGAGGAAAATAACAAAATGCCATCATCAGATTTTATGGTTTATGAAGATAATACATCTCCAATTAAAAATACTAATGCTGAATTACACAGTCTTGTTGACCATATTAAAGTTTCTGAAGTCTATGTTGATGAAAATGACAAATCACCATCTGAAAAAGATAATGAACAAATGGCATCTTCATCAGATTTTTTGGTTTATCAAGATAACAAGAATCCAATTCAAAATGCTGTTGCTGAATTGCCTAGTCTTGTTGACAATATTAAAGTTTCTGAAGTATATATTGATGAAGAAGACAACCCCTCATCTGAGAAAGTTAAAAAACAAATGCCATCTTCATCAGATTTTATAGTTTATGAAGATAATAAAACTCCGATTCAAAATGCTGTTGCTGAATTGCCCAGTCAGATTGACCATATTAAAGTTTCTGAAGTCTATGTTGATGGAAATGATAAAATGCCATTTAAAATACCAAAAAAATGCTATGGTGATGAAAACAATTCTGTGAAACAAACAAAAGAAGTTGTTAATGATATTCATGTTTATTCCAATGAAAATAAGTCACCTATGCAAAAGGTCCAAAATGTAAGTAATTTATGTAAAGGAAAGGTATTCACAGTGATATCCTACTATTCTTTTCAAATAATTCATTCAGTTTTAATGTTATTTAAATGATATATGTATATATTTAAGGATTCAAAATATTATTGAATATCTAAAAATAAATCTTAAGTCAGACTTTAATTTTATACATAACGAATTTATAAAAAAAAATTTACTGTGACGTCTTTTGTACATATTACAATAAATTAACATAAGTACTTTTTGTAATAGATTTTCAATCTTGAAATAACTTAATTTTTATCAAAAAGTAAAGAAAAAATATGTAACTTTAGGGTATATATTTTTTATTAAAAAGAGTAACAGTTTTTTTTTTTAAATTTAGTATACATGTTACATATTTTTCTTATTAATGTAAATGAACATATATATGTTTCCTAATGTTATTAATGGATTTATTTTTATAATTATTTATATATTGTTAAAAATTAAGTTGTTTATAAATCCTAAGTATTAAAAAAAAGTTTATTTATATAGGAATACTTTTATGTTTGATGTTATTTCATTGTAATGTCTCAGTGTATATAAAGGATGGCCACAGTAGGATAATTAACTTTTTTTTACAAAAATTAAAACAAAACTTTAAGTTCATCTATTTATATTTAGATAATTATTAATTTATTATCAAACCAAAAATAGGTATTACAAATAGGTTTGTGAGAAAGTAAAAATAAGTGATATAATTATCATCATAATAATCTCATTATGTCCTTAATGAATTTTATTTAAAAAAAACTCAATTTTTTCAATCAAAGTACAAATAAGATTCTTATTTGTATCAAAATATAAATAATAATATTTAAATTTAAATTAAACTTGTTTTACATATCTTAAAAAAGTTTGTAAATTATGATAATATTTTTAACAGTTTTTTTTTTTTTTTGTTAGCTGTACAAAATCAAAAACATGTGAAACATAAAATTTATTGTAATTATAACTGATGTATAAAGTTTTTTTACTTTTTGGTTTAGTATACTAATATTATATCCTATGTAATGGTATTAATTAAAACTACTGACTTAAATTAATTAAACCGTATCACTGAGTCCCATTCTCATTGTGTACACTTGTCTCCTTTAATTTTATGATATTTACTACTTTTCATGACTAATGTGTATCTAACTATATATTTATTCATTTTTAGTTGAAATGATATAATTTAATTTTGATTTCTAATTAATTGTGATATTACCAACTGTCATAAATGGATTTTAATTTCTTCTAATAATATTTGTGCTCATTTTTTAGGTTAATGTAAATTATGATGATATTACTTGTTCAACAAAAGCGTTTGCATTTCTATTGTCAAGTTCAACACCATTAATAAATGGAGGGTCTAAAAGTAGAAATTATACTGAAAATAAATTGCAATCACTCAAGTATGTGTAATTAAAGATTCTTAGATATTTTTGTTAAATATTGTGTTCATTAAAAAAATTTAAAATTCTAATCCAGTTTTTTTGATATTTTAGTTTATCTAAATATTTGTATTGTTGTTATTGTAATGTCTTTCCAAATTTGTTGTTTAGGCTAATTGAAAAAGAAGATGACAAAGAATTAGATGAGCTTCCACTGGGAAAACATTTGAGTATGATATTAGAAGCATCTAAAGAACGAAATAGTAATTCTTCATCTGGAATAACTTCTACAAATTCTATTACAAAATTAGAACAACAATCTTGTATTAACTTTGGTAATTTTTTTTTATATGAGATAAACCATTAAAGTCTTTTATATGCTTCCATCAAACTTCTCTATCTATCCTGCTCTCCTGTAGTTTCCATTTCTATTCATCTGTCAATATCTGATATTATCTTCTTTACCTTATCCAACTACTCTTTTGATAATTATATTTAAAAAATAATATAATATACTGGTGTTCCATGAAGATTCCTGAGATAAAGATAAACAAATTCTGATTTCTATTTTTAATTGTATGGTGTTAAAGACTACAATTATTTATATTTTAAATTTTGATAAAACAACAAAAAAAAAAAAAAAATACTTATTTATTTTATTATTATGGACAAATTTGAAGATAACCATTTTATATAATTTATTATTTTGAACCTTACTTATTTTGAAAAGTACCTATCATTATGCAGCAAGCTTTTATCATATTCCCTTATTTATTATTATTGCTATTTTAGTTAACTGATAGCATCCTTTTTTCTTTGAACTTTTTTAGATAATTAAAAATCATGAATTTAATGATAGTTAAAAGTTAAAACATCAACATTTTCAGTAGAATAAACTATAAAATAGTTATCTTCAAATTTTAAAAAAGTAATAAAATTAAGTTATTTTAGATTCTTTTAGAATGTTTTGATATTCTTATATTAATATATTCTTTGTTATACTCAGAATTGTTACTAATCAGTGTTAAGAAGATGTTTATTTTTTATTATGTTAACACTTTTTAACTGTAGGGAAAACCAGTACAATATTGAACAAATATTATTAAAAACAATATATAATACCTTTTTAATTATTTACCATAATCGACACATATATATTTTTGACAAAGCATTGTTCTGGACTGAATTCCACTCAGAATTTGTTAGCAATGGTTTATTGTTGTTTACAGATATATATTAAAATATCTTCTGTATCCTAACTTCCCAACTTCTCACCAATAGCATTGACTGCATCCATTGTGTAAAGTTTGCCAGTCTTTTTTTTGTTTTTAACCAAAATTAATTGAAATATAAATATTTATAATCTGTATCCCTAAGTGTAATGTAAAAAATACAAATAAAATTTGATTATCTTTATTATTTCCAGAAACATTAAAATGGGTATTTTTGAGAGACACTGTATATATTATATATATTTAAATAGTTAACACATTATTTGATATAATATTATCTATGTTATTTTATTAAGGTGATTATGATAATCCTTTTGATGAAGATTTTAAAACTCAATTATTAAAAAAAGTAGTTCAATTTCCTAATGAATATCATATGTCTGGTTATAAAGTACATGAATCTGAAGTACCAAGTATGCGATCTGAATTCAAATTGGGTATGAATATTATTTGTAATATAATATAATTTAATCTTAGTTGATATAACTAATAACTATCTATACTTAACTAATATTATTACATGTTTATAGATCATAATAAAATGACATTTATCTGTGAACTTGGTAAAGGGTCATATGCTCGGGTCATAAAAGCTCGCTCAGATGAAAAAAATAGTGTGGAGAAAGCTTTTAAAATTCAAAAACCTGCATGTGTTTGGGAATGGTATATTTTGAAAGAAATTCAACACCGCCTTAAGGATTCAGAGAAAGTAAAACAAACATGTTATTTTGATGATTTTATTTACAAATATTATTGATTATTTTTTTTTCTTACAGATATCTTATTTTGTAAACATGGACAATATACATGTATTCAAAAATGGGTCAATAATTTCTATGGACTATGCTAACTACAGTACACTGTTATCAGTGATTTTAGCTTATAAAAAAAAGTGGGTAAGTATTAGTTAAATCTAAATAGCTGGTATACATAATATTAATATGTATAAGGGTTTTTAGAAATAAGATTTTTAATATTTAATTGATAATACCTACTCTATTTAAAAATTTTACTTATTATATTATAATTTTTTACCTATTATATTATTGAAAAAGTTAGTAATTTGAAATTAAAGTACTTATACTGTTCTCAAAATACTTAGTATAAATGTATGTTAAGAAAATGCTTAAAATTCTACTATGAAAATTATTAAAATGATAATTTTCTATTTCTTCCATACAATAAATGGGATATAAATTTATAATATTTTATTGAAAACTTGCTAGTTTGTAACTGCCACACTAAACATATTTTTTTCAGAATCAATCCATTCCAGTAACTATTTCTTCATTATTTGTGTCCCAAGTATTATCTGCTGTCAAATACCTTCATCAATGTCAGATTATTCATGGAGACATAAAACCAGATAATGTTATTGTAAAATCATTGTAAGTTTCATTAATGTTAAAAATAATTTAAATTATTAAATTAATAAATTCTCTCCTTTTTTTAGGCCAAATACATCATTTGACACATGTATTCAGTTAATTGATTTTGGACGCAGTATTGATTTAAGCCTATATCCTCCTGAAACAACATTTACATACACTGTGAAAACTGCTGATTTTATTTGTCATGAAATGAGAGAAAAATTACCATGGACATACCAAGTTATTAAAAAAAAAATAATAATTTAATGAAATATTTTATAATGGATATGTTTTGCAGACCGATTACTATGGAGTGGCAGGAATTATTTATATGTGCCTTATGTCAGATTATATGAAAACTCAAAAAATTCGTAAAGTATGGGTTCCTTTGAAACCATTTCCAAGGTAAAAAATAAATTAAAAATGTTTACATTTTTTTATAAAAAAATACATCTAGTGTAATATACATATAATTTTATTTGATAATAATTTTGATGAAAATCTTAAATATTGTGGCTTTTTAAAATACTGTTAAAGCAGTTTTCACGACTTCTTAAAAAAAACTTTTTGAAAATTTTAATGAATTTTAGTCCTAAAAGTCCATTGATAAAGGTGTAATCACTTTCATCCACCTGCCTAAGATAAATTGATTTAAAACATTACTGCAATTAAAATTGGTTTAATCCCTACCCGATAAAGGACCAGAAATGTAATTATTTGTATGTATTTCAATGATAATTTTAGTCATATTACCATTAAAATAAATACAAATAATAATTTTTTTGGTCCTTTATAGGATTGGCAGGGAACCTAGTGGTAATTTTATCTGAGGTTATGTTTTCAATCAATTGATAAATCAAATGTTTACATCTTATTAATCCATCTTAGTATATAGTATATACTACAGATGTATCCATCTTTATCTTAGAGATGAATGTTTATATTTTATAGTATTGATAAGGATTAATGTTTTAATATTTAAATATTATATACATTGCACCATTGTTAAATATATAGGTATGATCACAACTTTGTGATACATAGGTACAATGGCCAATGGTCATTCTAGGTCTGGTCTGGCAGTGATTCTCATTTTATTTCAATCTAGCTGGTAAATAAATATCACTGCCAGCTTTTCTCTCTATGAAAAGCTATGGAATAAACAGTTGTGATCATACCTTATTATATTTTAGCCATGCATTGTACATTACTTTGAACATATAGCCTTCCAAAATAGTATCTTATTACTTATTATATCAGTTCAATTTGGAAGACCAGTAGTTGTTCGAAAAATGATAAGAGTCTCAGGTACAATAGTTTTGAAATGTTGCCATTATCAACATAATATTTTTTTAAATATTTTATATAAAATAATTTGACATTTTAAATATGTGTTGCGCCGATTTCATAATTTATATAATTATTATATAATATAATATATCTTATAAGTTATTATAAAATTAAAACTACTTAATCTGTAATATCCATACATAAATAAATATATTAATACATTACATTTCAATAAATTAAAGTTTATTTATCTCTTAAAGCTAAGTTTGTTGCGAGTTAAATTAGTTATCATCAATTTCAAATGATTTAAATAACACTCATCTATATACTAAATCTTTAAATAAATTATAAAATATATCATTTTTCTGACATATAGGTATTAATAAATTTTGTCTTATAGTTATATAATTATTGTAAATTTAATTTTTACAATTATTTTAGCAAATATTCTATCTAGTTGTATCTATATTAATTTTTTTATTTCTTTGTAAAAGGTCTTTCAGTTAGTGATAAAAATGTCTTATCATTTTCAAATAACTACCAGTCACCCATTTAATTTGTAAACAGTCACCTTTTAGATAGTATTGGCGATTATTATTATTATTTTATATGTATAGACTATAGCCATAGATATTAAAGATCTTTAATAATGACTATATCAGTTGGCTATCTAGTATTTTTATTTATCTGTGGTATATACACCCAGCGCCTGTTAACAACAAACTGAAAGTCCTTCATTGAATAGACATAAAGGGCTAAAAACTGATCAATGGTGAAAGTTGTAATTAATCCTGTCATCAATACTTATATTTGATGGGGTATTTTAATTTTCAATTGTTAACATTCTCAGAGTAATAAATGATAATACTTAAACTACTTAAATAAAAGAAGAACTAATTATTATGTCTGCTAAATGTTATGTACCAAATTGCCATTCATTGGTAGTATTAATTAACTTCAATAATAATAATATTAATCCATAAATGATGACCATGTAAAAAAAAAAATTATATTTTAAGTGATTAAATCCGTTAAATAAGGTATATTTGTACTTAATGTATTTGTTAATTCTGATATTATTTAATTTAATTTAATCTTTAATAATAAAGTAGGTTTTATTGGCAAGTTATTTAATGCACTTAAATAAAAAATTTACTATTACATTAATTCATTGGTTCATTTTTATATAAATCCCAATTTATATGTTTTATAATAAAGATATATTATATCTTTATTTGAGATATTAATTATCTAGCCCTAATAAAAAAAATTGATGCTTGAAAAATTCAAATGCTAGTTACAGAACAAAGAAGTTTTGTATAGCAATTAATAAATGCTCTGTGTATACCCTATGTATGTACATTGTATCTTTAATTTAGGATCACGATATATAAACAATATTGATGGACCAACCAGTTAGTTAAATTATTAGTACTATTAGCCTTAATTATTGCAGTTAATTAGGTGTTATAAATTAGTAATATTGATGATTAATTTATATTACATGTTGCAACTGCCGTTAAAAATATAGTTTAAATGAGATTAAAGATGATATATATTTATGCTCTTTGAATAATTTGTATAATGTTTGTGCAACTGATCAGTGATTTACCAAGCCATTAGTTAATTATTATTTAAATATTTATGGAATGGTTTTTATGCAACCCTGCATAAGCCTTTTAATTATATATACATCACCTATATTGTTTAATATAACAAATTCATATTTTATTTTATTTTTTTAGATACATAGACAAAAGTTTTTGGGATCCTATCATTTCTGTTTTACTGAATATCAAATCATGCGAAAGTCTACCGAATTTGGATGAAATTATTGATAAACTGAAGAAATATATTTCTTCTCAACAGAAAGTAGTATTAAATCATAACTTTATTAGTTTAAAAAATGCTCTTAAAAACAATTAATGTTTTATTAAAATGTATTTGATTTATTTTTCTTATTACGTAATCTTTTTTTTTAAACCAAATATTAATTTCAGTTTTTTTTAATATATTATATGTGTACTAATGCAATTTTAATACAAATAAAATTAATATACTGATTATATATATATATATATATATATATATATATATATATATTTGTTATTTTTATTCTATTTTAAATTCTACAACTCGTAGTTTTTATTTTGGTCCTACTAGAATACATTTTTATAAAATCCAATGCTGTAGTTTTTATAACACTGTACTCTGTCATATACTTAGTGTTTTTCCATGAGCATAAAAATAATTTTAACACAAACTGATTTTTCTAAATGTACAACAAAACTTTTTTTAAACACTGACTTGGCTTATTCTACAAACCTTCCAGCTGAAGCCCAGGAGATGAGTGAGTTTTCGCAAATTCTCATTTTCTTTTTCTAATAATTTTTGTACCACATAATGCTGATTAAACTTACATGAAATTAATGTATATTATATATTATATATATATAAAAAAAAAAATTTTTTATCTATAAAACTAAAATGTTAAAACAATAATTTAAGATTTTCTTGCAGTAATCTGGTTATGGTCAATTCAATTTTTAAAATGTAATTTTAACAGGAAATAGGAACTGAATGAAGAAAGAGCTTTATAAATATGTCAACAACTTTTAGAAAACTTAAGCCATTACATTTGTGCACTTTTAATACTATACATCCTTGTAATTCGATTATTTTTTTGTTACTATATTTGGCATTAGTCACTTATTATTTTTGGTATCAACATAAAATTTATAATTTGTTGTATATTCTACTAATATATTATTTTTAACTATGTACTTATAAGAATATTATCATACAATATCTCCCATTGTGTTTTATCCCATGCTTGATGCCTACATATAGTAAATATTAAATACATTTTTTTTTTTATTTTTAACTTGTTAATCACTGGAAAAATATTTTATTTTTTAATTTTTAAAAATTTTCAAAATAGTCACTTTGTTATAAGGAAGGAAGATAATACTCTGAAAAATTAAATGTATCATCAGTTTCTTAGTAATAACTGTTCATTTCTAGAGAAGGGGTATATTTTATTTTTATTTATGGTAAAATCATCTATTATGTTTTTGTTAAAGTGTTGCGATTGTGATTCCTGATTGTGTAATGTAGTAGTAACCTATTCAATATTAATTATGTTTGAACCTTTTCTTAAGAAATTAAAACTACTGTTTCTAAGAAATTATTCATTAAATATGTATGTTTATTTATTAGATTAACGTTTTAAGAATAATATTTATTTTAATGTTTTTAAACATTTTGAAAACTGAACAAATAGCTATTTTTTTAGTAATTAAGGGATGAAAATGAAAATGTAATAATTCTATAAATACACCAATGTCTCGCTCAAAATCCCATTGAAAAAATAAAAAAATTGAATATTAACATAGTGAAAACATGGTGAGATACTCTGTACCTACTCTACTGATACTCTACTACTACTGTTACTACTACTCTACTACTGATACTCTAGTTTTCCATTAGCAAAATTGCTTAATGGAAATCTTTTTAAATGTTTTATAGTTATTTTTCTTCAATTTAACCAAAGTTAAACTGGTTTGTATTATCACTTATATATGATTGACTCCAGCCCCAAATTTGAATTTAGGACATTTTTAATTTGTTTGCTGTGATGCAACAGGACCAAGGAAAAGGTAAGAAAAGAACATTAACCCAAGATATCATTTTTTTTTTTTTACAGGCAACATATTTTATTTAAAATTTTAAATACAAAACTAATTATTATTTATTTTTAATTAACCTATATAGGTTATGCTTATACAATAAGCTCTCCATGAAAACTCACAAAATAACAATTTCAGAAATTACGGAGAAAATTTTCTCAATTATAAACGACTACAAATTTAAAGATAATATTAAAAAATGTATTAACTAAGTGGAAACAGAATGGTCTTACTTTACCTATGAATCTCCTACATACTGTTTGTAAGAAGCAGTAATTCTAGTATGTTGTTATATGTATATTCAAATGGTTTTATAGCAATAATAAATAATTATGAATATAATGAATAGGTAATAGAATTATAACATTAAATGAATGTGTTTTTATTTTGGTAACTAATAGAATTTTATTTTATTTTTCATTCATCAGGTTTGTTAAATTTTGAATCTGGTTTTGACATTATAATGATTTAGTGTTTTTCTTCAATATTTAGAAAAAATATAGTATATTATAATATTTTCTGTTTCAAAGAAAGTGCCAAATTGAAGAAATATGTGTTTTTTATTCGTTTATCATTAGAATAAATAATCAAATTAAAAACCAAGTTAACATTCCTGTACCAAGTTATATTGTTATCACTGTGTATGTGTATTTGTATTTTTATTTTCCATTTTATCATTTACCATAAATTGCCTGTCTAGGCGTTAAAAAAAAAAAAATAATATATTGTGTATAGGATTCTACAATTTTATGTAACTTTTATTTGATGGAAAATAAAAAAATGCACACCTATAATTTATTTTTAATTTTAAAACTATGAAGTAGTAACTACAGCAGACATTTTAGGGCATCCATCTTGCTTGGAGTTTTTAAAAAATATTAACAAGAATTTGATAGCATTAAACTAGTTAACAATTATTTTAACAAATGGGTCAGTCAGTTTTCATTTTTGATGTTATAGATACCTATTCGTTTATTAGTACACAAGGCCACTTTGAATAAAGAATATTATAATATTTAAAGTCTAAAGTGACTCCAATACTTAAGTCAGTATTATGAGTTATGACTATTAAACCATATCTCTATTTACCACATCTCTAAACACCCTCTTCATAAGTCTTTTCATCTTCTCAATGTTGCTTAGTCTGGGTCACTACCACCCATTCCATTTATATTTAATTTACTCTTCTGTTGTACTTCTCCTTCCACTACAGCTTAGTTTAGTTGAACATATCACAATTTTCAGCTTTGACGTTATAAATTTAATAAATAAATAAATAAATAATGCAAACTGAACTGATAAACATTTATTTAAAAACAAAAATGTATTTTAAAATATTTCAAGCAGTGTGAAAATTTCAAGTGAAATATTTCGTACCTACTCATAACTCTAATATTGTATGTTTGTATTTATTATGACAGTTTCCATTTTAGGAAAAATAACTGGTAATACGATATTTGTAAAAACCAAAAAAAACTGTACCAAACACACATTTGTATATATTTATATTATAATAATTATATAGGTTTGCATCACTTTATCGTCGAGTTATGCTCGACTTCGGGACTTGATCACCGGAAGACGGACACGAAATCTAACCACCGTAATAGCAACAACAGGAATATGATTATCCCGAGCAGCGATATCAGGTACATGATTTGAGTGAACACAGGATTCTCGATGTTCACGACTACCGGTTTACAATACGACTGAAGTCCCATCTGAAAAACGAAATCATTACAATATAAACAACAATCAATCGACGGGTAATTGGTTTTATTATTTTTTTTATGTTACCCAGGTATTTATAGTTATTGGTGAGTATCGAGTGTCAAGTACCCACTTAATACCAAGATGTACTTGGAATAGTCAACGACGAGCGATAATGGACTAATATGCCATAAGAGTGAAATATGGATATTGTCGGACATGCCATTAGACCATACAGAAAAACTACACAGTACAATAATGGAGGGCATGATTGAAAGAAAAAAACCACGTGGACGACCCCGCAACACGTTTATCGGACAAATTAGAAAAGATATCGGAGCTGAAAACCATAGAGTACACAATAAAATATGACAAGTGACCGTGAAGAATGTAGAGAGGAGTTGCAAAGGCGCCGTACACTTTGCATCCCGTTCAAATGTTATTCAGGGTCTTTTAATAAGCTACCAGAAGCTGCACAAACTGAGTGTATATAAAGATGAGGACGCTTTCAAGGGAAAATATTTGGAGTAAGAAAGTGATGAGCTTAAATTGGACCACTGTGTATCTTTTTTGATGCCGGTAAAATAAATATTTCCCAGGCTACTTTTATAAGGTAGTCCACCATGCATGTATAGTGGTTTACCATTTAGACTAGAAAATTACATAAGCAAAATTTAAAAAAAACCTCCACAAATTGATTTAAGTCCTCCTTTGGTTCTAAAGAAGGAGTCTTTGGAACCAAAGATTTTAAAGTAGTAAGTATTTAAGAAATAGGTTTTATTGCGGTCGGAAATCGGCTCAAAATGTGTACTTCAGTACTCTTGATTGTCTTAAAAAAAAAAACCCTTTCACTACCTCATACCTTTATCCGAGTCCATCCAACTAATATTACTATAATATTAAACTAATGTTATAAAAAGAGTCCGGATTTCTATGTTTTTACACGTTGTGACTGAGCGTGTGTGCAATCTTATGAGTGTAACAAATGTTTGGCGATTCGTTCAACACAGAGTTCATAAGGTAAAAGTTTCGTTGTTCATATTAGAGACTATTTTAGGGATTAGAGAATATTTAATACACATAACACATTTTGGAATACTTTGTAAATTGTTTGAAAAAAAAAATTACTAATTTATGGTAATTTTAAATTATTATTAATATTTAATTTAATTTAAATGTAGCTACCTACCTGAAAAAATATTTTTCGAATCATTTAACAATTATTTTAATATTATTTACTTTTTTTTTTATCATTTTGATAATGAAAAAAATAAAAATAAATACATATTAGTATGAAGCTATATAATATTGAAATAATAAAGTAAAAACAGAATTATTAAAACGGTTAATACTCGTAAATAAATAAAGTAAATAAATATGTGAATAAAAAATGTACATATAAATATAAAAATAAATAAACGAATATAATTCCAATACAGAAAGTACGACGTTGCGATCGAAAAACGATTCCGAGTCAAACATAAGTAATAATAATAACTTTATAATAATTTTTAATAATCTCTCCTATTAAAATAAACTATTTCTATATGTTATGTAAAACGACCAATTGGTATAATTTTTTTTTCTTTCTATATATTCATTCGTTTAATTTTTTTTATTCAGTCGCGTTTTACATTTTGACTGATATATACCTGATGATTCGAAACCGGTCGTATGATACACTCATCATAATACTCCAGGCGACGCCATTGATTCATTTATTCATTTCAATATTTTTATTTATAAATTTATTTACTTTATATAATATCGATTATTTTTGCGTGTTTTTCTCATTTTTAAGAGAATAAAGGAGAATATTTGTAGTTTTTTTTTGTTTTTACCATTCGAGTGAAACACACTGTACACAATACAGTGATAATAACAATAATAGTATTCGAATCTCACGCGAGGAATACGGGTACCCCTATAATACTCGTATATAGTCTGCTGGTATATAAGCAGCGTTCCTCAACCATAGGGTCGTGACCCATTTTTGGGTCGCCGATTATTTTTGAACTGGTCGCCAAAAAATTAAAAAGTTAAGTAATATCATATTTTAATTTTAGACTACGTGTATACAATGCAGTTTTAAAAATAATTAACGAAACAATTTTGGTAAATTATTTTTCTTGACAAAATCGATACAAACAATTTGGGACTATGGTCTTTCAATGCCGTACGAATATGCTTTGTCAGTTATTGATATCCGCGGAAATTATTAAATATTTGATAAGTCGTTGAGAAGCATTCGTTTTGGTTGGTAACTATCAGTTATCGATATTTTGAATTTCTCTGCCACAGGTAGGCGCCGTCATTGGCCATTACTCGTTTAATCGTGTATACTATTAATGTATTTACTTTGAAAAATAAACGAAAGGTAATAGTTTCTTTTATAGTCACGGCAATCGAACAATTAAGTGGGTGGGATGCATACCCCCCGCCCCCACCTCCCGTATTTAAAATATAATTTTCAAAAAAGTCGTATCCAAAATTATAGATTTCGGGCCGCCAACGCGTGAAATGTTGAGAACCGCTGGTCTATAATATGATGTATAGGTACCCCATAACATTATATACTTATGGCATGCGTTATAACACGTATGGACATTATCATAATGTTTAAGCACCTATACATATGCGATATGCGTGCATTTTTTTCTTTTTTTTTTGCACACATAATAGTGTGGAAAATATCAATACAAACTTTATTGTGCGCCGATAATATTAGTTATGTTGCAACCGTTGTTTCATCGATTAGTTTTATGTATGCGCGTGTACTGCTGTCGTGCGTGATTTCAATACAGAAAGTACGACGTTGCGATCGAAAAACGATTCCGAGCCAAGCATAATTAACAATAAAAATAATAATGATAATTTTATTTACGGAAATTAATTTCCAATTTTCAAATAACAAATCGACAGTGTATATTATGAACACGTCGCGAGAAATGATCTGATAATGTTAAATATAATAAAACTAAGTCGGCCGTTTAAATTGTCGTGCAACTAATAATCTGACGGTAATCAATTCATGTACAAGAAAATTAATATATTGAGTCATGGAATCCGCAATACACTGTTCAAAATAATATAATTATTACGAGAACACAGTGAAACAATGCAAAAATAGTAGCTAAGTAGTATTTACTGGATGAAACATTCGACACATTGAATAATTGAGTATGTCAATTAATATGTCTAAATTTTGAATCGAACTTCTCGTGGACGCAAAAACATTCGCCGGATGTATAACATGTACTTTTTTGTCAATTGCTGAAGGATAAAATATTATTACGATTTATTTCTTGAACGTGATTGGTTTGATGGAATGTTTAAACGCAAACGGAATCGGTTAATAATATTATGCAATAATTTACACAGAAATTTACAATTCAAATAATCGATAATTTTATCTACAAACCGACATTGTTTTAAAAGTGGCGTATTTAATAGGAGGAGATTAGGGAGATGTGTATCAGTAGTATTAGTTTGTAAATGCTACTACGCAACGAACCCCCCCCCCCCCCCTCTCCTCTTAAATAAGCATCCGATTGACATATTTTTGCTCGGATTTTTAATTTTTTCCGGTTTTCGATTTGTTTTATTTTAATTATTTTGTTTAAATTTTAAACCGGTTTTTAGAACTTATACATAGTTAATACGTATTATAGTTACATAGGAATTATGTCTAGTGTATTAGAGAGGTGATTTTTTGATTTTCCAAGGGGTTTTCAAAATAATTGGGAATGACCGGAAAACAATTTGTTTATTATTATTATTGTTTCAAGATCAAATTTTAAAGAAAATCGTAAATATTACGGTTTTACAAAACATGTTAAACCAAACTTCTTTCAGAATCGTTTTTCGCTAATAAATTAATACACTTGACACTGATTCACTCGGCTTTTGAGTTCTTTTTACATTTAAATTATAATAAACGTATAGTATATTTATAAATTATAAATTATTATTTATAATAACGAAAGTAATTAAATAAATTTAACCGCAACGTTTATTGCGTGTAAAATCATAATTATGTGTATTACATTGTTGAATGTATTAAAATCTTCAAGATTCGCAAATTTGTCGCGTTGCAGCCGAGATATCAAATCCCACAGAAAGCCTTTGAAGGGGATCACATCGATGTATCTTAATATTTAAATATACGTATTTTATTGAATTAGTCTCATTACTTATTGGTTAGACTTCGTATATTTTCTTTAATAATATAGTACCTTCCCAGTCAGATTTCCTTTGAGAAAAAGTGCTATCATTATAAATCGGAACAAAATTGCTAGTTGTTTATAGAAAAAAACATCACAATATTCTAATGTATTTCGTACATTTTTTCGGTCTTCTCAGTTTTTTCGGTTTTTCACATTTGATGAGAAACCGGAAAAATGACTTCTTTAAATTACCACCCCAAGAAAATTTCCTATCAGAAAGAGATCTACACCGTATAATACATCGGAGTAAGCTTTCTGGTAAAAAAAGTGTTCACATAAAAAAAAAAAAAAAAAAAAAAACATCTTTGTAAAACCAATAAATTCTTCGCTCCACTCGGAATTTAAAATAAAATCGAATATAACTGAAACAGTTATATTGTGTAAATATTACAGTTTTTCCAACGTTTTTCTCGGGTTTTATCCATCATTAAGAAAACAACAAGGAAAATAAAAAAAATGACCTCTTCATCACGTCAACTAGACAATAGGTATCATTTTTTTTTACACAAGAAACCGTTATGAAAAAACATTCCATAATAAATCTATCACAGTATAGAATCTAAAATAAAATGTATGTACGGACAAAAACTTAACGTGCTGCAGTAGAGTTATTAAATTAGGGTTTTGTACCTTGAATTCAATAATTGCAAGTGACGCGCGTTTTTTTTTTTTTTTTTTAGTCTTATAGCTCCGTTCATTTTACGAGTATTTTTCCAATTTTCGACACGCGATCCGTTGTTTAAATTATTTTCAATTAAAACACCGTTGCAGTTATACCTGCCATGCGTAACTTGTGCATTTCATAATGTAATATAATTTTATGATAATCAAAACACGAGGCGAAATACTCGTGTGAACTTGGTTTTTTTTTTTATACGCTTATTCCAAAATGTAAAAGGGCAACTGGTTAATAATAACGTCATTTTTTCAACGTCTGCGCGTAGTTAATTACTTCAGGACTGCCGCCATGTAATTCAAGAAAACAAAATAACATATTTTTTTTTTTTTTAAAAAACACATAAAATCAAACGGAATTAATCGTTTGGAAAACGCATTAAAATATTATTTAAAACAACTTGTTGAAAAGTTGAACTATAAAAACATATCTCCGAAACATAAATTCAACGAACACGAATACTTTTATTATTTGTTTGTATACCAACATAATATTATAGTAATTATTTGTAGATGATGGCTAGTTCGAGTATTTATGTGTAAATACATATAGGTGCCAGGTACGTAACCAGGATTTTTTTCATGGGGAGGAAGGTCCAAGCATAAAATTTATCACCGACTACCAATAATTGTACCAAAAATCTGATTTTTCGGTGAGAATCTTAAATTTCAGCGCAGGGGAGGGGGATTCAGGTCCCATAAACCCCCTGGCTACGTGTCTGATAGGTACATAACATTTCGATTATAATGATAATTTTATCATGAACCAGCAATTTTCCCGGAGGATTTTATGTGTGTATGATTAATTTAATGCTTTATTAAATTGTACATCTATTTTATATTCGTCTAAAAATGTTGATGTGTACAGCGGTAAATCTGATATTAGTGTTGATTGAAAGAGGGGGGATGTTACTTTTTTAAATTCATACTCATTTCATGTATAAGAAGTAGGGGTAACAAATTAAAAACAGTGGTAAAATAAACGATTCCAATACAAAAAAAAAAAAATCAAATTCACTTAAATTTTCCAAAAAAATTGCTGGTTCATGACAAAATGATCAGCTTATATTTAATATAATATATATTAAATGATTTGGATCATGCAGAAAGGGCCCTTAACGGCATTTTTGGCAAAAACAAGCTAACCGCGGATTTTTAATGCTTTATTGTTTCAACTATAATGTTTAGAATCAAAAGCAATTTGCATTATCAGCCAAAGGCGTGTTAGGGGGGGGGGTTTGATATGGGTGTTAGAACACCCGCCATCGTCCGTATTTTGTTACATTTTCACTAAAATCTGAACTTACTCATTAGACTGAATTTCTATGAAAGTAAGTAATTTATCTGTGTTTTGGAGTATCAGCTTTGAGTTAATTTCACACTAAATAGCATAGGTAATTCTCATAAATTATAATAGAGCACGATGTACTCCGATTGACTATATAATATAAACGATAAAAACGCAGTTACCATTCGCTCCTTATCAGACTATCAGAGTAAATATTATGATATTATGATAGTGATACCAATACGATGAGAGAAGATTTTCTCAAATTTGTGTCTGTTGCTGATGCTACAGGTAATGGTTTAGCAGTAGTTTTGATAGACAGCTTAAAAAATATCGGTCTAGACTTAAATTTTTTACGCGAGCAAGATTATGATGGGGCTTCCGCCATGCGCGGCCATTTTAATGGGGTACAAGCAGTTGTAAGACGGTCATACTCATTAGCCTTATATTCCCATTGTAGTTTACGTTCATTGAATTTAGCAATATCGGATGCTTGTAACATGAAATCAATCCAGAACGCCACAGATACATTATAGGTTATTTAAATATTTCTTGAAACGCCTAAAAGTCAAGATATATATTATAGATAAAATCGCGCCAGAGAACAAGAAAAAAAAAATTAAAAGATTTATGTCTCACTAGATGGGTGGAATGACACGAATCAATAATGATGTTTTTAGAACTATTTGACTCAGTTGCTAAAGCTTTAGAAGACATTTCCAATTGGGTAGACAGAATGTGAAAAACCGGAAAAACGCAGGAAAAAAGGGGAAATCCGATCAATATTAAAAAAAATGAATGACGCATATTTAACTAATTTACTATAATATGACATTTATATATATATATATTGTTGACAAAGCATCACTGTCAACTGAACTCGTTTTTTTTGTTAGCAATGGTTTCATCGTTTACAGGTATAACATTACATTACTATTAACGAACTGCGCTCGGAATCGTCTTTCGCCAATAGTTTATCGTTGCTTGCAGATACAAATAAAGTAACCTCATGTATCCTACTTCCCAACTTCTCACCTACAACAGTGTTCGCTCCCATACCCAGTATCGGCTATTTTTGATTTTAATTTTAATCGAGAATTATGCGTTAAATGGTTTCTAATAATTATTCATCCATCGGCTAACTACATATTGCCACACGGGACGCTTTTTCCGTGCACGGGGATGAAATAAGACATTTAATCACAATTTAGCATAATAATATACTGACCCATCCGCCGTTGTAGTGTATCCAAGCGGCCAGGTCGTCTTCGATCACTTCGCCGACGGCCTCGATCAGGTCGGGTAACTGCTCGGAGCGACCGCGGCGCGCGCAATCGACGGCCAGCCCGGCGGCCACGCACACGAGCGACACGACTTTGGCCCAGGTGACTTGGGCGCCAGCTCGGAAAAGCTCACGGGACACGGCCACCAGGACGACGGCCGCCGTGGCCGACGGCTGCATCGCGTTCCTTCTGTTGCAGTAGGCTGGACGGTGCAACAGCAGCCGGTGTTGCGTCGACGATAACGCCGCCGCGGGTGCATCAGGAGACGAAGAATCACTCACCACCGTGCCCGCAGCTATCGCGGCGACCCCGGCCGCGTACAGTTTCGGGTCGATCCGCTCCAGCTGGAGACCGACTCGGAGCATGGCGGGAAACACTTCCCGCCGAACTCCGTCATCGTGGTCGCCCCCGACGGCCGTTGTGCTCGTACCGGTCTGCGGCGGTATGAAATAACTACCGTCCGCAGCCGCCGCAGTTGCCGCCGCCGCTGCCGCCGCCGCCGCCGCTCCGGCTTCGGCTCCGGCGCAACGCAACGCTCCGGCACACTTTTTCGTGTACGCGCCCGCCCGTTTTAACTTCCATCGGACGTACTGGACGCATAGCGCCTTGCCCTGTCTCGCTATCTGATCCGTCGGCACTGCCGTGCGCCAGCCAATCGTGTGAGACAGTTTACGGGACACCACGTCGCTGACGTTGCTGAACCGCCGGCGGGCCGTGGCCACGGTGAGTGACGGCCCGCCGCTTCCGCCGCCCACATTGCCGACACCGCCGCCGAAGCCGCCGACGCCGCCCAAATCGGAATGTAGGATTTGAGAGTGTAGGACCGCGGGAAAACTGAACTTGCGCCTGGGCACGAACGTCGTTCTGCTGCTACCGTTCCCGGTCCCGTTGTTGTTATTATTGCTGGTGTTGTTGTTGTTATTGGCAGCTGCGCATGAAGGCATAACGATACCACCTTCCGACATCCGCCGTGCTTCATTACACCTGTTTGCAAACAATAATATGGTATAACTGTTTAATTGTCACGTTCAATACATATACTACAGGGTGAATCATTTAAGTGTCTACACTCGACTTTTCGAAAAGTATTATGATTTTGTCGAAATGTATTTATTTGAACGTTTAAGAAAAAATATTAGCGCTCTACGATTTTGCATTTTCGTTATTTATTGTAATCCTTATTTAGGGGATGAAACCTTAAAAGTGAAACATCTCGTCGACGGAAATCAAACATTTCAACATCAAAATGTATTTGAACTAAAACGTAGCAACCTATATTTAAAATTCCATAAATATATGCCATTTTTAATTCCCGACAATCTGTTGAAAATTCTATTTCACTTGTTATTTAACTAAGTTTGCCGTTTTATAGGTAGGGGGAGAGTAGCAGAATGTTATTCAAACGACGGTCGCCGAACCGCAACACTAACTTCATTAGATACTCGCCTTGTAACCAAATTTAAAAGTGAAATTTTACGGAAATTAAAAAGGTCAACAACGAAATGTATTTAAACTAACATTTTATCTATTTATGTAATTTTGAATATTTGAAAATCACAAGTGAGTAGTGGTTTCATTCCTAAAAACAAGGGGTGACAAATATAAAATATGAAATCTTAGTGCTGTTTGTTTCTTAAATTTTCAAAAAAAAAAACAATTCAAACAAAGTTAATACTTTCCGATATATCACATATTGGGTAGGTATATGTATATCTTTGTAAGACTTGTAAGTGCATTGTCTATGTACTACCGTGCATCACCACAAGTCATATAAAAATGTATTTTAAGATATCCAAATAAATACAAGAAATAATTGCTATAAAAATTATTTAGATGAGGATAAAATGTACACAATAATTTTAGCAGGCCTGGATTAACGTGTGGACATATTATTAGAGGTATTTGCCTATAAGAGGTCCGAAATTTGCAGACTCTGCTAAGATCGGTACCACTACGTTGATTTTATTATAAATCTTGGTTAATTTAATTATATTAAATTAGTTATTAACTATTTTCGCACAAAATTGACGTTACATAATGAATATTAATACATCATAATTATTCATATAGTGTTCGTGATAAAAAACAACACTTGTTGGTCCATATTGTTAATGTACACGAATATTTTACCTGTTATTTATAATAAATCGTGATTTATAAATTATTTATAATAAATGTATAAATTACGATTTAATAAGATTTATCTAGATCATTCAATTATTTGCAATAGACTCAGGTAAATTATTCCTCATTGATCTAGATAAGATAAAAAAAACAAGTGCATACCTATCTACTAACTAAAAAATTATTACACTGTTACACTGACCGCACACTCCATATAAGCATCAACTCAAATATTTGTGATACTATTTCTAAATAATAACGTGAATTAAACGAGATTTTCATAGTTGGATATTTTAATAGTTATATTAAATTATGAAAATTACAATTATAATAACGTAATACTATTATACGTAAGTAAATACCTTTTTTTGGAAAATATACGTTTTTTAAAGCTTCTTTCAGTGCTATGATAAAAAAAAAAAAAAAAAAATTAAAAATTAAATATTAATAATAATTCATTCCACGATCAGTTATTTTTATTATTTGCCCAATCTAAATTATTGTGTTTTTACAGTGTACGTTTTATTAGTGGTTCGATTTATGCGCACATTGCAACATTATTGACCATCAACACAAATTGGTGTCAAATATCTATTATTATAGTTCGAACAACATTCGTCCGACGTGACGTGATAATTGATTGTTAAATTACGATTGGGTTGGTCCTCGTGATTTGTGTAGGCACTACAATTAATTAATATACAAGGAGAGTCAAAGTGATATAAATGTTTTTGCTAATGAATATGGAAGAACGGGGAGGGGAGACTAAAAAGAAGACCGAAAAGGAAATGATTTGATAGGTACGATCGAAAGCGACGATAAGAACTGTGGCAGTGTGCAATGTCAATGACGCGAGGGATCGTGTCAGGTGATGGAGATTTAGGATGTAAAAGGTGGACGAACCTATAAATAATCGAGAATAGATGAGAAGATAATATAATATTATTTTTAAGTTAAATTACACTTGGGGTAAAAAAAAAAAGGTGTTTCAACCAAAAAGATTTGAAAAAAAATATGTTTAAAGTTTTGAAAACGCTTATATTCCTTGATGTTTAAAGAAGTAATTACAAACGGATCATTATATTTTAATGTGTACAGAATACAAACGCGAGACCAACAAAATACCAAAAAAAAAAAAAAAAATGTATTACAAACTTATGTATAGGTACTCAAAAATCGATTGCCAGCATTTTGCAGGTTCTTTTTTAAGAATAAGCATAGAAAGTATAAAATAATTATTAATCATAGTAGTAATAATTTGAAAAAAAAATAGTCTTTAATAATCTATTTTAAAAATATTTATTTCTAACCATGTCAATGATGAGCGATTTAAATTAATAATAATTAATTTCAGTCCTATGCCTGTAACTGTGAAGGGAAATTTATGTTTTCGTACATTTTTGTTTCAAACCCTTTTCAGGTCAGTTTGACAGTTTAATTTATAGATAAAAAAAATGGTCAAATTGTTCCCGTATTTCATTTATATTTCAAACGTGTGTAGTCGGCGGACGTGTGTGGCAAAGGTCATGTGGCAAAGGTCAAGTGGCAAAGGTTATTACAAAAAAAACTAAACTCCTACACACATACTAGTACTATATAAAAAAAAAAAAAAAATTAGTTGTTATTCGCTAATATTATACAACGGTGACGTGAGCGGTAATAAACGAGCGGAGGAGCAGTCAATTGTATAATCGTACGTTTTATTATACATGCGAGTTCTGTGGACCCTTTTTAGGTGACAGTTTTTTATGAATTAGGAATTACCGAAACGGAATACAACAATAGATTGGTCGAAAAATCGTGTTTGACTTTTAAAAAACAAAAAAAAAAAAAAGGTTAGTTTTTTTTTTTTCTATACCCATCGGTTTATTCATTATGATAACAGAGAAAAAAAAAATTAAAATACGTTTATGCACGAGCATACCCACGGTTTCGAACAATGCAATAATATGCATAAACATGTGCGGTTAGGCTGTACGCACGCACCGCCGTCGTCGTTGTCCCGAAGACTGTGACCAACAACGACCGTGTTTGTGGGTAATAATATAACACGGTTCAAGTCTTCGTTGTTTATGTTGTTTGCTTTAGAACGTACCTACACCCAAATAAATTGTAATATATTCGCATATAATAATATGTAGAGTGATCAACATCGTAACGTAAGACACTATATCATCATCATAAGGGTTGGGCAATACCACAAATACCATATTTTTATTACGGTATTATTTTATGTCAAAGGATACCTACAACAAGATACTCAAACATTGTTTGGTACAATTCCAAATCCAACAACGAAAACTCTAAATATGCTGTTATTGCAGTTGACTGGTTCAGACAACTAGGTATAACATTATACGTAACATTTAAAAAACATCTAATAAATATATGTTCTTTATATTGATGATCAATGATGTTTTACGCTATCGATTATTATTACATTTTGTTTTGTACTTTTATTCCTTATTCTGTATTTGTATAATATGGCTATATTTATAATCATTTCATTCACTTTAAATAATTATCAGTGGTAATGGTTATAACACATTATTCATCGAAATAATAATGGAAATTGAAAAACTGTACGCATATTTCTGTCTTTGATACTGGCATCGTGAATCTTGTGTCAATTCTAGTTCGTAACTTGACTTGTATCGTCTATTAAGGTACTTAAAAATTTTGAGAGAAACGAAAAATACATATTGGCTTTATAATGATGTTTATTATTTTTTTTATTTTTTATACCATGTACAAAAATTCTGCTAATAATCTTGCTCTGATATCACCTTTGTCGAAAGGGAATTTTATCTAGTTGGTAATTTAGGAAGGTTATTTTTAGATTTTCCAAGCAGTTTTCTTAATGATTGGGAAAAATCAAGAAAAAAGTGTGAAAAACGGTTTCAGAATTCAGTTAAAAATGTTCGTAGAAACTTATATTTGCCTATTTGCCTGTTTTAGACGTAGTAAAATGTTAAAAACATCTGAGCCATTTTTGAGCTATTTATAGACATTTTTATTTTACGAGATTTTTACGTCATTTTATTCGGTTTAGGTACTCATTGAATAAAATTGTTAGACCAAATAGAAATGCTTAAAAATTGAATGGGAGTTTCATTATAAGTTATACTTAATAGTCAACAAGGCTAAACTAACACCATTTACCCTCTTCTGATTTTCAAACAGCAATCTATATATTTAATATTTGATAAACCAACAGTTTACTTTAGTTAACTAATGTTTTGGTGTGAAAATGTTTAACTAGACTTGTTTAAAAGATATCGAACTACTTTGAGATATGTCGGTTTTTAAATGGGGGTCCAATTAGTGCATATTATTTTAATCATAATGTTATTTGCCTCCAGAGAAGAAAGGCAAAGTCGATTAAAGTTAAATTTTAAAAACTGCTATATGGCCTAATCTAAATATTGCATTCTAAATGGCTTGAGTCACATAATTTAATTGATTATGCTCTTTTTGTAAAGAAAAATGTATATTTAAGGATTTAAGATAGGTATTTTAATGTTTAGTACCAATAACGTTTAATTACATGTGTTGAATACTCTTATGCCATTTAAACCAAAACATAAAGAGGAAAAGATTAGATAAAATGCAATAATAAAAAAAAAATATCGAAAATTGACTTAAATCCTTGATTCCCTAGGTATCCCTTGGTAACAAGAGAAAAATACGAATATAATAATACTCTGCTCAGAATTGTTTTTCATTAGCAATGTTTTATCGTTGTGTACTGATAAAATTAAAATTGCCTACTAATAAGTATCTATTTATCTTTTTAATGTTGAGGTGCTATTTGAAAATCAAAAACGGGTATAGTGGTGGCATCACCTCCGAAATGAGGTCGACAAAAGCCGCTTGGTTTTTACATTTTCTAAACAAAAAAAACACGAAATTTTTCCGGCAAAAATTAATACTTTCCGAGACACAATATGATAGTGACTCACGTTATGTTGATCACCCTATATAATATGGTACGGATATTTATCATTTTTTCGCGTGTTCCTTGGAAACAACTATAGGTCTTATACGTTTCTTTTAGTAACAATACTTATAAGTATACCTTAAATCGGTTGTCGCGCCAAACACATTTAAAACAATTAACTACTTTTGATTTTCAAACGGTAACCTTTATTAAAAAGTCCATAAATAGACTGGTATTAGTTTAAATACATTTTGGTGTTTAACTTTTTGATTTCTGTCAAGCCGTTGATGAGATATACCACTTTTAATTTTTTGGTTGGAGAAGAATAGTAGTGCATTATTAAACACGCCGCACGCCGTACCGTCACACTAATGATACTCCACTACTCTCCTCCAACCTAAATTTAAAAGTGGAATACCTCATATATTAAAATATGGACATTAAAATTTTCAACACTAAAATTTATTTTAACCAATACTCAATCTATTTATAGACTTTTCAATATAGATTGCCACTTGAAAATCAAAAGTAAGTAGTTGTTTTACCACCAAAAAATAACACAAATATAAATTTGTGGAGCAGCTCGTTTCTTAAATATTCTAGAAAACAAATTCCATAAAAAGTTAATACTTTCCGAGATAATGAGTTTACCCACTTAAATGAATCACCTAGTATGAATAAAAAATGTATGTATAAAAATAAAATAAATAAATTTACATTTTGACTGTGATATACTTGATGATAAATTTTTAATTCGAAACCGGTTGCATAATACTCCAGGCTACGCATTGGTTCATTTATTTATTTAATTTTTATATATACATTTTTTATTTATGTACTTTATGTATTATTGCTGTCAAAATATGTTTTTACTGTATTATTATATTATGCATAATCTGGACTAAAATTTAAATTTAAACAAGTATTATTTTTATTCATATTATTATTTTACTGTTTTTTTCGAAAACGCTTAATATTCTATTTGATAATAATAAGACGTGAGCTTTTTTTTTATCGGATCTTCCCAGAATATTATAGTGGAAAATGTTGCACTGTATTTTATATTCTGAATAAGGAGGGCAATATATAATATACTGGTTTACAATGAGGTTCATTTTTTAATTTTTTTTTCTTCTCTAAACAATTTTTAATCAGAAATTTTGCTTCGATTTTCAAGTGTACTTCATTTAATTTGACTGGAATGGTTTTTTAAGGGAATTGTTTTTTCCCAAGGGTTTTCATTATAAATGGGGAAAACCGTGAGAATTTACGAAATATACCTATACTGTTTTCAAATCATATATATTATGACCTTTCAAAATATGTATAACCGAACTCTGCTCAGAATCGTTTTTCGTTAGAAATGATTAATCGTTTCATTTCCCCTCTTCCTTCCCAACTTCTCATCTAAAACAGTGGTCCACCAATCGTGCGAAGTATTTCCGTTTGTTTCGTTTGTGAGTATATAAATCATTTTCTCGATATTTTTGTACACTTTTAGTAGCTCTATCTATACCAATTGAGCTTAAACTTGGGAATTAAAGTTTTATAGGCGGAGTCAAGTGATACACTTTTGATTGAATTTCACTTTTTATGAATTTCACCATGTTTTTGCGGGTAGGTGATTTTGTGTGATTCTCAAATTTTACGTTTTCTTAGGATACACCGGTTTTAAATACCACTATAGTAGACTTATAAAAATAAGTAACTGAGTAGAAATTTGTATACATAGATAAAAATATTGTCGAGGATGTACCCTTAGAAAGTTTGAATAACTTCCAACCCCGTCTCTACCATTTGCTTGTACGTTAAAAAAAATCTCGAGAACTATTTTATCTATTTTGATGGAACATTTTTTATTCGATTCCTTTTTGTTACCGGAAGGTAATTATGTAACACTATGTATATCTGAACTATGAGTGGGATAGTCTACCGATACCGTGATATAAGGTAGGAGGAGGAGTAGATATGATTATTGGGTTTTAATGTATTTAAAAACCAAAACAAATTACAGAAGATGTATTAAAACCCTGGTAGCCCTTTTTTGTATAAACAACTTTTCCAATATAGAAATATAACATAGATTAATATAGTAACTTTTTTTCAAAACGTTCTGATAATTTTTGAGAGCTATTTATCGGTATTTGACATTTGCCAGTTTTTCTTTTTTCTTTGGTTTTATGTCAATACAATTGTATTGGTTGATAGCTTTGAAACTATTTAAACATTTAATACGGGCCAAAAAGTATTTAAATTTTTAACAAATAGACAAATAATTTGTAATAAGATATATTAAAACCTAACTATATTATTTTATACATTATTAAATTATTGGCAAGGTTCTGCTTGGCGTGAAATTAATACACGCGTTACGTAGTTTTATCGATTTTGTTTACTCGGTAAATGATTTTACGAGGGGGCTTTAACAAATATTTATATATTTATATTCTAATGGTTCACGTTTTACTGTTTAATAACTATAATAATTTATAGAAATTATGTAATAAAAAAAATATTCACATTAACGCGATGCTTCGAAATTAAAATATTATATTACATTGAATTTTATTTTATTGTTATTTATATTTACTTTTTTACGATAATGACGAGTAAATTTAATGACAGACGACGACGCAATGATGTGTTGATAATTATCACGCGAATCACAATCACAAATCATCGCGAATCGAAAAATGCGAGGCGTGCCCAGAAAGTAAGTGTACTAGGTTTTTGTAGGTTTCAAAAAGTGCGTTGAATAAAATGTCACGCGGAATCACGCGAAGTACGAGTACATTCAAATTGTGTGTGTTTTTCATACTGTATTAGCCACAGCATGCTTTAGCATTGATATTTATCAATAAACTAAATTAGACTAAAAGTAAGTCTATAGAATATCGCAAAGACCCTTAAAATATAATATATTGTTATATATTATAAGTTAGCGTCAGCGTTTCTCAAATTGTAGGTTACGATCCACTGGTAAGTCCCAAGAAAATTTTTGGTGGGTGGCAAACATTGTTTTGAATTATGTGGATTCCAAGAAATTTATCATTTTAGATTGTGAGCGGAGCTAGGAACATATTAGTTTTACAATAGTGTTTATTTATTTTTTTTTTTTGTCTGTGAACAAATTTTCTACCAACAATTTCTGGGATGGTTAGGTAATTTTTTGATTTTCCCAGCTGTTCATAAACTATTTTCTGAAAAGTGAAACCATGTGGTCGTGGTTCTAAAAATATTGAAAACCACTGATATATAGTATATAATCTACATTTACGAACGTATTGCAACTAGTGGCGTAAATACTGGGTGGGCAAAGTGAGAAAACGCCACGGGCCCACAACTGAAGAGGGCCTTAGCAGTAGCCTTGACCAAAGCCCAAAACATTATTGGACACAGGTGAGGGTCTTTTTGAATGACTTTTTTTCTTGCTTATCAGATAAGCTTTTATACAATATTTTGCCACGGGTATTAGAAGCTCTAGTTACGCCACTGATTATAGCGAAGTTCAGACGTCCGACGTACGGAGTAGAAACTTAGTGGTCTTTTATTATATCAATTATGCACGGAGTGAATTATAATATACTGACATCAGCAAATTTAGGAATATAGACGCCAGGGATATTTTTTTTAGTGCGTTGTTTCTATTCGCTCCTCCATTAAAAAAAACTCCACGAGCAGATAGCTGACCAAACTTTCCTCTTAACTTCTGGACTTTCCCCAGTTACCCCTACTTCCCCCCACTAAGAGAATTTCCTATATATGTGTAAAATATAATATTTTGTTACAAAATCTACTAATTCAACATTTAGTATCTGATGGACACTGTAAGGTAGGCAAAATCGAGTCCATTATACTTGATAGTGGACACTATTTGGAAATTGCCATAAAAAATGTACTGATAGACTTTATTGTTATTTTTTTCATTTGTTTATGTAATTTCAAGCCATTAGATCGCTATAAAATATAACAAAAAAAGTATATTATGTTCTATCATATTTAATTATAACACTAGATATACCTAGATAAGAGTAGCGCTTACATTTATTTTGATTTTATTTTCCGTTACTTTTACTACTTTTATGCATATTAATGAAAAGCCGATTGTTTTGTTAATGAGCCGTAATAGATTTAAAACTATTACACGAAAGTCTCTAGGTTTTTATCATAGGTCAGTGGTGACCAACTACGGCCCGCGGAACAAATCCGGCCCGCAATCATTTATTAATCAGCCTACCAAAATATTAAATCAAAATTGAACAAATAATATAACTTCGAATTTTAAAAACTAATACTCACATTAAAATAAGATATGTTTATATTTTACATATTTTTTTCATTTACAACAACAATAATAATAAATAATTAAATATATCACCGTACCGATATTATGTACAATAAAAAAATTATATTCGCTATTAACTTAAAAATAAAAGTTTAAAGTTTTATTTTTATTTTTTTTTTTATAGTCCTCTATAAATAAAAGGTAGGTCACCACTGTCATAGGTCATAATATTTATTATTGATTTATCACAATCAGAGGCGTATTTAGGATTTTGTCAAGGAGGAAAACGTATCGGATTTAAATGTTTTGACACTATACCTTTTTAATCGTAATAAATCAAGTAGAAAATTGTAGACTAGACAGAAAAGTAGATCGATTTACAATTTCAGTATGATTATTATATCTATTTTTATTTTTATTATTAAATTCTACAATCTGTTATTTTTCGTTTACATTAAGTGTGATACAGAAAGTTGATAGATGAAAAAAGTTAATTTGTAAAAATCAAAAAAAAATTCAAAGGGGGATAGATTTAATACCACTCTAATCACCCCTTAAATACGCTACTATATACGAATCGCGTACAGTTTAAATTTCCGCCGACAACGTACAGAGACGTTTTAAAATTATAATTCGGAGAATATTATACGGTTTTATGCGTATAACAATTGACAATAATGTATATTATATAGGTACGTGCAGGTGCCAAGCTCATAAACGTGTCGGAGTTATAACTTATTTATTTTTTACCTGAAAAATATACATTTTGTTTTATTTATTGTTCGTTATTTGTTTTGTTCAAAAACCATAATATAATTGACTTTGTGTAAAACACTATAATAATAGTAATAATAATAATAATGTATACATAAAAAAAAAAAACGAATAACCATGGTTGTAAATTGTCATAAGTAATTATTTTATAGAAGTCGTAAATAATATGTCAAAATGGCGACGTATTTAAAGGGGACATTAGGGAGATATAAAAAAATATCTCCCCTTCGATCAGTTTATTTTTTTTTTCTATTATGTTTACGACTACTTACTACTGGCTACTACGATTCTTTTATATTCAGAAAATTAAAAACGTAACGCTCACCTTGGTAATATATAAACAAAAAAAAAACTTCCGAAAAAGTACCTATACATTTTCTTGTTTAAAACAAGATTTAACATAACCAAAATACTGCAGCCAATGACTTTGATTACTGGGTAAAACCCCCCCTCCCCCGGAATTTCAGGAAATCATAAATTATTATTCTGAACAGTTTTTTTTTTAATACTTAATTTTTGTTACACGAGTATAGTAATGTGATATACTGATATGTAACTGATCAAACTCTAGAAAAAAATTCCCGGATATGCCCCTGACATCAGAAGTGGTTTTACAAATTTACTTCATGAATGAGTGTGGACAAATTATTTGACCCGTCCACCCGCTCATTCCTTGATAAAACACCCTATGTACATAAAAGTATTTATACGTATATATTCTATTCTATTGTTATTATTAAATAAATTGCCTTTTGTCAAAACAACTGAATGTTCTATTTCAAGTACCTACTTTCTACTTGAATATTTAATGTACATCAAGCTGACCAAGCCATCACCTACACACCTTTTTAAATAAAAAAGACTGACATACTTCGCACGTGGGTGCAACCATTGTTGTAGGTGGGAAGTTGGGAAGGTAGGATACAAATGGGAATTTAATGTATATCTGTAAGCAACGATAAAACATTGGTAACGAAAAACGATTTGGAGTGAAGTTCGGTTACATATGTCTGGAAAAACCGTAATATTTACGATTTTCATGAAAATTTGTTTTTAAAACTTATCAACTACTTATGTACTACATTATACTAAATTTTATTTTTTGAAACAAAATTCGTTTGCTATTTCCCTGTTACCTGCCCGACGTGGTTTTTCAAAAATATTTTTACGGAATTCGGGTTTGAACTTACGACCCCTAGGATGTTAACAAATACATACCACCACTAGACCCCTGTAACTATCAAAAAATAGCCTTCTCAATGCACCAAATAGATCCAAAATGTAATAATAAAGTATCTTTTTTTTATTTTTCGAATGAAGCGAGTTTTCTGTTTAAAAAGTTATTTGTAGATAAAGAAGAAAAATTTAAAAAAAAAATCCTCATCATAGTAAAACCAATAGATCCCTCGTTCAGCTTCGAATCTAAAAATTGATCTTTTTGTCGAATTTTTTACTAAAATAGAGACTATATTGAGTCTGTTATAAAGTAATAAATATATGTATCTTTTTTTCCCGCTACGTTTGGACATTTATAGCGGTTCCCTCTGAACCAAAGCGAATTGAAGTGATAAAAGTCTGGTTGAATTTAAATGTGAATTACCTACTTAAATAATATAGGTATGTATTGTTGCGGGTCAATAGTTTTTTTTTGGCTTTGTAGCTCTACAGATTAAATAAATGATGCCAGGGAGTATTTGTTGGAGGTTTAAACTTTCAACTTCCCACCCTCTACAAATTTTATGATCAAATTTCATCATTTTCTAACATCTGCGTACGTTAATAAAATACGAAATTTTTCACAAAATTCAATATTTCTTTCGCATCTCAACAATATCCTAAATACGTCACCGATATAAAATAAACTCGAATATACTTGTGAATAAAAAAATAAATCAAATTAGAGGACACGACGACGGTTGTTATCGTTCAACAGTGATTATAGACTTCTTATTACTGATAACTGATTATTATTCATTACTGATGTTGGTAGGTATATTTTATTACCTATACTAATGCCGCGTATAAAATATACAACGTACATTTTTTTAACACAATAAATAATCTATGCGTAGCTACATACCTGCACTGCCGGCTACCGTGGAAAATTATATTTAAATTACTTAGTTATACTGTATTAGAGTTTCTATTATTTAATCCAAACAAAGAATATAAAACAAAATATTAGTATTTTATTACCTTTTTTTTTTTTTACACTATCGTAATTTTTCTATGTCGTGTGTTTTAATAAAGACTATATTAAAATACCATGTACAATATACAATTACAATGGTAATTATAATAACAATTAAAAACATGTAAGTATAGTAGAATTATTTTAATAGTAAGTATACTAAAACAGCTTACCAAGTACAATAAGAAAAAAAAATACGTAATAATTTTTACTTTCAGTGTACACGTTCAATATATACCTGCATGTATTAAAAATTATAAGAGTTATTTTTTTTCATATGTTTGTAAAACTAATTATTAGAGCAAAACCTACAACAGGTGTATAATATATATATATATATATACATTATATAATAGCGTAATAATTATTATAATTTTGTGTATTTTTTCAATAGCACACCATCAGACAAATATATCTACTCAGTATAGTGCAGTTGATATACTCGTTTAATATAATAGTGATCTTTTTAGCATGAAGGTTAACAAATGTATACTAAATGGGTTTATTATATGTATTTTATAATATATATGTATACTATTAGCAACTCTGAATTTAAATCTGTAACTTCTATGAAAGATTTCGACATTATTTGTCCACCAAATTTAATACAACATAAAGAATGTTTCTAAATCACTTGGTTTCGTAAAACGTCTATTAGTGACCTAAAATCATTTAGATTTTAGAGAAGTCCTAGATTCAGCTCCAGTCTGATCGATTTTGAAGTATAGTTCCAATATTTGGAATCCATCATACGCCTGTTTAGAACGTGAGGCTGTAGAAAGAGTTTATGATCATTTCTTAAAATATGACGCCTTAAAATTAAAATACCCGTTAGAGCCCATAATTACATCTATTCGTAGTCATTTAGGTCTCCTCACATTGGCTACTAGACATGATGCTGCAGGTAAGTCGTTAGACTCAACCTTATCAACGGTATTATTCATTTCGTTTTTACTTATTAAATCTAATCCAATTTAAAGTCGCTTTCCATCTTCACAGATCCCCCAAATTATTTTACACCCCAATTCACATTTCAGATTTTTTCAAATACTGACTCTTCTCAAAAACAACGACATTGTGTAACAACCACTTCACCTTCGACTTTTTCCACAACCTATTAATTATTATTTATTAATCTTCTCTACATTATTAATCTTCATATATCATGCTTACTGTTATTTGTTGTTATCATAATGTTGTTTTTTGTTCAATGTTACATTTATATTATCTACATACATTTACCCGGTTTCAAATTTCTTATAATCGGTAAATCATCATAATAAGTTAAAATTAGGCGTATGCCCGTAAATATTTATTCAGTACAAATAAATAATTATAAAGGCGTAAAACTTTTGCAAAAAAATTGATTTAAAAAAAAAAAAAAAATTGTTTGTTTATGAGTCTATATGGTATACAAATAATAGGTACTTAATTATATAATTAATTAGGAACTGAGTGACCGAACAGCGGATGTTATTGTGAATTTAAAGACGGATAATTCGATATTTCGATATTACCTTGATACTCTCGGCACTTAGACAGTAGGTCTAGAAGGTGTAGAAATCGAGGTAATTTTCGATATCGAAATCGATATTTTATTATGTTGAAAAATGATTGCTAAATAATGTAATAACACAGTTATACGTAGTGGTGAAATAGATTATAGGTAAAATAAAATAATATTTTTTTTATTTTAAATTTTATAATTATAGCCTTAAAAGTGCCGTCGCTAAGTGGTTTTTTTTACTCTTTCTGTTTATTCATACGATTTATATCTCCAATCGTACGATTGTTAAAAAAAAATTAATATGCACATTGTGTAGTCCTTTTAATAATAATAATAATCAAAATGTGTAATATGTTTTGTAATATGCTATATTCTAAATAAAGTAAAGTAAATAGTGTTTTATTTTTAAACAAAAGTATCGAGACATCGATAGTATCAAAATAAAACGAGTATCGAGTATTGAATTCGAAATATTCAGTATCGCCCATCTCTTTGAATGCTATATAATATTATAGTTTTTCGTTCAATTAATAATTATACATATACACAAATAAATAGTTGTACACACAAGACCGGATTAAGGATCCTGTGGACTCGGATGAACTTGTAAATTATACAAAATATTTTGTCCATTTTACATAGTATAATATTATATTATACATTTTTGGTGTAACTACTATATTAAAACTGTTCACCTCACGGCAGGACATTTTTTAGCGAATATTTATTCTCTTAAAAATGTTTCACGAGCGACTAAACCAAAACCAAACCGTTACCCCTTAACTTTTGATCTTTTCTCATTTACTCTCCTTTACCATTAAGAGTATTTCCTACATAAAATAAAAATTTTTTTTTACAAAATCGACTAATTCAATAATTTGCCATTTATTGGGTGTCTAATAGAATTTACTAGAAGAAAACTTCCTTAAAAATGTCCCCACCTCATGGTTTACCACTTCATATAAATTATATGTTTTGTGTTATATGCATGTAAATCAAATATGAATTTATAGGGAGGTACATAGTGCGATTTTTTTTTGTAATATAATACCTAACAAGATTGATTTTACTGGACATTTTTTTAATAGGTGCGTGTAATCGTTTTAGATTCAGATTGTATCAAGGGATTTATTAATTTTACTACAATTTGTGTTTTTGTATTTTTTTTGGTTTTTTGGGTCTGTGAGTAACTTTATTACCAAAAATCTTGTTCCAATATATTAAATGTAGCGCCTTTTCCGAAAGAAAATGTTACCTAGTTGGTGCATTAAGAGATCATTTTTTGATTTTCCAAGTAGTTTTCATAAAAAAAAATGGAAAAAATCGATAAAAGACGAAAAACAAATAAATTTACAGTGTTATGATTCCTTTATTTAACATTGTTATAGTTTATATTTTCTACCAGAAATATTGCTCCAATATAAAAACAATAAAAAAATCTTTTTGTTCTATTTTTAATCTAGTTGATAAGTAAAAAATTATTATTTTTATTTTCAATTTTGTTTTTTTGTTATTATTCAGTTAAAAACATTCTTAGACTATTGAAATTTTGACAAAAAACTTAAATTTGCTTTCTCTAGACGTAGTAAAATTGTCAAATATTTAGGCCGTTTTTAAAATATTGATACACAATTTTAGTTTGGCGAGTTTTCTACTTAATTTTTACTAGGCACGTTCTCTATGAATGAAATTGTGTGACCAAACAGAAATACTTTACAATTGAACAAAAGGATCATTAAAAGCCGTACTTGGTAGAAAAAAAAATTAAGTGTAATGTAGCTTTAAAACTAAATTTGGACGAAAATCGTAAATACTAAAAACATCAGGTCTTTCAAAACACTTATAACTGAATCGTTTTTTGTTATCAATGGTTTATCATATTGATTACAGGTATAAATTATTTATTGTTACGTTTCCAAGGGTTCCTGTAACCGTCTTCTTCATATAATTATTTTTTAGCAATGTTATAGAAAATTGCATACAGAACGATTCATTTAAACATTGTTTGGTTAGATTAAAAAAAATAAAATTGTCCGTCGTGTTTTTAGAAATTCACTAAACGAATTGTATTTTCACGTCACACGACATGGTTTCTACAGGAAGAAAGTACCTATATATACTTATAAGTACTATGACCAATTGAACTATTATATACACGTATTTTATATTTATAGTGTTGTAGTCTGCATGCAAGTCGGAACAGTTTAATTTATAATAATTTTTCGACTCGTTGTGAATTGAATAATAACAAAAAATAATAATAATAATAATAATAACGTGTAACGTTAAGTACCTGTAATATACCTGATACTACCGCAGCAACACAATATTTTACAGAACATGTTACATACATCGTCGATCAATAATTTCAGTACAAATGTATAATTTATAGTTTATATGTATACCAGCTGGTGATCCTTTTAAGTGGTTAAACTCATTATCTCGGAATGTATTAACTTTTTTCGAAATTTTTTTCCTAGAAAATTTATGAAACAAGCGGCTTTACAATTGTATATTTATGTTATCTTTTGTCACCCTTATTTTTAGTGTTAAAACTACTAACTACTTTTGATTTTAAAATGTCAACCGATATTAAAAAGTCCATAAATATATGGAGTATTAATTAAAATAGATTTTAGTGTTGAAATTTTGGGTTGGAGAAGAGTAGTGGTACATAATTAACACGCCGCGAGCCGACCGCCACACAAACGATACTCTGGTACTGTTCTCCAACCCAAACTAAAAAGTGGAATATCTCGTCAACAATCGACGGGAATCAAAAATATCACCGCTAAAATTTATTTTAACTAATAATCTATCTATTTATGGACTTTTAAATATATGCTGCCATTTGAAAATCAAAAGTAGGTAGTGGTTTTATCCCCAAAAATAAGAGTGACAAAAAATAACACAAATATAAAATTGTAGAGCTGCTTAAATGTTTTAGAAAAACAAATTTCGAAAAAAGTTAATACATTCCAAGATAATGAGTGTACCCACTTAAAAGGATCACTCGGTATGTATATAGGTATACCAGCTAAATGGTTATTAAAATCACTATATACCTATATACGAAAACATTTATTATTAAACTCGTAGGTAGGATTTTTTTTTTTTGGTGTTGTTTTTCAGGACGCCATATAATATATACAGAAAAATATGATTGTACTCACTTACTGTAGATACATTAGTATACCATACATATATTATAGTGCCAACCGGTGACTACTGATATACCCATAATGGTCGGTATAATAATCATGCTATACGTCTTTTAAAACTTATAATAATCATTATTATTAGCCGTGTCCACGCGCGTATATAGAACCGGCAGCATAATATATTAATGGCCGGTAAACGATTTAATATTTAACGAGGCTAATTTTCTTAAAACTCGATCATTGTAACGTAATACAATAATTTAAAAGCCTTTTAAAAGCATCGGCGACCGTGATGCCGCGGGTACATTATTATATTATATATCTACACTGTATACAGTATGACGTTTCGCTCAAATGCAGCTGTATAATATAACACCTACGAAATATTCCACCCGGATGATGGATTCGAATTGAAACTACATGTTCATTTTTTTTTTCTTTTCAATAAGATCGATGCTATACGAAAATACAATTTTTGGCCCTATTTTCAAAATATTCACCCTGGCGGCAATTTTCGAGATAAAAATATATTGTATGCAAAGCAAATCACTAAACAAATAGGATTACTATTTGAACTTGGTGTTAAATCTGTTTTATTGCGGTTGACATTTTGAAAATCGGTTCAAAAAATTTATTTCGGTATATCCTACGCATTAAAAAAAAAAATAATAATAAAAAATATCGCAATTTCGAGATAAGTTTATCCGGCTGAGCTATGACGTGTTACCATTCAAGTGAAACACACTGTATAATAAAATATACAATACAATAGTGAAATAATTATTTCGGCTAATGCCATTATATTATATACATAATATATGTAATGTGAAGTGTACTGACAAGTTTTTTAGTTAATTAGACGGGTTAAACTGTTAAAGTGTAACATATATAATATTATAATTATAATAGTACTTATACGTATATAAATTTATAACAAAATTACGTGATTAAAAATGTGTGTAACGATATAACGATGAATATAGCGACGTGTATAAATTGTAAATTAGGTACACTATAGGTTAGGTTAGATTATATGTTTACATGTTTATAATAATTATTAAGAGGACGCCATACTCGCATCTACTATTTCAGTCTAACAAACTGGCAACATAGAAAATTACGTTACTTATTGAAAGTCATTTGTGACGTTTAAGTTGAAAATAGTGATTGAACACAAATAACAAAATTTAAAGAGGCGAATATTTCCGTGAGCTAGATTTCGTCAAACATAGTAATAGCTACGCGTGGCTATAACTTTATTATACTTATGACAATTTTTTTTAGAAAAAATTACTTACAGCTTTCGGAAATGTTTTCTGTTTAAATTTTGTTATTTGTGTTCAAACATCAATATTATAACTTAAACGCCACAATTTACGTTCTGACTTATATAAAACGTAATTATTTTGTTGTGATCCCAGTTATAGTTAGACTCTTAGACTGAGACAGTAGATGCGGGTCCTCTTGAGAAGTCGTTACAGTTGTATATTTACGATTTCTATGTTTTCTATGTTAATTCAATTTTGGTCTAATGAAACGAGGGAGAGATCAGTTGGTCGTCAGAATTATGTAGAAATATATCGAATAAATATAGAAATATAAGCGTTCTGCCCAGTGATCTTAATACGTTCAAATTCAAACCTTATAATCAGAGTTGCCAACTATTCAATTATAAAAATTGGGACTTTTTCCAACACGAGAAATTTGTAATCTAATTTTAGTATAATTAATAATAATTTTGAGCATACTATGTATCATACTATTTATTCGTTTATGTGAAACACTATTTGCATTAAGTTGCACATTCGATTACCTCCATGAGATATTATCCTACATAATTTACGATGACCATACAAATTGTTATTTTCTGATTTTTGAAGTACATTAGAACTTAACCACATTTCACGAAAAGTACAAAGACGTTTTATATTTTTGGGAGGAATACTTTGTTCTCCATAGTCGCTCAATTTATATGATTATAATATAGATACACGCCAATCGCACACACGCCAACATAAAAATACACAGCGTATTGACGGCTCATCCCAAAATAAAGCGTTTGTGCACGTGTCAACGAAATGGCAATTACCAGTGTCGGCCTCGTCAAGGCAGCTAGGCAGAGATCTCTGCCCGGGCCCTTAGCTTTTTTTTTTTACCATAGATGTATAAAAAATATTTTATTATTTAAAATACCACGGTGTACATAGATACATTATAATTTTTAAATAATCGACACACTAACAAACAATCGGATTTTTCCTAAATAAACAAGCAATAGTCGATAAGATAATATAAAATATCGTGGTTTGGAGAAATATGAATACTTATATAATATAATCTCCTCTCATTAAAAACTAAAGAACCGTCCGGCGGCGTGCAAGTATAATATATTTCGAAAATAATCAGAAAAGTTTGGAAATAAACTGTCTGTTCTCATAATATAGTCACGTAGATTCTATGCACTATTCGTTTTTTCCATTTACGATAATTGTTGTAATATTAACACTTATGTAGTGTAATTTTTCTAAAAGGAAATTCGACTGGGAGGTACTTTAGGCAGGTAACTTTTCGATTTTCCCAAGATTTTTCCCAGAAAAAGTGAAAAACCGGTAAAATCAGTACAATATTAAACAAATATTATTAAAGAAAATATAAAGTCTATTTTATTATTTTATTATCATATTAACATAAATATTGTTGACAAAGCATCACTATCAACTGAATTCCGCTTAGAATCGGTTTTTCGTTAGCAATAATGGATTATCGTTGCTTACAAGTAGACATTTAATTACCTATGACAATGGCTGCACCCGTCCCTATTATCCTAGAACGTCTTTTTAATATTTATTTTTATGCCAAAGGTAATATGTACAAAGGTGAAATTTATTTTAATTTGTAATAAATTACAATTTATATTAACTTTTTAAAAGTAAAAATTGAATGAACTATATCTGATGACTTAATTTATCTACTTAACATAAATATGAATGATGAAAACAATAATGCGCGAGCGGTCAGGCAGGTTGGGCTCCTAATAAAAAATTCCTGCCTGAACCTTTCGATGACCAGACCGACACCAGTAATTATGTATAGGAAAAAATACAGATATAGTAATAATACTAATTTAGGCACGCACTTCATAAAAGCAATCGGTCGGATAACGATCATTGATACCTTTTATCAACAGTTCTATAGTTGTACCAATGCGGAAAAGATTTATAAAAAATATTATTTTCCTAATGTCCCGGGGAAAACGTGTCCCTCAATAACCTTGATCGTGATGCGGGAGAAAAATACACAAATCGTGAATGTTTCACGATAAAATCGGGACAGTTGCAGGTCACTTTGCTTATAACATAAGTGTGATCATATTCTGAATTAAAACAAACCAATTGTATTTTTTTTTTATAAATTACTAACAGGGTAGCACAGCTATTAATTTGCAACTACAATAAAAAATATGGGGGAGCAGTTGCTATAATATAATAGCACCCGCTACAGTGGCGTGACTAAGAGGAATCAGAGGGTGTAGCACAAGCCTGTTCAGTCAGTAGGCCCGAGTAGGTAATAAAATGTTTTTCTTTTGCTAATGTGTTATTCAGCTATTGATTTTAACTATTCAGATTATACTTTACTATTATTATATTATGTTGTAGCCTATATAAGTATGAATACTATGTTATAAACATAATTTCATGAGTATGGTACCTACTATGGTGAAAAAATATGAAAATTTAAAATATACATATGTATTTCATAATATATGTAATCATATTTTTATACAAATATATAAAATAATTTTAGTAAGAGGGATGCACCTCCCTTCAGATTTCCCTATATATGTCTACACAAGGCCGTGATAAAAGGTCGTCATAGTGTATCAAATTAGAATGTATGAGTGCTTCTAGTGGTATAATTGTTTCTAGTCTTTTATTAAATATTAAATGTAACTAAGTAATTAGATTATCGAGAAATGGTATAAATATTGCTATTTTACAATATTCCTGTGTGTCTTTGGAATTTAAATTGTTTCGGGCAGTTTGTCTCCCACTGATTCGAGGCATACGTATTTCAACGTCTAGTTCAGAAACTATTGTGGTAACATTTTTCATTATTTCCTTAAAACATTTATCAGCATCTGATCAAATGGCTTCTAAAGCTTCTCTAACAATCATTATATAATTTAAAGCTATTTAGATAAGTCTTGCTGTTTGCTTTGTAGTACTTGACTTAATTGTTTAGTATATAAGAATTAAGTAACAGCTACTTCAAGAGAGAAAAGAAAATCATTCTTGGTTATAGCATTCATATATAACAACGCTTTGGTGAGATTTTAGGCTTTGTATCATATTTTTAAGATATTCTAGAGTAAAAATTCTATAATTGTAAAGTTCTTTGAAAGTAATAAGTGAATCATGTCGATCGACCCATCTTGTTTCACAATGTTTTTTCAATATTGTTTTTTGACCACTTCTATTGGAACTACAATTTTTATCAAAATCGTTTTAATGTAACCTTAATACTATGGCTATAGATAATAAATACAATTTTTATCGCTATAATATTATATTGATTACATATTATCATAGGTACTTACGTACTCATAGATATAATATTATAAACTTATTCATGAATGTACTGATATAAAATCAACAAAAAAAATAAATACATCCGATGGGGGCCATGGTCCCTTTGGCTGCGCTACTGAGTATTTTTAATTTACGTTTATAGACTCCCTCTGGTATACATGCAGACCTCTAGGGGTCCGCAGATAATAGTTTGGGAAACGCTGGTCTAGATGGTACTTTAAGTGGTCTTTTTTTGATTTTTCAAATGCTTTTCATAATATTTGGAAAAAACCCGGTAAAAAACGTAGGAAAAACGGAAAATTTATGAAAATAATGCTTTTTATTATTTTCAATCGTGTTATTTGTTGTAATTCAGTTAAAAATATTCGTAGATTTGAAATTTAGGTAAAAGACCTATATTTGCCTATTTTTGCGTGGTAAAACCGTAAAAAAATTTGAGCCATATTTAAGCTATTAATAGATACTTTTTATTAAGTAATTTTTATTAAATAGGTATTATATGGATAAAGTTGTTAGATAAAACAAAAATGCTTGAAAGTTGGACAGGAAGTTAATTATAAGGCGTATTTTATGGTCAAAACTAGAATTTCAGCAAATTAAGACAGAAATTGTTTTGGTAAAAAAATTATATGGGAAAAATCTAGTTACTGGTCCATAGAAGTTGTTGCAATATAATATTTATTTTCTGTAATATGACATTTATATTGTTAACAAAGCAATACTAATAATCTAGCTCCGTTCAGAATTGTTTTTCATTAGCAATCATTAGTTTTTGCTTATACAGATATACATTAAATGTTCTTCTTTATTCTACCTTCCGAACTTCTCATCTACAACTGTGATCCACCCAACATGCGAATTATGTTCGTCTTTTTTTCTTATCAATCATTAATATTTAATTTAATTGTTTCATCCTCCCTCTCATAGTCAGGGTCTGGAGACGCTCCTGATCAAAAGCTTTGCAATCGGAAAAACTATTATAACCAACGACTTTGTTATAAGACCGGATTTATATTTCCTTAAAACACCTAAAATATTATGCTAATATTCTCTACAAAATCTTAAAATATTCTCATTATATTCTCTTAGAAGTTTGAAAAATATGCAAAAATAATTAAAGAATATCAATATACGATATGCAATATGCAATATGCAATATACAATATGCTTTAATATGAAATTTTTTTACTATTTTTTTGCAACATTCCATAAATAATTAGTGACTTGCGTATTAAAATATAATAATAGTACACTTAAGTAAGAGTAAGAGTATGATATTGATATAACTATATAGGTAATTTAATTTTTAAAAACTGAAAAATCACGTTATATGGTTAGCCACCATGTTTAGTGAACGGTAACTTATTATAGGTAGGTACTATAACACTAACCTTTTTATCAAAATAATACAAAAAAAAAATTAAAATGTTCGAAATATATTTCTCCAGGTACCGTATTGTTAAAATTAATATTTTTTCTCACAATTTACAAAATATGCAAAATAAGCTAAATAATCCTTAACCCACGAAATATTCTCAAATATACAAAAAATACTTTTTCCTACGAACTCAGAATTGAACGAATTATCAACATTTCTTACTCTCATAAGACTGCAAAGCTCATGCAAAAATGCAAAAATGCAAAAACATAAATCCTGATTTTAGTTTGGTTATAGCATCTATACTTTTTACCCGAACACTACCACTGCGTAAGAATTTACAGTCTGTAAATTGTGATTTAACCGAAATAATGGAATACGTTGATACTATGTTAGATGAATTACATGATATTATGCAGAGTAATATGAATACTACATTTTCCAAGATCAAAGAAAATAGATCATAAAAAGACCTTCCGAATTCGGCTATTGAAGCATACATTAAATGTGATTCTGAATATTTTCCAAACATTTTTTCTTTTGAAACTGTTAGCTAGTAGGTACATTGCCAGTTTTGAATTCTACGCCAGAACGCACAATTTATTCAACCATGAAAAGATTAAAAAATTATTTACGTAACTCCATCGGGCCAAGAACGTATTAATGTATTACAGGTTTAGCTCTTTGAAATGTGCACAGGCAAATTAAAATCGATCCGGATGATCTTTTCCCCAAAGTAAAAAAGCGACTACTAGATTTTGTGCTATAAAATAATAATTTCATACTATATACATTCACTTTAAAATATTCTAAAATATTACAAAATATTCTAAATTATTCTAAAATAATCATGATATATTAATACGATAATGTGATAAAGTCAGTTTTTTTTGTTTAAGATAAATATTAGTTATTGTTATTTTTTTTTTTAACTATCTACTATGAGAATATATATTTTTTGATTTAAACACCCACCCTCCTTCCCGACAATTTGTTCCAGATATGGCCTTGTGCCTATATGAGGGAGGTACATTGAATATTTAGCTCCCGGTCCAAATTTCAAAGTTACGCCACTGCCTTTCTACTCCGTAATGACACTTAATATACTCCAATAACTATTTTCATCTATAAATATTGTAGACCTCTAAGAGGTCGTAATACCTGTATTTGCTGTATCTGCCTTACGAACGTACGGAATTTTAATGATAAGAATATATCTGTATACAACGTTGACGCTATTTTTTCGATATATTAATTTTCAAGTTAAGTTTATGCATTAATAAAACGTAGTTTTCTACACACTCGTATTCTCGTAAAAATTAAAATTTCAAAAATTGTCTTAAGTTTGACAATATATCAATTACAGCACAATTTCATCTCTGCTGAATGCATATTTGCCATGTCGTACGTCCGTAAGACAGAGACAATGTACGGGTATTACGCCCTTTTAATACGAATAATAATCGTGAGCTTTAAGCTGGTTTACCTATAGGTATTTACAACTATACGCGGTTTATATTTTTTCGTGATAAAACAAAATCGTCTTATTATACTCGTATAGTTTAATAATATAGTTAAATGTAGATAGTTCAGTGTGTATAGGCACGTACACGAGTATATAGGTGTACGTTATAATTTGTATTAATATAATATATGTATACTTTATACACAATTTTATAAGATGTTTTCATTTTTTTTTTTTTATTATATAGGTGCATAACGTATATACACCGCCGGTATTATAATATTATTATAGGTATAGTGGCGGGCAATCTCCTGCGGATAAAAAAATATTTAAAAATAAATCGTTTGAAATTACTATATTATTCATAATATACAATTATTACAAATACATGTTGCGGAGTATAGATCTATATAGAACTCTTATTATATTATGATATACAGGGTGATAACGCAGTGGCGAGATCAGGATTTATCAATGGAGGAGGAGGGGGGGCGGATCATACTAAACGATTTCATTGCGTAACAAAATACATATTTTTAAGCTACCTACCTATATGTAATATACCTAATAATTAATGCAATTTCTATGAGGCTATAGCCAATGACGGAGGGCACAACGGAGTCATTATTTATATTTATCATCACCTTTATTTATGGTGGTGAAAGCACTTATATCCACTTTTGATTTTCGAATCAAATACATTTTGGTGTTGAAATTTCCGTCAACCAGTGGACAAGATATTTTACTTTTAAGTGCAGGTAAGAGAAAAGTGTACTGGAACATCATTAATTGTATGGTTGCGTTGCAAGCGGCGTTTGATTAGTGCTCCACCACTGTCCCCCAAACTAAAATCCGCAAACTAAAAGTAGAATATCTCGTACACGGGTTGACGATAATTGAAGATTTCACTACTAAATTTAATTTCAACTAAAAAATCATCGGTTTATGGAATATTTATTATAGGTTTAAATTTAGGTTTTAAATTTAAATTTAAAAAGTGAGTAGTGGTTTCATTTTCGAGAATAGAGGTGACAAAAAAGTTGCTTGTTTTTTAAATTTTCCAAAAAAAGCAAATGCCGAAAAAAGTTAATCATTTTTGAAATAATGAGTGTCTTATTCGTTATATGAATCACTCTGTATACGTAAGCAAAAAAGAATGTCGGAAAAAAATGACAGAGAATAGATTACAATAATATGTAGCCACACACAGATATTTGTTTTCCTTATCTAAGACGTAAGTACATAATATTGGAAATCTTCTTTTGACAGAATCAAATGAATGCGGATTTTTCATTTTTATCACTACCCATAGCAAGTTTAAACACAGGATCATCATCATCTATTATATTATATTCACTCGAAGATTTTTGTTTTTTTTTTTTGAATATGTTTAAATATAGAAAGAGAAAGAGATTATGCATACATAATAATAATATAATATTAGTTTTTAACACTTTCAACCAGCTCTTTATACTAAAAATATCGATAGAAAACCAACGAGAAAACATTGTAGTTATTGTTCCTATACCTTTTATAGTAGGTCGATTTACTAACAGACAAATAATTGTGATGTATGACACGTAGATAATGGTTTTATTACGACTAGATATTTTGTACCTAATAATCGTTAAATATAGGTAACATAATAGTTTTGGTCATACCTGCCCACGCCTAATAATATGCGACGATGATTTAAAAGGATTTCTAAATTATGAAAATTAAAAATTGTAGTTTATTTAAGACTGTATGAAACATTGTTTTTTGGTTTTTGGTATTGATTTTATTATTATGATTTTTTTTTTTTTGTCTGTGAACGACTTTTCTACCAGAAATCATGCTCCCATTTTTAAGTGTAATATCTTTTCTCAAATTTCATATTATTGGTGCATTGAAGTAATTTTCTTTGTAGTTTACTAAATAATTGAGATAAAACGGAAAAATTAGCAAAATGACGAGAGAGCTTTTTTGTGGGATTTTGGATCTAGTTGATGCACCGAGGAGGCGTATTTTGATTTTCTATGTAATTTTCATAGTATTGGGAAAGCCGGAAAAGTTTACGTCATTAATAGTTTCATTAATTTCGATTTTGTGTTTTATGTTGTTATCCGGTTAAAAATAATTATAGAGCCCTGACATTTTTACAGAATAATTATTTTAGCCATTTACAGACGTAGTAAAATATTCAAAAGTTTTTAGCGATTTTTAAGCTATTTATAGACATTTGACATTTCGGAATTTTTTTACGTATAATTGTACGTAAATGACAATTATTTTGATTCAACAGAAATGTTATTTTAATATTATCTCTATTCAAGTGTGTTACATCGTGTTCTACACGTAAATTTGATAATCACGCAATAACTATGCGAAACATGATCAATACAATTTTTTTAAACAATTAAATATTATTGGTATCGAGCATTTATGACAGCCGGATAGTAGCGTCTTTGAAAGGAGCATTGACAGATGTGATGAGGAGAAATAGACCAAGCAGACCGCGAATATGATCTTAACTGACGATAATTACTATACACGACCAATTTTTTATCACCAGAGTCAAAATACATAGTTGGTTTTTTATCGATCATATACAGGCATATTCACCTTTGATCACATAAACATAATTATATATGGTAGTAGAAAATCGCTGGAAGATGATCTATTGATATAAGATTTCGATAAATCACCTGCGAGATACCTTGCAAGCACCCTATTTCAAAGAAGAAGCTTCAAAAAAACAACATCATGTAGTTACTAGTTATATTTCCGATATCAAAAATTTTAGGTTCCCAGTGTTAGTTTATCTATAAGATGTATGATTTTTTCCTTTTCAAAAAATACTTTTTCGGTAAAAAAGTGCTCTGATTTTTTCATGATTTGCTTTTTAAGAGGCGTATTATCTATCTGATGGTACTTTATCTGAGAAATTTTCCGAAAAAGTTTTACGATCAGGTAAATGCGCCAATTTGTTCACACAGTATCTCAAAAATTGCGATATTTCTGCTTAATAGTACTTTATTTGAAACAATTATCGACCGCGGCAAATGACCCGATCAAATTTTTATCAAAAATCAACCGGAAAATGTCGAGTACTTATAATATCTTTCTTTTGTCAGTTTTGTATAGATTTCAGCACAAGCAAATTAAATTATGAAAATACATCATAGGTTATAGACTATTGTACCTACATAGAATAATACACTAATAGATTATATCCATACAATAACGATCGTGGAAATACGTACAAATATGCGATTTAGATCGACAAATAAAGGGGAAAACGTTACAATACACCTATGTCAAATACAATATCACAAAAGAAAAAAATTGCTCGAGCCCTGTTTCCCTGCCGGGACCAGAGAAATTGTCTACTGCGCCGAAAACTAAACTGGTTCGGTATTGGGTATTATACTTCCGTAATAATTACTTGCCGGTAAAAATAATATTCATAACCATATACCATAGTCGAACCGAAACAAAAGAAAAACGATTATCTTTTTGTTTTACCCCTCATCGTTACGCATTTATGCGTATAAATATATTGTTTATCGGATATGCATACAACATTGTATTAATAATTAATTAACCGGACGCGCGTCGGCACACTGGCTGACTGGCTGACTTACCGGTCGTCGTCGCCGTCGCGGCTGTCGGTGTCCGTCGGCGACCGCGAACCGTCGTCGTCGCGGTCGCGGTCGTCCTCGTCGTCGTCGTCGCCTCGTGCCGTGGTCATGATTTCGTAGAGAATGCGCGCCGCGACGTCACGACGCCGCAGTCCGCACTGCGGTATTATAATTTATAATAGCCGCGATGTCGTTGTATGGAACGTGTAGTACAACATAGGTATCAATCGTCGGCGGCCCTGCGCGAGAATTTGGAAAATCGGAGAGGGAGGGAGGGAAATTTAAAAGAAAAAAAAAAAACCAGTAAAATTTCAAATAGCAATAACGGTGGGCATTGACAAAAACATGGTATTAGCTTCTTCTTCGTCTTCTTTGCGGACCGCCGCGGCGCGGACGACGACGGCGGAACCCGTCCGCGGAGAGCGCAGCGTGCGTTGTCACGTTGGCCGTCCGTCGCGTGCCGAGTTGTTCGAAAAACTTATGAAAACGGTTTTGTTTTGTGTTATTTTTTTCCCCGGGCTTTCGGATACGATCGCGTCCGCGCTCTTTTCCGACGAGACACGAACAATATCAAACGACGACGGCGACGACGGCGGCGGCGAATGCTGCCGCCGCGCCGCGCCCGACCGCCTACAAATAACCGACGACAGTGATATTATTACAGTATTTGTTTTTTTTTTTTGTTTTTTTAGATTTCGAACGCATTGGTTTTTACAATAAATATGCAGTAATAAAACACGGAGTCAAAAATCGGGAAAAAGATTTCCCCGGAACAATATTTTTCAGGACAAATATTTGCTTTGGAGCGTGGATTCTTATAGCAGCGGGATTTTGCCTAGTTTGATTTTGGAAACCATTTCGTAAATGTGTACGTAGACTAAAAAAAAGATCAATTTTTAATTTATGAAATTTTGTGAGTATTTATAATTCGATGTGTAATTATTACTGAACTCGAATAGCCATAGGTATTTGTAACTGATAACCCTTTCAATGCTGAACCAAATTATGTGCTGTGCTGAACAGATTTTAAATTTTCTAAAAATTTTAAATTGCCCATAGAAAAAAGTTAATAAAACCATGCAAATTGAGGGAAAGCAATTTTACAAAAAAATAATAAATGTGACAGTAGCACAGAGATTAATAGTTTATTTACTATTTATGTAAGGAATAATCTAACTTCATTCTTATTTTAAAGTTGCGGGACACTTTGTACGGCCACATAGAAATAATGAAAAGTGCGAATAATTTGTACTGTTTTAGGTAATAGCAACACTCAATATGGTGGACAGTTTGTACTATTGCAGATGGTATTTGAAATATTTTTCCGCAAAATTCAGTATTTATAACCATTTTCATATATTTTTGGATTCAACTTCGTTGTTTTTAAATTCATTCTGTAACTGTATATGTGTACTATCATGTCATACTAATTTGAATAGCGTGATTATGATTGCGCGTGGATGATCTAAAGTTTCGAACAACCTAATCTCATATTACACACACAGTATTTTTTTATTTCTACAGTTTCTGCGACAAATTATTATCAATTTATTATCATCGTACACAGTGTTCGCATTTCGTATTTTAAACAAGAAATAGTACAAAATGTCCTTTTACCCTATTATAGTGGTTCGGAATTTTGGATGGATTTCGTTTTTAACAATAAAATTGCATATACATTACACAGTTTTTATTGTTCTGATTGAAAAGTAGACAAATTTCCCTAATTTTTCTCCTTAAATACGCCACCACCTCATCGAGAGAATGATATAAAAAAAAAACGACAACATTCCAGAATGATGTTATGCAGTGGTGTGGCGAACGCTTATTTGAGAGGCAATTGTCTCTGAGATTTTTAAAAGATTCGAGAGTGGATGTATAATTTATATTTGGCATAATAATATTGAATAATAATACCAATTATAATAAAGTATAAAATATTATTGATTTTTCATAAGTAATAACAAAAATAATATTGGGTAATATTATTTGTTCACTATATTACTATATATATGTTCAGTGTTTACGGATTTAAACTGTACATACGGTTTAGGCCGTTTGAAGGGGTATTTACATGAATATTTATGATGAGGCTATGAAAGACCAGTTTTTCTGAGACAGTGGAACGTAAACATTTTACAAATGTTTAGAGGGTCATTTGAGTGGATGGATTCGGGAAATAGGTAAGTCTATTTCTATTTGTGCCTATGGTGTGTTTACTAGCTTATTTGCTAAGGAGGGAGATATTAAATTTGGGATTTGTGTTATGTTGTTTATAAGGTTAGGTTAGATATCTAGAAGAACTTAAGTATAAGTAATATTTATTATTTATTTATAAATTTACTATTTAGGTATATTAATCTAACCTCCTTCATATCATAGTGGTTTAGCAATTTAGTTTATTGGTTTCGTTTTTAACAAGTAAATGTATACATTTTGGATTTTTAGATACATTAACTATATATAAGTACCAATACATTAAATTGTTGACTTTTCTGACTAAAAGTTAAGAATTTTTTTCTTTTGAATAGGTAGTCCTATAAATTATAGCCTATAAATATTATAAAAGGCCAATAGCTCCCCTTTATCTTTATATAAATATCCTCTTGACCTCTCCTCATAAATACGTAACTGGGTGGGTGGATACTTTTGTTAACTATATATGTACTTTTAAAATTTCTCTGTGCGCCATTGCAGGCTGGTTCACGATAAAAAATACCACCCTGTATACTATCCCATATACTTATAGATTATAGTAACCTATTATTATAGTATTATATGCGTATTATAGACATTATTATACAATATTATACTACTGCAGTGCAGTGATCTCGTTTCGTCGCATTATTATTACCTATATACCTTAATAATATCGTGCATAACCTTTCGTGTCGCAGCTGCATTATAAATTTGTAATAGTTCGTTGGCGTGAGTATTTTTCGTACATATGGGTATATAAATACATAATATACCTGTTAGCAATATTAGACTCGGGGTATATTAATTTTTCATGTTTTGTTTTAACGTACTTCCATTTCTTAAATTTTCTAAAATACCAATTTCTAAAAAAAAAAAATTCAAGACATACATTGCACTATAGGTAGGCCGCTATTTTATGTAGGCAATGCGAAGGGTATATGATATTTGAGTGTGAGAACGCATTCGAGTTGCGTACAGAATGATGTAAACGCACCTTCTGTTAAATGTTCAAGCATTTCTGTTTGGTTCAACAATTTTATCCACAGAGTACCTACCGAATAAAAACTACGTAAAAAGTTCGCACAAATTAAATTGTTTATAAATTACTCAAGAGTTTTTAAAAAGTTTTGAAAATTTTAGTCTATATTTTATAAACTTTAAAGTCAATAAAAGGCAAATATAAGTTTTCTGTTTAAATTTCAAGTCTCTAAGAATATTTTTAACTGAATTACAACAAAAAAACAAAATTAAATATAATACATTTTATAAATTTTCTCGTTTTTCCTATGTTTTTTCCCTGTTTTTCCTATTTATTATGAAAACCTCATGGAAAATTAAAAAAGTACTAACCGGATAGAATTTCTTTTCAGAAAAAGTACCACAACTTGAAAATCGGAGCAAAATTTCTGGTAGAAAAGTTGTTCACGGAAAAAATAAAATAATAATAATAAACATCATTATAAAACCAATACATTCGTTGCTTCGTTCAGAATCTAAAAATGTTTGCAATGTCGATAAATTATTAATCAAATAAAGTATAGTATCGGGCGGAAAATCTATATTTCTAAAGGTAAATAGGTATGACGTAAAAAAAAATCAGAGAGTTTCACTATAGAAATATGTCTCATTTTATTATGTTTGTAATTCATCAATAATATACTTGTATGAAATGCATTTTAGTACAATCTTTTAACTTAAAATGTTTATAATTATAACTATATACCTGATTTATATTCTCTTATAATCCACAAAAGGCGCTTTAAAACGTCAAAAAATCCTTGAAAAAAGTATTTACAAATATTTAATAAGCAAATGATAAAGGAGTTCAAAAGGCCCAACACTTATGGCTTTAACGTATTAAATAAAAATTCTTTTCCCCACGAAAATAATTCACACAAAATAATTTCTTTTAAATAAAATCGTACGTATGACAAAAAATAATTACTTTTTATTAATCATTTTTGCGGTGTTAGAAAATGTTTTTTTTATAAGTTAAATTCGTTAAAAAGGGGACTTTTGAATGCATACATTTTTTTTTTGCTTTTTAAATATTTTTTAAGCATTTTTCCAAGGCATTTTTGACGTTTTCGAGTTTCCGTTTTTCGTTTTCGTTTTTTGTTGATTTTAAGAGCATACAAATCCGGTCTCTAATTAATTTATTAAAATTGTCAGCTTAAACAAATATTAATGCTCTTTTAGGGGGGGGGGTCATGATTCATACGTGCAATACATCACTAACAATATCGGACGCAATGATTTAAATAGTATATAATATTGTTAATTAATAACATCATCGAGACTTGACTCTTATAAAAGAAAAGGGATCTTGACAATGACGCAATTATGATTGGTTATGGCAATTTGATTGGTTGCAGCGTAATATACTGTTAATTTATTTGTTTTGGTCCTTTTAAGTACAATAACATCATAGAAATTAAACCGTATCACTTATTATTAATATTATTTTCACTATAATTACGAAGGAACAATTATTAGAACTAATTAATTGAAATGGCAAACTCATTTAAAAAACAATATTTAAGTACTTGTAATCTGTACATTATGTTGTTTGCATATAAAATCCATTCCATCCTGTATGTTTTTCCAAATGTTTTGATGGTCCACAGTCAGTTTTTGAAAGTACTTCTATTCTAAATTCATCAGAATGTGCGAAATTTAAAATCAAATTCAGACGCATAAATAAGAAAACATTTTTACCGGCCTGTCTATAGAAATTAATTCTACTATTAGTGAGCAGTGAGGGGGACTAAATAAGTTTTAGCTGTTATAACTTAGTTAGTTACACTGTACTGTCAGAAAATAGATTCAATGGGTAATATAAATAAAACCGAATACCTATATTAACGAAATTATAATATGATAATTATTATTTGATATAATTATTACTTATGTTCAAAATTATCCTAGGAGCATGCAGCTACCAGATGAGTGTATAAGTACAGAGTATTTTATTTAAGTGGGTACACTCACTATCTAGAAAAGTATTAACTTTTTTCAGAATTTGTAGTTTCATAAAACATTTGAAAGATACGAGCAAATCTACAATTTTACATTTATGTTATTTTTTTGTCAACCGTTACTTTGGGGGTGAAACCACTACCAATTTTGATGTTCAAATGGCAATCTATATTAAAAATTACATAAACCATTTGTGTGGCAGCACGGCACTCTGCGTTTTAATAATTCACCGCTGTGGCACTGTTTTCTCCCACCTCAAACTTAAAAGTGAAATATCTCACCAACGGTTTGACGGAAATCAAAAACTTCAACAGCAAAGTTTATTTTAACTGATACTTCATTTTTACTACATCTATTTATGGGAATTTTAACATAAGTTACCATTTGAAAATCAAAAATAGCTAGTAATTTCCGAGACAATGAGTGTACTCACTTAAATGGAACACCCTGAGTAGTAACAAGTTATGTCAAAACATTATACATATTATATTTTCTTATATTAACCTAACCTTCTTTTTATTATTAAGATTTTTACATCGATTTTTGTTTAAAATATTATCATTGATTAATGATTGGCCATATTATAAAATCTATAGTATTACATTGATGAAAACACATTTCTACATTTTTTTTTGAGAAGTGTTCGAATCTCCCAAAACCCCTTACACACTCCCAATTCAAAGTTCAGTCTATGTTACTAGTTAGTACCAAACAAAAACAACAAATCTATAATTTTCTACACGAACAACTAATTTAGTTTTAGCTTTTATGGTATTATTATGATTAATTCTAAATTTACATTAAAGCCATTAATTTGCCTAATTCTAAGCGCCGCGTCATTGAAATTTATTGTCAACTTTTCTCATGTCTTATTGATATTCAGAAGCGATCAAATGAGGAAAGGATCTGAGAGGATATTTTCATTTTCTTGAATATTAATGAGAATTTAAAAAAATGATCTCTTTAAAGTATCACCTAGAGAACATTTCCTTTCAGAAGAGATGCTATACTTGATAATCGGGGTATGCTTTCTGGTAGAAAAAGTGTTTACATAAAAAAAAATAAACATCACAATTAAAACCAATACATTCCTTGCTACACTCCGAATTAAAAAATTATATAATTAATAATATTTTTTAAATAATTATCGTTATCCTCCTCTTCCGAGATAAAATCATTTGACCGCATTATTGATTTAACTTTAAAACCATGTTTTTTCGAAGTAAATATTTGTGGATTATACGAAATTTATTATTAGGTTAATATAATTATAATAATATCTGGGTCTACATATTATTATCATTGAAATTAATAATTACACTAATCTTGACTAGATTCATAACTTAAAAAAGATTTATTTTATAAATCCCAAAAACCATATAACTCACTTTTTTTCTAACTACAAATACATTTACTAACTTATAATAATATATATCTTAAGGTTTATTATTTTAAATATCTTAAAAACTAAGGTTTACAATATTTGTGAATTAAATTAATAACGCGGAATAATAAGTAGGCGGCTACTACAGAGTTATTTTTTTTTTTTTTGTTGAGGGTATGCTGTAGCAATGTGGAGTTTTTATCGAACAATTTGCTTACATCGGTGTATTTGAGGCAGTTGATAAAGATATATTTGATTGATAGTTTTTCTCTACGAATTATATCACAAGTAGACGCTAATAGGCTAAGAGGAGAAAACGAATCCAGAAGTTTAAAATAAATACTTTATTGCGTAGAGAATATTTTGACTAATTTTACATAATTTTACATCGTGTCGGCAAATTCATGAAATTATTTTTTTTTTCTTTTACGATATTATAGTGTGTTCTAAAATGAAATTATTTTTGAATCATCGATCAAATAGGTTTTATGATATTATGGCACAAACCAGTGATAATATTATTGATTAATGTTTATTGTAAAAGCTGTCCGTCTCTTATCATGGTTGCTAATTGACATTTCTGTGTACCACCATTATTGAATTTTCATCTTGGAGTCGAATATAACAATATTTAGTTTCATTTGAATGGAAATCTCATATTTCAGAAGACATCATTGTATTGCTGTACTATAATATTATAAATAATATACAAGTATATTATAGTGAGTAGAACGATAAAAAGTCTCATCTCAGTGCGGTCATTTTAATGTTTGTAATCCGAGTGTTGAAGTTCAATATTGCGGAACTATTAAAGGCCCTTAATAAATTGCAGTTGACTTTGTAACTTTGGATATAATATTTTAAAATGTTTATATACTCTACGTCTACGGACTATGACTCATGTGTATATGTTCCGGTGTATGATCTAAAAAGAACCCATCATAATAAGTACAGTTATTACTGTAGTTGCCACGATCAAAGGTCAAATATTATTGGATTATAAATATTCACGATATCATCATTTGAGTGTTATAATAATAATTAATAAATTATAAATATTATTATACATATAATAATATAGTGTTTAGTTACTATTATAATTACATTGTTATTAATATTTATAATAAATCTTTAGTACTTTAAAATAAATTAATACCTATGAATCAATAATAATGATTTTTATCAAAATATATAAATACAGGGTGTTTCACAGAGATCTGAAAAATGCAATAACTTTTGTCTAGTTAAATACTTTTAAGTTTTCAATTTTGAGTGTAGCGAGGAATGTATTGATTTTTCTATGTGTGCTTTTATTATTTTTTTTTTTTTAAATCCGAGTGGAGCAAGTTATATTGGTTTTGATATATATTTTTTTTTTTGTGCCTATGGTCAACTTTTTTACCAAAAATCTTCTTCCGATTAAAAACTCGTAAGAGAAATGGTTTTTTGTAAAAGTTGTGTTTAGTTGATGCACTAAGATTCTTAATTGGGAAATACAAACAAATTAATGCGGCAATATAAGGGTCAATATTTTCAATTCGTTCAGTTTTGTTTTACTATCAGTAACCTTGCCTTGATAGTTTTGTCTAATTAATGATTAAGAGATCGGCTTTTGGTTTTTTTTTTTAACAATTACTAGAACCTACGCTATTTACTTTAATTATTTATATTTTTTTTAAATTAATTTTTTTTTCTTACAAAATTCAAGATAGCAATTTTATAAATTTATTTTAAAACAATATTTCGGCGTTACAATGGTGAGTTGTTAATTTTCTACATTTTTTTTGAGCCCTCAAAAATCATATTAAAATGTATTTTTCTTGGAAAATCAGTGAATCGGTTGTTATTCTTTAGTAGTGACAATGATAAAAACAATTTTAAAAAACGCAAACTACAAACAGAAAAATGTACACAAATTATAAGAACCCTAGTGTCAAGCTACGTAAATAATTAATAATAAATAATAACTAAAAAATATTCGGACAGAACAAAAGTTATTGCATATTTTGTCGTATCTCCGTGGGGCACCCTATAAAATACTAACGATATTGATACGTCATATTTGTATGCATATGTGTGTAGGAACATGGAAATAATAAAAAAGGATGTAATTTATGATTTTGCGTCAGTCCGTCCGCGTTAAAGTCAATCCGGATTTTGGCCCCGGAGAAACCTGCGCGTTCGGTGTAATTGCTGCGCGCGATAAGAGAGATACTCTGCGTTCATGCCTTCGCCGACTGGCAGTAAAATATCTATACGAAAGCCATCATTTTGGTGAACGTATATCGTGTTTGCGCGGCATTCGTTTTTAATTTTAATTTTTTATTTTTAACGTTTATTACGCACAGTAACGGAATCGCAAAATTGTATTGTATTACCGATATAATATTATAGTTTATGATTTATACAAGTCTATTTTATTATATTTAGGTGTGTGTATAGTTTAAATAGAAGTCAGAGAGAGGGAGAAAGAGAGAGCGAGAGAGAGGGAGAGAGAGTTGCTCGTAAAACAACAATAATAAATCTCGCCGAATTTCAATACGCATTAGAATATAATATATTAACGCTTGTAAATCGTATAAAAAAAACAGTTGCTCATAGTATTTAATTTGTGTGTGCAGTATCACTACAGCGACCTATATGAAATACGTCGTTTTTAATAAATAATATCAGACGGCTGCGTGCGTACTCAAAATATAAAAACAATTGTATATTTCGATTGAAAGCTGCAGTATTGGGGCTCGTAATTATATCATCGTAACTGGCCGTTTGTATTTTAGTTTTCTTTTTCTTTTTAACGGGGGGTGCAGGGTGTGTACTTGCACTTCCATCGAGTTCAGCCATAATTTGTTATTTTTTTTTACATTATAGATCATTTAGGTCCTTTGCTACCGATACCAAACTTCTCCACTCCTTTCTATTATATGCGTGGTTTAAGCATTCCCCGTGCCAGTCTGGTCTCAACTTCTACATGTCTCTTTTGATTATATCTTATCACCGTTACTTCAGTCTATCACGTAGTCTTTTCCTGTTTTGACAGTACTTGCTGACTTGAACTATAGTTTTCGAAATTTGTAAATCAAAATAATGATATATGTTTATATATGGGGTTTTTTTTTTTATTATAAACTGAATAAAATAAAATAAAATATTAAAGAATTTTAAAGGCTTATTACTTATTAGTCATTAATATGTAGAAGTTTGATGGTTTAAGAGTAAAAATATTCTGCTCACGCCTATGGTTTCGAATATAAAAATACTTGGGAATATTTATGCAACAACGCGGTTTCTGTTAAAATCGTTTTTGATTTTTTATTGTAATCAAATGAAAATAATTTTAAAGATAACTAAAATGTTTACACGTACATTACCACAGCTTCACTTATTTAGAATTTTCAACAATTTTCTTCGCAGACATTTATTACGTGCGTACCTATGTATTTTGTGTGCAATTGTACGACAATTTTCGTTCAAACTCTGTTCAGAATCGTTTTTCGTTTGCAACGACAGTTATCAAATAAATTATAATATGATTATTGGGATGGAATCGGATATCGCTCAAATCGCATCCCCCCCTCCCCCCTAAATTACGTGTTTGCAATCGCTGCTGGTTATATCGTGATGAAAATGAACCTCAAGCGAAATTGTATTATTTAACGTTTTAATAATATCAATTTACAGAAAAAAAAATTCGAGACTACTCGGCCGACCAACGGGCGTAATAAAATATATATACGAAACGAGAAATGATTAATCGGCGATAAATTAATTGATGCGAATTAATTGGCTCGTCGGCAGACGTTATTACTTATTCGAAAGAACGTGACGGCGGCGCTGCCGGCGGTGTACGCTTTTAAAAACTATGCTATTATTATTATTATTCTTAAAAATATACAGTGCCGTATAGTGCAGTAGTCGTATGTAGAACACTTGTACGCAATTCACGTTATTAATTATCGTTACTCGATACGATAGTAATATAAGAAGGGAAGCAAACAACTTATTTTATAAATTTTATTTCTACGTGATATTGTACAGGAACGACGAATGAAATAATAATAATAATAATAATATTATTATTATTATTATTATTTATTTCGTTATAAGCCCGGGTCCTGGCAGTGATGTAGTCGCTTTCGCGACAGTCGCGGAATTCACTATATTCAATAACAATCTTCTTAGACTATCATTATCATTATATATACACCTTTAAACAGGACATCCGGCATGATCACGCGTGCCGATAGCCCGAGGACTATAGCTCCTAATACACGGAGTGTTGTAAATTATTATAAATAATTGACCGTATAAGTGTATACTCGAGGCACAGATGAGTGTTGTTCTCCATCACGCCTCATCAGTCCGTCTCTCTTGTTCCGTTTGACGGCTTCCATTCCTTCCACCAGGACTATAATGTTCCGTCTACATAAGTGTATAAGTCTATGATTCTAACTATCAAAAAGTTTCATGAAAGCTGCTACCGCACGCTATCACTCTACGCATGATGGTTAATAGCTACTATCTAAAGAGAAATAGTAACTATGTTTATCACACTGTATAGTATACCTGGTATACTGTATCGTTTTATTTGACTGTTTTCCCGGATTATTATATAATAAATTCACTAATTCATTATTTAAATACACTTATCTACTAGGTATATCATGTCTTCTACAATCACCGGGCGCTGTATCCCGATGGTTGTAAACTATCGTGCACTATGGCGATAGTAGTAACCATCATCGTGTGGGCCAGAGCCTTATTTAGGGTTTCGCCAAAGAGTTTTTGTTTAGTTATAACTAGGCGAGGTTAAAAAAAGTTTAAATTTTAATTTATTTTACATTCTTAGTAATTTATAATTCATTTTACCTAAAATTGTTATTGACATCAAAATAACTAGAAATTAGTTTATTTAAGTACTAATAATCTAGTATCCTTTCCATATTGTAGAAGTTCAAAAAGGTTTAGTTTTAAACAAGAAAATATAGATATATTTTATTCAAGTTTTCTTGTAAAATATTAACTATTAACCACAACAAATTTATTTTTACTTTTCTTGTTAAAAAATAAAGAAACGTAAATTTAAAAATAAAGTAATCATATAAATCATAGGTAGGTACTAAAAAAAGGTCAATTGAGGAGATGGTATGTCTCTCCTCCACCCCAAATACGTCACCTAACCTAACTTGTACAGTATAAGTAAATGATTGTACTACCTATCTTAAGCTATCGAGAAAACTGCTATCACCGATTACCATCGACGCACATTCTTACTATCGTTATTTTATACTATAGTGGCCGCACTTTCCCGAACGTTTCTATATTATTTAGATTCACAAATTCTATTGAAATACGCTCGTCATCTACTATCATGTTTTTTACAATCATTACGTGCGGAAAATGTCTATTGACGATTATTTTAACCACTATCGTGTACTATCGCGATATAGTAATACCCAACTTACTATCATTATCGTGGTGAGGAACTGCGAATCAAGTACACTTATAAACTAGTAATAATTTTGGGTTTTATGCGTACAAACGTGATATTCAGAGTTCAGACAACCGTGGCAACCGGTTTCAAAATCAATTTTTTTTTTTTATATTTTTGAATTTGATTTTTGCGAGACCCGGCGCCTATTTATATTTGCTCTATCCGGAATAGTAGTCGTCTGGCCAAATTATAGTCCGTATAGGTAATATAAGTACGTAATACGTATATTATAATATGCAATGTACGTCATTATACGATAATAGTTGTATTATTATTATTGTACGATGATTGTACGATAGGTATACCCGTATAATATAATGCAATTAGATTTTTTTATAACACGTAATTATTGTTATGTTTACTCTCCGCGAGACGCCTCGCTGTTCATTCGAAGGTGCCTATTAAAAAAAAACAAAAACAAACGAAAACACAAAACCTATTGCAGAAAAAAAATTGTGCACACGCGTATGTAATAGTAATACAATATAACATACTGTATATATACTGTGTACCTACATATAATAAAATATAATGTATTGTGTTCGTGAAAATTGCATGTTGCGTACAAAATAATAAATTCAAGTTCGTATTTCCGTAGGTTTATATTATTAAAAAACAATTTAAAGTAATGAAAATTGATGGAAAAATAGGAAAATTTAAAACGGACCGCGAATTGCCTACTTATCTGTACGAGTGCCTACAAATAAAATGTGTGTGCCACATTTTTCGATATTTCGATATTTTTTCCCAGACCCAAAAACTCTCAGATCAATCAAAATGTTTATCTAAAATAAGATTATAAAAGATAGACTGGGGGAAATTCCCAATTTACCCCCCCCCCCCAAATGACTTCTAACTTGACCTATTCCCGTTAATTATAGTAAGACACAGGGGAATTTTCTTTTTAACCCACGGTTTTCTATACAGAAATTGTACGTAAATTTATTTGGTGTTTATTCAATAGATATGCGTATAAAATAATGATCATCTATTATTTACAATGTTCCCGGCATTATCCTCGACTTTTCTAGGGAGAAAATGCCACATATTATCAATACAATACTATCACTATTATTACCAAATAAATGACTTTTAATCGAAATTAATTTCATTATTTTATTCTATGGTATAAGATATTATGCTATTAAATGTAAAACTTAGTTCAAAAAAATGTATTTAAAGAAGACATTTCGGGAGAGGAATTCTTGTGCCACTGACTGATACCATAACTTAGATTTATGCATTTAAATAATGGATAATATTATATAGTACCTTGTAATGTTTTACAATAAATAAACTTTATCGAGTGTTTGACGCATCGATACAAATAACTTACAAAGTATTTGAATATTCAACTGTCAAGATTGTTAACTATTTAAGATCAAAATAGGTATTTAAACGAGTTAAATTACATTATATTTTATCATACTAAAAATGATAGAGCTATTATGCTTATTTGTTTAAAATTATTATATCCAAAATGGCTTAAATTTGGCCTATTTAACTCTATATTTTGACGCGAAAAATATTCATTGAAAAATTCAAACATATTTCACATTATTGCCCATGCAGAGCCATGCGGTACAAGGACACCCCTCCTCCTAACTGAGTATAAAAATTAATAATATAATAATAATTTTATGAAATAATATTAATAGATAAATTGACCAAATACAAAAGAAATAATTCCCAAAACGATGATCACAAAAAATATTAGCAGGCACTGCCCTATGAAATAAGACCAACAATTTGGTGTTTGATGAACTTAAACTACCCCCTTCTCCCTTAAATGCCCAGATAAACTCCGTGGGCAAGCCACTATTATATACGAGGATAGAAATTTTGAAAGGTATTACAGGGGATATTGGGCAATTTAGTTGGTATACTGAAATCTGAACGGATCTCAGTAAACTTGTAAAATTAATATTAATCGTGTTTTATTTCGTTGCGTTGTAGCAACCTAAAACCACTGTAATTATCGTCATGTATTTTTAGGTTTAAATTTTTTTTTTGTAACCGGTAGGGAATTTACAGAGAAACATTTCAAATAAACTAATGAGCAGCACTACAGGTCAAAAAATTCGCTAACCACAAATGTTTTGTCCGAGAAAAAAAATCTAAAAAAGGACCTAAAAAGTGAACTATTCAGATTTTCGAAAAAATGTTTTAAACGAAGTAATATCAGAAGAAATATCTACATATTGACATGACCGACCGAGCTGACCTAACCTAGCATTATACCAACCATTAATAAAGTAATTTTGGAGAACATTTTTTATAAAACCAAAAAAAAAGACAGACATACTTTTCACGATGGGAAGATAGGATATAGTGTAGAATTTAATTTATATCTGTACGCAACGATAAACCATTGTTAACGAAAAACGATTAGGTGCAAAGTTTTTTTTAAAGATATATGTACATTTCTCATTTTTCTCAATTCTTGTAAAAACGTCTTGGAAAATCAAAAATCGATCTCCTTAAAGCACCACCCAGATAAAATTCAATTTCAGAAAAGATACTACATTTCAAAATCGGAGTAAAATTTCTGGTAGGCAAGTGGTTCAAAGATAAAAAAAAAAATTAACATCATTGTAAAACCAATAACCTATCCCTATCCTCGCTACCCCACAAATATAAAAAAAATTGTTACATATACTAACTAAAATACATGACTTAAATTCAACAAAAACAATAACACTATAACTATCTGGCCTACAATTTATATCATATATCTTCAAGGTGTGTGCCACTAAACATTTTTTTTTTTTTTTAATCATAAACTGGTATTATAAAGTATAATTGATTTCATTGGCCTCCGTTGACCCAATATAGGTATACTTAAGCGTATTCCACATAACACCTGCGGTTCGCACGTAAACGAAAAGACGGAAGATTTATAATTTAAAAAAAAAAAAAACACAAAATAAATACACAATCACAACTCGCAATTAGGGATATAATATGTTAACGTCAACTAAATTTTTATACCGTATAGCAAATATATATATATATATATATATATATAAAATATTATTTAATAGTAAGTACTGTCATTGCACTATTATGTAAAAAATGTCCACGATTTATTTTATTTAGTCTTTTATAAATCATAAATTATTCAAAATATGAATTATTTAATATATCTACAATGTTATTATAGGTATCTACACAATATAAAATTTGGTACAGAAGATAAAAAAAAACTAGAGGCTTTCGAAATGTGTGTATTATCGAAAAATGCTTAAGATAAAATTAACAAAAAGAATAACAAACGAAGAAGTACTGAATAGAATAAAGGAAAAACGAGAAATATTTAAAATACGCCTGTGTGCAATGTACATGTAGGTACTTATACTTTTTACTACTGTTGTAGCTATAATATAATTCACTATAAAATTCTTAGTTTGGTTGATTTGAAAAAAAACAATTATTATTATTTTATTTAGTTGTCGCTGACAAGGAAGTATCCTTTTTAAAATATAAACTAACGGTCAACAACGATTAACTGTGATAAGGATGAGACTATGAGAGTGAAAACGGGGACTCGTTGAATTAAATTTCATTTATTGATTTCTGTTTTTGAAAATATTGAGGTTGGAAAATAGATACCTGCCGGTAATACTATAATAGTGAAAATGATATCATAGAGTGTATATTATAAGGATATTACACAGATATTTTGAACAATTTTGACTTTCTGAATTTTACAATTAATAATGTTATTGTTATAACTACCATAAACAAGTATATTAGGATATACCAATTAACACAGGTATTCGAAATTATCAATGTGATACTTATGATGATAGTTATGTTTTTATTTCCGCATTTCAATTCTGATAGACTATGTCTGCATGCAATGTGGTTTAAAAAGCATATTATTTTTAGCTTAAGTGTTCCTTGATAATTAATAAAATAAATCCATAAATTGAAAAAAAAAACTATGAATTATAGACACAAAATGTTTTTTTTTTAAAAAAAAAAAAAAACGAAAAATACCTTTTTGAAGAAGAATGAGAATTCTTCGCGGGTCCGATATCTGGTTTACTGACACTGAAAAGGCACACGGGCCACACGGAAAGTTGTCCGGGCATATTAAATTGTCTACACATAAAATAAAGAATTAGTTTAAAAAAGCGAAATATTATATTGGCATTATAAATATTGTGAAACTAACGGTTATAAAAAAAAAGAATAGTTTTCTTTTTTTTTAAATTGGACACGTTTAACAATAATTCTCATTACAACTCGGAATCCAGATTGATAATATAATAATCATTTGAAAACACATTATACAAAAAACTGCAGGATATATTTTTTTTAAAAAAAATATAGTAGTACTTATTTGCGCCTACTTTAAGATTTTTTTCAAATATTGTTTCACCATCGCGTGCGGTTCAGTTTGATTATATTTTAAAACGAATAATTTTTTATTTTTTTGTATTTTCCAAATTAATTACTCTTATTTTTTTTTTCCAAACGTAGTACCTAAATTGAATATAAATAAAAAAAAAAAAAAAAACATTGGTTAGTAAATACAAATGTATTCCACGACTCGAGCAAACAATACGGTATGCGTTTTAAACTATTACTAATGTCTCTTATTGGGACTTTCCTATAGAGTCAATTTGTATATATTGGTCGTAATAATGTACACCAATTCAAAGCCCGACACGCGAACTCGAACGTCGTATACATTCCTATCGCTCGTGTAATAATATTATTCTAACGTCTTACGTTATTCGTGTACGAATTGTCAACGAAATTTGTACGATACTCGTCGTTAGAAAAAAAAGCGTAATGACTGTTACAATTATTATAGCAATATAAATTTACGTCCATACGGTTTTCCAACGAAATATCCCACGTTAAAAATATCCTCGTTAGAAATGTCCCTTATTCAAAATATCTCCACTATTTAGATCTCATTTTATTTTGTTTAAAATATACTGTTTAGAAGGAAATTATACTGCGAGGTATTTCTAACTAGTGGCGTTCTCAGGAATTTCCAATGAGGGGGAGAGAGTTTTGGGTGTGGATAATTTCTAGAAAAATATGTATCGACAGGGAGTATCAGCGCGCATACTTCTAGTTATGATATTTAATATTATTTTTAAATAATTATAATATAAAAAAAAATATAATAAAATAACAAAATTTAATACACTTTTTATTTTTATTAATTTATCAATAATTTTTTGGTTCAACAAATATATTTATATTATATTTTAATTGTATACATAAACTATACGATGCGACAATGAATTTTACAAATTTAAAATGAATTGATTGCAAAAAAAGAAATAACGACCAATGGGAGGTTTAACCCCCATGAATCCCATCCCTCTTAGTACGCTCATGTTTCTAATGAAGATCTTTTGAAGAGGGATATTTTAGCCGTGAGATATTGCGAACTTTGGTTATTTTTATGGTGCACTTGTCAACGTACCTAAGTTATAGTGTTCGTTATAGCATACCTTCAGCAGTATTTGTATCAATATTATTATTTATTCGTTTGAATATGACAGCGACTAATGCTCCTGCCACACCGTTGCCACACCAGATGGATAATTCTAGTAGGCATATGGTATTGTTTTTGTAGGGTAAAGGAATTCATTTTATACTTGACAATACCATTATCCATATGAGAAGGGATCAGAATACTCCCACGATATCTCTACCTATCGTAAGAGGTGGCAAATAGGGTTGCGTCAGGTCAACAACCGGTGTGAAATTCTATCAATCAGTATGAAGAATTCTAAACGGGGCTAACCCGTTTTTACCAAAATTTAAGATACCCCTTTCTGTCAATATACCTGCTATGATAAAATTATTATTCTTACATTTCATATTTGTAGAGGTGGATTTTGAATTTTCACATCAGGACAGTTATATCAAAAAGGCCATTTTACATAATATATAATATTTTCCCTGTTAATTCAACAAAATTAAAATATAATGCAATATATTAATTATGCCAGTAACTTTTTAATATGACTGTACTTTTTTTTTTTTTGATTTTTATAAAAACTATTTTTAGTTTCATTGAATAAATAGACAAAAATTGTATACTATGTAAAAGTGCGTTTTTGATATAACTTTATCATGACGTTAAAGCACAAAATTGTCTCTAAAAATATAAAATATAAGTATAATAATTGTACCACAATAGGTATGTTGGCGAAAATGAGAATCAAACCTTTTTTTTGAATTGGCGGAAACGGGCAATGGCGATAACGGTACAGGCCCGTTCTGTACACAACTTTGGCAAATTGTCCCATCTCAAATGTTCGCAAAACAATGGGTGAGAGGAGATACCATGGTGCATAATGTTTGCATGTACCTAGCTTTGATATTTGAAAATATAGAATAAGACAATAGACTTGAAGAATGGAGAGTAGGACTTGAAGTAAAATGACTGAGATTTTATTAAAAGTAAAACAAAGTATAATTTTGGAGGAATAAGACAAGTAACGACAATAAATGGTAATAGATGTAGTTAGGTTAGGTTACAAGTTTTAAGTAGTTATAGGACTTTTTGTACAAAATAATGATGGCTTTCATGAGGATTCGAAACATAGGATTTAGTGTGGTTGAATACAGTGGAGGAAGCGTCAGGTTTTTATGTGACAAGAGAATTCTAATAAAACTTAAATATAAATTATAAAAAAGTATGGTGAGGACGACTATGTTGTATGGTTCGGAATGTTGGATAGTAGACAGAAAAATAAAACAGATAACGAGTGTAGCAGAAATAAGAATGCTTAGGTGGATGATTGGAGTGATGGAAGAGAATAGGATATGGAATAATGAGTATATAAGAGGTAGCTTAGACGTAATTTCGATGGTAGTCAATGTTAGAGAAAATAGACTGAGATTATAGTTTGGACATATCACGGGGGAAAGAAATCTGACACAGTAAGAATTGTAATGAAAATAAACGTAAGAAGAAAGAGGTAGAGAGGATGACTTAAATAGAGATAGTTGGATGTGACTGAAATGATATGATGACAGCCAGTGAATGCATGGTGGGAGATCAGGTAAAGTGGAAGTTAAGAATGAGAGTGGCTGACCCCAAATAATTGAGAAGAGGAGGAACTAGGAGACGAAGAAAATTCTAATTCTGCATTTAAATTTTTTCACTATCTTTCATTTTTTGTAATATTTGTATAATTTTTAGTTTTGAATGAGAAATTTAAATTGTTTTTTTTTTTAAGTTATCTTTCAGTAGTTACCTAACTCATTTACCGTCGAATTTTTCTTAACTTTTTGAATTAAGTCTTTTTTTAACGGAAAAAATAATTTGATAAAAACGCAAGTTCCTTTTCACCGGAAAAGACAATATTAGGATTTTATTAATTACTATATTTATATTAGCTCTCTGGAAGGTAACTTCCGTTTCCGTGGGAGAAAGAGAATATAAAACGTTACATTACGATGCCCAGACAATGTAAAAAATGATAAAAAGTATGGCTTCGTTGACTCGTCGATATATAGACAATCATATTATTTATTCGTACAGTTTTGTTTTAATTAAATATAATGATGACATGGGTACTTACTACTAATAATCTAACCGAAGTGCACAGATCTAATTATTCGGTCTTTGGGATTTGTTCTGAGTAATTAAAGGAAACTACTTATTTATTTCTGTTATTTTTCTGTTTGATGTTTTCCCTTTCTCCTACCTATTAAAATAAAGAGTACCATGTTATCGATGAGTAAAAATTAAATGTAATATTAATAGAAGGTTTTAATTTTTATACTTTGCATAAAAAAGCTTCAAAACAAATTTAGGTAAAACAAATAATAGACAAAAATGTGATAATAATATTTTCAGAACGTTTTCACTCATATATTTGTCTAATTTTAATTGAAATTAACCAAATTAACTCAACACTTATGTGTGTGTGTACATAATTACATAGTTTCATAATAAAAGTAATTCAATTTAAAATATATCCATTCAAATATTAAGCGGTATTTCAATTGCATAGCATTTTTCACATGATGGACATGGAAACAGAATTAATAAAATAAAATCAGACCTGTTCTATACAATTTTAATAGTACCGTAAATCGGTGTACCTATTTAATCATGTTTTCATATTAAGAGTCCCGTCCGTGGATTTTTAAAAATTGTTGAAATTTACTCGTGTAATTAACACATAATATTATGTACTTTTGTCTTAATAATTCTTAACATATATTAAATTCAATTTTACATTTTGTATTAAGGTGCTTGTACCGTCGACAATTTGTTTTCTGATGCAAAGAAGAAAATATCTTACAGAGTTTTGGATGACTTTTTTTTTGTTTACGAAACCAAACACCAAACATCACTAAATTATAATTAAAAATATAGTACAAATTGATATAGTAAACCTGATTATAAATTTAGTAATAAAATTCAATAATGTGCATTATAAAAAGTATTTCTCTCCCCACACGAAAAAATTAATCGAAATCTTGTCACTCTAGGAGGTATCAGGTGTGTTGTTCATGTAAGAGATCATCTTTTTTTACAAATTCAAGATCACACGAGAATATTTTATATCTTAGTTCTATTGTTTTTTTTTTTTTTTTTTATATATCTGCATACAATATATTTTACTGGTAAAAAATGATAAACGGAAAATCAAAACAAAATAAAATTAATAAGTATCATTTCTATTCTAACTTCATATATGTACAAATACCATTATTATAAAAAATATTTATTAATGATGATGAAATAGCTTACAAAGAATATACTAAAGTATATTAATAATTAAAATATGTTAATCGTAACTATTTAAAATACAACACGAAACATTATGTCGTACCAAAAGTTTTTATCATATACATACGAAACATAATGTGTATACAAATGGGTTATTACAAAAACCGAGAACATAAAAAAGAATTCTTTAAACCTTGAAAATAATATAATATGTGTTTGATAGGTATATTCTATAATCTAACCACGATTATTATTACTGCGTAACCGCATCATTACCTACTATAAAGATTTAGTAAGATAGGTACGTATTTACCTATCTATATAGTAGTACGTAGGTATAGGTATAGGTAAAGGTATAATATATCATACTATTTGGTAAATATATTTTGTGTAATTTATTATTTTAAAAGGTACATAGTATACTTACGCAATAGTCTTCCGTATCATTTAAAAATGAATAAAATAAAAACAAGCTTGAAATTAGTCATCATTTGGTATTTTGAATATTAAATAAAAAAAAACAAAAAAGTAGTGAATTATTATGTAAACATTTTTTATTTGTATATTTAATTTAACCGGTAGAGGTGGATATCGTTATATCTTTAAGCAGTTTAAAAAGAGTGGAATGAAATTTAAAAAAAAAAAAACAACTAACATACGAGAAAAATTGTTTTGACCTTTTTTCAAAATAAAAGTGTTGACTTTTGTTGCATCGTTTTTAATTTGTCTTAGGTATATAATGAGAGTATAACAATGTCGTCTGCAGTTATCTTCCTTTCAATCGCGTGCTCTTTACAATAATTTTTATTATCTTGTGCAGCTGTTCTGCATGGTATCTGAAGACTTGCCCAATCATTTTTAAAAGTTTCATTTTATTTGCATTTACGAATATACCTACGTTTTTTCTTTAACAATACTTAGTATATGCATGTTCATTTTGTTCTCCTCACTTTCCAGATTACGTAACTTTTCCATAAACCTCTAGCACCACATCTCAAAAGCTACTAATCTATTCTTTTCGGTGACATTTATGGTTAATACGTCCAAATATATATTAAAATAAATCCCTTTTTGATAATTAGATATTATATTAAAATGATAAATTCTTTGAATTAAAATTTTTACTTTATTGTACTTAAAGCTAACGCACGGATATTAATGACAATGACTATAACAAATAATAAAAATATAGGTACTTTTTTCAATATTATCGTCAAAATAATATTATTCTCTCTAATATTATTCGTTAAATCGTTTCAAATAAATATAGTGAAATTATATAAGAGAGCTTATTAAATAAAATACTCGACTATACACAATAAATTATAATCTATTATTAATCACGTCTGTTACCGTGTATTACGTCAAGATAATATATTAATAGTTACTTAAACAATGGCGTGCGCAGGGTAAAGGAGGTTAGGGGTCATATCCTCCTCTCTATTAGCTTTTTAACACAGCAACTATATGAGTATTTATTTAGTAAATGAATCTTAAAATGTATATCGATTTCAATCAAGTTACAAGGAAATGCATGATTAATTGATTACAAATTATTTTATTTTTTTTTTGGATCCGGCTTTTAAATTCCCACTGTCGAAAGAGGTAAAGAAGAATATTACAGGATGTATTTATGATTAATATTCGCTACAATCCCTCCCATTGAAAATTCCCGAGCACACCATTGTACTTAAGATTTATGACTTATGGAAAACAAATTTTAGTTATGAGTAGTTACTATATATACAATTTAAATAAGCATAGATTTTAATAATAATCTAAAGGTAAGTATTATATAATACAAATTTTAGTATCTTACCATTCGGCAGTAGTTAAAAATGTTCGGATAATGTAATGTTGCTACGCAAAAGACTTGGCGGTAATTTCTTTGACGAACGGACCATTTCCTAAAAAAAAAATAATTGAATATTATAAACATAAAAAAAAAAAAACAGACGAAATTATATAAATACGTCTATATAACCGTATTTATATTACAGATTTTGGCTTTCGTAATAATAAATTGTCTATTATTCCATCACGTGTTTATACATGTTAATTAAAAATAAAATCGTAAATACGTTAATAAAATGTTTAAAAAGGCTGATTCTTGTTGATGGGTGGGGTGTAAGAGGGAAATTGAAATGGAGAATATAAAGAGTTATTTAATTTATATCCGTACGTAACGATAAGACATTGATTACGAAAAACGTAACGTAGGCTTTGTTTTTCACCATCATATACAACTTACAACGAACCTCGTATACAATTTTAAAACATTTTAACTAGGCCAAAGCAATATATTTTCATAAAACCAAATAGAAATTTAAAAAAAAAAAACGCCAAAATTTTAAATGTATATAAATAACTAAAAATCGATTGAAAATGTTTTGAACATTATACTAGATCTACAATTATTTTAAAACATTTTCAAACATTTATCTGTTTTTCTAGTAACATTTTTGGGGTTTTTTCCAATTTTTATGAAAATTACTTGGAAAATCAAAAAATAATCTCCTTAGTGCGCCAACTAGATCAAAAATTCAGCAAAAAGTCTCTTGTCAGTTTATGAACGGAGAAAAATTTCTGGTAGAAGAATTGCTCACAGAGGCCAAAAAAAAAGAACGGACATACTTCGCACGATTAGTTGTAGGTGAGAAATTGAAAAGATAAAGTGAAAATTTGATGTATTTCTATATTCGAACATTAATCAATGCTTACGAAAAACAATTCTAAACGGAATTCGATTAAACGTGTTTTAAAAGGCCGTAACGTAACATTTACGATTTTAAAATATACATTTCGTAAATTTTCCCGTTTAATATGAAAACCACTAAGAAAATCACGTCCTTATATTACCACCTCAGTAAAATTTCCTTTCAAAAAAAGTGCTACACTTGAAAATCTGAACAAAATTTCTGGTAAATAAGTTGTTCATAGAAAAAAAAAATAAACATCATTGTAAAATCAATGCATTTCTCGCTCCACTCAGAATCTGGACAAAAAACGCTTCGCTCAAAATTGAATTGCAATAGTATATCTTTTAGGTGTAATAATATAATATAATATTATGGTTTTTTAATATAAATTATCACATAGTGCATAGGTAATTATTGTACATAAAATTTATACATTTGTTTTACTATCGATGCAGTAATTTTTTTTTCGGACATTTTTACCGTGAACATTATGGCTGACTTCCATATATTATAACGATGTTCAGATATTGCCATCTTAAAATATATGATTTCCCAGCGACAGTCTATTCTAAACATATATTTTTATACCAACACCACGCATAATAATATTCGCCATATCATAACATTTTTGAGTCTGTGAGTCAAATATTAATCGTCCAAACGATAAACTACCTATTTATAATCCGGAAGACTCGCGGATAACAATCGATTCGGTATAATATAATAATAATAATAATAATTGTTGTATTAGTATTCGACGTGTTTGTTCGTTATTTTTTTTTTTTTTCTTCCGTTAAGGTATGACAAGGCTAAAGTGTTTCAAAAAACGAAAACGTCATTATTATGTTATACTTCTATTGAAATAATAGTAATAAACACGATAAAGTGCAATAATATTATTAAACCATGTATTTTGCTACGTAATTTAATTATCGGTACGGATCACAATGAGGTATTTAATATTTTTTTTATACACATATATACATACAAATTACAAAGCATACTTGTATAGATCTGTATTGGCTTTTACCTGCCAAAAGAGTAAAAGAGGCGAGTATATTATCAAAAATTTAGTTAAAAAATAATACCCAATATATAAACTGACTAATATTCCTAAATTACAATTTACGACTTATTGACTTTATATTGATATTATATTATATTATATAGACACGTGTAATTTAAATATTTATTTTGAAATATAATTAATTTTTCCATAAGGTGCGGACAGAATTAAAATAGTTTGTTTTTATAGGTATAGTTAGTTAGGTATTAATTTTTTTTTTTTTTTTATTGCTATTATACATTGTTTATATGTATAAACAAGTGTAACAAGGGTATTCACCGTTTGCAATATAACATTGTGGGTTATGTATGAAAATATTATTACTGCATAGTTAAGGGGACCCGGTGCCGGGTTTCCAAATTTTCTATAATTTTGAAGAATTTGGAAATTATTTTAAATATTTTAACGATAATAAATGGCCACGTTGTAGATAAGGTTTCTCTGCTGATCTAATGCCAACAGTCATTTAGGAGGAAGGAGTACAGCCGTTTTAACGGACAAAAATGATTTCACGGAAATAAGGATAACTCAATTTGACATTGTCAACATAATATTTTCGTACCATATTTTTTGTTTTGTTTTTTATTTTTTTATTGATAATCAACGACATCCAACAAACCGAATTGAACTCCGATTTTTCATTTGATTTCACATAATGGTAAATTACAGTTGATAAAAAAAAAAAAAAAATAGGAATCTACGATTTACGTTAGTACGATTTCTCAATTATAAATATTATTAGTATCTAATTTCAAAACATAAAACTCCTACAAATACTCCAATAACAATAATAGATACATAATATGCAGTTTGCAGTGTGTTTTACACAAATTGTAACACTAAACACTTCAACCGAGTGGAAATAAACTGAAATAGTTTCTCTCTTTTTTTTTTTATGAATATCGGAACTCCAAAATAAACATTTTTAATATGAGCCTATTTTAAAATTGTTAATCTCCGTGTGGTTCACGTGTGTGCATTTCAGTTTAAGATAGTAAAAAATAATCGTCGAATTCACTGTTCCGCGTATCTGAGGTTAAGGCAAAAAAGTTTACATTCAGAAAAAAGGCGCAAAATATGTATTATTACTTATTATTAATTAATATTGGTACTTCGATCTTTCTGAAAAAAAAAAACCATTTTAATCCTAGTCCATCAACCAGCTCACAGCTGAAATATTTCGTGAAATATTCACGATGCAACAGTAGGTATATATTATTTAAAGGACTCCACATACTGTTTCAGTCCAGCTATAACGGGCAACATACTAAAACTACGTTACTTATTAGAACATATAAATTATGGTTGTATGTTAAAATACATATGTTTAAACACAGTAAATAACAAAATGTATAGAGAAGAATATTTTTGAGAGCTGTAAATAATTATTTTCTACAAAATGTTCACGCCTAGAACCTACAACTACGTTAGTTTTGTTTTCTTTAAATAGTTGTACCTTTTTTGTACGGAATTTGTTTTAAAAAAAGCAACGTACAGCCCTCGAAAATATGTTCCTCTTTACATTATTATTTGCTTATGTTCAAATTCTAATTTCAACCTAAATTCCACAATATATGTGTATATTTTAAGTGACGTAATTTTGCTTTTACCGGTTAGATACACTGAAACTGTGGTTGCTGGCGATCGTTGGACAGCTAGATCCGGACTTAAACTTATAGAGTATTTTGTAATTGAAATAAAAGTCAACTTTTTTTACAATTATATTTTATCAACACTTTAGACATTTTTTAAAAAATTTCTATGAACAGTAGTAGCGCGAAAATGCTTGGTTAACTTGACTCGGGTCTTGTCAGAAATAGATGGTGTGGTGGCCCCCATATACACTATACTGGATATCTCACGGAGTTTTTTTACAAAAGCATAAAAAATGAATTAAAATAAAAATGTTAAAATCCTTATCCCTGTGAGTAATATGAAAATAAAAACAGAATTTGATTACCTTTATTATCTCCGAAGATATTACAATGGGTAAAAAATCTTCGTGGGACACTATCGTGGGACGTATATGTACGAAGCAGACCTCGTATCAAAATTATTTTTTTATTGCTAAAAACGATTCCTAGGAAATTTATTGGTCCTACATAATTAAGTATTCAAGTCTGTATTCAGTACCGTTGTGACGTCTTCTTAAACCGCCGCAAACATATCGTTTTCCTAAACGATTGTAATAATTTTGAATACATAATATTGCGATTATTTTAAATAGCATTCTACGCACGACTATTCGTACTTACACCAGTATATTGGACAAGTGTACCTGTATAATACCTATCCTACTTGCACATCAGTAGCTAAGGTCGTTTATAAATTATTACAATTTAAATAGACTGCGGATCGGTCTTATCAGCGTAATAATAATTAATAACGCACAAACGTTTGCAAATGCATTACATTGTTTACACATTTCACAATATTTTTTATGTTGGTTGTTATTATTATTTGATAATGGTCGTATTGTAATATGGGAAATGTTTTTATAATATATTTAAAAATAAGTACGGTTCATTTTCCGTCATACGGACGATCAAATTCGAATTTTATTTAAAATATCGTCACCTAATAAATACTAATTATTTACTACCTGTATTGTAATTGAATATAGTCAGAAAATTCATTTTCGCGAAATTTACATTTACACGAAAAATAACGCAACTACAAATGCGAGCTATATGAATTTCAAATTGAAAATAATTCAGTACTTATTCATTTTTAAGAGGACACTTAATAAACACCATTATATATTTGTTGCTCCGTCTTACTACATGCGCACGTCAAAGTAAATATGCATTCAGCAAAACACTCAGTTTTGTACTGTTATTTTTAATTTTTTAAATGAATTGACCTATATATTATTAAATTCGAAGGAAAGAATAATGTTAATATTGCCTGTGTTTGTGTACAGGTTTTTTTTTTTTTTTTTTTTTTTTGTTATTTTAATTTAAAAAGTGTGTGAAGTATCACAATTATATTTGTGTACATATTATATACACGTATCGTTTAAAAATTAAAATATGAAAAAAACCAGCGTACAAACACAAATAATCAACAAGAACATCATTATGTTCTTACCTTTAAGTTTTATAATTCACTCTTATAATATTGAAATTAACAGAAAAAAAATTGACGGTTCTGCCAGAGGAAAATTCGCTATGTCACGTGTATTTGTAAAATGGGGACAAAAACAACAAAATATATGCACGATGAGCGTCCTGTAATTAAAAAAAAATAATTTTTACAAATTTCCACGGGTATAATGAGAATATTTCTTTAATGTGAAACTTACGACCGGAGTCATTTTACCCGTCAAAAACTCGTTCACAACGTCTGGAGGTGAAAAAAAGCGCACGATATGACATGGTAAATAAACCCGTTCAATCCGTTAAAATCTCAGACTATACGATAGTATAATAATATCTACAACTGTAAAAGGATACCTAAAGGGTTGCATAGAATTTTGGTAAAATTAAAATTAAAAACCGTTCTGTAAAATGAATAGAGTTATTGAAATGATTTCACGATCTGTACGTGCAATTTGCAGAGCTGTTTAACCACGGAATATTTATGAACATTCTCCTTATGGCCTCATATTTTATTTTATTAAATAAAAACGTAGTTTAATTTCCTCGTGCAATGATATAAAAACTATAAAATATCAGTTTCATCACTCTCATATTCATCAGATGAACGTAATAATATGATGATTTTTCGAAAGTTGACTAATCGCCAAGATCAAAGCGTTTAGAAATAGTTAAAATCCCCATGAAGACTTACGATCGTTTAAATTTTACTATTTAAAACAAACTGTGCAAAGAATGAAATACGAGTCGTACATGAAACGCAATCTGTTCAATAACTTATTTTGTCAAGATTTTTTATTTTCAAACCATTAATTTTTCAGAACTGTTTTCACGCCACCCGGCATAAGACTCTATGAATACGATTCGTTCGACACATTTAACGTATTTTCGTACAAATATTTTACCTAATATAATATAATACAATAATATTATTCCATCGGGAGTGGTTTGGTTTGAAAATAATAATTATCATTATATTTTTCGGACAAAATGCATCCGAATGCGGATGGACTCTCGGCCCATTTTTTCCCCCTATATGTATACATACGATTCGTGTAATAACTGCAGGTGTTCATTATTTAAATATTATGCTAAATATACACGTACAGTATACTCGTGATCGCGGTATAATTTTATACAATAAACGGTGCCGGCCGACGACAAGTCGGAACGGAAAGTGTACGGTGATGGAAGTTAAAAACGTGGTGTCGTGTCCGGACGGGCGCTTTGATTTTTCTACCGGTTTGGGAAAAAAAAATACTAATAATAATAAATTTGCAGTATTAACTCCGGGGCAACAGCAGCCAGCAAGTATCCGGCGCGCGCGGCACACGTCGTAAAATTTAATCGGGAGTGGAATAAAAAAAAAAAAAAATGGAAAAAAACGAAAAAACTTGTTATTCCGCATGCCATCGCGCGCCCTTCGTTGGCCGTATATTATAATAATTATGATATAGAATATAGATACCTAATTGATTTCGGACGATTTAATTTGGAAAAAGTATATAATAAATACAATAATAATATATTATACTATGATAATAATATTATTATACACGAGTGTACGAACAATGGGCTAGAATCGAAATTGTCATATCCTGAAAACGGGAAAATCGTGTTAGTGACACTTGCGCCGGTCATACAGGATTTTCGAAGGTGAATCCAATTCCGTAATCAGTCCGTCAAAAACCGCGGAAAATAACAGTTTATGTCAAAATATGTCCGTAGTATGAAAACTCGAATAACATTATCAAATCTTACTCTTTAGTCGTATTTTCATTGAACGCGATTTCTGGTATAGAAAATTTGCTCATAAAAAATACATTAAAAAAAAAAAAGAAAAAAAAACAAACAAATCTTAGTAGAACCAATACACGCCTCATCACTGTGTTCGGAATCTACAAAATTACGGACATAGACTATAAAGAACAGAAGGTTAACTTTTCATGGCAGTTTTCAATATCTTAGTCTCTAAATTACGTATAAAATAAGAAAATTGAATTTCGGATTTCTTTATTGTACGGGAAAATCCCATTTTCGGATTTTCCATTTTCTAAAAAACTGTGATTTTTGGAACTTACGAATTAAATTAATTTCGATACTGGCCCATGTACTCGTAATATTATGTGCCTACGCTAAAAGCTACTTACCTACCATGCGACGAAACGCCCGGAGAATATGATGCTGTCGTCGTCGGTACAGGTCCGTCACTTGTTGCTCGCAGAGATTATTCCCGTCGGGAACTTGTCTACTATCGGGACGTGTAGTAGGTACCTGTATAATCTCGGATGCGCGCGGAGATACGGGATCACGAGCAACAATGTAATAAAAACCCCACGTATCTATATCGTAAATTATATAAATATACACGCGTAGGTACGTACGTATGTACAATTACTATTACTGCCGTAGCAATGATGATAACGATAACGATATTGGGACGTGTATATTGTGTTTTCGGAAAGAAAAATAAACGGGCGGGAAAACGGCCGCGATTTTACGCGCAGTGAAACCGCGACTTCAAATAAAATAAGCGTCCGGTGCGAGCGAATGCGATTAGAAAAAAAAAAAAAAAACGATCTATAATAACAACAAAAAAACGTATGTAATATTTATTATAATATTGTTTTTTTTTTCTTTGTATGTATATATATATATATTTATATGTCCGTGTATATATATATATATATATATATATATATATATATATAGCACACACAGACACCCGAACGTGTCGCGTATCTATGGACTACTGCCGCGGTAGGTATGGTAGGTATCGGTATATACCTAATAATATTATTAAACACGTTCGCACGCGCCGTCGGGAACCGACCGATTTTTTCTTACCGTTCCACGCGCGTCGTGCGCCGACCAAGTTTCGCGCGATATGTTATAATATGCAGGCAGGTGCCTAACCGCGGGCATATTAACAAAACGTATACGGTTTTGAGCACATGTATAAATAGCATAATATTACCATCGCTATACCTATCGCATCACTAAAAATATCAAAAAATGAGTTATACTACAATATACGGGTACACCGCAGCTTACAGTACACAAAAAAAGGCGCGTAGTTCGGTGTAAATACCGCATAAATTGCACAAAGTCCGAGGAGAATATAAACGTTGAAACATAATTATCTTGTACAGTACATAAGGACATTGATACACACGATAAAATTACAATGGCTATGACATACTTTGAGACACGATAGTCCTATGCAAATAATTATTGAACTTTGAAGGTGTTGTACCAGGGAAAATAGGAAAAGAATAACCTAGAACAAATTTTATATCACAACCATGTGGAGAACTGGACGTAGAATATGCTGATATTAAAAGGAAAATAGTAAACAGGGAAGAATGGAGGAGATTTGTAGGAGGGCAATATAAACTAGTCAGAAGATTGAAAAACCTAAAGCAAAAGATATTATCCAATATAATATCATAATGCGATAAATAGAGAGTCTAAATGATAATTATCTAAACTATCTATACGTAACCCATTATTATTGTAGGTATTAAATATTATTATTGATTCATAGGCGCAAATAGTTCAAATATGTTGTGGAGAGGGCTTAAAACCCCTTAATTTTGGTTATGTAGATACACTTACGTACGTATTCTGGCGAGATTGGCTAATAGACAGACAAAACTGATGATTATTTATAATTTATCAATTATAATTTTTTTAATCATAAATAGAAAGTTTTAATTTTTATACCTTGCATAAAAAAGCTTCAAAACCAATTTAGGTAAAGCAAATAATAGACAAAGATGTGATTTAATAATATTTTCAGAACGTTTTCACTCATATATTTGTCTAATTTTAATTGAAATTAACCAAATTAACTCAACACTTATGCGTGTGTGTACATAATTACATAGTTACATAATATACATAATAAAAGTAATTCAATTCAAAATATACCTTTTCAAATATTAAGCGGTATTTCAATTGCATAGCATTTTTCACGTGAAGGACATGGAAACAGAATAAATAAAATAAAATCAGACCTGTTCTATACAATTTTAATAATACCGTAAACCAGTATACCTATTTAATCATGTTTTCATATTAAGAGTCCCGTCCGTGGATTTTTAAAAATTGTTGATATTTACTCATATAATTATTTATTATACATTAATTATATTAACACATAATATTATATACTTTTGTCTTAATAATTCTTAACAAATATTAAATTCAATTTTATATTTTATATTAAGGTGCTTGTACCGTAGACATAATTTTTTATTCATAATAATTTGTTTCCCTTTTAGATTCTAAACTTAGCAAGTAATGGTAAGCAAATAACCTTTTTTTCGGTTCCTGAACAAATTTTCTATATTAAAAATCTTACTCCTATCATCTTAATATAAGTAATATGTAATACCTTTTTTAAAAGCAAATTCTGTACAGCGATGCATTGGAAATAAGGTAGTTTTTTGATTTTTCATATGGAATAATGGGAAAATACATATACTTATTGTATTTAATGTATTTATATATTGTATTTTGTATATGATGTATTTACATTTCCGTTATATTCGAATTTTTTTAAACTTTAATTCGATTAAAAATAATAGCAGAGCCTATAATTTTCACAGAATATTTATATTAGCTCTTTCTAAACGTGGTAAAATTTCAAAAATATTCTAGTGATGTTTGATTTATTTAGCAAATTGAAATTTGTCAAATTGTTTAGTTTATTTGATTTTATGTAAATAAAATTGTTTTGGCCGAGCAGAAATACTTAAAAACTGAACACGAGGTTTTATTATAATGTATTCTTAAGCTTCTTAAAAGTCAACAAACAAATTCGAATGTAATTTAATCGGATTTTTTACAAGCGTTTTTAAGTTTAAATTTTAACGAAAATCTTAAAAATCATCACATCATTTCAAAATATGAGTAACTGAACTTTACTCAGAATTGTCTGTGCTAATTCATCGAGTAGTTGTAGTAGATGTCATTGTCGTAGATGTAAATTAAATAACGTTACATAGACTATAATATGTATTACTCTATCTTGTCAACTTCTTACATAAAATATATTGGCACACCTGTTTCAGTATATCTTCTCGTTTTTCTCTAAATTATCTAAACTGCATTGTAGTGGTTTTTTATCAAAAAGATGTTAAGTTTACATTTAGAAAACTGTAACTTTCTTGAAGCACTACATGGTTTTGGACCAACAGATAGACCTAGTTTTTCCATTTATCTTCTGCTTTATCTACACCCGTGCAGATCCAAGACAAGAAAATGATAACAGGGAAGGGGTGATTTTGAAAATTCATATAAGGCACAAATTGATGATGAATTCAATGACGAATCAAACTAAGAGTATATTGTAGAGTGAATGGGGACCCCAATCGCCCTCTCTGAATCCACCACTGCTCGTGACCAGAGCCGTGCCTAATAGGACACGAGAAATGTTTACGCATTGAGCTCTATGATCATAGAAATAACATTAAACATTTTTAAAGTACTGTAATTGAATATGTTTACAATAAACGCATGAGTGAACGTCCAACGAACAAGTTGAGCTTTTTTTTGCTCGTCCGTACTTTTTTCTGCCACCGGGTGCCCTGATTTTGATAGACACGGTACTACCAGTGACACTTTCTTGGAATAGTATCGAGTTCGAGGATCAATATGTTTATGTTTTATTTTATTTCTTACCGTTATCATTAGTGTTATTCGTATTTCGTAGCTTTAATAAGAATCCTTACTTAGGCCGATGTATTGTGGTAAGAAAACCGCGGAATGTTATGTGCAGAATTCCTCGTAAACAAACATAATGTACTATTTATTTGCAGTAGTAGTATTAACAGTATTTACTGTTTATAAATAAGTCCAAAAATAAACATCTCGAGTGCCTTAAAGAAAACACCACCAACGTAACGCACCATTTTCTGCACAACCATCATACTGCATAATGGTGTGGGTATTCGGCTGCATCCGAATTGCATCCACGGTTTTTCAGCAATTGATTCGAGTTACGTCCGTAATAATTATAATAATACCCAATCGTATTAATACCTTATCTGTGAATAGTTGCAGTATGTATCAGAGTCATAACAAGATTTTTCGGCACTTTTCGCCACACAAAAATGTCTGCTCTCGTAGCCCCTATATATGTCTATTAATTTTCATCAAAATTTTATATTTGAATTTGGTATTATACGTATATAATTTCTGGATTCCATGACCTTTTCTAAGATGCGCTCTTGGCCTTAGTCTATCTTGCAAAACCCAATGACCGCGGCTCTGATAGCTCGACCTAGATCCAACAATAGGCGACAAACATTTTAAAATTTTAATTGGGCATAAATGCATATTGCATATAATCTATATACTATTAATATGATTTTTGTGTTGGATAGTCCATTTATCAAGGAAAGCTATATAACATCACGCTTCAACCAATAGGAGTGGAGCATCAACGAAAAATATTGCAAAAACGGAAACAATTATTATTTTTCGTATATTATGATATTCCCCGAATGATAAGGTTATTAGGTTGTTAGGTTGTAAGGTTTGATAAGGTTTTCCACACTCCCTTGGCATGTAACCATTGCAACTATCTCCATCGCCGTGAGTGCATGATAATGATAGTTTGTATGAGGAATCAACATAGGCGCAACTAGACCACCAACTTTGGGAGGGGAAATCCCCTTTACGTGATACTAATAATAAGCAACTACACATTTAATTTTCAATTTGATACATAAAAACGTATCATAACCTTTTCAACTTTATTTGTATATACACATGCATTGTCTGTAGGTTCTGTATTTGTCCTGCTTATTAATTATGAAGTATTTATTATTATGAAGTATTAAGGTATTTAGACGATACCATAAGAAAAAACGTATTCGTTATTTTGGGAGCGTTAATTTCAAACTTGGGAGTAGCAGCCCCCCCAGTTGCGCCTATGGGAATCAATCATTTCTCATAAAACAATAAAACTCACCGTAATTATATTTTTGGTAATAAATAAAGAATGTTTCTGCATTTATGGCCATTCAAGTTAATTCGGAGGATAGCTAGGGACAGCTTGATGACACAACAAAACACATTCCACCTATTTGTTTTCATTCTACGAGGAATAATCAAAAAAAAAAAAACAATGGTAAAACAAAACAAAACTGACAAGGGCAAAGCTGTGCGGAACAGAGCTAGTTATATATAATTAGAACTCGTGTAAATCTGAATTTCAGTATAATTTGATACATTAATTAAATATTCCACGCCATTTACATAAGTGAGTACAGCCTTTGGTCTGTAAAGATAGATAGGAAATTATAATATACTATTATATATTTTGTAATTATTATCGAGATCGTGACTCGGGTATACTGTTGAAAACCATTGGACGCAACTTAGACAAATTATGAACAAAACCTGGACACGTTTTGGACAAAATATCAATTAATCAATAAATGCAATTCGGATGTACCGGGATATTCAAATAAGAGTAAACAAAATATATGCAGTAGTATAATACAATTAATTTTCACCGCGTGTTACGTTTTGCCAAAACACCACTGCCACACTGCTTACTAATCTTACTAATGCTTACTGGTCTAAAAGGGCGGGAAATTATCCATTAAAAAATTGTTTTTTTTTTTTTTTTTACACGTAGGGCCAAGACTTTACGTTTTGGTAGTATACTTTCTAAGAAAACCACGCGTGGCATTCACGCAATAATATACCTCTAAATAATCAATTTACATACTCAAGATGTCCACGACTGCTCGGCTGAGAAAAAAACATAATATTATTATTATCATACCAACCGACAAAACAACGAAAAACTAAAAAAATTACAACAAATAAGTAAAATCCGTGGTGCGTATGTGAATCATGAAACCTCATCGCGTTTTCGTCGTCATTGCAGCTGCTGCGGTAGTTTTTCCGCACGTTTTTTTCAGTTCTTTCTATTGTTTTTGTTTTATTTTAATTTATTCAATTATGCCAGACAACATGCGACAACACAATATTATACGGCATTGTAATAATTTCAGTAGGTAGTATAATTATACTAATATTAGCTATCCCGCACGACTTTGCTCGTGCATAATAATATTGAACAAAAAATATATGAAAACGTGTCTCTCCGTGTTTCCCGTTTCCAACCCAAACCTATCACAGTTAACCGTTGTTTCCCGGTTATTTTCTATTTTTTCTAAAATGTACATCTTTGCCCATGACAACCAAATTAACTAGTAATAATTGTTTTTTTTTGTCATCCACGTTAAAAAAATAACCCATCATAAATAAACAAAAATATTTCGATTTTCGTTCCAAAAATACAAATAACTCAGTATTATACTTGAACACACTTTATAGAGACTAAATTTTGAGAGAATATGTGTCCTATGTGTTAATCCAGAATATATTCTATCTGTGTGTCAAATGTCATCCTAATCCATTCAGCCGTTTTGTCCTGATTGAGTCACTAACATACAAATGTTATTAATATGCTTGAATTGGAAACAAATTAAAAGGGGAAATGGTTAATACTCGTAAATAAATATAAAAGTACAAAAATAAAAAAATAAATAAATAAATAAATGCGTCGTCTGGACTATTATGATAAGGGTGGTATTTTACATTTTGACTGCGATATACCTAATGATGAATTTTGAATTCCAAACCGTTCGTATTTTGTTTTTATTTTATTATTTTATTATATATTATATGTTACGATTAATTTTGTAAATATTAACTGTTAATACCGTTATCAAAGGCGTATTTAGAAATGAATAATGGGGGGAATCATCATAAAAAAAAACCAAATATTTTATAATACAAATAAATTTCAAAAAACGGACATACTTCGCACGTTGGGTAGGATGGTAGGATATAGAGGGGAAATTAATTTGTATCTTTTCTCAACGACAAACCATTGTTTACTAAAAATGATTCTGAGCGGAGTTTAGTTAATAGTGATGCTTTGTTAACAATGTATAGGTACGCCATATTATGGTAAAATAATTGAATAAGCATTATATACTTTCTTTAATAATATTTGTTTAATATTGTACCGATTTTCCCGTTTTTCTGAATTTGCGTTTTTTCCATATTTTTTTCTGGTTTTCCAAATTAGCTGGGAAAACTCTGGAAAATCAAATAATGATTTCCCTAAAGTACCTTCCCATGTCAAATTTTCTTTCAAAAAAAGTGCTACCATTGTAAATCGGAACAAAATTGATAGTATGATGCGTCATCTGCTTTGTTCACCAAATTATAGGTATTAGTACATTCTGCTTTACTCGAATCTTTTAAAAATCTATGTCGAACTTGAAAAAATTGTAAAACAAAAAGGAGCAAAATGTTTACTTTTTACTATCTACAATTCAATGAACATATGTGGTTTTTAAAATAATTTGATAATTGCATTAATAAAACCGTTTTTCCAATACGGTATTGTGGAAATATAAAAATACTTGGCACGAACCCATCAATATACATCAGTGTTTATGATTATGTGTTAATTCGTTTCGGGATCTTTATAAAGTTAACGCGACGGTTTAATTTAAAACGTTTATTATAATAGTATATACACATTACACAGTTATAACCCTAAAATATTTTTAGATAATTATTTTTCACTCAACCCGAAATAATAACTCTGTTCTCTGGTTAGATTGTCTAATTTTTCGTAAAACTATTTTATTGGGTTTTATAACTGAGAACTAAAGCCAAGAATTTGACCTAAAAAATGTCTTAAAATGTGCAATCAAACGTATAAAATAACACAAAAATTGCATAAATAAACTAAAAAGCATGATAGGTAAGTTTTGATTATACTAATGAATTAATCATTAAAAAAGACGTTCTAGGATAATGGGGACGAGTAAAGCCACTATTTATGGGTAATTTTAATTTTAATGTACACCTGTAAGCAACAATAAACCATTACCTACGAAAAAACAATTCTGAGCGAAGTTCAGTTGATAGTGATGCTTTATCAACAATATTTATGCCATAATATAATAATAAAATAATTAAGTAGGCTCTATATATTTTCTTTAATAATATTTGTTAAATGTTTTACCGATTTTCCCGGTTTTCATACGTTTTTCCCGGTTTTCTAAGTTTTTCCCAATTTTTCACATTTGCTGAGAAAACTCCGGAGAAAATCGATAAACGACCTCTCTAAAGTACCTCCCCAATAAAGTTTACTTATAGAAAATTTACTAACACTTGCAAAGTTGAAACAAAATTGCTGGTAAAAAAATTTTACAATAGAAAAAAAAATCGTAATATTTACAATTATATTTCGTACATTTTCCCGTTTTTTTTTTTATAGTTTTACGCATTTAATGAGAAAATCGAAAAATGATTATTTTAAGGTACTTCCCAGCACCGAATTCCTTTCGGAAAAGTTGCTACACGTAAAAATCGAATTAGGTTTTCTGGTAGAAAAGTTGTCAACAGAAAAGAAAAATTAATATCTCTAAAAAACCATAAGCTTCTTCCCGTCACTCAGAATCTAAAATTACTCTAAAAATGATTATTTTCTCGCAAAAATTATTTAAATAAATTAGTCTTCATCTTTACTGGCATTTAATACTCCCTACGAATTTTGGCCGATCTCCCTCCATTTTTCTCGATTCTGAACTAGTTCTCTCAATCTTGTACTCTGATCCTGTTAAGGTTCTCCTCCACAATATACAGCTATCTTTTCCTGGGTCGTCCTCGAGGTCTTTTACCCACCGTTTTCCACTCTAGAGCTACTAAGTTTACATCGTTGTCACATACCTCAACTGAAGCTTTTGTTGTTTTATGAAGTTGATAACTGATGCTATCCCCATTTCTTCCTGTATAGTTCTTTGTTAAATTGTTTTCTACACACTCATTTTCCACTTTCATAAATTGGTCTACAAATTATCCTCAATATTTTATTTTCAAAGGTCCTTAGTCTTCTCTCAGTGACACTTGTGGTAAATCAGTTTCTTTTCTTCCATTTTTAACACGGATAGGTATATTTGTTTATATCTACACACTATGTCTATCAATTATTCATTATTATTAAACTATAATTATTTTATTTTGTATCTATGTATGTAAATTTTCCATTATATATAATGTAATAAGTAATGGATAGGACATTACTTATTTTGTTCAGATTTCTAAGTGTAGCACCTTTTCTGAAAGAAAATCGGCGTGGGGAGGTACTTTAAAGAGGTCATTTTTTGATTTTATCAGGAGTTTTCTCATCAAATGTGAAAAACCGGTATAAAACATGGAAAAACGTGGTAAAACGGGGAAAATTAGTACAACGTTAAACAAATATTATCAAAGAAAATATATAAAGCCTATTTAATTATTTTACTATAATATGGCATATATATATATATTGTTGACAAAGCATCACTATCAACTAAACTCGGCTCAGAATCGTTTTTTCGTAATCAATGGTTTATTGTAGCTTACAGATATACATTAAATTATCCATAACAGTGGCTGCACCCGTCCTAATTATCCTAGGATATCTTTTTTTTTTTGTATTATTTCATGACCATATAATATCTATGGCCAAAACATACTGTAAAATAAAAACACTTCAAATCTAAAATAAATATGTATTGCTATATAGAAATACTTGTGGCTACTCATATACTTTATTTTATTTTATAATTTATAATTTATATTATGAGCAACGTATTAGAACACGTATTATACAAAATCATCTCTAATATAAAATCTTATCAAATATATAATATGCACCTCATTTGTGTTACAATAATTTAAATCATGGTAAATAAAAACTAATTCATTCTAAATAATAATCATTAAAATTAAACTCTGGATCCGGTGGTAATTTTGGAATAAGATTTAACATTAGAAATTAAACATTAAATTGTTAAACTTTGCAATGTACATACGAATATATTATCATTTTGATTGGATATCGCTGTGAATTGGGGGCTATATATAAATCAACAGAATAATTACCACGAAAATAATATTTGGTAATGTTATTAACATTGAATTATAATTTCATTCGTTCCTATACACAAATTCATTCCAAGCAAATATTGCATACAATGTTCATCATAAGTTGTATTTAGTAAAAAAAAATTAAGGTTGCTCAAAACTTAAGAACAACCATGGGTTATCACAATCACAATATCAGTATTAATTTGATGACACAACAGTTATTATAACCAATTATATTTTATACTATATTATATTATATACTTATATATAAGGTTAAATAGGTATAAAATAATGTAATTCTTATACATACATAATATATTTTAACATTAATGAAAATTATAAAAATACAAAATTCAATTAAATAACTTTTTATTATAAATACGTTGATAAAAATAAAATTGAATGATTAATGTATAAGGAATCAGATAAACAATTAATTATTATAATGCAGAGTGAATACATTATTCATTAATTAAAATAAAATGGTTTTGTTTATTAATTTTACAGCATTTTGGGATGACTATAAAACCTGAAAGATAATTTTTAATTTTTCATTAATCATTGCTGTGATAATTCAATAATTAATTAAATCTATATTTTGATAACACTAACCAGTTCATTCGTAAACACTACAATCAGATTTATACCAAACTATGGAAATTGAAAGAATCACAATTTATTTACCAAATAATACGCGATACCCACTAGCACATCTAATCAGAATACAACTCAATAGGATTTAATGACAGCTATAGCACTATTAATGAAGCTGATTCTAAAAAAAATAACAAATGTTAAGATTGGTATACAAATAAAATTGAGTGGCGATGATATCAATAACAATTTAAATAATTTACATTTATATAAAAAAAATCTCCAACAAAAACTCAATAGAAGAAATAAAACAATGAGTAATAATATACAGGAAATATTAGGACAGTAATTTAATTTAAGAGGCAGTAGAGGGTATTCTAAAAAATCAGTCTTCTCTAATGTTTACTTAATTAATAACCAGTTTTGTTATTACAGTTTTGATACTGCAGCAAATGTACTGTTTCAAATATATTAAATAACATTAAATAATTTTAAATCGAAAGCAAAAGAATAGAAATATATATTTTCCTATAGAGCACTATATGTCAGAAAATATTATTATGATAAAAACACACATCTATAAAATTATATATTCTTTAAAATATTTTAACACTAAATTATTCAATTCTAATACAGAAAAATCATATATCCAAATAGACATTATGTAGAGTGTACCTAATCTTTAGCAACTTCTCACTTACACCAGAAACTTCCCCATGATATGTCTAGCACTTTGTTTTGTATTAGTATATTCATAAAGTAATATAAATAATATTGGTACAAGATGTTTCATTAATAAGGTCTTTAATCATTTGTTTTGGTATTTTTTATATACCTAAATAATTTTAAGAACTTATACATTGATTATTTTCAATATTGCTAATTTAATAGGGTACTAAATGGACATTTATTAATTAAAGATTTTTATAATATTTAAGAATGGGTTAAGGTTTAAAAAATGTATAAGAACTGATTTATTACATTAAAAAGATGATGTTAGAATAAGCAAAACATGCATACATAAAAGTGTATGTAATAATGCTTTAAAAATAATAGAGAAAAAAGTTGTTTATAAAATACATATATTATTAACAAAATATACAAATATATAACTGTTTTAAACCATTAAAGTGTTCAGCATGCTTTTTACTAGTATTACTATTACTATTCAGAAAATATTATTACAATTAAAAATACACATCTATAAAACTATATATTCAACAAATATTGTAAGTCTAAACAATTAAATTCTAATAAAGAAAAATAAACAAAAAGATAAAGTCCAAGTATTCATTATGTAGAGTGTAGCAAAGATACATTTAATTGTGGTGGACTGTTTTAGATTGATGTTGATTGGGGCCATGTTATGTACAGGTTGTAACAGAATTACATTGTAGTTACATGTAAAAAAAGTCAAATGATCCTGTCACACTCTGTATATTCATGCCCCATGTCTCCATTATTGTGCTGTGGATCCTTGTATGTGTGATATGGTCATATTTCCAATTTAATTTAGCCGAGTTTGAGTATACAGTTGCATATTGCTACACATAAAATAAATAGAAATTTATATAAATAATATATTATAGCAGTATTACCCAACAGAGCGGGATGAATCCCTAGGGAGGAAATTATATACTATGTGGTGGATAGTATAGGGAAATTGTATTATAAAGTATAATTGAAAACTCAAATTGCTCCAAATAATTATATCTTTTGCCCCAAGCACAATTCCAGGTCCGATTATACCTGAGACAAAATGACAATATATTAGACACACCAACAATAGCTTATTTTCTAGTCCAAAAGTACTTATATAATTAATATTTTGGACACATATGGTTCTCATCATTTCTTTTATTCCAAAGCTGGAAAATGTACAGATCATTGTTTAGATCCCAGGCCTCTAAATTTACCATAAATGGATAAAGCTACCTCTGCTCATAGCATTCTACCAACTCTCAAAAGTTTCATATATTTTTTACAGTGTTCAATATAAAGATTTTGTAATTAAAATACTTACAATAAATTTAAAATAAATTAATAAAATAAATTAATAAAATAAAAATTGACTTTTGGTCATAAACTATGACTTTTAGTATGTCTCAAACATGTATAAAACTTAAACCTTTTGTGACACTGGTTAGAATTAACATACACAGCATATGCCAGATGAAGAAAATGGCAGCTATCTTCCAGTCACAACCAGTTGAACTATTCTATAAAATTAAAATTGTGTTCAATTAATGTTTAAATATGTTTAAATGTATAATACTTAAACAGTATTTTGGTAAATATATTTTTCTAAACCATGATATACAAAATTAAAAACAATAGTCATTTTAAATATTAATACTCAATAAAATGTTTTTATATTCAGAGTAGAGCAAAAAAGCTTATGGTTCTACAAAGATATTTTTTTTTTTATCTGTGGACATTTACCAGAAATTTCGCTCCAATTTTTAAGTGTTGCACTTTTTTCTGAAAGGAAATCAATGTGGGGAAGTACGGGAAAATGTAGGAAAAAGAGAAAATCCGATCAATATTAAACAAATATATAATGCCTATTTAATTATTTTACCATAATATGACATATTATATATTGTTGACAAAGCATTACTATCAACTGAACTCCGCTCAGAATCATTTTTTTCATTAGCAATGATTTATCGTTGCTTACAGATATACATTATATTACCTTCTGTATCCTACCTTCTTAAGTTCTCAACTACAACAGTGGTTGCACCCATCCCATTATCCTAGAACAGTTTTTTTTTATTTAAAATTATTAAAGAATAAACTGATTGTTTACAAAAGAACTATTTTATGACTAGTTAAAATTAAATTAATTTTTAATTTAATTTTAATAAAATTTAAAAAATTCAAAATCCATTATTCAATTTTATTTATTTTTGAAAGTCAATAAAAAAAATTAGTAATATGACAAAAATACAAACATTAAAACAAACAAACAAATACTGATGAACAACGAAAATAATAAAAACAAAACAACAACCTTTGAAACATTTGTAATGTGTACATTATTACAAATGTTTTAAATTTGCAAGTTTTCTATTTCTAAGTTTTTTTACTGACATAATATCTATGTTTAAAAAGATGGATATACTTTGTTAGGTGTAACCACTGTTGTTAATGAGAAGTTGGGAAGGTTTATTGAGGTTTTCAACTTACTAAGGTTTTCGAGTTATTAAAATTATAGGAAAAAAATTTGACTTAAGAATTTTTTAAATGTATGTACATATTATAGTTTTTAATTATTATAAAATATATATGTAAATGTATAATGTAAATTATTAAATTTCAATTTATCTGTATCAGTAGTGTTAGGTTAGGTTAAAAACTAATAATAGTGAGTCATTCTATACTCAAGTTAAAAAATACTATAATAAACACAATAAACACTATTATGTAAAATTATTTATCATTATCTGTCTATATTTGGAACAAAGTTACCTACATAGTTTTTCTTTTGAGTAATCGAGGTTTTCGCGAGGGAACTGCATTTATTTCAACTTATCAATTTTTCACTGTATAAAGTGGAATGAAGTAAAAAATATACTTAAAATAATCAAGTTTTAATTGGTTTGGTTAAAAATGTTCAATATGACCGCCACAGGTTATCTGACATACATCTATACAGTTACAGTATCTATTCAAATTCCTCCTAAATGAGGTACAAGGTCTGAGCATTTCTGACCACACAAACAACCATTATTTCTTGGAACATTTGATACCAATGTCCAATAGTTTGATATCCCCTGTGTGCATTGGGCCTTATTGAATATTATTTAATTATGAGTTTAAATTCAATATAAATCGATATTATTATGAAGATCGCAAATGCACCTCGATAGGTGCTACTAAAATATGATACGCAGCAAACGTGTTAATAAAGGAGACATGAAATTTTCGAAAATCTTCAAGGGGGGTTTAAAATCAAAAAAGTTTGGAAACACTGTATTATAGAAAACTCAAGTTATCGCACATATTATAATCTTTCGCTCTAAGTACGATTCAAGATCCAAATATACCTGACACAATGCACTCTCAAATAAAGTACATAAGATATGCAATATTTTGAAGTACATGTCCATGTCACCATGGCTCAGAAAAAATGACAATACATTAGACACACCAACAATGGCTTATTTTCTTGTCCAAAAATGCTTATACAGTGTCCCACGAGGATTCGATAAATGCAATAACTTTTGTTCTATTCAATATTTTTAAATAATTTGTATACCTCAGCGCCATAGTTTATATATGAATATTTTTTTTTAAGGAGAGGACTTAAAATAAAAAAAAATTTTACTTTAATTTTTTTAAAAAAATTCAAAATAGGCATTTTGTGGAAAATTTTGGGTAGTTGAAACTTTTATTAAAATATAGTCTTTTATTTTCTATGATTTTTAAAAGTTTTTACAAATGTGAATATTACCTATTGTGGTTATTCAGTTATCAGTTATTATTCAGGATTTTCTTTTTCATGAGTTAACATCATGCAATAATATTATCATATTATAGTTATGAGATAGTTTCAATTAATCGATAATGGTAATTTATGTTAATAACCAATATCATTATGATTGAAAAGAAAATGATTCAAATTTTCAAAAAATCTTATGAAATAGAAGACCATAATTTAACAAGTTTCAACCACCTAAAATTTTCTAATAATCTATTTTACAAAATGGTTTATAGTAAAATTTAAAATTTTTTATTTTAAGTCCCCCTAAAAAAAATTTTCATATATAAACTGTAGCACTGAGGCATACTAATTATTTAAAAAAAATGTATATCAATAATATTGAATAGAACAAAAGTTATTGCATTCATCGAATCTTCATGGGACACCCTATATAGTTAAATTATTTTGTACACACATGTTTCTTGTACAGTGAAGGAAGTCAATTCAGATACTGCAAATCTGGACAATAAATAAATCATTATTCACATTCCAGGCTCCCAAGTTTGCCATTGATGAAGCTACCTCTGCTCTATAGCACTCTGCCAACTCTCAAAAGTTCCACATATATTTTACAATGTTCAATATAAAGTGATTTTGTAATCAAAGTACCTACAATAATTTTAAAATAAATAAATAAAAGAAAAATTAACAGTTGGCATAAGATTCTGGAATCCTCAGGAAAAAATTATATTTTATCTATAACAAGGTTTAAAATAAATCTTTTTTTTGGTCGATCTCTGGCTTTTTATAAACATCCATATTTAAACACGTAATGGGAGGGAGGAGTGACACTAATTAGAATCAACACAGACAGCACACCTATGCCAGAACAGGAAAACGACAACCATCATCCAAAGTCGTAAATAATTTGACTAGTCTGTAAAATTAAAATTATTGTTTTCAATTAATGGACAATTTAACTTATTAGTATTTAATTAATATTTAAATGTTAAAAGTATAATACTTCAACAGTAGTCCTTCGCCCGAAGTGCAATTATAGAACAGATTACCTCTGACACAGCGCATATAACATATAACATGTCCCGGAAAAGGTGACAATAAATTAGAAACTTCAACAATAGCTTATTTACTGGTCCAATACGTTACATACGCGCATTTTTTCGGTCACACTTACACACGGTTCCCGCGAAAAATATATGGATACAAAACATTAGTGAAAGAAATAATTATTCCACTAACTGCAAGACTCTACAATGAACTGTTTGTAAATGGTCGTAAGTTCGTTGGCAGTAAAATAAAAGACCATACATTTATTATCACAAATAATTTTTTTGTTTTTTTGTAGCAATATTGATAAAAGAGAGCAGTTCCATAAACAGTAAGCTGATAAAATGATAAAAGTAAAATAGATAAATATTTTTCGTGCCAGTTTAGTTTGATCGTATTTTTAAGTTGTGTATTATGAAATAAAATATAAAAAATTATATGATTAATTATTTTATATTAATTAACTGAAATTGATTATGTTACGGACTCTGTCCTTCACGTGTACAATTATTGTCATACAAAAGTAAATTTATCATTAGGTATTTCATTTGTGTTCATCGTGTATACTTAATCCTTAGGTAAATTATTGAAAAATTAAAAGAAATAACAAAATATAGAGTACCTAATTTCTAGGTCATCCCGGTCCGGTCAAAATGCTTTGTATATTATTAGTTTAGGTTCGAATCTCCGATAGTCGTGTAAATTATTGGGTTTGGCCAAATCATAAAAAGATTTTATTCTCACTGGTTCGTTTAGTTTGGCCTAAGTGGTAAAAAATTAGAATAGTATACATTTATTATTTTTTCAGTCATCAATTTAAAAACAATAAATACTGTGATTTTGAAAACTTTTCCGATTAGAGTTAAATGGTGACTTCCTCCTCAAATGCAACGAATTGTACATATTTGTTTTAGTCCTAGACCGTGTTTGTTTTCTTTTTTGTTTCAAGTTCGAGCTGATTTCCATTTTAAAAAATTCTCTGAGCTTGGTTTAAATTTGTCTGGGTTGAAAAAAATATTTTACGAATTCATCTAGTCAGGTTAAACAAATATTTTAATTGTCTGATCTAATCCAATCCCATTTTTGTAATACTGGACTGATCTCTAGTGGTAATTAAGTAACTAATAACCTTAAAATTTTCATTTAAAATATTCACTAGTTTATAAACATAAAATTGAACTATTATGAACTTGGTAATTTTTTTTTTTTTTGAATTAAAAGTTCATTAAAAGTACATTTTTCCATTGATTTTTACTAACATAGCCTCTGAAATTGTATTATGTAACTAACATACCTATTATACTGCCTTGCTGAATTGGAAGGTATTAATTAACATCTTTTCAAAAATGAGATTATTGTAGAATATTGTTTATTGGACAATTTTAAATAGATGTAATTAAGTTAAAAGGCAGTAAAACAACATTTAAGTAGATCCTCAAAATACCTTTCAAAATATATTATCTACAGTGGCGGCTCGTGGGTAAAAACATTTATTGCACTTATTTTTCCCCTTTTACCTAAACTGAGAAAAAACAAATGCATTTTAGGCGTACCTAAAGATCCAGCTCAGATTATTTTAATAGAAAAATACCACTAGATTTGTTGTGTAAACTTTTCTACCAGAAATCTTGTTCCAATCTTTAAGTGTAGCACTTTTTTTAAATGAAATTGGACTGGGGAGGTACTTGAGGGAAGTTATTTTTTGATTTTCCCAAGAGTTTTCCAAGCAAATGCGAAAAACCGGGAAAAACATGAGAAAACCATTATCTAACATAATGGTGGATACTACCTTTTCAATAATCACCATAATAATTTTGAATTGTTGAAAACGCAGTATCTATATAACAAATTCAAAAAATTTATAAATAAATGGTTTAGAAAAAAAAAAATCATCCAGAATGATTTTTAAGATGGATTACTATAAATAGTAATCAAGATATTATAGAATAATCTTGTTAATAATCATAAGAGTTAAAATACAATAGCATGGTACAATAACCAAGCGAGAAATAACTTATGTTTTTCAACCAGTATTAATAAATTACAAATTACAAATTACGATCTGGGTGAGTTTTATTATTAAGCAAATCATCTTCATTACATACAGTTGAAAGATTTAAATTTTTTATACCGACAATGCATAACTGGCACTTAATACTTTTTACCAATCGTTTAGCAATGTACCTATTTGAAGTAGGTAAATAAGGTAAATAAAAGCGGTATTTAATGATATTAACTAATTCATAAAACAATTGACCCAGCCATTAAATAAACAACGCAATCAAAAACTGTTGAGTTAGCATAATCATGTTTCAACAGAATATAATCCAGATCCCAGTAATCGTATTCAATAATTTTATTAATTTTTTCTTTCAACAAATCAGTTTTTTTTATAGTTCTAAAACATTTTCTGGATCATTTATAATGTCTTTTAAATCTTTAATCGATAATACAGTAATTGTATCTATAAACAGCATAAAATAATAAATAAGTAATTTTTATTCAGCAATATTTATTTTAAGAAATATTAATTATAATATGAAATGTATTATTTTTCATTTTAAAATGAATCGGAAATGTCTGGAATTTATTAAATTTTTCCGGAATTGAAAAAAAAAATTGTTTTCTTATCTATTAATGCCATTTATAGTTTCAAGAATCATAGCATATCAAAATTTAAATTATAAAGGTTATTAAAAAAAATAAAATAAATTTGATCAAACTTTCAATATTGATTTTCACAAATCTATATAGTCAACTATTATCACCATTAACATATTATATTCCAATAGACTTTTGAAAAATTATGTCTATCGTATTATGTGTAACATTTAATTCAATCAGTTATCAATTTCATTTATTTTTACCAGTTATTAGTTACAGTGTGGATCTAGTTGTCTCGGAATCAAATTATCTTGTCTTGATCTAAAAATCCAGATATACGAATGTTATCACTTTATCAGTAGGTACCTATGTACAATTATCATAATAGCAGCTGATATGTCTTAGGTATATAGAGTAAATATTTTTTGAAATTTCAAATAATATACCTCTTCACAATAATTATTAATTTTAAAAATATGATCCTCGCACGTGCCACACCTCGAACTCAGTGTTATCTAAGTGCCACAATGTATTAAATGTTATGTTAGAAGAATATGGTTATATAATTAAGGATAAACATAATTTTTGAAAATCCAGTACCTAAGTAATAACAATTAAATCATTGTATGAATAAGTTTTTTAAATTTTCTCAAAGAATATTTTATTAACATCATTCCAATTTCGTTAAATTAACATTAGGTAAATTAAATTGAATAGCATTAGATATTTGTTATACTTATATTTTTGAATCTATGGGACATGGCGTTTCTTTGTAAGTTCAAAATTAGGTACCTACCTAATTTGTATGGGGGTGAACCACTGGTAAAGTGATAATGTATTAATCTTTATGTCCATTTTCAACATAGCACTACCAAATACAATTAAAAATACATGGATCCATATGACTCCATATGGCTGAGATCTAAAAGTGTCGAGGATCTAAATGACTCGGGGCCACATTGTCTCGAGATCTGAATGTCTCTGACTTGATATAAATTCTTATAAGAATATTTAACGAGGTCTCGATGACGAGGGATCTATTTGTCATGTTACCCTTTTATATTATATGTAAATTTTGTTTTTTGTTATTGTTATTATAATCTTCTATGTATATCTAAAAAAAAAAAAAGCACTAAGTATTTAATATGTGGTAGTATTTCTATTGTTTTCATAAATATTTTTAAACATTTTACTAATATTGAGATTCAATTTTATGTTATAGGTATTTTAATGTAAATCTATTAGTAATGATAAACCATTGCTGACGAGAAAACGATTCTGAGCGAAGTTCAGTTGATAGTGATGCTTTGTCAATAATATATATGTAATATTATGGTAAAATAATTAAATAGGCGTTATAAATCATCAATAATAATGTTTATTTAATGTACCGATTTTCTCGTTTTTACTAAGTTTTTCCTGGTTTTTGATATTTTCTGGGAAAACTCTTGTGAAAATCGAAAAATGACCTTTTCACAGTAGAAGACCAATGAAATTCCCTTTTAGAAACATTGCTGTCATAATAAATTTGAGCAAAATTGCTTGTAGAAAAGTTGTCCACACGAAAAAAGAACGAATGCCTTCATTCCGGTACCCGTCCCAATTATCATCCCAGGACATCTTTTCTTTTAATTTTCACTTTTGTAATTTTAAAATATCACTAACACAGTATTTAATTAACATTACCAAAAAATGTATGAATAATTAATTTAGTAAAAAATAAAATTGTACACAACGATTATTAAGGTGAATAATTACTGTATATAGGGTATCCTACGAAGATATACCTATTATATTCTTTTTTCATATATATTATTCATAATAAAATAATAAAGTAAAAACAAAATTATTAAAATGGTTAATACTCGTAAATAATTAAAGTAAATAAATATATTAAAATTCATAAATAAATCAATGCGTTGCCTGGAGTATTATACGACCAGTTTCGAATTAAAAATTCATCATCAGGTGTAACACAGTCAAAATGTAAAACGCAACTGAATATAAAAAATATTCAATATTAAATGAATATATTTATATAATATAATATATTATTGTTCACAATACTGAGGCCTACAAGTAATTTTATTTCAATTCATTTTTCATCTTTCGACAAAAAAAGAACTTTGATGAGAGAGAGAGCCATTTTATAGAGTTTATTCTTCCGTTTATCAAATTTTTTAAATTCAGAAAAAAATTGTACAGTCAATATAATAGGCTATGACAATAATAACCAATTAACGAGTGTGATTTTAGCCTACTGCATAATTAAAGGTATTTTTCTCTGAACTTAAAACAATTATTGAAAATCATAAATTTAATTAAAATAATATTGATACGTCAAACTTTCTGGAAGAATAAACTCAAACTTCAAATTTTTCAAAAAAATACAATAAAATAATTTTTTTTAATTTTTTACCCAAACATAAAAATTTAATTTAAGTATAAATATTTGTAATCCTTATTCCTGCGAGCTACATATAAAAAAAAAATCAACAGAATTTGATTATCTTCATTATCTTAGGAGATATTGTAAATTGTAATAGATTAATTTTTGTGGGTCACTCTGTAAAGTTTTCAAAATATTATATAATAATCTAATAATAAGCATACAAGTTAGAAAAAAAAATGAGAAACTTCAGTAAAATCAATGCGTTTATCGTTACGCTTAGAATTAATATGAATCTATAAAATCAGAATACCGAAAAAAAAATGCAAAAAATTTTTGCCGAAACCAGGGATCGAACCAGGGACCTTTAGATCTTCAGTCTAACGCTCTCCCAACTGAGCTATTTCGGCTTATGAAAACTAGAAGTTTTAATAACATATAGGTGAATTCTAAACATATTAAGAATAAGGTATTTATTTGAATACGTTTTTACTTTGACAAAAAAAAAAAAACTTATTATATTTTCAACAATAATACGATAACGCGTAATAAGAAATAAAGAAAAAGAAAAGAAATTTCCTACCAAATTATTTTAAAAAATAAAAAATGATTATTAATTAATTTTGAAGAAGCATATTTTAATATATAATATGAACTTCATACAGGTCTACAACATTTCAACACACATTTTGCCCTTTTAAAATCATAAAACATCATTTATCTGGTATTTTAAAATAATATTGAGAGAATATATTACCTATTTTAAAAGATATAAAAAAATCATATTTTAAGACAATATAAATTCAACCTCTAGTTATTAAACAATTTATCAGAAATAATAATTCAATTTAAGATACAGTTGTTATGTGTGATCTACTGTACAGGTTGTACTGGTTATCAAATAGTGGTGGTTTTTATAAAACGTTATAAAAATAAAAATGTATAGTATAATTTATCACACTATGTAGAAAGAATAGTTACATTGGTAATAATACAACTCTAAAGCCCCTACTCACTATTTCAAAAAACGATATTAAGTATTTTATGTTGCATTATATTTGTGTAGTAATTTGCAAGCATTTCAGATTTCTGGTAGGTCTAACAATTTAACTACAGATTAAACCTACCAAATAAAAATACATACAAAACTCGCAAAATTAAAATGACTATAAATAGCTCAGAAATTGCTCAAATGTTCTGAAAGTTTTACCATGTCTTGAAAAATTAAATAGTAGTACTTTGTCAACGTTTTAAGTCTATGGATATATTAAACTGAATTACATTAATAATACAAAATTTAAAATAATTTTCCCGTATTTTTACGTGAAAAATACGTAGGTTTTGTTGAATTATTAAAAAGAAGACTAAAAATAAAATTAAAAAAACTATCTTGGTCACTAACTAGGTTAAAATTCACAAAAAAAGATCTCTAGTTGTTTTTCTACTAGAGTAATATTCCTGGTAGAAAACGTAAACCGTATACAAATTTAAAATAATATAAATTTGTCAGTTTTTGTTTTTTGTCATTTTACGTTTTTTTCCGGTTTTTCATAATTATTACAAAAACCACACCAATTAAATTAAAAAACAAACGACTTACTCATGAACTAGACAAAAATAAAACAAAGAAGGAATATTATTGGTTTTCTATTGAAGTAATATTTATGGTAATAAACATAAGCCGTACAAATTTAAAATAATAAAAAGGGCTGATACTAAGGATGGGAGCAGCCACTGTTGTAGGTGAGAAGTTGGGAAGGTAGGATACATTAGGTCATTTCATTTATATCTGTATGGCAACTATTGCTTCCAAGCGCAGTTCGGTAATAGATAATTTGAAGTGCCGTAATTTTTTTTGCGATTTTCGTTTAAATTTAATTTCAATACACTAATTAAAAAAAAAAAAGTCCGATAATTTTGGAAATTTTACCACGTCTAGGTAAGTTCAATATAAACATTTTTACTAAGTTTCAAATCTCTACGTGTATTTAAATCGAATTACAGCATAAAACTCCCAAAAATTAAAATTCCTTAAAAGATCATAAGTTGCTTAAAAGTTTTGACAATGAAACCGATAAAAAATGAAATCAAAAAGGTAACAAAAAAGGTGTCTTGTGTGATTTTTTAATTAAATCATTTTTCCTAGTAGAAAACGTCGTCCGTGTTTTTATAAAATAATGAAATCGTAAAATTGTACGTTTTTCTACGTTTTTTCCGACTTAATTACTTTTATTTAAATAATGGTATCGAAAATCAAAAAATAACCTCTTTAAAATACAATTTAGACAACTAAGGCTTTCAGAAAAGTTACTAAAAGTTGGTAAAAATCGGAGCAAGTTTATTAGGAAAAAACGTGTCTACAGACTAGAACAAAGAACAAAGAAAAACAAAAAAAAATAGCATTGTAAAACCAATAGCTCCCTCGCTATGCTCGAAATCTAAAATATCTTTGTGCCGTAATTTGAAAATATCCTATATTTCGCCTTATTTGGGTTTTCCTAATTATAATGAAAAATACTTAAGATATCAAAAATCGACTTACTCTATTAGTGGTGAAATATAAAAAGGATATTAAAAGAATATCTGGAAAAAACCAGGATAAAACGTAAGAAAAACGGGAAATTTACGAAAATAATGCTTGTATTATTTTTCAATTTTGTTATTTGTTGTAAGTCAGTTAAAAATATTTGTATCAACTCTAAGGACTTAAAAATTGGGTAGAAAACTTATATTTGACTTTTCTAGACGTGGTACAATTTTCAAAAATTGTAATATTTTTTTGAGGTATTTAAAGACATTTTAATTTTGAGAGTTTTGTACGTAATATTTATTCGGTACCTAGGTACTCTGTAGTGAAATTGTTATACTTAAACAGAAATGCTTCAAAATTTAACAGGAGGTTCATTAAGAGTTTTATTTTGTAGTCAAACAAATTGAGTTTAATGTAGTATTTTTTTTTTATAAGATAATTTAAGTATCAAATTTTGACGAAAATTGTTTAAGTAAAAAATTATGTGAAACAAATCTAATTTTTAAATTTTTTTTTTGGACATTTATATATTGCTGATTTAAGAACGATGGTGAAGTCAGAATTAAGTGGACTGACTAAGTTTCGATATTTTAGCTTTTAGAAGTTTTTATATGCGGATATTATATGTTATGTTGAATAACTCTATATTATCTTTCTTAAAGCATATTTGTCATAATCTAATAGTTATTTATGCGTTTTATCATCCTAGAGGATTTGAGTTCTAAACGAGCGAGTCGAAAAAAAATTATTTACATTTTTTTCCCCTTTTACAAGGAAAAAACAAATGCATTTTGGATGTACCTAGAGACTATTTTAATACCCTCGATTTGTTTTGCAAACTTTTCTACCAAAAATCTTGCTCTCATGTATCACATGTAGCTTATTTTCTGATAAGAAATTTTTATCTCCATGGTAATTTAAGAAAGTCATTTTTTGATTTTTCATAATATCTGGGAAAAACCGGGATAAAATGTCGGAAAAACGGAAAATGTAGGTATTAGTAAAAAATATTATGGTCATTTTTTTCTGTGTACAACTTTTCTATCAGCAATTTCGCGCTGATTTATGATGATAGCTCTTTTTCTGCAATGAAATCTGACTGGGAAGATACTTTATGGAGCAGTGGCATTTATATATGAAGTTCAATGGGGGGGGGAGGTGAAATTAAAGCCAATTCTCTCCTACCCCATCACATTTTATACATATAATATAAAATATACATACGTATTATAGATATAATAATGTTTATATATTAATAACACTTTTTAATAAAAGAAATATATACATAATTTTATATATAAAATAATTTGTCCTGATTGATTCATCATCGCTTAGCCCAAATTATTGGACGGATCAGACTGAAATTTGGCATACAGTTGGCTATTATGACGTAGGCATCCGCTAAGAAAGAATTTTTGGGGATAAAATAGGGGTTTTTAGGTTTATTTAATACGAATATTTATTTATTTATTTTTGTTTGTTCAAAGGTTGGTGATACGGATGATAATTTGTTTGTCACGGATAAGAAAACTATTCAAATTATAATTATTATTATTATTTACACTATTCAAATTTCATAATAGAGCACTTTTAGTCCATTGAAGTACACATGTTTCCATTCAATTCTGATACGGTCAAAACCAAAAATGAATATGGGTTTTTTTACCCATTTTTTTTTAAATAATACAAATTGGCACCAGCAATGCCGGGCATTGGAAACCCACTGTACTATAAATGTATTAACTTATAATTCATTATCTTATAATAATTATAATAAAAGCATATATGCTTAATTTTTTTGATTAGCAAAGCATATAATAATATATGTCTATATTAATATTTAAGTCCCTATGGATATGAAGCTGTGCTAGCCTATTTAATTGGTCTGCGTCAGTCGTTGATCTAAATCATTGTCTTCAATTTATATAAATAAAGTAAANAGGATAAAACAAATACAAATGTAGCATAAAAATAAATAAATAAACATTATTATCATTATAAAAATGTAATAAAATTGTATGGTTTACACACAAAACACATACAAAATTAATACTAGTAAGTTCTTTATTTGAAGAGTAACTATGTCTAATTAAAAAAGTTATTATGGAAAATTATTACATGTTTCATAAAACATACTAATCAATATTTTCTTTGGGATACAATAAATACAAATGTAGTATTAGAATGAATAAATAAAAATTATTATTATTATAAAAATTTAATAAAATTGTATGGTTTACACACACAAAACACATACAAAATTAATACTAGTAAGTTCTTTATTTGAAGAGTAACTATGTCTAATTAAAAAAATTATTATGAAAAATTATAACATGTTTAATAACATACAAATCAATATTTTCTTTGGGATACAATAAATACAAATGTAGTATTAGAATGAATAAATAAAAATTATTATTATTATAAAAATGTAATAAAATTTTATGGTTTACACACAAACACAAATTCATCTTACCATAAAACACATACAAAATTAATACTAGTAAGTTCTTTATTTGAAGAGTAAATGTGTCTAATTAAAAAATTATTATGAAAAATGATTACATGTTTTATAAAACATACTAATCAATATTTTCTTTCGGATAAAATAAATAATACAAATGTACTATTTGAATAAATAAATAAAATTTTACAGTTTAGTAATTAAAATAAGAAGTAGTGTTCAAATAGAATTTTCAGACTGTATTTAGTCATTTTTTTTTTTGTTAGAAGATTGTATTTAAAATCTTAAATAAAAAACCCAATAACATTGTTTATCAATCCCAAACTAAAGCAACTCATATACATTGATCAGAATAATTTTTCCACAAATCTATGTAAAGATTTTCTAGTTTATTACAATAGGATTTACAGTCAAACAGTTCACTTGTTTTTTTTGATCTCCAAATATGCTGTCTTATTTTTTCCAATAGAAGGCCGTTGGTCCCTAATTTTATTGCTTTTTTGATATAGTCTTCTTCATTTATGGCAATTAAATTTGTACATTTCATTGCAGTTAATTGTGAAGTAGCAATGCGGGATGCAAATGTAATTCCAGATAATGTTATTATTGGTGTTCCTGCCCATAAAGCATCTAAGCAACTTTTATGACCATNATAAAAAATGATTAAATGTTTCATAAAACATACTAATCAATATTTTCTTTGGGATACAATAAATACAAATGTAGTATTAGAATGAATAAATAAAAATTATTATTATTATAAAAATTTAATAAAATTGTATGGTTTACACACACAAAACACATACAAAATTAATACTAGTAAGTTCTTTATTTGAAGAGTAACTATGTCTAATTAAAAAAATTATTATGGAAAATTATTACATGTTTAATAACATACAAATCAATATTTTCTTTGGGATACAATAAATACAAATGTAGTATTAGAATGAATAAATAAAAATTATTATTATAAAAATTTAATAAAATTTTATGGTTTACACACAAAACACATACAAAATCAATACTAGTAAGTTCTTTATTTGAAGAGTAACTATGTCTAATTAAAAAAATTATTATAAAAAATGATTAAATGTTTAATAACATACAAATCAATATTTTCTTTGGGATAAAATAAATACAAATGTAGCATAAAAATAAATAAATAAAAATTATTATCATTATAAAAATGTAATAAAATTGTATGGTTTACACACTAAACACATACAAAATTAATACTAGTAAGTTCTTTATTTGAAGAGTAACTATGTCTAATTAAAAAAATTATTATGGAAAATTATTACATGTTTAATAACATACAAATCAATATTTTCTTTGGGATACAATAAATACAAATGTAGTATTAAAAAGAATAAATAAAAATTATTATTATTGTAAAAATTTAATAAAATTGTATGGTTTACACACACAAAACACATACAAAATTAATACTAGTAAGTTATTTATTTGAAGAGTAACTATGTCTAATTAAGAAAGTTATTATGGAAAATGATTACATGTTTCATAAAACATACTAATCAATATTTTCTTTAGGATAAAACAAATACAAATGTAGCATAAAAATAAATAAACAAAAATTATTATCATTTTAAAAATGTAATAAAATTGTATGGTTTACACACACAAAACACATACAAAATTAATACTAGTAAGTTCTTTATTTGAAGAGTAACTATGTCTAATTAAAAAAATTATTATGGAAAATTATTACATGTTTAATAACATACAAATCAATATTTTCTTTGGGATACAATAAATACAAATGTAGTATTAGAATGAATAAATAAAAATTATTATTATTATAAAAATGTAATAAAATTTTATGGTTTACACACNCTATGTCTAATTAAAAAAATTATTATGGAAAATTATTACATGTTTAATAACATACAAATCAATATTTTCTTTGGGATACACTAAATACAAATGTAGTATTAGAATGAATAAATAAAAATTATTATTATTATAAAAATTTAATAAAATTGTATGGTTTACACACACAAAACACATACAAAATTAATACTAGTAAGTTCTTTATTTGAAGAGTAAATGTGTCTAATTAAAAAATTATTATGAAAAATGATTACATGTTTTATAAAACATACTAATCAATATTTTCTTTCGGATAAAATAAATAATACAAATGTACTATTTGAATAAATAAATAAAATTTTACAGTTTAGTAATTAAAATAAGAAGTAGTGTTCAAATAGAATTTTCAGACTGTATTTAGTCATTTTTTTTTTTGTTAGAAGATTGTATTTAAAATCTTAAATAAAAAACCCAATAACATTGTTTATCAATCCCAAACTAAAGCAACTCATATACATTGATCAGAATAATTTTTCCACAAATCTATGTAAAGATTTTCTAGTTTATTACAATAGGATTTACAGTCAAACAGTTCACTTGTTTTTTTTGATCTCCAAATATGCTGTCTTATTTTTTCCAATAGAAGGCCGTTGGTCCCTAATTTTATTGCTTTTTTGATATAGTCTTCTTCATTTATGGCAATTAAATTTGTACATTTCATTGCAGTTAATTGTGAAGTAGCAATGCGGGATGCAAATGTAATTCCAGATAATGTTATTATTGGTGTTCCTGCCCATAAAGCATCTAAGCAACTTTTATGACCATTGTATAATGGTGTATCTAAACATATATCAGCCAGCTGAATTCTTCTCAGATGTTCATCCTTAGGTATTATGTCGCTGAAAATTATTCGCTCTGGAGGAAAACCATTTTGTACAACATAGTCACGAATGTTTTTTTCAGCATCCTCAGCAAACCGTAAGAGCCATAACACAGAATTTTTAACACCCTTTAGAATGGTTATCCACATATTTAGAGTAGTTTGATTTATTTTATAAAGCTGTCCAAAATAGCAATACACTACAGAGTCTTCTGGCACATTATAAATCAGTCTTGTATAGTGCTTTACAGACCTATCAGGAAACGTTTGAGTGATGTATATAGATGAAGTATTATGACTTTCAAAGGTGCCCATGGTTTTATTGTACCTATTTCTTTGTTTTGTTTTTATTTTAAAATTTCGTTGGCTTAGGTCATTATAGAATAACATGTGATCACCAAAAAATACAGATCGTTTCAAGTAAGCCAACTTCTCAGTGTACAAACAATCTAAATTAGGCGGAGAACATTGCTCATCGGTTATTAAATAATCTATAAAAGTAGCACCACTAGTTCCAGGATGTCCAAGTAATTTAGCTTGAATTGGAGCTGGTTTCAATACAAATATATCATACAGGGATTCTCTTATAGAATCACCTACTTCAATTAAAATATGAATTCCATCTGCATTTATTTTTTTGGCTGAATCAATTGGACTGAGTTTGGAAATATCAACACAACAATCAGGCGCAGGCAAATTATTTGACCTAAAGAACAATGTTGATAATAAATATTTATGAATTAAGACAAGTTAATAATATTGTAAAAAATTGTAATTTAATACTATTATTTTTATAGATTCCGAACAGAGGGAATCCAATGTTTATTTTTTTTCTTTGCCAAACTTTTCCACCAACAATTTTACTCAATTTTTTTATTGAAGCACCTTTTCTATTAGGAAATTTGACTGGAGTGGTACTTTAAGGTGATTTTTTGATTTTCCCACGGGTTTTCATAAAAAATGGGAAAATTTTCAAAATCTTGGAAATTCAATTTGAACATGACCCGTTTTAAATGTGAAAAAAATATATTTATTTACATGATCTATATTAAAAGGTATATCGATTCGATTTAATTTTAATCCCTAAGTATTAGACAAAAATAACAAGTATTTTAATCCATTTTCTTTTTAATTATTAATATAATTTGTAGATATTCCTTGGGATAATACTATAGGAAACTAAATAGTTTCTCTTTAAATAATTTTGAGATGCTGCTAAAATTTTTGGGGGACTTTGCCTTTTCAGTCTCCCTACATACACGCTTATGCTTATATCACTATGCCAGGAACTAGCTTGTTTTTAGAGCAGGCTTTTCTAAATCCTAATTGATTAAACTATTTGCTTTTTACGACCCGAAAAAATACTTTCTTGAAATTATAGTTCCGACCAAATAATTTCATGATTTGTATGTACTTTGTAAATTGGTAATAACCTGGGTTTGTGAAAAAAAAGAAAGACATACTTAGCATGATAGATGGGCCATTGTTGTAACCACAATTTGGGAAGGTAGAATATAGAGGATTTTTATGTATATCCATATGCAACAATTAATCTTTGCTAATGAAAAACAATTCTAAGCAGAATTTGGTTATACATGTTTTGGAAGGTTATAATATTTACAATTTGAAAATAATACACTTTGCATAAATTGAACAGTTTTTCCTATTTATTATGAAAAACACTAGGACACACACAAATTTACTTCCTTTAAGTACCACCACTCTAATCAAATTTTCTTATAGAAAAAGTGCTTCGCTTGAAAATCAGAGCAAAAGGACATAAATGTTAAAGTAAAAATGTCTACTAATCATTATGTTGAAGTTTATAAAATTGATTATTCTCTCATGGAAAAATACTGATAAATTCAAATATTAATATATAGAATGAATGCATCATATGCAAACACCTTATTATATTAGATACATTTAGTTAAAAAAATATAAATTGAATATTTACCTTAATATATTTAATGATGACAATGAATAACAAAATAATTCAAATGAGCTCCTATCATGTAATTTGATAAAAGAGTTTAACAACTCTAATGTAGGATGGCTACTACACTCTAAGTATATATATCCTATACGGATGCAACTATTGGATAGAGATATATTGTATACTTGTTTTGAATACAAGCTTCTTTGTACATACTGTTTATCAACATATTGATTTGCTAATGCTGATGCAATTCTTGTAAGCACTTCAGGTTCAAAATTACAAAGTAAAGTTTGACGTAGTAAAATACTTGGCACTTCATTATTAGCCAATTGTTGGAATATAACATCCCTTAATTTGTTTAGGCTCATCTCATCCAGGTGTGTAAACTTACAAGTATACTGTAGACACATAATTAAGAAGCTGTATGCATCTGGATGACTTGGTTGAAGACCTAATAATTTTTTAAATTGTCTTATGGCTCTTTTAAATTGTTTCCTTTCTTTATAAATATATCCTGTATATAAGTGAGCAAATATACAATTTGGATTAAGCTCAAGTGCTTTCCTGAAATAATTGAATGCATCATTATGATCACTTAATTTAAGTGACAATGTTCCCAAATTTAAGTAAATATCAAAATCGTCATCACAGATTTCTGAAGCTTTTTTAAAATTATTATATGCTTCTCTAAGGTTTCCAACTTCATTATAAAAATAATTTGCCAATTCTTTATAGATTTCCAAATGACCAGATGTGCTATGCTTTAGCATTAAATCATAAAGTCCAATAACATCGTCAATAAGGCCTTTTCTATGTTTAAGGGTTATTAATTTACGAATAGTATAACAATGCTTTGGATTTACCTCTACAGCTTTTTCGTAAAATTGTTCGGCTTCTTGTAGAAGATTATCTTTTTCATACATATATGCAATATTGGAAAAAGTTAAGAAAAAGTTGGGTTTCATTTTCTTTGCATCATCATACCTGTTTAATAAAATTTAAAAGAAATTAATATACATTTATTTATGCTGGTGATCCAAAAGTAAATACAAATGTTAAATTAAATGTGAAAACATACAAGATTTTAATTGTAAAACTTTAAATTAAATTAAATTCAAAACTCGGGGTTTTTAAAAAAGTTCATGCATTGAGAAAATCACTCAAGGAATGAAAATCGCATTTAAAAATATTACTAAGGATGATATTATATTTATCAAAATATCGTATAAGATTATTTACCTCATTAAAGCTTTATTGTCGAGCTCCGATATAATGAACATTAATCCCAAATTCCAATGGGGATAGTAATATTCAGGAAACATGAGGCTATCACTTTTCAATACACTCATGTCACTGATATAATCATCTTTAAACATGTGCTTTTCAAAACACTTTATAGCTTTTTTAGAAGCTAAGTCTTCTTTATTTAGTTGTCGATATACAGAAATAAAACTTTTATAATATAAAGCGTTCCTTTTTTCCAAGTTAATACACAAATTAAAACACGGATCAACTGATACTGTATTATGAATATTACTTATAAATATCAAACCCATATCATGTAACACAACCGGATTATTGGGTTGAATTTTCAAATACAAAAAGTAAGTTTTCATAGCAGACAACATATTATTATTATAAAAATATGCGTGACCCAATACAGGTAAAACCTTTTTGTACATATTTGGGTGCCCCTCAAGAAGAGCAATTTTCAAATAATTAATTGCTTCATCAAATCTTCTTAGTTGAAAAAGCATATATCCAATACCTAGAAAAGGTCTTTTTAAAGATCTATTCAATTCCAGTGCTTTTTCGTAACACACAATTGCACCATTACATTTTTTATTACATCCAAAACTATCTGCCAAGCCTAGCCAAGATGTATAGCATTCAGGTCTTAATGCTAAAGCATACCTAAAACTGAAACTTGCTTCATCAAACCTCTTTAATTTCAACAATAAATGGCCGAGTAAAGTAAATCCTTCAAATAATGAAGGCTTAGAAAGAACTATCATGTTAAGGCTCTTAATAGCGTTTACATAACTCTGCATATTGATTAATGTTAAAATATAACTTAACCAACAACCAACGAAATCTGGTCTTTTGGTTACTGCTGAATAATAATTATTACAAGCTTCTAGGTAATGACTGTTTTGAAAATTAATTGCTCCTAAATTATTCGTTACTTCTGGACAATCATGATGTTTTTCTGGAAGATTAAGTAAAAGTTTTGAAGATTCTTCATATTTTCCCTGCATATAATATGATGCTGACAACAAAATTACAATATTCAAATCATCGGGATGAATTTCAAGAACTTTTTCACACTCATTTTGGCAACTCACATAATTACTCTGTATATATAAGGCTTTTATTGAGTTAAATTGTTTACCTGAAAACAAAAAGAGTTTTGATTACAATCAAAAATATTTATCTGGATATACGTTAATGTTAACTGAAACATTTGATATATATTATTTAAAAACGTGAACAGTATAAAAAAAAAAATAAACAAATACATTCCATGCTCAGCTCAGAATGGAAAAATCGCAAAATAATTGATATTATTTTTTTAAATTAAAAGTTTGAAGTATTTAAAAGATAATTCAAATTGTCTCAATATCCACTACTAAATGACATCAATTGATTCACCAAAATTAGATTCATGGTTTAAACAAATATAATAATCAAAGCACAGAATTTTAGTAACACAAAAAAATTAATATTTTAAATACTGAGCAAAACAAACAAATTATTTCATTTGTAAAATATTTATGGGACACCACTATATATATATTCCATCAGACAATTTATCTATGGGTTTTAACCTGAAGATAAAATAGACAGAGAATATTAGAATTAAAGCACACATGATGAGAAACTATTTTAGTTAATAATGTGTGTAATTAAAGCATATAAAACTAATAGTTACACTTTTGTCATTGATAAGAAAGTGCTGATTTTACACATTCAAAATTTTTTTTTTTTAATAAATTTTAATGAAAACTTAATGACAAGACCTTTCCACTAATCTTCTGATCAGTCCAATTATAGGGAAGAGGTATGAACAAGACTGTTTTATTATTTTTATCCGTACACTACATTTTTACCAGAAATCTTGCTCCTATTTTTAAATGCACAAACTTTTCTGAAGGGAAATCCGAATGGGAAGAGGTTATTATTACGATTTTCTTAAGACCTTACTCATCATTTGTGAAAAACCGGGAAATTGTAAGAAATACATTAAACATTTTTTTCTAAAACTTTTTATATCAGCAATTTTAAGAACATATAATAAAATAATAATTTTTAAATATCAACTTACTACGATTTTCATGATAAATCTGTAAATAAATAAAACAAATAATCAAATTAGTATAACAAAACAATAAATTTGTTAAATTTCAGTAGTTACCTTCATAGCATTAAAGAGTTCCGGTAATGAATAATTACTCACAGAAAATTTACTGAACTTCGCTAATGTTGTTCGGGCTAAATCTTTGACTTTATGAAAGCCTAACGATTTAAATTTTTTCATTATCAATCTTAATCTGTAATAAATCAACAATTAATCTACAAAATCATTTTAAGAAGCAGTGTAAACAAATGAATAACATATTTAAAATACATTTATATATTTACATATATTTTAAAAAACAAATCAAAAATATAATAATCTAGGTAATCTAAGTAAACAAATATTTATATTCCTTAAAAGTGGGAATTTTGGTTTCTATCTTTAAGTATTTATCTCCTGATGGGTGATCTATTTTGGATAAGTCATCTGATGATCATACATTTATTAAACTTGTTTCCTGATAGCTTTATAGCTAATAATTAATTAACTAATTGTAGTCTGTGAAAAATGTATTTTTAATTTTTGGCCCAAGACACTAAAAATGATGTTACCCCCCCCCCCCCAAAGATGACCACCCCTCTATTAGATAATTGCCCTTGTGTTAACCGAAAAAAAAACCTTACAGTATATTACAGTATTATTTACTTTTTGGAGTCATCATTGGACAATATTTTTGCAATCTCAAATATTGAATCTTCAGAGTCCACATATCTTTCACAAAAAAGATCCTGTAAAAAAAATGTATAATGAAATTATAATATTAAAATAATATATCATTAATAGATATAATATACATGCCTATGCGGTCTTGTATTAATATGTGTACATTAATGTTTTAAAAAAAAATACAATCAGATTCTCTATATTGTTATATATGTGATTAAATGTTACAATAAACATTTATTGTAAAATAATTACAGTTGTAGGTTAAAAGGTTTACATGCTGAAAGCAATGATGAATCATTAAAACCAAATGATTTTGAATGAAAGTGTAACAATAATTAATGTTATGAACAACTCAAAAGACAGTTTTCCATTATAAGAACAAGTGAATAAAGTATCATCAGGCAGCAACTCTGCAACTTTCTAGATAATACACAAGATAATAAAACAATACACACTTGCACAGTGGTAGATGAAAAGTTGGAAAGAAAGGAATTTAATTTATATCTGTACAGAACCATTGCTACGAAAATCACTTTGAAGTGAGATTTTGTTTACACATGTATATGCATTTTCATGTTTTTCAATAAAACCATGTAAAAGGCAACACAGAATCAAAAATAGAAAACAATAAACATAAATAAATGCATACCATTTTGATTTTGAAAGTTTATTTATGTAAAATGATAATTTACAATATTGATGACTTTTGAAAAGGAACCCTGAAAAAAAAAGAAAATTTAAAATTAAAATGCATTATATTATAAAATGTAGGTATAATATTTATTACCAACATAAAAAATCAATAGTTCACCCATAACTCATATATTTTTTTTTTAATCTAAGATATTCATTTTAAACAGAGTTAAACAACACTACATTTGTGTTAATTATACCTTTATGTAGCTTTTTTCTACAGTAAAATTGATTTATCAATAATAAATACATATTATATGCATGTTATTTGAAAAAATATGAAATAATCCTCAGAGTATGTAAAATCAAAATTTGATATTTAAATTTTATGTGATATGAATAGTAGACATTTCAAACTCCCATCAATGTGCATACACAATGCACAAACATTGCGAATGCATATTATTCTGGGCTCTACTTACAGCATAATATTATGCATATTTTAGATTTTGACCAGAGCAAGAATGTATTGGTGTTACATATTTTTTTTTTTCTTTTGGGGGGTTAGTTTTTCTACAAGCAATTTTGCTCAGATTTTAAAGTTCAACTATTCTGAAAGGAAATCTAACTAGGGTGGTGATATAGAGGTTTTTTTTATCAGCTAATTCTATAATAAATAGAAAAAACCTACTTTTAGTTGGGCGTTTTTAATTTTTTTTATCCACTTAGAATCTTCCTACGACAGTAATTTGTTACGTGTAACTACTTTTGGCCATAAATGTCAAAAAGACAACTGTAATATCAAGTGTATTTTAGTTTCTTTTCATACACAAATTACATGTTCAAATAATTAATAATTACAAAAATCAGAGTGACTTGTGGATGAATTTCGTTAACTATTGTCGGGTGGTCTGAAAACCACTCATTTCATGCAACCTTATAAACAGTTATAATATTTCTATATTGTTGGTCCCCTTTGTGNCAACTGTAATATCAAGTGTATTTTAGTTTCTTTTCATACAAAAATTACATGTTCAAATAATTAATAACTACAAAAATCAGAGTGACTTGTGGATGAATTTCGTTAACTATTGTCGGATGGTCTGAAAACCACTCATTTCATGCAACCTTATAAACAGTTATAATATTTCTATATTGTTGGTCCCCTTTGTGTGGCTGTTATCAATATGCTGTTGATCATTGTGTTATTTCTAGAAAATACAGAAATATTGTATAACTGTCCCCTAGTGGTAATTTTACAATTGATAGGCGATATTAAAAGTAAGCTGCATTATTGCTAAATTATGTTAGATCTTATTTATTAAGGATTTTTTTTTCTCTTTTGCGAAAACAATTACCTGGATACAAGGTCTGGATTGGGGCGTAGACAGTAAAAGCTTAGTTATGAAATTTATGAGGACCGCCTACACAAACACCAATGGGCAATATAGTTTTTAATAATTATACAGACATATAGTATATATGTACATATAACTATAGTGTGTATTATTATTTAAATATTGTATTATCAAAAAATTATTAAACTATCCATCATTATCTGTCTATATTCGGTATACAGAATGTTTGAGTTATCTATAGTTCTTTTTTTTTTGAGTGATCGAGGTTTTCGCCAAGCATTTATTTCGACTTATCGAGGTTCTACTTTATTTCATTTTGTTTTTGTTTTATACACGGACACCCATTGACTAACTCTCTCACCTCTTGCCCTAAATGAGTTTCATCAAAATAATACATTGGAATGTGTTCAAGCTACACAGCTTAGCTTCTATTTTATTTCCACAAATCTAAATATTTAATACAAAATATATTTCAGAATTTCAATATTTTTGGTGTAAATATTACCTATACTAATATAAATAAAAATAAAATAGGGTATAATCTTACGTTTTTCCAGCCAATGTAACGAAATAGTTTTACCTAGGTACCTACTATAAAGTTTGGTAATGAATAGATTATTGTCTTGATCCCAGGAACCCAGGCCAACTCTACCTACAGTTCAGCATATATTTTAATCGTTCTTTATTAAACGACAATAGTTTTTAAATTAATTAAAAAGAATTGAATTGTTCATGTTATAAGTCTAAATATATTACCACTTGACTCATCATTTAGGAATGTTCAAGAAGGATTATGTGTTCATCCAATCCATATTATCTTACAATTAAATCAAAAAAGAAACATTTAAAACGTTCATACTGCAATGGGTAATGAATATATATAGTTAAAATTAATAACTTATGACTTATTGACAATGAACATCTGTGTTTGTTCCAGCTGTACCTACAACATCTCGAATTGCTCTTTGGTCTTATACCAATTCATTTTCCGAGTTCCGTTTAATATTTTAATACCTACGTATGTTAATAGCAATATAGGTACTTATATATTTACGAATTGAAAATGTCAAAAAGATTGGACCATATGATTACACTTGAATTATGATGTCGATACACAATGTTAAGAAATCATTACCCCGATTTGTTACAACAAACGATTTGTGTATCGTTTTGAAACTATAGTCACCGAATTACAGTGTGTTTCAGTGTACATGTTGTCGAATTACAATTTGTATACGGTTATTATCAATTTTAAATGTAGCAATAAATTATCAAACAAGGTTTTTTTATGTGTAACTTTTTGTTTACTCACCTAGTAAAAATGTTGTGACTTTTTCTAATGCTGCACCATAAAGGATACGTCAAAAATCCCGACACTTTTCAAAAAATTGCTTTTTAATTCTGCCATACGGTACCTAGGTATCAGTACTTTATTTGTTACTAGTGATAGGAACAATCGAGAGAAATTACTCGAAGTACTCGATTGTTAGATTTACTCGATTATTTAGATTGTTTTAAGTGATAAATTAATCGGCGAGTGATTCTCACGAAATTAAATCGACGACTGTTAATCTAAAACATAAAACAATCGAGTGCAATTAATGTTAGTTGTTGTACCTACACGTTTTTACATTCGTTTGCTGAAATGTTGTCAAGCCTCTAGCGAGTATTGATTAATGACGAGTTGTGCCGAGTATCGAAAAACTGATAGTGTAATGAATTACTAAATTGACCGAAAGATTATCATTATAGACACTTAGTTACCTATAATAGTAAACAAAGAAAGAATAATTAATACATTATTTCATTTTTATTATAATAAAACTGTTATAGCAATCATACCACTGTAACGGGCCCGACGTAGGAATAGGACTTTGAAGGAAAATTTTCGAAATAAATCTAACTCCAACCCGTGCTTATAAATAATTAATATTTTCCACGCAAAAAACAAGTCCGATAAATAAATTCACAAAAATAATACAAGTCCAAGTAATTCAGTTCGCACACATCGAAAAATATTCATGTTTCCGGGTTTAATTTCACACACAAAACTGTTAAAAGTCCAAAAATATTTCACAAGACACGAGAGTGACGCGAGACGGGCCGCATTTGATCGCAATGGACTCGCCCGATTCGACGGTGTTACGGGCGGCGTTCAATATGCTCCGAGGGACCCCCGCAACCCGCCGTTCGTAATGCGGCTGGCTGCATTATTTCGTCAGTGGCATTCTTCCCCGCGTTTCCTGCGGAATCCAAGTGTTGCTCGTTGGTTTTGCGCGTCTCCTTCGTAAATACTGTACATTTCGCTTTTACAGCTGTACCCTCGCGCGCCGTTACGCCAAACGCGGCAAATTCGAAAAGTGTACAACATTTCACTATTGCTTTCGGCTCGCCCCTTTTTCGGTTGTTGACGTTATCGTTCCCCGCTGACGCCGCCGCGTCGCGGTCATCTCTTTGTTGCGTTTATGGCGCATTTCCGTATTAAATAATAACGTCCTCGTATTATTTTTTTTTTTTTTGCATTACACGTTTGTTCGCGCGCTGTCGCCGTTGCTCCGTGCCCGTCCGCGCCCTCGGTGTATAAAACGTGAAAACGTATTTTGTAGAATTCTCGGCTCCCGGTTTCGGTTGTGGTCCACCTTTTGAACAATAATTACTACGGGTTCGCGCGCGTATACTAATAGTAGCGTGAGGACACGTAACACTACTATGCCTCCCCCCCCCAGTGGTTCCCAACCATTTCGATACTACGGACCAGTCGGAGGGAGGTCTTTCGATACGTCACGGACCATCGCAATTTCAGACTTTAGATTATGAATAAATAACAAAACAATGCATTTCCTTATAATAATTTTTATAATAAATCAATTTTAAGTAAACCTTAAAATTATCAACGATTTAACGTAAATTACTATTATAAACACAATTTATTGCGATTTTCGGACTTGCATTTTCTTTAATAACAAACATATCCTTGGGGAATACTGCTCGAAGCTACACGCATGCCTCTAGCGGTATCAAACTGTTTCTTTGTTTATTTTCAATATACAGTAGTCCTGAAAATCCTCGTTCGCACAAGTACAAGATTCAAACGTAGCCTCACAGTTTCGATCGTTTTGAAGTGGTTACGGACGGTTAATAGAACAAGTTATTGGTGCCGCGACTGGACGCTAAAACCGAGAACGTGGTTCGTTGCGGTATTGACACGACCGGTCGTTAACACGTTAAGGACCATGTTTGTGGTACGTTTTGAGATAACACTCAGTTCACCATTCAACATTTCACTTCATTATTAAACTCTCCTCAGATTGATATTAGGCCGTTCCCGGTGGTGGTGCTATACCGGGACCACCCACGACGGAGTTCATGAAGCGGACATATATTTTATCCATTTCATGAAATGGAAACTCTTATTTTACACTTTGAGTAATATTTTTAATTAATTACATCAATAAATTTAAAATTGTTTAAATATTAATTATTATACTATGAAAAAAAAAAACCAAAAATACTTCTTACTACTTATTTTTACAAATATTATTACTGCTATGGCAACGACTGTTACACTTAACAGAAGCTTTAAAACAAGCACACCGTTTTGTTTCACATTGGTGTTTACAGGTACAACTTAAAAAACCTTGATGACTTGAATGTCTTGATTACTTCTTTCAATGCTTCCCTGATTTTGGGGATGACGTGGTCGACCGTGGACTATTACACATTGTGGCCACAGATCCTTTAATTCCTTAATAATGGAGTTCACAAATTCTCGTCCATTATCAATTTGAAGTATTTTAGCAGCCCCAAATGTAAGAAAAATAGTGAGTAATCTGTTTGCCGCTTCTATAGCCCATTTGCTTTCAAGTGGATGCAATAATACAAATTTTGTATTGTGGTCCTGATAATTCATGATCCATTTATATTTACCATCAGGTGTTGACTATAATAATAATAAATATAGTATGTAACAGTATCAATGTTATTATTTCAACTTCACGAAAAGTTACCTATTGATATAATTAATTTAAAATATTACACAAAGTGTAAAATAAGAGTTTCCATTTCATGAAATGGATAAAATATATGTCCGTTNTCGACCGTTCAGCAGATAAATTTTAATTAATTACATCAATAGGTAACATGAAAATCCTTAATACGATCGTATAACTCTTCGTATGGTACAACGTACCTGATTAAAATAATTAAATCAATAATACAGATTGCAAATTATAAAAACCAAATCAAAAATTACCTTATGTCTTCGTCTTCATTAGTTTTTTTATAAATCAAAAACTTTTGATCTGTAACGAACAGGACATCATACGTTTTGATGAGATAATAATCTCGCCTCTTTTTTTTACCACTATAAAATAATGTAAATTTCAAATTATAAACAAATATTTAATGTAAATATTAAATAATATTATTTAAATATTTATTATCTAATTTTTAATCCAACGGAATAAAACGTGAACTGCTGAGCGTAAATTTGCTATGTTACGTGTTTGTAAGACAAGCCCTGATGGCTGATTGTAATAATTTTATTTGAAGTGTCTTAATATATAATTTTTATTTACTAATATTTTGTATATTTTAACGATTACTTACATTTTTACTTTTGCTGCTAAAATGTCTTCAATCATTAATTGAACGTCAACTTTGGTAGGTGGCTTTTTCCCAGGCTTGTCTACGTAGTACGCATATAACTGTTCATAAAATTCAGAGAATGAATCAAATTCCGTTTTAACGCTAATATACAGCTCGCTTCAAGTCAGAGGACGTACTGGCATCATATAAAAATAATATAATATACAGCTTTTCCAGAATGCCTTGGTCGTATCACACTTATACAATTGATTCAATTGAATTTTGATTAAATATATATTTTATCGACTAAAATTTATCTGCTGAACGGTCGATATCTTATTTTTACAATTTATTAATAATAAAAATATNTATCAATGTTATTATTTCGATTTCACGAAAAGTTACCTATTGATGTAATTAATTTAAAATATTACAGAAAGTGTAAAATAAGAGTTTCCATTTCATGAAATGGATAAAATATATGTCCGTTTTATGAACTAAAATTTGACTTACACGTTATGATCGTAGTTCATGAAATGAACATCCATTTCGTGAAAAATACGATTACACTAAGTGGATGCGATATATATATATACATACATAAGGGAATATTTTATAAAAAATAAATTAATATAGTATGTTAAATTTGTTGTTATTCATAAAAATAGTAATTGAATACAATTAAATAAACATTATCTGTTATTTGTTCGTAGCTGTATACCAAAAACATATATCTCAAGTTATCATTCACTGGAGGATATATAATGCATATACTGAAGTATATAAATAATAACTTGTGGTTATCCATTAGACGGTATAAGACATCACACGAACAACTTCAACAAACACCCAATGGATATTGAAATGGCATATCCAGAAATGCCGGAAAAAAAAAACCCGGACATTTGGATATCTTACAGATGTCCATTGGAATTCATTAAATATTTTAACGGATATTATGGATATCTGACAGTGGTTATCCACTGTATAACCGCCGGATACATTTGTACTGTGTGGGGTTAGTTCACGAAGTGGCCGCTTCGTAGGATATATCCGTTCGCGCAGCCACTGATGGGTTGTTTATAAATGATTAATAATTATTTCGCAGTGTCTGTTTTTAATTTTTTTCCATAAATAATTTTACCCGCCCATTTTGGCCGTGTTCCCGCGCATTGATAGTACAGACGGTACCTGCAGGTGCTTAACTGGTGGCTCGCTCGCGTGTCTCGTTCTGTCGGAATAGAAAATAAAATCGCGTAAATACGTAAACATGAAACCGTGTATAAATGTTACCGGCCGCACAAAACGAGTTGCCGGTACAATCGGCCAGTGCCCAACAATATTTCATCGGCAACGGGTAGGTATACTTTATTACGAACATGCCGATCGGCAACAGCGATTTACGTACAAGTATTGAGATTCGACCACACGAATGAGCCACTATACAGCAGCTACAGTTCTGATCGCCGACACTATCAGAACTATTTAATTATATTGGACTGTTTTTCGTATTATAAAATCAATGGTTCTGATATTAGCGATTTTATTTATACTATAAATATGGCGACGTTTTGAAAAACGGAAAACAAAATACCATCATCGTCGGACAAGTGGGCAATTAATCGGCTATTATTTTGACTAAAAACCAAAACCCAAACGTATGGAAATCTAATTAGAATTTCGTCACGACTGTGCGTCCGACATCGATGAAAAATACTTACGTTGCAAGCTATCGACCACAAGAGCGAGCTACGGGATACTCACGAAATATCGTCAAACAGTATTATAAAATATTCATTGTGAAATAGATTGGTACCTACATACTTACTTATTTCAAAAAATTAATAAATCGGGGAATCATCTTTGAAAAACCGAGTCATGTTTAAATTATTCTGTAATCAACATGGATCTTGTTAACTTGAATTTTTATTTTTTAATCTTAATAATATGTGTTCGGTACAGTATTTTCATTTATTTCAAAAGATCGAGGATGAATTCCACTTTTCGACTTATCAATCTTGAATAAATAAGTACCTATCTAAGCATATCGAGACGTTTGCATAAACTGAAGAGTGAAGATCACCCTGATATAGGTACACTATTGTTTTTTAAATTTTCATAACGAGAAACGTTATTAAAATTAATTTCAGGGATAGGTAAATTTGATTTTTTTTCGTGGGCATGTTTTTGAAAAAAAATATCACGATTTTACACAATAATACTTTCGAGTTAATAATTTTACGGGTGTCCCCAGTATTGAATTTGTTTAAAAGGGTGAATTTGAATATTTTTAAGTTCATGAATAATTTTAATTTACTTTAAATACGTACTATTCATTTTGCTTGGCCCCCATTATATTTGGTATATAATAACCTCTTAACAAAAATCAAACCGAATAGGTATGGGTGGGTAATAATATTTGTTGATATTTCATATTGAACGATGTCGAATTATCACAACCATGTATATTATAGACTCAATTATTCGACGAACGCATGTATTTCCGATTGTCGGCAATAATATATTGTATGTTTCACCAAAACGATGTTATAGGTAGGTACCTAACCTACCCATATAGGGAATTATTATATTTACCCATATTATGTTATAATAATATATTGTATTCGTTATACTCGTGCGGTGTAAAAACGATAAGCGAAAAATCTTGTTCGCAAAAACATTATAATATCATTGAAATAAAAGGAAGTAAATCAAAAGGAAATAGGTATTTTCTACGGGAGTATATTATAACCGTAGACGCGTACTGGTAGGTATGCCAAGATCTCTGAGCATAACTGAACAAAATGAGAAATACGTGGAAAATATTTAGTAATGGGCGGTAACGAACAATGACTATCAAATTATCCAAGAGTTCCTAGGAATACTCGTTCGTAAATTCATCACTGAATCATTCGAATAATCTTTATTTCGAGTATTGGTGCTTTATTATAGGGTGGTTTTGATAAGGGGATAAGAAAGGTAGCTCCTATCACGAATCGTTACCGAAACTACTTCGTCTAAATCAGCGGTTCCCAACATGTTTAGTTGTGTGGACCACCAATTTTGTGAAAAAACTTTGAGGCCCACTAAACTAATATGCAGGTAAAAATAAAAACACCTATGTATGCACATACGACTTATATAAATATTTATATATAATCACAGACTTTTATATATTACTATATATTATATATAAGTATGTGTATATAATGTGCATATTGCACATACCTCAGTAATAATTGAAATAAGTTAGCAAATACCAGATAATTTTTAATGGTTCTGGTTATAGAATTCTTGATAATTGTATTTAATGACGAACTGAAATTAAATTGACCTAATAAATAACAAAACCCTAACATCAATTTAAAATAACCGCCTTTGAAGTACCTCCCTATACCTTTAGATTTCCTTTCAGAAAAGGTGCTACACTTAGAAATCCGAGCGTCTTTTGGCAGAAAAGTTGTTAACAGATAAAAAAAAAAAAACATCTCTGTGAAACCATAAGTTTTTTCGTTTCACTCTGAATCTAAAACGTTGAAATAATATAATACATTGTTTATACATTGGATTTGATTTAAAAAAAAAACATATTCACGGAGTATAATAGAACAACAAAACTGAAATATTGAATATATAATATATAAGGAATACATCAAAAAATTATTAAATTAATTGAAAGATTGATTCACATAGTCAAATATTTGACAATGTAACCCAAGCTGAAAATAGTTTAAAAAGGGATGAGATGACAAATTTAAGAAGTTATATCATGCCTAAACAATATTGATACAGAACATTATTATTTTCAAAATCATTCAAGATTTATTTAAGCATATTTTTCTTAATCTCATTATAAATTATAACATAGTAATTTCTTTTATACTAATACAAAATTTTCTACCAAAAATCTTGGTTCGATATTTAAGTGTGGCACAATTTCTGAAAAGAAATTTTGTTTAGGTGATACTTTGGATGGGTTATTTTTTTGATTCTCCAAATGATTTTCATATCCAGAGATTTCCAGGAAAAACCCCGAAATAAAACTTAAGAAAACCAAAAAAAAAAAAAAATGTAAAAAAATAGTATTTTTAATATTTTCAATTTGGGTTTTTTTGTGTATTAATTTAAATAATCATACGAGACATGCAATTTGGATAAAAAATTATATTTGTCTTTTCTAAATATGGTAAAATGTTGAACATATTCCAGCCATTTTTGAGCTGTTTATAAACATTTAAATTTTTTGTTGAAATTTCAAAAAAAAAAAAAATTCTTAGACTTTATAGACATAATTTGCACGAAAAGTGGACCACTGTTGTAGATGAGAAATTGGAAGATAGGATAAAGTAAGTGATTAAATCTATTTGTAGATATATCTGTAAGCAAAGATTAATCATTGTTAATGAAAAACGATTATAAGCTGAATTCAGTTAATAGAATTGCTTTTCAACAATATTATGTCATATTATAGTAAAATAAATATATATTGAAATATTTTGTTACTAAAATGATCTTTGGCAATATTCGATGATAAACCTGTTTAATTTTCGAACATTTCTGTTTAGTTTAACAATTTAATTCACAGAGTATCTACCAAATAAAAATGTCTATAAATAAATAGCTCAAATGTTTTAACAGTTTTACCCATCTAGAGAAGTCAAAATTTAAGTATTCTGTCCAAATTTCAATTCACTACAAATATTTTTAACAGCATTATTTTCATAAATTGTCCTGGTTTTCTGACATTTTGTAGCAGTGTTTCCTATTTATTATGAA